CAAGGGGCTGAGGGGCCTTGGCCCCACACCATCACCCCCAATCACCACAACCACACCCACAGAGCCCTGCTCCCGCCCTTGACACTGCCCCACCCGTTCCTGAGCCAGACCTTGGGCCTGGTCCCCAGAAAATGCCCACTGGGTCCCACAGCTGGGCCTAGTGATGGTGGGAGTGATGCGGGGTCCCTCTGAGCACTCTCATCCAATCCTCAGCACCACAGACGCCGTGCCAGGACCCCCTCCCCCTTTTCCAGCACCTTCTGCACACAGAACATCAGTCCACTCCTGGTAACATGGTTGGGGGTCCCCCGAAGGTGCTTTATTTTAACACCAACCCTGCGGTCAATTCTGCGCCTCTGCTTCCCTCCCTTGTGTCCTTGGGAGCCCGCACCGAGGGGCAAGCAGAGCCCTGCGGAGTGCTCCAGTTCTGCAGCATTGTACATCCAAACCTCGAGAACGGGGTCTTGCTGCTGCTGCCGCGGGGCCACAGGAGGAGGCCCCGCCCCGGCAGGTGGGGACGAAGCATGAGCTCTGGGGGGGGCAGACAGCTGCGAGGCCCCAAATGTCCACCCATAGCATCGGGTGTGCCCTCGTGGCTTGTCACCACTGCGAGGCCTTGGTTAAAAAGAGAAAATAAACAGAGCAAACCCAGAAGCAGGTTCTCGGGGAGCGTGGGGGAGATTCCAGCCAGATCAAGGACGGAGGAATATCTTCCCGCGCTCTCACGGCGAGTCTTCAGGCAGAGCCCGCAGAGCCGCGCCTGGGCCACACTGATGGAAACTGGGACAGGTGCCTCTGGCAGAGGCGGGTCCATGGTTCTGATCCACCCACCGGCTTCCGGGAAGGCTCCTGGTTTTCAGGTCAAAGGCATTCCGGACAGACCGAGGAGCCCGTGTTCCCGGTTGCCATCCAGTCGCTCAGGAGCCGAAGAGCCTAGAGAAGCAGAGGGCAGAACCTGTGAGCGCGGGGCTTGCACTCGGCTTCTGGGGGAGGCACACCGCTCCTCCTACTTGCTGCAGACAGGGCAGTGCTCAGAGGAAAAGCTTAGAAAAGTGCTTAGAAAAGTATCGGCTTTACGTAAATCTGTAACATTAGCCTGTCCACAAAATTTCACAAGGACCTGGCCCCAACTGTCCAGGCAGAGCAGGAAGGAACCTGGAGCTAAAAACGCAGGCAGCGGGAAAGGCGGGAAGCTCTCGCTCCACTGCTGCCACGTGTGACCCTCTAGGCCAAGGATACTCGTGGGGCACTGACACCTCTCAGGTCCGTCTTGGAGGAGGGCATGCTCAGATGGACCCACCCTTCGGTGAGAAGCATGAGGCACCCAGACACCCATCAGAGCAGTGAGATGAACCCCGAGGAGGTGGTGTCCTAGAACATAGAACAACCTGGTGACAGCCTGAACCCTCGCCCCGCGCCACTGAAAGTATCTGGAAGGTGGCCATCCCACGCGGGGAAGAGACTGGTCAGCATAACGCTTTCCATGGCAGAGATGCGTCCCGGGGTCTGGGGGAGGATCATGGGGCAGAACAAGGCGGGACTTACACGATCATGCAGAACATCATGAAGACGTTCCACAGCGCGATGAAGATGCGGAAGTACCTGAGGCTCAGCAAAAACTCCCGGATGTTGTCCCCTGCGAAGCCAGAGGTGGTTTTTCACAAGGGGAAGAGAGACCGAGAGACCGGATGGTAAACCGACAAGCAAACAAGAGGCAGCTGCTAAAACACTGCGCCAGCCTATGATTGGCTACAGAAGGGCACGTGACATAGGTCTACCCAATGAGAACCAGCCCTGGGACTTTTGCCACTCCCTACTTTCCCGGTCTGGGCCACATTAAAGGGGCAGCGCTAAGGGTGGCCCAGCCTTTGGGTCAGGGTTGCAAACTGCTCCCCCCACTACCAGGCTGGGCAAGGTGTTGAGTTTGGTGGGTTTTCTTTGTTCTCCGGGCAGCACACAGCAGTACAAGGGGCTGGGCATACAATGTGAGGAGCCCCTCGCACCATCACCACTGCCTGAACTTGGCTTTCATGACGGGTGTCACAGCAGACTGCTGCAAACGAGCCCCAAGCATCCAGTCCCAAACATCCAGTTGCATAGTGTGACTGGAACAGCCATGTCTGTCCCTATGCACGATGCCAGGGCGGCATGCAGCAGAACGCACACGGCCTCTGCCCACGGGCTTAAAAAAAAGAGGCCCGGATCTCCAGCAAACCACCATCCGGTATCTGATTACCAAGACATGGCTCGAGACACATCTGCTTCAAGCAGGGGGCAGAGCCACAGTGCAAAGAGGGTTCCGGGTCAGTCATGGCACCACACAGCCACCCAGCACTTACCACCCAGAGTGGCTTCTAAGTACCTCTGGGTGTGGCCTGAAAACCAAAACTAAAACCAAACCAACACACCCTGGCTTCAGAGCTCAGAAGCAACAGTTGTGGGGACAGGAGACTGCCTGTCTCTGGGCTTACTGCTTACTGATCCCAGAAAGGCCATGAGACAGCAGGCGCCCAGATGTGCCTGGAAGCTCAGGGCACCAAGGGGGCAGGGAACAGTGCCAAGAGGGCTGGCCTAGCCCAGCAAGCTGAGGATAAAGGGGATGGCAGAGGGGCTGCGGCTACACACCTAAAACACACACAGATCCCCAAAACACACTCACACACGCACACTCATCCTCTTATACACACTCTTACACACATGCTTACACACATGTGTCCCATCCACACACATCCTCATAAACCCTTACACACACTCACACCTGACACATGCAGACACACTCGTTCATATACTCTCATCATACCTGACACAGGCAATCACATACACACTCACACACAACTCACACCCTATCATACACAAACTCTTACACAACATGCAAACTTTCACACTCATGCTGTCATGCAAACTCACTCTAACGCACACATACACAACACACAAACTCACTCTCACTCACAAACTCACACTAACACACACATACTCTCACACTAATGCACACATACACAACACGCAAACTCACTCTCACACAAACTCACACTCTGATACATACTCTCATGCAACACACAATCTCACACACACACACATCCCTAAAATGAACCCACCCAGGAAAGCAGACCTTGCAGACACATGCCCACCCACAGGGGATTCTGGACATGTGACCAGAGCAATATAGATAAATGAAGAACAAGCCCACTGGGGAACGGCTCCTAATTACCTGTACTGGGCTCCTTGGACTCCTCCCCAAAACCCTGTGTGTCCTTCTTCTTCCTATGAGGGGCAGACCAAATCCATCTTCAGTGAGTCACCCCCCTACAGCGAAGAGGACCCTGAAACCTCAGCTGCTGCCAGGAAGCAGCTCCACACCTCTGCCCTGCCAATCACAGCCAGGCCAGTATGCGTGACAGTGAAGGGACAGGCAGGGCTAAAACAGGACACAATGGGGGCTGACTCAGGATCTCAGGGGCAGAAGCAAAGGGACCTCCCTCCCCCAGAAAGGAGAGTCTTGGACTGGAAGCTCTGGAGGTGGACCAGAATGATGGCCAGGAGGACTAGGGCACAAACTTTGCAGACAGGAGACAGGAACTGATCTCCTCCACTACTGACTAGAGGGCTGGAGGAAACCCTGAGCACTTCAGGTGTGGCCCCAAAACCAGAAAGCACTAAAATGAAAAAAAGTTAAAAGTTCTGGGGCTGGAGCAATAGTACCCTGGGGAGGATGTTTGCCTTGCACACAGCCAAGGGGGGTTCAATCCCCTGAATCCCATATGGTTCCCAGAACACTGCCAGGAGTAATTCCTGAGTCCAGAACCAGGGGTAAATTCTTATCAATGAGTGTGACCCAAAAATCAACAAAAAAAAGAGCGAGAGCGAGAGAGAGATAAGAGAGAGCGCGCGTGAGCCTGAGAGCAAGAGCCTGAGAGAGAGAGAGAGAGAGAGAGAGAGAGAGAGAGAGAGAGAGAGAGAGAGAGAGCGCGTGAGCCTGAGAGCAAGAGCAAAAGCGCGAGCGATTAGTTTCTAGGCAGTAGGACCACGCTGGAGGAGGGGCCGGATGGAGGAGGGGCCAGGATGGGGCGGGGCCAACACGAGGGTTGGCCATCAGAGGGCGGGGCCTGGTTGAGGGCGGGCCAAATGGGACGGGCCCAGACTGGGGCGGGGCGATAACGTGGGCCGGGCCTACGGCTACCAAAGTCCGGAGTCGCGGTCCGATGCGGCCTACTCACAGCTTAAAGTTGAGCACGGCCCCGGCGTTCATCAGCAGTGTCCTGTGGAGGGAGAGTACGGTGATCTGGGCCGCCCCCCGCCCCGCCGGGCTCCTTCGCCCCCGCCTTCGTTCACCCTAATTACCCGAACAGCAGGATGTCCCCGATCATCCTTACGGCCGAAGCGTCCGTCAGAACCGGAAGCGGAAGCTTTCTGGAGGGCGGGCAGAGGAGCGGGAGCTGGCCAATCCCGACGCAGCCTTTGAGGTGCGCCTGTTCTCCGCAGGCCCCGCCCTCACTGCAGGGGCCAGGCGAGGTATGACGACGTGAGGGCGGGGCCACCGGGCCGGGGGCGGGGCCGGGGCCGGGGCGGCGCGACGGGTCCCGGCACCTGCTGGCTCCTCCGCGGGGCTGGGGTCCCCAGGGGTGCACAGGAAAAGGGGTCCTGACTCAGCGGCTGCCCTGGGCATGCGCTGGCTAGACCCCTGGAAACGACACCCCCAACGGGGCTGGCACTGCAGGGGCTGCGTCCAGCTGTCTCCCCGCACCGGACACCGTGTTTGGGACGGGACCGGCACGACCCCACGGAGACTGGGGTCACGGTGGCCGCTTGGAGGACCGGAGTGCTGACCCGGAGCGTGGGGTTTGCATGCGATGCTGCCCCGTGGACGATGGGGGTCTCTGTCCCCAAGGCTCAGTCCGAGGCGCACCGGCCCCGGCCCGCAAGACCCGCCGGGGAAGGGACTGAACTGGGACGGGACGGGGGCGGCCGAGGGGGCCCGGCCCGCCCCCCGCGTGCCCCTCCCCGCCGCGGGGCCGGGCGGGGGCGGTGCCTGGCGGGCGGGCGGGTGGGGCGCGGGCCGGGGCGGCGGCGGCGGGCACCATGGAGCTGCTGTCGGCACTCAGCCTGGGCGAGCTGGCGCTCAGCTTTTCGCGCGTGCCGCTCTTCCCGGTCTTCGACCTCAGCTACTTCATCGTCTCCCTCGTCTACCTCAAGTATGAGCCAGGTGAGCGCGGCGGGACTGCGGGCGCGGGCGGCTCGGCCCGGGCTCTAGTTCCCGGGCACGGGAGCAGGTGGAGCAGGTTCTGCCGCTCGGCGGGGGGCATCCTGGGGGCCGCGCGCGCGCCCTTCCCGGAATGGGGGCGCGGGCAAGGACGCGCTGCACGAAAAAGGGGTTGCTGGGGAGGCGCGAGGGCGAAAAAGGGGGTGTCGCGGTGGAAGGGGTCGCAGGAACTTGGGGCTGGAGCGGGGCTGGTGTCTCTGTGTGGGGCCGGCGGGTGTCGTGACCTCGTCGCTTGCCCTTGGCCACGCGCGTGCCCCACCGCAGCTGCGTGTCTATTCATAGGCCGGTCCGCTGGGGGGTGCAGAAGGTGACACAGCGCCCCCATCCCGAACGCTGGGCGCAAGCCCGGTAGGTGTTTGTGGGGGCTTGCAACCTCCCACACTCTCATGCAGCTTCCCAGGATGAAGCTCGGGACTCATCTGATTGTTTATTTTAAAAGCGTTTTCCCCCAGAGCTGGCGAATGGCCTCCTTAGAGTTCAGTCTATTTTTGTACAAGATTGAGGGGTCGTGTCTCCTCTTGTATCTGCAGGATTTCAGAGCACCCACGCCTTATATGGATACTCAAAATGCAGCATTAGCCGGCACAGATCCGTCTCCTCAATTTTCCACCTTTCTGAACCCCCAGGTGCTAGTAGCCCCTCTATTCTCTGCACAGACGGAAGTGGTGGCCCCACCCCCGCCCCACCCCCAATGATAAAAATAGGTGTTGGTGGCTATTTAAGAATCCAATGTAGAGTCACAGAGGGAATGGAAGTGTCCAGTTGCGTGGGGAGGGGTGGGGGGAGGTTGGCCTGTGCCTTTCCCACCTCCACAACCCCAATTATGGATCAAAACTCCGGGCTTCTGACCCCCAGCACGCCCCTCCTTTTGCCTCCATAAATTCCAACAAGGAACTTTGGGAAGCAAATTAGCTCCTCGCCTCCCGCCCTCACTCACAGGGCAGAGGCCTGTGCAAGGACATTTCCTGGGGTTCAGGCCACAGAGCCAGGTCACCCAAGAAACCCAAGTGTGCCCTGCAGATCATTTGAGGTTCCAAGGGGATATAAGGAGCCCACGGGCACCTAAGCAGGGAGGAGAGGGGAAGAACCTAAACCCACCTACTCCTGGCCCGAACATGAGGGACGTCCTGGGCCTCCACACTGATTTGTGGTCACTCTTCTTTGACAGCAGGGCGAGGTCTGTGGGAATGAGGCCAGCAGGAGTGGTCAGCGCTCCAGATCTTTCTACCTGAGCTCCCGAGGCACCCCCCCCACACACACACACACCAGGAGCACCCTCAGCCCCACCCCTGCCGCCTCCCTATATGCAGGCAGTAAGAGAAGGATCTGAACAGAACTGTCCTGGGGTATTTTTAGATTCCCAGATCCCTCCTCTGCAGGGCCTCACCTGACCCTCAGGGCCGGCCAGCTGTTGGGAGGATTAACTCCCAGCTGGTGGTATTTTAAATAGACACCCAGGAAGAAGGGGAGAGATGGGACCTTGCTGGGCACTGGATTTGGTGGGCAGCCTTGAGGGTGATCCCTAACTCCAGGGAGGTAGTGAGAGGGACAGAGAAAATGAGGGACCCCGCCTCCTCAAAGGAAAAGGGCGGGGTGAGCCTGAGATTTACAAAGGAGCACAAGATAAGGTGTCACAAGGGCCTGTCCAAACACACAAAGCAGGGTCGGGCAAAGGACTCTATCCCCAGCACCCCAGATGGTCCTTCAAGCCCCAGGAGGATTCTCCACCCTGCTCCATGTGTACAGCGAGGACAGGGGGCTGCCTCCGTTTCTCTGAGGTTGGCCACAGAGAAGACTTCTCTTTCAGGCCTGGTGCTGGTGATGTGGAGGGTCTGTCTTGTCCCCTTCTTCCCTGTGCGGACCAAGGTGTTCCCTCCTCCTCCCAGTGATCTTACCCCCTTTCCACCTGCTTCCAGCCGAGAGACACTTCCCCCCTCGTGTAGCCTCAGGTCTGGTGACTTGATTGACCCCCTGAAAGCAAAACTCATGTGGGAGAAGGACTCTGGGCATTGAAATCACAGGTCACCCAGGAAGACGCCAGTGCAGGTGTGGGATGCCCAGAAGCGCGCGCAGATGAACAGCTGGGCTCTGTGCTCTTGGTTTCTGCAAACCACCTGTTATTAATGGTGGGAGAGCACAGAGGGTGGGCACTTGCCTTGCAGGCAGTCAACCCCAGTTCATTCCCTGGCACCACATACGGTACGATCCTCTGAGCGTCTAAAGGGTGCTCTGACCCCCTGCAGAGTCCTTGGGCCAGTCCCTGTGCCCACTAATAGTGACGAATCCACACCTGTGCAGGCGCAGTGGAGCTGTCCCGCCGCCACCCCATGGCCTCCTGGCTTTGTGCCATGCTGCACTGCTTCGGGAGCTACATCCTGGCTGACCTGCTCCTGGGGGAACCTGTCATCGACTATTTTAGCAACAGCTCCAGTATCCTGCTGGCCTCCGCTGTCTGGTGAGGGCAGAAGGGATGTGGGAGAGCCACACGCAGGGGCTGGGCAAGGAGAGCTTGGTGCCCAGTCCCCAGGAGGGTGGTGGAGTCGGTCAGTTGGTAGGGCACAGGAGCCTGGAACCCAAGCTCCTGGGCAGCACTTGGGGAAGCCTGGCCACCAGTGTGGGGCATAGAGCTGATTGGAGCCATCTCCCTCCATAGTGGCTCTGAGCATCCCAGGGCGTCCCTGTCCCAACCTGGCTCCCCTGCCAGTCCTGTGGGGAGGGCGCTGGGATGGCCCTTCTCCTCCACGGGCGGATGTGCCGCCAGAACCCAACCCCTGGCTCCGTGTCCCCCAAAGGTACATGATTTTCTTCTGCCCCCTTGATCTCTTCTACAAATGCGTCTGCTTCCTGCCCGTGAAGCTCATCTTCGTGGCCATGAAGGAGGTGGTCCGAGTGCGCAAGATCGCCGCGGGCATCCATCACGCCCACCACCATTACCACCATGGCTGGTTTGTCATGATTGCCACCGGCTGGGTCAAAGGTAACGCAGCGCCTCCACCCCCTCCAGAGGCCCGGCCCGGAGGGGGCGGTAGTGGGCACAGCTGAGACTGGGGGGTCTTTGGGAAGATGAGCTCCTGGCAGGGCTGGGGGGCACATGTGCGGTTCTGGAGCGAACCCAGGCGTGCAAGGCTGTGCTAACATCAGCGTTCTCAGCTGCATGAGGTCTCCCTGTCCCCTGTCTCCCCCGCAAAGAAAAAATATGAGACTGGCAGAGCGAGGGTGTCCCCACAGGCATCAGTTTCAGTCAGTGGTGGCTGTAGGGACTGGAGGGCTAACCACACTTAGAGCCAACCAACCTGACACCCCATATGGTTGCCCAAGCATTGCCAGGGGTTACTCCCAAGAAGAACAGAGAGCCGGGAGTAGCCCCTGGGCATTTCTGGTGTGGCCCCCAAATTTAAAAAAAAAAAAAAGAACATCAAAACATACATGCATGGCTGGAGTGATAGCACGGCGGGTAGGGCATTTGCCTTGCACGCGGCCAACCCGGGTTCGATTCCCAGCATCCCGTATGGTCCCCTGAGCACCGCCAGAAGTAATTCCTGAGTGCATGAGCCAGGAGTAACCCCTGAGCATCGCCAAGTGTGACCCAAAAAGCAAAAAAAAAAAAAAAGTGCAAAAAGAGAGAAGTTACAGAAAAGTGGATGACTGGGTGATAGTAGCAGAGAGCCCCAGAAGCAACTGGAGTACTGATCAGGGACTGAGGAGGAACACGCGGGAAACACAGTAACAGGAAGTCACAACAACACACTGAGCCCTGGGTGGACAGGCAAAGCCAGGAAGCTGGACCAGGAACGTGTTTCAGCTGGTAGAGCTCATTTTGTCTCGAGACCCTGGGTTTGATCCTTGGCACCACGTGGCTCCCTGGGCACTGCCAGGTGAGGTCCCTCTGAGGAAAAAGCCATGCAAGAATGCCTCACCCCTGCCTTCTGCTCTGGGCGGGGAGCCCAGGATCAAGGACGGGGGTCACCCTCCGTGTCCCATCCTCTTTCTGCTCTCCAGAGACTCCAGGTCCCAGAGCATGTGCCCCCAGAGGGTGGGGGGTGATGAGAGAGATGGACAGTTCCGAGCCTCCAGGAGACGGGCGGCAGGTTCCTCTCAGTGTTGGCCCGGGCAGAATCTGGGCCACTCTGGGTTTGTGTGAGGTTGACCTTGTGGCCCGTGGCGCTGTGCCATGTGTGACTGACGGTGTCTGGAACATTGCTGCCCCTAACCAGTTTTCTACCCCTGTACCCCAAACATTCTGACCAGAGTGAGGGGTGTGGGGATGATTCAGAAGCAGTCCTTGTCCCCCAGGCGCAGGTGTGGCACTCTTGTCCAATTTTGAGCAGCTGCTTCGAGGGGTGTGGAAGCCAGAGACCAACGAAATCCTGCACATGTCTTTGTGAGTATTGCCTACCCACCCTTCAGGCCTGACCCTGCGTCACACACACCTGGAAACCCAGTTCAGCCTTCGGGGAACCTTCCAGGGCTAGAGGACCCAAGAAGGGGAGGGAGCAGAGACAGCTGCAGAGCGAGCACGAGGGTGCTGGGTTGGCGAGTTGAAGCCAGAAGCCACCTCCAGGTGGCTTAGTCAGGAAAGAACAGGGTCTGCCTGGTTCTAGGGAGGAGGGTGCATAGCCATGGGGGGACCAAGTGTGGCGTGGAAGCGGGGGGCGGGGGCAGATCTCCGGGAGTGGGCTAGTTCTGTTCTCTCCCACCACAATAAGTAAAGCCGAGACGCCACCCCCCTCCCCGCCAGTCATGGAGAAGCTTGCGCCCACCTCCATTGACTGACTGGGAAGGGGTGGAGGGCTGCATTGCTGTCTGCAGGCAAATGACTGTCCCTCTGCCTTCCACACACCCGTAATCCTGTACAGGGAAAGGGAAGAGCTTCTGAGTGCGGTTTATTATAGAGGACTCTAGGAAGGAGGGCCCTCAGCCTCTCTGGAGCATTAGCCTGCCTCCACTGGTGGGAAGGGGCGGGCATCAGAGGGAGGGGCTGTTCTCAGGTGGGCGGGGCCTTGGTGAGTGGTGTGGGATGTGGCTGGCAGGAATGGGCGGAGTTATGCGGCGAATGGGCGTTGCTTATTTACAGTGGGCGGGGCCAGGCCGCCCACTGACCTGACCGCCCTGCCCTTCCAGTCCCACCAAGGCCAGCCTGTATGGAGCCATTCTCTTCACGCTGCAGCAGAGCCGCTGGCTGCCCGTGTCCAAAGCCAGCCTCATCTTCCTTTTCACCATGTTCATGGTGTCCTGCAAGGTGAGGGGCCTACTCGCCTGCCTGCTGTGTCCCCTCACCCTCCCATGCTGGGGGAGCCAATGAGGGTGGGGTGGTACGAGGGGTTGCTCAGCCAGCAGCAGGTCTCTGCAGGGGGGTGACCTGAGACAAGCGTGTCCGGTGGGTGGGACAGACCTTCCAGGAGGAGACAGATGCCTTCCTGCCTCTGCCCAGCGAGGCCCGTATGTTTCAGAACCAGGACCAGGCCATCCCCTCCCAGCTCCCAGGCTGACCATCCTCCCTGCCTTGCAGGTGTTCCTTACAGCCACCCACTCGCACGGCTCCCCATTCGACCTGCTGGAGGCCTACATCTGCCCTGTACTGTTCGGATCAGCCTTGGGGGGAGACCACCACGACGCCCATGGGGGCAGCCACGGAGGCCCCACACACTCCACACTGCCCAAGTCCAAGGAGGAGCTGAGTGAGGGTTCCCGGAAAAAGAAGACCAAGAAAGCCGACTAGGCGGGGGGCTTCAGGGGACCTCGATAATTGTGGGAATTGGGGTCCCTTTGCCACTCTTGGAGAGGGGGGCCTCAGACTAAAGGAATGTCAGGACTCTGGTGTCCCCCTAGTTCCTCACCTCCAACCCCCAGAGACCGGCTGGACGGATCTTCCTGCTGCTGCTTGCACCGGTTCCTCCTGCACAGGGGGAGTATCACGCTCTCATCTGCCCCCTGCTCGGCGACCAGCTCTGGGTACCTTGGCCCAGGCTCCTGCACACCTGAGCATTGGGGGCAGCGGTATCTAGGGTCCTGAGGGCTGCGGAAGGCTATAGCCACCCTGGGCTGAAGGACACCCCAAACCAAAGAGATGCAACTGGCCAGCAAGGCCCCAGGACCTGGCTCCATCCTCTCTTAGCTGCACCCGGTCACTCAGCCAATCACCAAACGCACAGACAATGCAGGTGTTGCTGGGTGGGGCCAGGGGTCCTGCCGGCCACCATCTTGTGGCCTGGATCACCAGGATGAGGGCACGGACATGCCTGGCTCAGGTGGGATCTCTCCACGGGTCACTGCACTCTGGGAAATGTCTTCCTGGGGAGCTGGGTGGTCCTGAGGCAGAAAGATGTTCCCAGATCTCTCCTCAGGCAGCTTGGTGAGAGGGTTCTGCAAATAAACCCTGTGTGACACTCACCGTGTGCGTTTGTGTGTGTGAGTGCACAAGTGTGTGTGTATGCGTGTGTAGTTCAGCACATGTGGGGCAGACTTCCCAGACCCTAACTCTGGTATTGGGAAGCCCAGCCAGGCAAGTGAATTTTCCGGTTGGCATGTGTGCAGGTGACATAGTCTGGGGCAGGAGCAGCGCTGAGGTTCCCCCTCACACACACACACACACACACACACGTGTGATCTGACCCTCGGCTGTGTGGAGCTGAGACCTCTTGTGTTCCCAGGTGGCTGGGCCGCAGGGTCCTTCTGACTGTGTCCAGCGCTGGCCTCCAGGGGGCGCTGTTGCACTGGTGGGTCCTCTGCGCAGGCGCAGGGCGCATCTCCCAACCAATTCCCCTGAGTGGGGGTGACTGTGGAGCTGGGTGTCAGGGCCAGGGCTCTGTCCCAATGCCACACTGAACACTCAGTACTTTCCCTGGGACCAGTGGAGGACTTCTGCAGGATCCCCCGAGAACCTCAGGGACTTTCCCAAAGTAGGAAGAACTGCAGGAGCCAGCAGCCACAGCTCTGAGTTCTGTTCCCTGGCTTCCTGTCAGTCTCAGCATTGCCACCCGAGAAACACCTTACCTTGCATCTGCTCTGGCCTGACCACTGCCACTGTGTGCCATCAGAAAGCTTTTCCAGGAGCCAGAGCTAGGATAACAGGGAGGGCACTCACCTTGCATGCGGGCCAGCCTGTGTTCAATCCTCCAGGACCCCATAGGGTTCCCTGAGCCCTGCCAGAAGCAGTTCCTGAGCACCACCATGTCTGGCCCCCAAACAGAGAAGCATCTCCAGTGCTGTGTATGTGGCTGCGAGCAGCGGGACTTGGTGCTGGAGAGAGCACAGCGGGGAGCATGCTTGCCCTGCAGGCAGCCAACCCGGGTTCGATCCTCAGCATCCCAGATGGTTACCTGAGCACTGCCAGGAGTGATACCCAAGTGCAGAGCCAGGAGTAAGACCTAAGCATCACCAGGTGTGACTCAAAAGGCAAAAAAAAAAAAAAAAGAGCAGAGGGACTTGGCAGGGTGCAGGAGGTCATGTTCCTCCTCCGGAAGCCAAGGCCATGCGGGTTCCAAGTCTTTGGGAGAACAGGCAGCTCACCAGGTTCTGCGTCCCACAAGATCCATATAAGATCCAGGGGATCTGTGGAAGATCTTGCCCTTGTTGGTCTCCTCTATGGTCTGGAGGGCAGCCCAGATGCCCCCACCTCACCCCATGAGCCCTCAATGAGGGGCTTCATTGACAGGTACCATTTAGAGGCATTTGGTCAATCTGGGCCCTGGGCAGGATCCAGAGCCCAGGTGTGTCCTCACCCAACTGTGCCCTCACCCAGCTGTGCATAGCAGAACTCACAGCATGAGCCACAGCCCTCAGTGGGTCCATGCAGGAACATGGTCCAAAAGTGCCTCTGTGCCCAGATGCGTCTCTGTCCTTGTGTGACATGGGGCCCTCTCTGACTGACCCACAACAGTTAACTGCCCATCTGGCCCAGTGCCCGGCTAAGCCTCTGAGCACCAAACAATCGCTTTCAGGCCCTGTTGCTGGGAGTCTTGGGTGGGCGGGGAGAAGCTTGTGAGTCCCTAAGACAAAAGGTCTAGAGTTCCCGGGGTTCCCTTGGCCGGCCGATTTCCCAGAAGGTTCTCAGCAGAGGGAGGGGGCCCTGAGCCCAGGACAGCAACAGGCAGTGCCCACCGCCAGGGCCCCTATGGGAGACGCATCTGCAGCAACACAGGGAGTCCGGTGGAGAAGCGGAGGGGGCCGCGGGGGGCCACAGGGAGAAGAGCGGTGAGCAGCTGAGAAGCAACAGAGGTGAGCATCACAGGAATGAAGTCGGGGGCTGGCGAGAGGGACTGGGGGAGGGCACAGGTCTCTCAGGGTGGCGGGGAAATGGGCACCATTGACATCCATGGACCACAAATGGGCAAAGACCCCAAGGTCACAGCCAGATTTCACAGCCCAGTGCACATGATGGTCTTCGACTTGGGATGTTGTCCAGGTACCCCAAGGGGCAAAATTGGGTGCCCTTCAGACACAGTCAGTTCCCAGGACACCCCCAGGAGAGAAGGATCCAGCCCCGTGTCTGTCCTGTATGACTCCGGAAAGGCCAGGCTGGCGGCAGAGAAAGTTTTCAAGGTCAAATCTTCTGACTTTGCTGTGGCCATCAGGGGAAGGTGACCAAGGGACAGGGTCCAGGCACTGGGTGAGCTTTAAGAAGCTGGGGAAGGGGAGGATGGAGCAATAGCACAGTGGGTAAGGTGTTTGCCTTGCATGCAGCCGACCCAGGTTCGATTCCCAGCATCCCATATGGTCCCCTGACAGCACCACCAGGAGTATTTCCTGAGTGCAGAGCCAAGAGTAACCCCTGTGTATCAGCGGGTGTGACCCAAAAAAAAAATTAAAAAAAAAAAGCTGGGGAAGGAAGAAACTCCAGTGGGCAGCTCAGAGGTCAGGAGAGACCAGGACAAGTTTGTGCCTGTGCCCGGCCTCCCTGGAGTGGGGCAGGGAGACCCGCCCTGCTGGTCTCTTTCACAAATCCCACTGGACAGTGCACTTTCTTGCCTGCGTAACTCCATCAGGCAGAGAAGGGTTTCGAGAGATGGGCACTCCCTGGTCTTCTCTGCTTAAAAGTGCTGTGTTCAGAGCCTAAAAGCTGATGGTCAAAGCACCTTCCACATTCAAAAGTGAGCGTAACAGGGGTCAGGGGAGGTGTGGTCCAGAGAGATAGGACATCAGGTAGGCCGCTTGGGTTAGAATATAGCCACCTTGGGTTAGAATCTAGCATCCCATATGGTCCTCCGAGCACTGCCAGGAGTAATTCCTGATCATCTCTGGGTGTGGTCCTAAAACAAAAACAAAAAATATGTCCACCCTTGCCTTCTATAGGGTGTAAGTTCCACCCAGAGGCCTGTAAGCTCCGCCCAAAAGCCTGGAGCTACTTATAGCTCCTGGTCATCCCTGGGCAGAGCTGGTTCTGAGTGGTTCTCTCCCTATTTCACAGACCATGGCGCTGAGATGCAGGCAGCAAGGCCTCCTGTGTGGATCTTGCAGTAACTTGTCCACGGTGCTGGAGGGCCAGGCCGACCCAGTGATGCCCACACAGATACACAGGTATCCACAGGTCTCCTCCACAGTTGTGGGTGGCACAGGTTAGAAGAAAGCCTTACCCTGGCCAAGACCTCCTTACTTTTGTTTTCCTCCACGGCAATGCTCAGGGCTCCTTGGCATTGCCTGGCTGAGGGTGGGGAGGCCTGCCAGCACCCCAGCGCAGTCAGGTGTTTATGGAGGTGAGACCCCCCCCGTTATGGGTGGGTGAGTGAGCTGCATCAGTGCAGGGTGAGAGTATGATGGGGATCGGAAGGGCCTCACACCCCCCGCTTCATCTCTGCAGGCCAGTACTGGGGTTAGCCAGCGGTCACTCACTGGGTCTGACTGTGCGGTTCAGTTTGTCTCAGGGCTGTGTGTGTGTATGTGGTCTGTACATATGTGTATATATGTGTGTACATGTGTGTGCATGTATGTATAAGTGCACATATGTGCATGTGTCTATGTATATGTGCGCTGTGTGCAAGCATGTGTGCGTGTGTGTATATGTGTGTGCCTGTGCATGTGTGCATATGTACATGTATGTGCATGTTTGTGTGTATGTGTGTCGAAGAGAATGTCTCAGTGGGTTTCAGAGTCTGGGAGGGGTCTGTGGATCAGGGAGGGTGGTCCAGGATGCCTACAAGGCACCAGCCCCCTCCCAGTGGGGTGCGCTCTGCTGGCCGCTGGGGACTGAGACCCTCCGTGGGAAGGACCCCCTGAGTCTCAGGTCCATCCCTGCATGCGGCACCTTCTCTCCGTTCCAGTCTCGACTGCCAGCACATATCCCAGGAGTCCATGGAGGCGGGGCCGAGGGCTCAGGGGACACTGTGTGTTTTATTCCCCAGCCCCCCAAGACAGTTGAGCCCAGGCCAGCGTGAGGCGGTGGAAGGCCGTTATGGGCTGTGACCTCTGGCCAGTGCCATAGGGCTGGGCTGGTTTCCCACGGTCCTACTCAGTGGCTCACCTGGCTCAGTTTTCCAGGGGCCCCCGGGAACCCGGTCTCGCAGAGGCTGGTCCCCAGATCCCAGGGCGGAGCCCAGGAAACGCAGTTGCTTCGAGACGCTGGCTGGCCCTGCAGGCGCGGGCGCAGGGAGGAGGCGAGGGCGCTGCTCTCAGACCCAGGGCAGAGGCTAGGCTGCAGGTAGCTGCTGGCAGCGCCCAGGGGGCGCGGATTCCCAGCTGCGACACATGGGCTTCCCTGGCTGCCCCCCGGGAAGCCACTGGCCACTCCCCTGAGTCCAGGGCTGGGCTCTGCCCAGGGCAGCCAACATGAGCCTGGGGCACCTCAGCCCAGGCACCCGCCGGCGGCTCCTACAGGGCCAGGCTGGGCCCCTGCCAGAGCCCCCGGCCAGCAGCGTGTCCATCTTTCTCAGCTCCAACGGCTCGGGTGAGTGGGGCAGGGACAGAGGCCCCAGACACCCTGGGAGGGGGCACTGCGCCCTGGGAGCCAGGGGGGCCTCCCATCCCTGTTTCTTTCCTGGGGTGCTGGGACCTGATCACAAACACTGGAGGGGGCTGCTGAGCTCACTGGTGTGAGGGTCTCCACACCCCACTGCCCCCAACTTGCCCGGGGTCTCCTGAAGCTTGTTGGGATTCAGGTAGGCTCTGAGCTGCAGCCCCTCCCGCCCCACAGGCTTCTTCAGATCCACCCTGAGGGTGGCCTCATGCATAGGGCTAGGTCAGGGCCAGCATGAAGGGACCCCTTGGCCATCTCTGGGGTGGCACCCGGGGGGAAGTAGCTTCTCCTGTGGGGTGGAATGGGAAGAGCAGGAGGGAGAGCCAGAGCTGCCCATGGCCCGGAGCCAGCAGTGTCCACCCCCAGGGCTTTGTCGGGTGTGGTGGACCCTCAGCTGTGGGACCTTGGGCTTGGGGGGACCCTGTTTGTGGGTGGACACTCAGGTGTGGGCGGATGGTCGGTTGTGGGTGGACACTCAGGTCTGGATGGACACTCAGGTCTGGATGGACACTCAGGTGTGAGTGGACACTCAGGTGTGGGCAGACACTCAGGTGTGGGCAGACACTCAGGTCTGGATGGACACTCAGTTGTGAGTGGACACTCAGGTGTGGGCAGACATTAAGGTGTGGGTGGACACTCAGGTGTGGGTGGACACTCAGGTCTGGATGGACACTCAGGTGAGAGTGGACACTCAGGTGTGGGCAGACATTAAGGTGTGGGTGGACACTCAGGTGTGGGCGGACATTAAGGTGTGGGGGGACACAGGTGTGGGCGGTCCCTCCAGCCATTCCCTCCCCAGAGGCTCTGAAGGGCCCCCAGTGCAGACCAGGTCAGCCTGTCCCCCTGATGCTGCAGATGGGATGAACCTCCAGATCCCCCTGCAGACAGCACCCCCACCAGGGGATGGAAAGGCACCTCCCGCCCACCTAGGGCTTGATCTGAATCTGATATGCAAATGGACCTGCTTCCAGAAGTTTCCACACTCCCTGGCACAGTCCTTTGACAGTACCACCTGGGGGTGGGGGGGGTTCATGAGAATGGCTAATCCAGGGTCCCCACACCTACCCTCTATGTCTGGCAGGGCCCTGGAGTCACCTGGAAGGCTGACAAGGGTCCCTCCAGCTGCGGGGGGAGTGTTGGGGGTCCTGCCTGAAGCACTCATTGCAGGTGGGGGTGAGTGTGTTGGGGGTCCCCGCTCACTTTGCCCTGTCCCGCAGACATGGACGCCGAGAGAGAGGCCCTGCACAGTAGCGCCTGCCCTGAGGTGCAGACCTTCTGCCAGAAGCACGGGCTGATGTTTGAGGTAACGCCCGTTGCTGGGTGCTGAGATCCATTACCATCACCAGCCTCGGGCGCACAGGGCGCTGGGATCAAACTCAGGGCACACCCCACCACCCCCAAATTTCTCTTTTTGTTTGCTTTTCAGCCACCCCAGGTAGCACTCAGGGCTTATTTGTGGCTCTGGGCTCTGGGCTCCCTGCTGGTGGGGCTCAGGGCACCATATGGGGTGCCAGGGGTTGAACTCGTGCTGTCTGCGCAAGGCCAGCCCCCTCCCTCTATACTACTTCTCTGGCCCCTCTAAGGGACAGGAACACAGAGGGTCAGGGAATGGGCAGTGGGAGACCAAAGGCAGGGCAAATGCAGGAGGGACGGCTGGCCAGGTGCCTCTCTGCTGACTGCCCACCCTATGGCTTTCGGACAAGCTGAGGGTCTGAGGGTCAGTTGCCCCAGCTAACCACTGTGACCTTGGTCCCCAATAACCTGGTGCTTGTCCCGGGTGGGTGAGGGATGAACAGGGACTTGTTGAACAGGGACTGGGGAGAAGCGTTTGGAGTGGCATTGCATGCAGCCCCCCACCAACACCTTCCCTCACCCTCAACTACCATCCTGTTCAGTCGAGCTCTGCCGGCAGCCACCCTGAGCACCGTACTGGGAGAGCCCTGGGTTCTTTGTTTGCTTCATGTGGGGGATGCACAGGGCACTTCTCGAGTCCACGCAGGGCTGCGGCCCAGCCTGTGGTCCCTACAGCTCAGCTCTCTGTGCATCGCCTCGCCTGGCCCCAGGAGGCCTGACCCATGGGCTTCGGGTTTCACACATGTGCCCTAATCAGGTGCCTGCCCACGCCTAAGGAGCCTCATGCCCAGTCTGGGGGGGTCCCGCCTGGCACCCCAACCAGTTCCTCTCTGCCTCCAGGTGGTGGACTTGCACTGGGGCGTCCGGAGCAGCGAGGCTTCTGCACACATGAGCCCTGAGTTGTGTCTGGAGGAGCTCGAGCGCTGCCAGAGGACATCGCTGGGCCCAGCGTTTGTGGTGAGACTGTGGAGGACAGCGTGGGGCAGCCCATTCCTGTAGCAATAGGTGCCCCGTGGAGAGGGCAGGGGATGGCACAGTAGAGAGAGATGCGTTCAGGGAGATTCCACCTCTCAGCTTGGGAATCCCGCAGCCAGGGAGGAGGGGGACCTACTGGGAATCAGGGGTCCGGGCTGTCATGTACTCGTGTGTTGAGGAGCAGGTGTTGTTCCGTCCAGAGCCCTTCCCTGCACCTGGAGCTGGACCAGTTTTCCCCTATCCCCTCACCACCTGCCCCAGGCGAACTCCTCTGTCCATCACCAGGACAACCCCTAGCTTACAAGATCATTTGGGCAGATGAGGCAAAAGACAGCTAGGAGTTTTGCTTTAGGAAGACCACCCCACTGTATTCCTATTCCAGGTGTGCTCAAGGGTGACATCTGGGGGAACAAACTGCAGAACAAGCACAAACAAATGACAAAACTCTCTGGGGAGACCCAGTCCGCAGGCTGGCATGTGTAAATAAAGCTTTATTGGTAGATAGCCATACCCACTCATTTGCATCACCCACTCATTTGCATATATCACTCCTTTGCATATCGCAGCCCTGTCTCTTCATTTGCTCATGCCCTGACAACGTTAGTAGATTGGACAGAGATGGCCTTGACAGCCCAGCTGCAGTGTAGCTGTCTTGCCCTTTAGACAAAATGTTTCCTGGCCTCTGGAAAAGAGGGTTTATAGCAGAACAAGGACAAAGCTGGAGCGAGAACCACCAATCACGAAGAAACATTGAGCAGCTGGTCCTGAGGGGACCAGCCCTCCAGAAGCTCCTACAGATCAGAGAGAGGGCCAAGACCACCCCCCTCACACCACACACACACACACACACACACACACACACACACACACAGTTTCCAAGAGAGGGCAGTGTTGGGGTTAGAAACACTGCAGCCAGGCACCTTCAATCCAGTGAATTGCAACTGTGGAGCAATAACATGAGGTTCTGATTCCCCTACTGCCTTGTCCAGGTTTAGTGCCCTGTGCTGGGTGCCTCAAAACACTGCCCTCTGTTACAAAGTTCCTTCAGAATTCACACACACACACACACACACACACACACACACACACACACAGCCCCAAGCCTGTGCTGGGTGAGAGGAGCCTTCCCAAGAGAGTTCTGGCTTCCTTCCACCATGTTTGCTGCTGCTCCCCTTCCTTCGTACTTTGCTTTTCTTTGTGTGTTGGCTCCATTCCCTTTTTCTTTCCGTTTTGCAAAGATTTCATTGGCCCACAGCTGTAGGCGAGATTTAGGGGTGAAGCAGAGTCATGTTATCCCGAAATTACACAGTCATGTCACAGAGATACAAGCAAACAGCACCCTAGTTCTGAGGTGCTGCATCCTGGCTGCGGCCCATGTGGCCAGGCCCGGGATATTTAAGCACACCCCACTCACCATGTCCCCCCTCTCCTCCCTGTCCCACCCCACCTTGGTTGGGTGTTTTGTTTATTGGTTTCTTTTTCTCCAGTGAAGTTTTCTCAATCAGTTTTCCAGAGGAAATTGATGAACCTTGGGTTGAGGTGCAAAGAGGGAAAAAAATAATAATACGGGATGTGGGGGGGGGGATAGAGGAGAAAGAGAGTCTCAGGGGATTTGATTTTGCAACCCAAATTGCAGGCAGCGAAAAGAGCAAGGCACTTCCAGGTGGCCTGGGGCCTGGGAAGGTGATGCCCTTCTCCCCGGGCCAGTCCTCCCTGGGACTGAGCATCCTTCTGCCCTGGCTCCAGCCCAGTGCCCACAGCCCGAGCACAGTCGGCTGCACTTGACGCCCACATGTTCCCCCATTGCTGGGCGCAACCAGCTGCTCTGGGGCTCAGAGTTAGGGGCATTCCTTAGAATCCAAGCCACGCAGGGCCCTTGAGAGGCGTCTCTCGTAAATAAGTCATTAGGCGCAGCCTGGAGCTCCCCATGGCGCTCGCGGGGCTGTCTCTGGGGCAGCCGCGGCAGCCCTGAAGAGCAACCCTTGCTCTGCTTCCGTCCAGCGCTGCACGTCCACTCCCAGGCGGAGGGAGCTGTGCCTTTCCCACCCTGCCCAGTGCCCTCGTCTCATTCTCTCTGCCTCTCGCCAGGACATTCTTTTCCTTACGGAGTGACCCTCGTGAAGGACCGGCGGGGTCCCAACATGGGGTTCTCAGTGTCACCTTCTCTCATCCAGGCGCTGCTGGGGAACCAGTATGGGCCCTGCCCGCTGCCCACTCTCATTGAGGAGAAGGAGTGGGAGGTGCTGAGAGCCCAGTTGACCAGCAGGCCCGGCGACCTGGAGCTGGTGTGTCGGCGCTTCCGTAAGGACGAGAACGCAGTGCCGCCAGCCTTCCTGCTGCAGACGCCTGGCGCGTCTGAGGCCCGCAGCCCCGAGGAGCCCAGCGTGGGCTCCGTGCTGCGCACAGCGGCCCAGGACGCCCTCCGGCTGGGCCTCCTGTCCCAGGAGCAGTGCAGCCGCTACCACCGCTCAGGTGAGGCGAGGGGCACCCCACTGAGGCCGCAGCCAGGACTGGGGTCCCCCGTGGTGCGCAAGATCACCTCTCTGTCCTGGGCATCCCTGCCTCTAAGGGAGAGCAGCAAGGGAAGCACGATCTGCCCTGAGCCCCGTCTCCCCCCAACCCCGGCCTCCCCCACCCTGGTCAGGCAGTTTTTGCCCCCGGAGAGAGGACAGTTGTTCTCCCTTCACTTGGACCTTGTGGATACCTGCACTGCTACATCCGAGCTGGTCCCCACCAGCTCTAAGGGCCGAGTGAGGAGGGCCAAGACCCCGGCACTGCAGGTGTTCGTGCGGTGAACACCCCCCAGCGTGTATGTGTGTTGTTCTGCGTGTCAGTGCCAACAGGCTCTGCTTATAGCACTGAAATTTCACAGGCAAGGCAGGTACCTGCTCCCCATGGAGGCTGGACCCACATCACAGGGATCGAGCCAGCTCCAAGGGGCTCGGGACTCACCTCGGCCAGAAGGTAGCCAGCAGGCACCTCCAAACTCCCTCCCAGCATCCTGCTGGGTGTGGAATGACCCCGAGGCCACTGTCCATGCGACAGACCTGCTCTTGTCCACAGTTCAGAGTCTGACTCCCCATCTCCAAGGGCGTGTCTGGCTCCAATGCACTGAGCCGGTGCTCCTGCCAAGCCTAGGGAGGCTTCAAAAATAACTCCCCGGGTCTGACTGCTCTTTCAAAACACTGGTCTCCAAGGAGACGTCAGTGTGGATTCTGGTTCTGGAAAGTACAGATCCTCAGGGCAGCCGCTGCATGCTCTGGGACAGGGCTGGCAAATGCTGGCCAGGGGGCAAAGCCGGCCCGCCACTTGCATTTATAAATAAAGATTTATTGGAACATATGCAAACACAGCGTTTGCTGCCACTTGCTTTTATTTTTTTGCCACAAGGATGGGCTGAGGATTTGTCACAGAGACCCTCAGTGCTACAAAGCCTGGGAGCTGACCTGGACCCAAAAATGTGTTGGTGCATGTTCTTGGTCCCAGGTTCTTCCAAACCCCAGCTCTAGCCCCCAGCATTTGCATTTTTTTTCTGCTGCCTCAGTGCCCTGCCCACCTGCTTCAGAAGCAGTGTGGTCTCTGTCTGTCTGTCTGTCTGTCTGTGTGCATCTGTCCGCTATGATTGGATGCTGGACAATCTGAGTCCACCCCCCCACCCCAGCATCATATAGGGTCCTCCCAGCTCTACCAGGTATGATCCCTGAGCACCACCGAGCATGCCCCCAAACAGGAAAGAGTTTAGGGATCCCCGTGGCAGGTGGGCCGCACACCTCTCATTTCCCACGTTCCCTCCCGCAGTCATGGCATGGGAAATGGAGCGCGGCGTGCTGGGCCCCGCGGGCGAGCAAGGCGCCACCGTTTTCCTGCGGGAGGTCCAGGACCTGCAGCGCCACATCCTGGACGACTGTGCCCTGTGGCTGGTGGACCGGCTGGCGGACGGCTGCCTGGACACAGATGCACAGCGCCTGCTGGGCGACCTCAAGGGCAGGCTGACCGACACGCGCCCCGAGGCCCTCAAGGCCCACCAGCTGCCCTGGAGCCGCGACCTGGTGAACCCGAAGAACAAGGCCCACGGGCGCTACCTGAAGGAGCTGGGGGAGCAGTTTGTGGCCAGGGCCAACCACCAGGTGCTGGAGAGGCTGCGGGAGCAGGAGGCGGCGGCCAGGCCTGAGCCCTCGTGGCTTTTCACCGAGATCCGCCACCACCTGGCCCTGGGCGCCCAGGCCACCCGCGTCTTCTGCGGCCGCCAGGACCTACTGGCGCTGCTGGGCCAGTGGCTGCGGCAGAACCACGACGGCCCGCACCCGCCGCTGCTGCTCTGGGGGCCCCCGGGCGTGGGCAAGACGGCGCTGCTGTGCCGCCTGGCCGAGCAGATGCCCGCGCTGCTGGGCCGGAAGACGGTGACGGTGCTGCGGCTGCTGGGCGCCAGCGGGATGAGCACGGACGCCGGCGGGCTGCTGCGCGGGCTCTGCTGCCAGGTGTGTCTGGCCTACGGGCTCCCGCCGCCGCCCGGCCAGGTGCTGGCGGCCCGCGCGCGCCTCGTGCCCTTCTTCCACACGCTCCTGCACACCGTGTCCAGCCGCCACTTCGAGTCCCTCGTCATCCTGCTGGACTCGCTGGATGACGTGGACGGCGGGCGCTGGGGCCGGCGGGTGCTCTGGCTGCCCACTCAGTGCCCCCCGCGCGTCCACCTCATCCTCTCGGCCTGCTCCGGGCCGCGGGGGGCTCTGGATGCCGCGCGCCGCGCGCTCCCGACGGCTGCCGAGTGGGAGGTGCCGCCGCTGCCCGCGGGCCAGGCGCAGGAGCTGGTGCAGCGGCTGCTGGCGGCTGCTCGGCGCTCACTGAGCCCCGGGCAGCGAGACCTACTGTGGGCCAGCCTGCCCGAATGCGGCCACCCCGGGCGGCTGCAGCTGGCCTTCGAGGAGGCACGCCGGTGGGCCTCGTTCACCGTGCCCGCACCCCTGGCTGCCACAGCCGAGGAGGCCACACACCAGCTGTGTGCGCGCCTGGAACAGACCCATGGACGGCTGCTGGTGGCCAGTGTGCTGGGCTACCTCGCAGCTTCCCGGTGAGTCTCTGGGAGCCGGGAAGTGGGAGCTGTTGGTGGGCCCTCCAGGAGTGCTGGTGGGCGGGCGGTCCCGGGACAGGAAGGGAACAGGAAGCCTTTCTGGAGTCCTGCCGAGTTGCCCAGCTCCTTGTGGTCTCTGTCCTTGTGGTCTTTGTGTGTGACGCTATGGTCAGCATCTCCACTGCACACCCCATCCCAGGACTCTTCCTGAGACCCTCCACCCCTAGACTCAGACCCTATATTATATTAGAGGTTTTGAGTCCCTTTGGTCTGTTCTCTGGAATGTTCTGCTCTCCTGTGCATCTTAGCATCATTTTCAAAGATTCTTGGGGTCTACAATGAGGTCTGAGTCCCCCCCAGGAGGCTGGTCGCAGGGGACCGTGGGAGGGAGTGAAATTGTTTCTCCATCTGTAGTGCCTGATGTATTCACTTTATTATTTATTGTTTGGGTTTGGGGACTCCTGGTGGTGCTCGGGGGACCGTGACGATGATGAACCCCTCCTAGATGCAAAGCATTTTCTCCATTTCTTTGAGCTACTTCTCCATCCCTGAAGCCTTCTTTGGAAGCCCGAAAGTTCATCCCCTCTCCCACTTTCTTGGCTATGGGGTCTTTCTTTTCTCTGGGAACCGGCACGGCCTCCCTTAGCAATCAGTTCCTATCTAATAGGGAAATCCTAGAAACATGGCTTGAAAGCTTTCAGGAGAACCGGTGTGCCAAGGAAAAACTGATCTCTGTGGCCTTCCCAAACCTGGCGACGAGCTTTACAGTTCTGCAGGAGACAGTGGCTGCAGATGCCTGGGTGGGGGCGCAGGGAGGGCCCTGGTGCTCAGGGATGTGGGGGTGTGTGGGCTGAGATCAGAGATAATGAGCCGGGGTGGCTTCCTGCAAAACCTCCCGGGGGAGGGGGCGGCAGAGGCTCATTAGCAAGAACTCCAATTAGCCACCCGTTTCTCCCAGAAAGCAGGGCACCCAGAAATGTGGACAGCGCTGGTCAGACTTCGAATCGTGAGGGGTACAGTTGTTTCTTGCGGGGTGCTTTGCCTTTTGTCCGCAGTCAGGGCGAGGAGCTTCTCTCCGATTTGCCTGATCTAGAACAACTTGGTGTCCCCAGAAAAACAAAGTTTAGGCTAAGGTCATGGGCGGGGCCCATCCATTGGGCGTGGCTTCATGGACAGTGGGCGGGGCTGAGATCGATTGGGCGCGGTTTTGCCTAGGGGCTGTGCCCTCTATGGGCGGGGCCAAGCAGTTGGCCATGTAGGGTCCTGACCAGGGCATGGGCAGGGATAAGGATGAAGCCAAGTAATTGGGCGAGGTCAGATAGTGGGCCAGAGCCACAGGGGGGCCAGTTGCGTTGGGGGAGGTCAGATGGCGGGGTGGAGCCAAGGTCTTGGGGCAGAAGGCACCCCGGGCACCAGGACCTTCTGCCCGCTGCGGCTCGGTTCCTGTTATTCTCAGGACTCGGCAATCTGGTTGGGCAAATACGGAAACTGAGGTAGCGATCTATTCCCCCCTTCCCTTGCCCCAGCCCCCAGCCCGCAGAACAGGATAGGAGTGCCTATGGATCAACCACATAAATCTGTTCTGAGTTGCAAACTGGGAGAAGTGGGTGCTGGGACAAGTGCTCCTCAGGGAGCACTCTAGCTAGCTGATCCACATGGAGCTCAGATAAGGTGTTTAGAACATTAGGGCAGGGACCGGAGCCATAGTCCAACGGGGAGATCCATGGCCCTTGTGTGCAGCGGACATAAGCATCTCATAGTGTTCCCACTGACTACCAGATGTACCCGGAACATCGCTGGGTGTGGCCAACAAACCAAAAAAAAACCCAGCAGCCACACTCTGGCCTTCCGTGGACAGGGCCAGCAGCCCGGAGCATGGTGCTGTCTGGGCCGGGCCCCCCACATCACGGAGTGGGTCCGGTAGGGAGCACCAACCATCGCTCCTCTGCAGGCACGGGCTGTCTGAGGCGGAACTGAAGGACATCTTGTCCCTGGATGATGAGGTGCTGCAGGCCGTGTACCGGGACTGGACACCACCCAGCCGGGAGCTGCTGCGCTTCCCCCCGCTGCTGTGGGTGAGGCTGCGGCGGGACCTGGGCCACTGCCTGGCACAGCGGCCCGTGGATGGCTTCACGCTCCTGGGCATCGCCCAGAGGTAGGGCCTGCTTAGCCATGACACGGGAGGGGGGCAGCGAAGTTTGTTTAAAGAGGGGTGCAGTGGGGCTGGAGTAATAGCACAGTGGGTAGATCGTTTGCCTTGCACACGGCCGACCTGGGATCGATTCCCAGCATCCCATATAGTCCCCTGAGTACTGCCAGGGGTAATTCCTGAGTGCATGAACCAGGAGTAACACCTGTGCATTGCTGCATGTGATCCAAAAAGCAATATATATATATATATATATATATATATATATATAAAGAGGGGTGCAGTGGCCTAAGCACAGCTTGGTGTGGCTGCAAAATCCAAAATAACGGTGGCAAAAGTGAAGGACTGGTGGGGGTTGCACCCCGCAGACAGCCCTGGAAGGCGGGTCCTCCAGTTCGGCCCCTCCACAGGCAGTTGGCTGAGGTGGTCCAAGCACGCTACCTGTCGGGACCCGAGGCCGCCAAGAGGCATGGGGTACTGGCCGACTTCTTCTCGGGAGCGTGGAGTCAGGGCACCAAGAAGCTCATCACGCTGCCGCTGGTGGGGAAGCCCCTCAACCTGGACCGCAAGGTGAGAGGATGTGACCCCACGGCCCAGCGGGGACCGTCCCACACTCAGCACGATGTCCTTCCCGGGGCAGCACGTGCCCTGTCCCTGAGCCTAAGGCATGACTATGATCTGGTTGGCCCAGGCTCTGTGCCCACTGTGTCTGAGCATGCATGCTGCAGGTGCATTCCGTGTGCCTGTGTGCACGGGAGCGTGTGCCCTGTGCTCGCGTCCAGCCACCTGTTCCACTCCACCCCCCGTAGGTGGCCGCGCAACCGCTGTGGTTCTCGGACTCGGTGGCCAACGTGCGGAAGTTGCAGGAGCTGCCGCTGCACCTGCTGCGTGCCGGCCGCGTCCAGGAGCTGAAGCAGGAGGTTCTGGGTGAGGGTCAGCGCACCCCGCCCGAGGCCGAGCCGGGGTCCCAGGGATATTGGGGTGCCACACAGTGGAGGGGGCTGCTCACCCAGAGGACTATGCAGGACGGACACCTCGCAATGACAGGCCATCTGCCCATCACTGGCTCCTCTCTCTGTCCATCCCCCTCCCTTACACAACCCTCCCTCATTGTCTCATTGTCTATCCCAACCACGTGCGTGAGTGCGGTCCCAGGACCCCTGAGTGTCATTTCTCACCATGATTGTAATGCGACCAGGGTCTCTGCTGCCAATCCACCCCCTCAGACAGGACCTGCACCCATGCCCATGATGCTGCATGAGACACAGAAGTACATGGGGGACCCCTGCCTCAGCTGCCGCCCCTTCCCTGCAGGCAGCATGAACTGGATTTCCTGCAGGGGCGTCTCTGGGGGGCTGGAGGCCCTGCTGGATGACTTTGCCTTGTGCGGCCCCCACGTGGACTGCGCTGAGGTGGACCTGGTGCGTGAGGCCCTCCAGCTGTGCCGCCCTGCCGTGGAGCTGCGCGGCTTGGGTGAGCCTAGACGGGTGCCAGAAGGCTGTCCCCAGGAGAGAAGGGTGCTGGGACCCCAGAAGCATCCAGGCCAAAAGGTCATGGTCGTGAGTTCAAGATCAAGGGGCGCCCTGGCCTCTGTCATCACCTTGATTGATAGCCTGTGATTGGACCGTTAGGTGGTGCAGGACCGAGTATGGCCAGCAGAGGGCGCCCTGCCCCCGAGCTCCTTCCAGCTCTCCCCAGAGCAGCAGGATGGGACTGGGAGTGACTCTGGCTGCAGGGGGACACACATGGGTGTGGAGGGGGCAACTAGGGACCCCCGACGACCTCATCTGTTGCAGACAAGTGTCTCCTGTACACGGAGCTCCTGGCCCGGCTGCTCTACTTCTCAGCCAGTCACCCCGCACTGGTGGGGCCACTGTGCCAGCAGGCTCAGAGCTGGTTCCGGCAATGTCCACACCCCGTGCTGGTGCCCCTTGCCGGCTTCCTCCAGCCCCCTGGAGGACCCCTGCTGGCCATTCTCACTGGCTGTCATAAGGGTGAGTACGAGCCTGTGGCAGGACGGCCACAGACAACAGAGCTGGGTGACTGGAGGGGGGGGGAGGCACCCTCTGCCTCAGTTTCCCCACTCTGTGTGTGTGTGTGTGTGTGTGTGTGTGTGCGCGTGTGTGCACAGGCATCAGCGCCATCGCGTGGAGTCTAGAGAAGCAGCTGCTGCTGGTGGGCACCCAGGATGGCACGGTAGCCGTGTGGGACACGGAGGAGTGGCAGACAGTCCACGTCCTAACTGGACACACAGGTGAGGGCCTGAACAGTCCAGATCCCAGAGCCCACCCCACCAGGGCCCCTGCTGGGAGCCTGGCCACTGCCTGTAAGCTCAGAAAGCACCATGGGTCCATCCCCCCACTTCCCTTCCACCCACCTCTGCCCAGTTGAGGACATTTGCATTGTACCTAATGCACATTTATCTGTTTCTGCGCTATGGTGCTCTGCTCTAGAGCACTTCAGAGTAGCAGAAAATTTCCCTCCTGGGGCCAGAACGATAGCACCGCGGGGAGGGTGTTTATCTTGCATGCGGGCAACTCAGGTTCGATCCTTGGCATCCCATATGGTTCCCTGAGCACCCCCAGGAGTGATTCCTGAGTGCAGAGCCAGGAGTAACCCCTGAGCATCACCAGGTGTGACCCCCCCAAAAAAAAGCTAAAAAAAAGAAAAGGGGGCTGGGGGGCTGTCAGAGCCCAGTTCTTGGTCGGTGGGAGTGTGAGATGTGCCAACTCTCATCTCCTCCCATGGCCCCCAGGCGAGGTGAAAGGCTTGGAGGTGCTGGCCCAGGGCACGCTCGTCATCTCCGCATCCAGGGACCACACGCTCCGCCTCTGGGACCTGCAGGCGGGGCAGGAGAAGTTCACCATCTGGGACGGAGGCTCCCAGGAGCCCTCTGAGCCGCAGTCCTGGAGCCTGCATGTGGACGGGCCTGGGAAGGTGCTGTACTCAGTGTCCAGCTACAAGGTACAGCCCGCACTGTCAGCCAAGGCCAGCAGGGCCTGGGCATCAGGGACGGGGTGAAGGACAAGCCCTTGAAAGGGGCACTTGGGGGCTTTAAAACCTAAAAACCAGAGACGGGGAGATGACTCAAGTGCCAGAGCACAAACTGGCATGTGAGGCTGTGAGTCCGCTGCCCAGCACTGCCAAGCCTGGAGGTGGCCCCAAGCCTGCCACCACATCCCTGTGACCCCGCATGGAGACTGAGCACTGAGTTCCCTAGTTCAGTGGCCCAGTGCTGTGGGGAGTGCCTGGGCCCCCTGACAGCTGGGGAGCTCCCCAGTGATCATCTCAGAGATGGGGTGCGGGGCTGAGAGGCCAGGCCTCACGCTGGGCAGTGCCCACACTGAGCAGTGCCCACACTTGAGGCTGGCTGGCCTTTGGCTCTGGAGCCTTTTCAAGGAAAAGGAGAGATAGTGTCCTGCCACGGTTGCATCCACAGAACCATGGCCTCTGGTAGTCCCAGAGCCGTGGCCAGTGGCTGTTTCCACAGTGGCTGAGAATCCTGGAGGGCGAGCTGTGAGCAGGGGCCTTTGCCACCGAGCTGTCAGTTCTTGCTGCTGACTTCCTCTGGGTGTCACAAGAGTCCTCTCAGGGGCCACGCTGTAGCCCGGGGTCCCCATCCAGCCTCTGTCCCAGTCCGGAAGCGGGAATGAGCTCTATCACGTGGCCCCGTGTCCATATCTGTTCCCCTGCTCACGCGCCCCCTCCCTAGGTCAATGCCTGGCACCTGGAGACGGCTGAGCTGGTCTTCCGCATTCTGGGGGATGCTGGGGACCCCTGGATGTGCGCGGCCATCCTGCCCGCCCAGGCCGTGCTGCTGACCGTGTCTGCGGGCTGCATGGTCAGCCTGTGGAGCTCGGTCACTGGGAAGCGGCAGGGCAAGCGGCCAATGACCAGCATCACGGACGAGGTGCCCACATGTGGGGTTCCAGTGCAGAAACGGGGGACAATGGTCGTCGGGTTCAGCCAAGGTGCCCTGTGCCTGGTAGGTCCCAGAGACTCGGCCCTTGATACAGAGCCCCGAGCCCGCATCTGCAAGGCTGTGACCACAGAGTTGTGGCCGGGCTGGAGGGGCACCAGGAATGCGTTTCTCTGGGTCCCCATGGCCCCAAGCAGCAGAGCCCGGGGGTGAAGGCGGGAGTTGTGAGCAGGGTTTAGGAACCAGCCCAAACCTTCCTCCTGGAAGTGGAGAAGGGCCCCGCACCTGGGCGGGTGGTCAGTGAGTCAGAGGGTCACCCCGTGGGGGTGCAGGAAGGGTGGGGATGATCCCACACTCCCCTGGGGCCTCTGCACCAGCCCCAGGGCACAGCCAGAGTGGGTCCACAGGTCCTTCATCCCTCACTCTGCACAGGTCTCCTCTGAGGAGGACAGGCTGCTGGACACGCTCTCAGCAGCAGTGGGGCTCCTGGTGGCTTCTGAGGATGACTCCCTTCTCGCTGCAGGTACTGCGCACCTGGGGGGGGCCAGAGTGGGTTGTGAATGGAGAGTGACATGGTAAAAGGAGAAGTAAGGTTGGGAGCCCGCTGGACACTCAGCATGAGTCATGAGGAAGCACCCAAACACTGATCTGGGAGCAGTTTCTGAGCACTGAATCAAGAGCAGTTCCTGAGAACTGAGCTGGGAACAGTCTCTGAGCACTGATCTAGGAGCACCCATGAGCACTGAGCCGGGAGCAGTCTCCAGCACTGTGCCATACCAGCACCCCAGCCCCGCCTCCACTGGTTCCAGGGTTTGGAAAGTCTGTGCGTGTCTTCCTGGCGGACTCCCAGGGCTTCCACCGGTTCATGGCCAGTGACCTGGAGCACGAGGACACGGTCAGCGCAGCTGCCTTTGGGCTCCAGAACAACCTGCTGGTCACGGGGTCCCAGGACACACTCATTCAGGTGAGGGTCAGCATGGGGTCTCACCTCCCATGAAGAGGTCGGGTCAGGGGAGTCCAGCAGCAGCCAGTCTGGTGGGCAGTCACCAAAGAGTATTCCCAGATGGAGGAGCCGAAGCGGCAGGACAGAGGGGAGGGCACGCGGCTAACCCGGGTTCCATCTCTGGCATCCCATAGGATTCCCTGAGCACTGCCAGGAGTGATTCCTGAGTGCAGAGCCAGGAGTGACCCCTGAGTAATCCTGGGTGTGACCTCCAAAAAACCAAAAGTACAAAAAAAAAAAAAAATAATGGGATGGTGAAGTTTTGATGTCAGGGACGATAGAAGGCAACAGCTCTCCCCAGGCCTGCCCGTGGGCTCAGCGATGCCCCGAGTCCAGCAGCCCTTTCTCATTGTTCAAGAAGGCCGAAGGAGTCTCAGCCCTGTCCTCCTGCTCTGTGTTGACCCCTCTGTGGGATGACCGGAGGACACCTCAAGTTCTTTTGACTTTTTTTCTGCCCCAGCCTGAGGCACCCTGCATGGGTTCCCTGGAACACACTTTGAGAACTGCCCTGGGCTCTAATAGGGACATTTGCAAGTAGGAGGTAGGAGAGTGTTGGGACCCTGGAGACACAGTGAGGAGCCCCCCCCCCTTACTCCAGGTGTTCTCATGGGCCCCGTGTGCTCACCCCCTCTCTCCACTCAGGTGTGGAGCCTGTCCGAGCAGGGTGCTCTGCTGGCGGTACTGGAGGGTGTCGGGGCCCCCGTGAGCCTGCTGGCCGCAGGCGGGACACTGGTGGCCTCCGCGTCACAGCAGTCCTCATCCCTGAAAGTGTGGGACCTCAGCCGCACACAGCAGCAGGGGCCCTGCGTGCCATTCCCGGACAGGACAGGGCTTACGGCCGTGTCCCACAACGGGGCCTTCGTCTATTTCCCCAAAATCGGGGACAGGAACAAGGTGTCCATCTGGGACCTGGCGGAAGGTGTGTGAGCTGGCGGGTGGGAGGGTCGGGAGGAACTCCCAAGGGCGGGCGCAAGGTGGGCGCAAGGTGGGAAGATACAGGACATCGCGGGACACCCGGTCCCGAGCACCACTGGGGAAGCTCATTGAGGCCTCCCTGGGGGCGGGAACGACAGTGCCACCGGGAGGTCCCCCACCCACCCTGCGTCCTCCCCGCCAGGCCAGGAGCAGGACGCCGTGGACACGTCCAACGAGGTGTGCTGCCTGGAAGTGGCAGAGCAGGCGCAGCTGCTGCTGGCGGGGCTGGTGTCGGGCGTGGTGCTGGTGTTCCCGCTGCGCTCACGCCAGGACGTGTTGTGCATCCCCCCGCCCGAGGCCCGGCGCGCCGTGCGCTGCGTGGCCCTGAGCAAGGACGAGCGGCGCCTGGCCGTCGCCTACGACCACACGGTCCTGGTGCTGGACGTGAGTCCGGGCGAGCCCTGCCCGGTCATTGACGGCCCCATCTACACCTTCTACACGCAGCTGCCCGAGACGCTGGCCCGCGCGGCCGTCTTGGCAGACTGCCGCGTGCTCTATGGCATGAGTGACGGCAGCCTGTACGTGTACGAGTGCGCGGGCGCCAGGGTGTCCCAACTCGAGGCGCACGCCGGCCGTGTCACCTGCCTGGAGGTCAGCCACCGGGAGCAGCTGGCGGTCAGCGGGTCGGAGGAGTCGCGGCTGTGTCTGTGGGACCTGCAGGCCTGCAAGTGGAAGCTGGAGCTCAGTTACACGGTGGGTGCCGCCACCTGACTCGTGGCGGGGGCTTGCTTGCTTGGCTGCTTTGGGGGACACACGTGGCTGTGCTCAGAGCAGACTCCCACCCCTGAGCTCAGGGATTGCTCCTTGGGGGTACTCAAAGAAGCCCACGGGATGCTGGAGACAGAGCCAGGCTCGCTGTGTGCATGGGAAGCGCCCTCTCTGCTTGTGCTACGGTCCGGCCCTGTTCCTTTCGGTGGGTGCGGTCCCTCCCCCAAGCCTCTGCGGGGTCAGCAGGCGCATAGGTGGCCTAACCGTGGACGCCAGATCCTCGGGCACGGGGCTGTGGGGGCTGTGATCCCGGGAGGGCTCCCCCGGCTGAGGGGCCTGCGCTTCTCCCCTCAGAGCTCCTTCTGCAGGGGCGTGCAGTGCGCCTGCTTCTCCCGGGATGACAAGCACGTGTTCGCCGGCCTCAAGGACCGCTCGGTGATCGTCTGGAGCGTGCAGGACGGTGAGTCCATGCTGTGGGGTAGGGCTGAGGCAGACGTGTGGGTCCCAGATGGGGTTCCCATTCCCCGTGTCCTGTCCTTGAGTCCTTCATCGTATCTGCTGTCAACTTCCACCTGACACGGGGTCCCATCAGGGTCACTGAGGGAGCCCAGGGGAGGTGTCTACATGGACCAAGGGGAAAGCTCAGGGTAGAGGCTCCCAGGCTGAGATCAGGGAGTCAAGGACACTCAGTATCTGCGCCTGCCCTCCACTGAATACATAGTTTCCCCCAGGACAGTGTAATCTAGCAGAATTGCATCTGCAATGATCAAATATGTCACAATTGCAGGCAGAGTCATTGCTCACATTATAACTGGACACATAGTGATAAATGTGCCAAACTGCTACACTCATGACCCAAGGCACACTTGACCTTGGGCATGGCTACATTGTAGTCAGATTCAGAGACACCTTCTGAAACTTTCTACAAGGCTCTGGCTACTGAAGGCCTGAAAACAGGCATGCAAGTAAACGATCAAAAAAATTATCTCAAGGGCTGCAGAGAGTACAGAGGGTTGGGTGTTTGCCTTGCACCCAGTGTTTGATCCCATATGGTCCCATATGGTCCTCTGAGTCTACCAGGAGTGATCCCTGAGCTCAGAGCTTATGGTAAACCCTGGGGACCGCCAGATGTGGACCCCAAACAAAAAGTAAATTTATTTGAAAACAATTCTCAGCTGCGGGGCTGGAGCAATAGCACAGCGGGTAGGGCGTTTGCCTTGCACATGGCTGACCTGGGTTCGATTCCCAGCATCCCATATGGTCCCCTGAGCACTGCCAGGAGTAATTCCTGAGTGCAGAGCCAGGAGTAACCCCTGTGCATGGCTGCGTGTGACCCAAAGAGCAAAAAAAAAAAAGCAATTCTCAGCTGCATATATAAATATATAATTCTGACATTTCTGATTTGCATATGCTTATTTATTTGTACATGATGAATTAAATCTAGGGTCAGAATGATAGGACAGCGGGTATGGCATTTGCCTTGCACATGGCCAACCTGGGTTCAATTTCTGGCATCCTACATGGTAACCGAGCACTGCCAGAATTAATTCCTGAGTACAGAGCCAGGAGTAAACCCTGAGCATTTCCAGATATGACCCCCTAAAAGCCAAAAAACAAAAAAGAATTAAATCTGGGGCTGAAGCAATAGTACAGCACGTAGGGTACTGGCCTTGCATGCAAGTGACCTGGGTTTGATTGTCAGCATCCCAAATGGTTCCCCATGCACTGCCAGGAATGATCCTTGAGCACAGAGCCAGGAGGGAGCCCTGAGCCCAGAGCCAGGAGTGGTCCCTGAGCACAGAGCCGGGAGCGAGCCTCGAGCACAGAGCCAGGAGTGATTCCTGAGCACAGAACCAGGAGCGAGCCCCGAGCACAGAGCTGGGAACGAGTCCTGAGCACAGAGCCAGGAGCAAGCCCTGTGCACAGACTCTGGAGTGGTCCCTGAGCACAGAGCCAGGAGTGAGCCCCAAGCACAGAGCCAGGAGTGAGCCCTGAGCACAGAACCAGGAGCGAGCCCCAAGCACAGAGCTGGGAACGAGTCCTGAGCACAGAGCCAGGAGTGAGCCCCAAGCACAGAGCCAGGAGTGAGCCCTGAGCACAGAACCAGGAGCGAGCCCCAAGCACAGAGCTGGGAACGAGTCCTGAGCACAGAGCCAGGAGCAAGCCCTGTGCACAGACTCTGGAGTGGTCCCTGAGCACAGAGCCAGGAGTGAGCCCCAAGCACAGAGCCAGGAGTGAGCCCTGAGCACAGAACCAGGAGCGAGCCCCGAGCACAGAGCTGGGAACGAGTCCTGAGCACAGAGCAAGGAGCAAGCCCTGAGCACAGACTGTAGCGGTCCCTGAGCACAGAGCCAGGAGTGAGCCCCAAGCACAGGGCCGGGAGCGAGCCCCGAGCAAGCCCCGAGCAGAGAGCCGGGAGCAAGCCTCTACTTCCTGCCTCCTGCACTAAGGTGGCACCCTCCGGGCCCGCTCTGAGCAGCGCCCTGTTCTGGGCTGGGGTCCGGGCCTGCTGTGTCCTCACCGAGCCCTACTGCCCTGTAGGCACCCTGCTGGCCGTGCAGTTCGTCCATGCGGTGGTGAACCGCATTATCCCCACTTCCAACGGCTTTGTGGCACCCACCCGCCACGGCCACCTCATCCGCCAGCGCTTCCAGTGCCCTGCGGCCCGTGTCTCGCAGCAGGACCCGCTCAAGAACTTCAAGAAGGCCGTGTGGATGGTCAAGTGCAGGCAGCGGGAGGAGCTGGCCGCCGGCGAGGAGGCCCCACAGGACGCGGAGGGCCTCCGGGAGGATGAAGCCAAGTGCCACCGCCGCTCACAGGTGTGCCTGCTGCTGTGAGGGCCACTCGCTCCCGAGAAGTGGCCTTCGAGGGTTCCGGCAGGCCAGGGGGGTCCTGTAGCCCGGCACCCTTGCACCCTGGCCCAGCTCCCCAGGACTGCTCGGAGGGCATGGCAAAGCCTCTAGAAATCACTGGACTGTCGCGCTCGTGCGTGGAGGGCTGCAGACAGCCCTGGGGGCCATGGAGAAACCCGTTTCGGTGGCTGCCATGTGGCTTCCGTGGAGCCGGGTGGAGCCGGGCCAGGGCGAACGCCCCCACTTGCGGCTCTGTAGCAAACGCTGACCATGTAGGAAGGACTCTGCGCCAATAAAGGCTTCTCTGCACGTGTCGCCTCCGCGTGGGAAAGGGCCAAGGGCAGCGCCTGTGCACAAAGCTCTGTGTTGGCAGCTGGGGCGGCCCCAGCAGCAGGGCTGGGGGATGGGGAGGCCCCAGTCACCCCGCTGCTCACTGTCAGGTCTCAGGCAGGGCCGAGATGACACAGCCGCTTGGCCCTCGTGTCAGGGGCCCAGGGACAGGCCAAGGGCTGCCAGGGGGTCTGAGGAGAGGGGGTGGGGCTCCTGGGACAGAGATGACATGTGTCAGGAAACGGGTCTTGGGTCTTGGCCCCCCTGGACGCTGCAACCACACGCCCCTCAATACTGAGGAGTGCCAGGAGTGCCAGGGCTGGCAGCTGCCATCTTGATGCCCCATAAGCTTCAGCGAGGGGCACCGTGGTGCACGTGAAGAAACCCCGCATCACCTTGGTCACTCCTGCGCCCAGGGCGGGTCTGGCTGCGCTGTGATCCCTTCCCGGGGCTTGTGGCTCTTTCCAGCCACTGCGCTGCCTCCCGAGGCCGCTTCAGGTCCCTCCCCTCCCGTCTACATGGCCTGCGGGGCTGGATCGGGTCTGGAAGCAGGCGCAGAGCTGGCAGGGCTCCAGGGATGCCTCAGGGACTTGGGGACCCTCCCCCTGATGCCACGCACTTCCCAGGCCCCTGGGAGACAAGGCAGGGAGACAAGACAGGGCCGAGAGCGAGGAAAGGGGGAAATGGTCTGCCGTGGGGTGGAGAGCCGGGAGCACGGGAGCCGGGAGTAGGAGCAGGGGCCCCTGGGTGGTGCTCCCAGGCTGCCGAGGGTCTCTCCCGACTGCTGCCTCATGAGCTTCGCCCCATAGGAGCTGCTGTTCCTGCAGAAACGCCTCTGAACCGGCCCAGCCCTGTCGGGGCAGCGTGCCAGAGCTGCCTCTCACTCCTCCTCCTACCCCTCCTGCCCCTCCGCCTCCTGAGCACAGGAGGCTGCCTGCCCTGCCCCCTGCTCGGCTCCATCCCAGCCTCCCACCCAACCGCCCAGAGTCCCCACGGTGACCCTGCCAGCGCCAAGTCCTCTCCCCGTCTCTCCCTCTCTCCCTTCCTCTCTCTCCCTTCCCCCACTCTCCCTCTTTCCCTCTCTCTCTCCCTGTCTCCTTCTCTCCTCTCTCCCTCCCTCTCTCTCCCTCTCTCTCCCTTTCTCTTTCCCTCTTTTCCTCTCTCTCTCCCTCTCTTTTCCTCTCTCCCTTTCTCCCTCTCTCTCCCTTTTCCCCCTTTCTCCCTCTCTCTGTCTCCCTCTCTCTCCTCTCTCTCCCTCTCTCTCCCTTTCTCTTCCTCTTCCCTCTCTCTCCCTGTCTCCCTCTCTCTCTTTCTCTTTCCCTCTCTCTCCCTGTCTCTCTCTCTCTCTCTCTGCCAGTTACAGCAGGAGATGCTCTGGGGACACCTCCATCTCAGTCAGTGCTTGGGGATCATTCCATCAGTGCTGGGAGAAACCAGGACTCTGGTTTGCAAAATATATTCTCCAGTCCTTTGAACGAAAATCAACAAAAATTCAGCAGGGACAGAGAAATGGCACAGGAATTAAGGCACTTGCTTTGATACAGCGTACCAGGATCGATCCCTGACATCATATGTGGTCAACAATCACCATGCACAGAGCCAGGAGTAGCCTCTGAGCACTGTCGGGTATAGTCCAACCCCCACAATCCTTCTGTAGGGGATGAGTCTCAAGCAGTGCCCAGGGAACACAGGTGATGGAAGGGGCAGATTCTGAGGCCCTCAGTGCCAAGTGCTGTGTTTCAGGCGGCTGGGCCAGTCACACCCACGGGCCTCGGGGCTGCTCCTGGCCCTGTGTTCAGAGGAAGCCCCGCTATTGCTCTGGGACCATACCTGGTGCTGGTATTGACCAGGGCCAGGTAGCCTGCAAGGCAAACACCTTGCTGAGTGGACTCTCTCCAGCCCAACCTTACACCAGGTATCGGGCCTTGGAAGTGTAGGAGGAACTCAAAGAGTAAGTCAGCAAAAACTTCACCTTGCTTGGGGGCCGGAGAGATAGTACAGTGGGTAGGGCGTTCATTTTACATGGGTTCGAGCCCTGGCATTCCACAGCGTACCCTGAGCATTGCCAGGAGTAATTCCTGAGTGCAGAGCTAGGAGTAAACCCTGAGCACCACTGAATATGACTCCCAAAAAACAAACAAAATTTCACCTCTCATTGGTCCTTGTATCCTGAGTGCCTATACTCCCTGTCTCCTTACACCCTCAAAGCGGGGTCCAAACACTATTTTTTATTTACTTTGGTTTTGGGGTCACACCTGGTGATGCATAGGGGTTACTCCTGGCTCTGCACTCAGGAATTACTCCTGGTGGGGCCATATGGGATGCTGGGAATCAAACCTGGGTTGGCCATGTGCAAGGCAAATGCCCTCCCTGCTGTGCTGTCGCTCCAGCCCCTCAGGGATCACCCTCGGTAGGACTGGGGGACCCTGTGGAATGCCAAGATGGAACTGGTTTGGTCTCATTTAAGACAAATACCTTCCCCACTATATATTTTTTGTTTGTTTGTTTGCCTTTTGAGTCACACACCTGGCAATGCTCAGGGGTTGCTCCCAGTTCTGCACTCAAGAATCACTCCTGGCAAGCTCAGGGGACCACATGGGATGTTGCGGATTGAACTGGGTCAGCTGCATGCAAGGCAAACACCCTCCCGACTGTACTATCGCTCCAGCCCACTCTGCTGTACTCTTGCTCTGGTCCCCAAACACTTTTTAGCAATTGGATCCAGCTCTGCAGATCTGAGATCAGCCCTACCACCTTGGTGGGCAGTTGAGCAGGACAGGTGACTCAGCAGCCATGCCTGCGGACAACCAGCTTGCCCTGTACAGGCCCTCAAAAGAGGGTTCCACCACATGTTCACAAGTCATAAAATATTTTTTCTTGCTGGTATTATTTTACAACTTAAAAAAGAAAAAATAAGGTGGGGGTGTGTGTGCTAGAGAGATAGTACAGTGGCTAAGGTGCTTGCCTCGCCACAAGGCTGACCTTTGTTCAATTTCCTCTGGGCACTGGCAGGAATAATTACTGAGTGTAGAGCCAGTGTTAACTCCTGAGCATCGTTGGGTGTAGCTCAAAAAAAAAAAAAGAGAAAAAGAAAAAAGGAGGAAGAGTAAGTCAGGTGGGGAGTTGGCTCAGAGGGCTGGACTGGACGGTGTGTCCAAAGGCAGTAAGTTCTAGTCCCAGCTGAGCGCGCTCCTGCCCCAGGACTATGTCCCAGTACCACGAGGGGTGGTCCTGGTTGTCCCTCCAACCATTCCCAGCATGACCAAGAGGAGAGTTATAGACTGGGGCCTTCTAATTAAAAAACGGGGTTGGAGCGATAGTCTAGCGCGGAGGGCGTTTGCCTTGCACGCGGCTGCCCCGGGCTCGGTCCGCGGCATCCCATACGGTCCCCGGAGCACCTCCAGGAGTAATTCCTGCATTCAGAGCCAGGAGGAACCCCTGAGCATCGCCCGGTGTGGCCCCAAAAAGCAAACACCGGTGCCTGTGCCTGTGTCTAAGACCGTCAGTCTCAGCACCTGGGCTGTCAGTCTCGGAGAGCCCCGCCCCGGGGCGGGGCCGCACATGCGCAGCGGCGCCCGGGCGGGGGCGGGGCGCGGCTCCGGCTCCAACATGGCGCAGGCTGGCGGCGGCGCCGGGGGCCGCGGGCTCGGCGGGACCCGCTGGGGGCGCCCGGGCTCCGCCGCCCACGAGAAGCTGCCGGTGCACGTGAGTGGCTGCCCTGCCCTGCCGGGGCCCGCGGCCCGGCCCGCGCCGCCGCCCCGCGCCCCGCGCCCCGCAGGCCGCGCCCGGTGCCCAGCCTCCTGCCCCGCGCCCGGCCCCTGCCCACCCGGACCCCCGCGTCCCCCGCACCCGTCCGCACTGCCGGCCACCCCCTCCAGCCCTGCTGGCGCTCCGAGTCAAGGACCCCTCCCCGGCGGTTGCCAGTCCCCTCGTCTTCCCCGTCGGGCCCCGGGCCCCCCTCCCCCTTCACCACCGGAGACCCTTTAACCTCATTCCCCTTCCTCCCAGGGACCTCTGGTCCCCATCTCTCTCCTCGCCTGGGATCAGACCTCTGGCCCCTCACCTTTGCCCCTTAGAGGTCCAGCTTGACCGTCTGTCCCTCAAGGGCCCCTCAGTCCCCTCCAGACCCCCGCCCACTGGGACCCTCCCCTGCCCCCAGGTGGAGGATGCGCTCACGTACCTAGACCAGGTGAAGATTCGCTTTGGCAGTGACCCGGCCACCTACAATGGCTTCCTGGAGATCATGAAGGAGTTCAAGAGCCAGAGGTACAGTGGGTCGCACCGCTGCTCATTCGTGGCGACTCAGGGACGCTGAGTTCCTTCCAGACCGAGTGGTGTGTGTGTGTGTGTGTGTGTGTGTGTGTGTGTGTGTGTGTGTGTGTATTGGAGGCATTCAGGAGAAAGGCAGGGGTGGAGGGGAGCACCCAGGACCCCCAAAGGCAGAGCTCCCTTGACTCAGTGCTGAGGTCTCAGTGAGTCTAGTGATACTTAAAGTCAACTCTGCTTTGCCTAAGCCCTGTCACCTCTCTTGGTGACTACTGGGGACTACTGTGGCCCTTTGCTCCTCAAATCTTGCCGCCACAGTGGGTGATTCACCCTAGTACAGGCATGTTTGGAAGAAGTGCACGTGAAATGCTCAGTAAGGGACCAGCAGAAGCATGGGGCATGTGTGTGATGCACACATACGCTCTCCCATAAATGCACATGTATGTGCATGTACTCACACGCATGTATACACAGATGCTCCTAACCACACACACACTTAAGCACACAGACACGTATGCCTGTTTATGCCCACGCATCCTCACCCATGCATATGCACACGTGCTGGCATCCATATGCTCATAAACACCTCCACACACGTATGCTCACAGTATACAGGCTCACGCAATCCGCTGTGCCCTGGAGGGGGTCAGGAGCAGACCTTGCTCTGCACTACCCCCACCACACACTGACCGTTGGGCACCCTCTGTTTCAGCATCGACACTCCTGGAGTCATCCGCCGGGTGTCCCAGCTCTTCCACGAGCATCCGGATCTTATCGTGGGGTTCAACGCTTTCCTCCCCCTGGGCTACAGAATCGACATTCCGAAGAACGGGAAGTTGAATATCCAGTCACCTCTGGCAGCCCAGGTTCGCTACAGAACTGTGGGAACACGAGTGCCCGTTGTGGGGGGTGGGTTTGGGGGACAGTGGACCTGGTGTGGGGCTGGTCTGGGAGCCGGACAGGGCAAGGACAGGCTAGCCTGGGCGGAGCTTACGTGAGGGGTGGGGCTGTGGGCGGGGCAACGACAGGTTAGTCTGGGCGGGGCTTATGTGAGGGTGGAGGTACTGGGCAGGGCTTATTTATGGGGGCAGTGGGCGGGGCTGGCCTAGGGCGGAGCTTACCTAAGTGGGGTGGCAGAGACAGAGGCTGCTGTCGGGGGCTGGGCAGCGAACAGAGAGGAACTGATGCAGGGGACACCTCTCTTGGCCACAGGAGGGAGCCCACCACCATGGGGACATGGCCGAGGGCCTCCGGCAGCAGGTACCCTGCAAGGAGGACAAGGCGCAGGCGCCACTGGAGGCCGACTCGGTGGAATTCAACAACGCCATCAGCTATGTGAATAAGATCAAGACCCGCTTCCTCGACCACCCGGAGATCTACAGGTCATTCCTGGAAATCCTGCATACCTACCAGGTGGGGCGGAAGTGCCAAAACCCTGGCAGGGGTTGGGGCCCAGGTTCTGGGGGTCACAGGTAACCTGTGCCAGCCCAGGTCAGGAGGTCATGTGTTTGCATGTGTGTGTGCATGTGCTTGTGTCCTGTATGTGGAATGTGGTGTGGTCTGAGTGTGTGCGGTGTGTGGTATGTATATGTCTGTGTGTCTGTTTAGGGGTGCAGGCTGGAGAGATGGTGCCTGGCCCTGGTGTCTCATCACCTAGGCTCTGATTTCGGGGTTTCCACCTCAGGCTGCTGTGAAGACTGGCGGGGTCTGTTCTGTTGGCAGGTGTTGGAGTCTGGCGTTGTTTACCCCAGGCCATGCAGTCAGGCTCCCGTGGGTCCCATAGTGGGCTGGCAGTGGGACATCTGTGTCTGGGTCTCGTGGCGAACAAGCTCCTGGCACTTCTGACCTCTGAGCCTGGCCATGCCCGGGACCCAGAACTGTACGGGTGTGTGGGGTCTGTGCACTGACAATTCTTCATGCGCCACAGAAGGAGCAGCTGAGCGCACGGGGCCGGCCACTGCGAGGCATGTCAGAGGAGGAGGTGTTCACCGAGGTGGCCAGCCTCTTCCGTGGTCAGGAGGACCTGCTGTCTGAGTTCGGACAGTTCCTGCCAGAAGCCAAGCGCTCCCTGGTGAGCCCCCGCTGCCCCAGAGGGAACCTGGGTCCCTCCGGCGTCCCTGGTGCTGACCGGCCCGTGCCCTCAGTTCACAGGGAATGGGCCGTGTGAGGTGAGCAGCATGCCCAAGGGCGAGCACGACAGGGGCCTGGAGCACAGCAAGAAGCGCTCACGGCCCTCGCTGCTGCGGCCCGTGTCAGCGCCCGCCAAGGTGAGCCAGGATGGGCCCTCCCCCGGAGCAGTGCTCCTCCCAGCGTCCCCACCACCCAGGCTCACCGGCGGGTGCTCCCCAAAATAAGCTGTGGGCGGAGCCCTTCCCCACCTGCCGGCTACTGACTCTCTTCCCGCCCGTTGGCCAAAGCCTGAACCCCAGACGGGTTCCGCGTGCAGCCCGCAACCTGTGCGAGACCCCTGGGTGGGACCCCGTTCCACAGCTCAGAGTGGCGCTGACCAGGGGGCGTGCCCACGTGGACTTTCTCCCCATAGAAGAAGATGAAGCTCCGCGGCACCCGGGACCTGTCGGTGGCAGCTGTGGGCAAGTACGGCACACTGCAGGAGTTCTCCTTTTTCGACAAGGTGGGGCTGGTGGCAGCGCGGGGGTGGGGGTGGGGGGTGGGGGGGGAGTCCGGCCTTCTAGGAAGGTGAGGGTGGGTGGGGCCAGGAAGGCGGCATCTGGGAGTGGCAGCGTCATGGGGCGGGGCTTGGTGGGCTGGGCAGTGCCCTGACCTGCCCCTCTGGCCCCAGGTGCGCAGGGTGCTGAAGAGCCAGGAAGTCTACGAGAACTTCCTGCGCTGCATCGCGCTCTTCAACCAGGAGCTGGTGTCCGGCTCTGAGCTCCTGCAGCTCGTCAGCCCATTCCTTGGGTGAGTGACCCTCCCAGCTGCCCCATGTGGCCTGGGCGCCCATTTCCTTTAGAGCCGTTCTGTCTTGGAGCCCCCTTGCACCCCTGCTGTGCGACTTCGAGCCCCATCACTTTTGCTGCAGACAGGCGAGCCAGCACCCCTGGCTCCCACCCTCTGTGTACTCAGAATTCAGGCAGCTCCTCAGCACCCGGGGTTTTCTGCACACCTTTCTCCATCTCCTCCCGAAGGAAATTTCCAGAACTCTTTGCACAATTCAAGTCCTTCCTGGGGGTGAAGGAGCTGTCGTTCGCCCCGGCCTTGAGCGACAGGTCTGGGGACACCATGAGCCGGGAGGTGGACTACTCGTCCTGTAAGCGCATCGGCTCCAGCTACCGGGCACTACCGAAAACCTACCAGCAGCCGCGCTGCAGCGGGAGGACGGCCATCTGCAAGGAGGTAGCCTGAGGTCCCTGTGGCTAGTGGCTGCAGGCAGAAGGTTCCAGAAATGATGGCGCTGTTTCTGGCAGGTGCTGAACGACACTTGGGTGTCCTTCCCCTCCTGGTCGGAGGACTCAACCTTCGTCAGCTCCAAGAAGACGCCGTACGAGGAGCAGCTGCATCGCTGTGAGGACGAACGCTTCGAGGTGGGGGGTCCCAGCACTGCAAGGGAGCCCCCCGATATCCCTCCCCCGGGCAGTTTCCCAATGTCCACAATTCTAGCTTTTTCCAGCCTGGGCACTGTAGGGAGTAACCTTTTTTTTTTTGCTTTTTGGATCTGCAGTCAGGAATTATCCCTGGTGCTCAGGGGACCATATGGGCATGCTGGGAATCGAACCCGGGTTGGCTGCGTGCAAGGCAAATGTTCTACCTGCTATGCTATTGCTCCAGCCCGCAGGAGTAACCCTTTTCTGCCGGGCCTGTTAGCAACAGATGTTGGGTTTTGCTCTTACTGGAAATACCCAAGTACTTAAATTTAGCCAGCTAGCTCCATTAAAATCAGGTTTGCTCGAGTCAGTTATTGCTTTTGGTTTTGTCCTGAGCCCCCCGGCGCCCCCTTCTCTCTATAGTTAGACGTTGTCCTGGAAACTAACCTGGCCACCATCCGGGTGCTGGAGAGCGTACAGAAGAAGCTGGCACGCATGGCGCCCGAGGACCAGGAGAAGTTCCGGCTGGACGACTGTCTGGGTGGAACTTCAGAGGTGATTCAGCGCCGCGCGGTGCACCGCATCTACGGAGACAAGGCCCCGGAGATCATCGAGAGCCTGAAGAAGAGCCCCCTCACCGCCGTGCCTGTCGTGCTGAAAAGGTGCCCTGCCATCCTGGACCGGGGCTCAGGGGCCTGTCCCCTCTACCTCTGTCCATGCCCTTCTGCCCTGCATGGGGTCAAATACAGCCCCCAAAGGCCTGGAGGGTGCCTCGCCTGGGCACCCACTGCCCCCTGTATCTGGCGAGGAACCAGGGCAGGGGGCGTGGGCCGGTCAGGGGTCTGCCCTGGCTGATGGGCTTGTTGAGGGGCAGTGAGGTGGGGAGTGATGGGATCAGTCCGGCTCCTCTCCCACCCCACAGGCTGAAGGCCAAGGAGGAGGAGTGGCGGGAGGCCCAGCAGGGCTTCAACAAGATCTGGCGTGAGCAGTACGAGAAGGCCTACCTCAAGTCCCTGGACCACCAGGCCGTGAACTTCAAGCAGAACGACACCAAGGCACTGCGCTCCAAGAGTCTGCTCAACGAGATAGAGAGCGTGTATGACGAGGTGGGACACAGCTCCAGGCCCCCCCCCTCCCCCAGACTGCGCATTGACAGCCCTGAAGGTTCCCGCAGTGCGCGGCCCCACAACCCAGACCACACCCCTGACACCTCAGGCCCCGCCCTTGATGCCCCAGGCCCCGCCCTGACATGGCTAGGCCACGCCCCTGATGCGCCACCCTCCCATATCTGACACTCCAGCCCCACCCACATGGGCCTAGCCCTTGACACTCAGGACCTGTCCCCCCCAGTCCAGGCCTGGTTCCTGATACTCCAGACCCTGCCCCTGACCGAGGAGCCTGTGCTGACCCCATCCCTGTCGTGACCCCTTCCCTGCCCTCCCAGCACCAGGAGCAGCACTCGGAGGGTCGAGGGGCCCCCTCCAGCGAGCCGCACCTCATCTTCGTTTACGAGGACCGGCAGATCCTGGAGGACGCAGCCGCGCTGGTCAGCTACTATGTGAAGCGGCAGCCGGCCATCCAGCGCGAGGACCAGGCCACCATCCAGCAGCTGCTGCACCACTTCCTGCCCGGCCTCTTCTTCCCGCAGCAGCTGGACCTGCGCTCCGGCGACCTGGGCGATGAGGTGCGGGCCAGCCCCCCGCCGCTGGACACTGAGCACCCCACTGCCGTCTCTGAGCGCAAGAAGCCCACACCCCCTCCGGAGCCTCCGCTGCCTCCTCCTCCAGGCAGCCCCCTGCCGTCCGACAAGGTGGCAGCGGGCGAGGCCCCGGCCGATGAGCCCCCGCCCCCGCCCCCACCGCCACCACCACCCCTGCCCCCTAAGCCGCTGGACGACGTGTACAGCCTGTTCTTCGCCAACAACAACTGGTACTTCTTCCTGCGGCTGCACCAGACACTGTGCTCACGGCTGCTGAAGATCTACCGGCAGGCACAGCGGCAACTGCTGGAGCACCGCGCCGAGCAGGAGCGCCAGAGCCTGCTGGGCCAGGGCCGGCGTGAGCGCGGCAGTGACCCGGCCACCGAACTGCGGCTGAAGCAGCGTAGTGAGTGTGGGTGGGCACACCCAGCCCTGCCGTCACAGCCCTCTGTCCGCGGCGGGTGGATCCCTGGGCGGGCAGGCGGGGCTGGGGGCCTGGGCCCACGTGCCTGCCCCGTCCTCCCAGGTGAGGTGGAGCTGGAAGAGTACTACCCGGCCTTCCTGGACATGGTGCGCAGCCTGCTGGATGGCAGTGTGGACCCCACGCAGTACGAGGACGCACTACGGGAGATGTTCACGATTCACGCCTACGTGGGCTTCACCATGGACAAGCTCGTGCAGAGCATCGCCCGCCAGGTGAGGGCTGGGTACACGGACACTCTGGTCCCCAGAGCCTGCATGTTGGGAGGAGGGTGGGGGAGCTCCACTGTCCCTCCCCACAGCTGTGCTGGCTGTGTCCTGACCATCTAAGAAATAAGGTGGTTTTTTGTTGTCATTCTGGTGTTGGGGCCACACCCAGCGATGCTCAGGGGTTACTCCTGACTGTGCTCAGGGGACCATATAGGATCCCGGGAATTAAATCTAGATCAGCTGTGTATAAGACAACGGCCCCTAAAATGTTTTTTAAAGATCTAGAGTATACGAAACCCTCACACTGGGTCTGTCTCCCTGGGTGCGATGGTGGTCTCAGGGAGGTTGGCCTGTTTGGGGGTACCTTGCTATGTGCCGAACCGCGCCACAGATGCGTGTCTGACGCTCAGATTCCTGAACCTCCAGGTCTGAGCTGTCCTACTGGGCCCCCCAGCCTTTTTTTTTTTTTTTTTTTGCTTTTTGGGTCACACTCAGGGATGCACAGGGGTTACTCCTGGCTCTGCACTCAGGAATTACTCCTGGCGGTGCTCAGGGGACCCTATGGGATGCTGGGAATCGAACCCGGATCGGCCGCGTGCAAGGCAAATGCCCTACCCGCTGTGCTATCTCCCCAGCCCCCATTTTTTGGTTTTGGTTTTTTATTTTTGCTTTTTTGGGTCACACCCGGCGTTGCACATGGGTTACTCCTGGTTCTGCACTCGGGAATTACTTCTGGCGGTGCTCAGGGGACCATATGGGATGCTGGGAATCGAACCCGGGTTGGTCGCGTGCAAGACAAACACCCTACCCGCTGTGCTATCGCTCCAGCTCCGGTCCCCGCTTTCTTGCTGGGTGCTGTGCACCAGACGTGCAGACGAGGCCCTGTGTGCTGGCCCGCCTGCGTGCACGGTTTCTGTGTTCGCCGTGCCATCTGCCCCTTCCCACTCTGCTCCGTGCCGTTCCCTGACTTCTGCCTTGTCCTGCGGCTAGGGTGGGTCGGCTCTGGGGGGCTGTGGGGTGTGGGGGGGTGCTGGGGTAGAGCTTCATTCCTCCTGGGGGCGCCGTGCACGTCCCCCATGATCCTCCTGCAGCTACACCACCTGGTGAGTGACGACGTGTGCCTGAAGGTGGTGGAGCTTTTCGTTACGGAGAAGAAGAGGGGTGCGGCGGGTGGGAACCTGACCTCCCGCTGCGTCCGCGCTGCCAGGGAGACCAGCTACCAGTGGAAGGCGGAGCGCTGTATGGCGGACGAGAACTGCTTCAAAGTGAGTGGAGGATGGTGTGGGAGGGGCGTGGCCAGGTCCTGGAAGTGGCCGCGCAGCTTCCCAGCGAATCTTCCCAGCGAATCACAGAGGGGAATTCATGATGCGCTGTGACCCCTGCCCCCAGGTGATGTTCCTGCAGCGCAAAGGACAGGTGATCATGACCATTGAGTTGCTGGACACAGAGGAGGCCCAGACGGAAGACCCGGTAGAGGTTCAGGTGTGTGCCCTCCCACGACCCCACCCCACGGTCCAGTCAGCAGGACAGGTGCTCCCAGAGTCCCGGGCTTGTCCTGGTCAGGGCCCGTGTCCCTGTGCAGGACTCACACTGCCGTCCTGTCCCCAGCACCTGGCCCGCTATGTGGAACAGTACGTGGGCGCTGATGGCACCTCCGGCTCGCCTCGGGATGGCTTCCTGCTTAAGCCTGTGTTCCTGCAGAGGTGAGGTGGGGCGAGGTGTCTTCTGGCCTGGGCTGCGCTGGGGTGTCCATGGGGAGCGTCCTGAGTTCGGCCCCAGCACTGTGAGGAGGTAGTGGGGGGCCCTGGCCAAGTCAGAGGGGTCAGCAGCAGGCCTGCGGCCTTGGGAGATGGATGTTTGCAGGCAGGCCTAAGGCAGGACCCTGACCCACTTCACTCTGGGGGAAGGGGGGCACTGGTGGGGGGAGTGGTCACATTTGAATGGGAGCATCTTCCGGGTTAGAGGACCAGCCAGAGCTGGGGTGCCTGCAGGGTGTCCTGCCCAGGGAGGAGCCAGTGCTTGGGGACTGTTTGCTGCATGCATGGGGGTGTGGTGCGGGTCAGGATGTGCTGGGTTCAATGGCCGCCGACGGTCACGGGTGACCCCCAGGAACCTGAAGAAGTTCCGGCGGTGGCAGTGCGCGCAGGTGCGGGCGCTGCGTGGGGAGGCCAAGGGCTCGTGGAAGAGGCTGGTGGGCGTGGAGAGCGCCTGCAACGTGGACTGCCGCTTCCGGCTCAGCTCGCACAAGATGATGTTCATCGTCAACTCGGAGGACTACATGTACCGGCGCGGCACGCTCTGCCGGGCCAAGCAGGTGCGCACAGGGACCCCCGGGGCGGCAGCGGCGCGGGGGCGGGGCCTGCGGTCTGACCCACCCCGCCCCGCCCCCGCAGGTACAGCCCCTGGTCCTGCTGCGCCACCACCGCCACTTCGAGGCGTGGCACGGCCGCTGGCTGCAGCACAACGTGACGGTGGAGGCCGCTGGCCTTGTTCAGGACTGGCTGATGGGCGAGGAGGACGAGGACCTGGTGCCCTGCAAGACGCTGTGCGAGACGGCGCACGTGCACGGGCTGCCTGTCACGCGCTACCGCGTGCAGTACAGCCGCCGGCCCGCATCGCCCTGACGCCCCGACCGGGGCCCTGGCGGCCTGAAGGGGCGCCCACCCCCGCCCCTCCCTGCCCCCCGATGCGTGCCAAATCCCACCCAGGGAAGTGGGAGCCCAAACACGCCACGGCTCAGGGTCCCACAGACCCAGGCCTAGCGGGCTCCCCGCAGAGGGCCCTGGACTCCCTGTCGCCTCCCCTGCCCATGCTGAAATGTACAGGACACTTTGGGGTGAAGGCCCAGATGGTGGGGGGAACCTGGTCAGTGCGGACCCTGCCCTGGGACCCGGAGCTGCCTCACCACGAGTTGAACCCACAGCAGAGAGGGGTTTGGGGGCGCCCTGAACATTCTAGAAACATATGCGTGCACATATTTATTCCTTTTCGCTTCTTAGTGGTTGTCACGTCGCCGCAGCTGGGGACGCAGCACCTTGGGGTGATACCCCCAGCCCCCTACACAGCCCCACCCCCCAGCCCCCATGCCAGGCCAGGAAACTTTCTGATGTTCCAGTGGGACTGGAGGTGGACGGAGCCTGGACTCTAGAGCCAGGGCCCCCAGGTCCAGCCCTGCCCTGGAAGGGCTCAGGGGTGCCCCCTGCATGCTTCTAGGGAGCCTGGCGCGCTTGGGATGACTCTGTTCTGGGCCTGGCGCTTCCTTGCGGCTGTCTTGAATGTAGTTTTCCTTTTCTATTTATTTGCACATTAAACCAGAACATTAAGTATTGATGAGAAGCCCAGTGAGTCAGGGGCCCCGCCCGCGCACCAGTCACAGTCTGTCCGTTTCTGCGCCCCCGCCTTTGCCGCCGTGCCTGTGGCCCAGTTCCCCTGGGGTGCCCAGGCCTAGCCAGGGTTTCTGGAAGTCTCCCCTCCCTGGCCTGGCTTCGGTTTTCCTGCAAATGGCTGGTGCGGCATCCGCCCTCATGGCACTGTCCAGCCATCCCCTCTCCGGAGGCCCCACGTCACCCACAGGGCCCCTTCCTCACTGCCCACCAGAGTCTGCAGTGCCATCCTTTTGGCAGGTTGTCCTCAGCACCTCTCGGCTCTCTGCCTGGCTGCATGCCTCCCCAGGGGGGTCTCACCCTCCCCTCAGGGTCTGCAACCTTCCTCCAGGGGACCCTGTCCCCCAGGTAGGAAGGGCTGTGAGCCCCCAGAATCTTGGCATGACCCAGGGCTTTAGAGGGTGTGGCCATGTGCATGACTGCTGTGTGCTTGTATGGGTGTGTGCACTCGTTTGACCTATTACATGCATGTGCATGTATGACTGGTTGCGTGTGTATGTATATATGACCAGTCATGTGTGTTCTTGTAATACCTGTTGTGTGCGTGCTCGCACGAGTGGTTGCGTGCGTGTGCTTGTTTGATGGGTTGTGTGCACGCACTGTTCCTGAACACGAAGGTCTGAGTCACCCTCCCGGGAGGCCAAACTGACCAGTCCCCACCCCCTCCAGAGCTGCAGTCTGTTCTGCTGGCCCTGGGTGACCTCCAGGCTGCTTGGAAGCGGGGTTATCTGCGCCTCGGGTGGTGTCAGCACCAAGGCACCCCAGTCCCTCCTGTCCAAGGCCCAGAACTGCCCTGTCACATCCTGGCTGCCCCCGGGTCCCCGCGTGCCTGGATAGATTAGGCCTGTCACACCAGGCCTGCTCACGGCAGAGTCTACCCAGCTCAGGCCTGAGCCCTTGGGACCTGGGTGACAAGCTCTGGTCTCTAAACATGGCATCCTGCCCAAGAGGGTCCCCATCTCCTGCATGGGGCAGAGGAGGGCAGGCACAGTGTGAGCATCACCCCTCCTCTGGGACCCCACGCGCCTCCCTCCTGGGGTTGTGGGGGCAGTGTGGGCGCAGGCACCTCACCAGAGGAACTGGGGTGCCCTGGACAGAGGCGAGTTCACTTCGTCTCTGACCTGGTGAGATGCTGTCTGCCAGCCCAGGAAGGACCAGCGCCCCCACCGTGACGGGGCAGGATTTCCAGCTCAAGTACAGGAAGCGGCTACTCAGCTTCCAGAGGCCTCTGGGCTACCACAGGGCGGGGGCAGGCGATCTCCCCACTGCCGCTGGCTCCCCAAGAGGCACCTCCGTCCCAGGGCTGACCCCAGCCTGTGCTGGGCCCCTTCGGGGTTATCTTGCTTCCTGACCCGCTCTTGACCCCCCCCACCCGAGGTGCTCAGGGAAAGGGGGGTAGCGGCCCCACAGCAGGAAGTTGGGAGCGCAGCGGGAGGCTGAGCAGGGCGCCATGCGCACCGTCCAGCCACTGCTGTGGACGCTGCTGCTGGGACTCGGCCTGGGTGCCGCCCCTGGGACCCCCAGCACCTACGATGAGAGCGAGAACACAGGTGGCGGGGAGGGTGAGTGAGGGGTCTCAGGCTGGGGGCGGTGGAGGGGATGGGGTGAGGAGGCAGAGTGCCCAGAGCCGGGATGGGGGTGCCCTCTGCCCAGGCCCAGCAGGTGGAGGGGACCGGGCGGGGACCCTGTCCTGTCAGCAGCTCTGTCCCCCCAGATGGTACTCCGGGGCCTTGGACCCTGTTCTCCGAGACGCCCCCGCGGCCACGCAGCTTCCCCGGCCAACCATGGGCCAACGACACTGACATCCTGGAGCTCTCGGACCGCTCCCGGGCGCTGCTGCTGGGCTGGGTGCCCACGCGCCTGGTGCCCGCGCTCTACGCACTGGTGCTGGTCGTGGGGTTCCCAGCCAATGGCCTGGCACTGTGGGTGCTGGCCACACGCGTGCCGCGGATGCCCTCCACACTGCTGCTCATGAACCTGGCGGCCGCGGACCTCCTGCTGGCCCTGACGCTACCACCGCGCATGGCCTACCACCTGCGCGGCCAGCGCTGGCCCTTCGGGGAGGCAGCCTGCCGCCTGACCACGGCGGCACTGTACGGCCACATGTACGGCGCCCTGCTGCTGCTGGCTGCCGTGAGCCTGGACCGCTACCTGGCCGTGGTGCACCCGCTGCGGGCGCGCGCGCTGCGAGGCGGCCGGCTGGCCACGGGGCTGTGCGCAGCCGCCTGGCTGCTGGCCGGCGCCCTGGCGCTGCCCCTGCTCCTGCAGCGGCAGACCTTCCGACTGGCGGGCTCCGACCACGTGCTGTGCCACGACGCGCTGCCCCTGGGCGCTCAGGCCTCGCACTGGCGGCCGGCCTTCGTCTGCCTGGCCGTGCTGGGCTGCTTCGTGCCGCTGCTGGCCATCGCGGGTGCCTACGGCGCGTCCCTGCGCGCGCTGGCCGCCGCCGGCAGGGGCCGCTACGGGCCGGCGCGCAGGCTGAGCGCGCTGGTGCTGGCGGCCGCGCTGCTCTTCTTCGCGCCCAGCAACGTGCTGCTGCTGCTGCACTACTCGGACCCCGCGCCGCGCGCCTGGGGCGACCTCTACGCCGCCTACGTGCCCTGCCTGGCGCTCAGCGCCCTCAACAGCTGCGTGGACCCCTTCCTCTACTACTACGTGTCGGCCGAGTTCAGGGCCCGGGTGCGCGAGGGGCTGCGGCGCGTCCCGCACGCCTCCTCCAGCCTCAGCTGCGCGTCGCGGGACGGGGCAACGCCCTGGACCCGGAGCTCGTCGCTCCCGTGAGCACCGCGAGGCGAGCGCGCGCGACCCCCTCATTCCCCGAGGTGCCTCGGAAAGGGGCGTCTCTGCGGTTTCCCTGGCCGGTCGGGGCTCAGGGTAGAGGCACCCTGCAAGGCCAGGGGAGACCCCTCCAGCCCCTCTCCCCCGCCTATGGTGACTGACTGCCCCCAGCTCCATCGGCCTCCAAGAAGGAGAACCGGGCTGGGCCCACCGCGCCCTAATCCCTCCCGACAGCCTGGGGAGCTGGCACACGTACCCCGTGCCCGCCAAGGTCTGGTTCCTCTCCTTACTGACACTGAGCCCCGCCTCCCGGCGCAGGAGGGCGGAGCACAGCGGGGAGCATGAGGAGGGGGTGGGGGCAGCACAGTGGAGCCTGCTTTAGTGGATCCATGGAGAAGGAGAACGCTGCACCCAGACGTCGTCTGCACACTTGAACTGTCCCATATTCACGCACGCACACACATGTCCAGGGGCTGCCAGGAGAGGCCGCTTTGCAGTGGCCTTGGACAACCCTTGGGCAGGGCGTCTGCTTTCCACTGTCTTAGATCCCAGCAGTCAGCAAGCCAGGGTGCAGAGGGCCCCCCGGCACACTGGCCGAAGGATGAGCGCTTGGCTCCCACGGCTGTGAGAGCCACTGGGAGGACGGCAAAGGTCAGACCTCCGGCCCATGGGACAGGACTGAGGGCTGCCCCACAGCCTCCAGCCCACGGAGGAGCCAAGTCAGCAAGGTCTCCTATTGTGGGGGCCCCAGGGAACCCGACGCCCCATCCAGCCCTCTGCATAAATTACAAGCAGAGAAATGGGCCCCAGCTGGGGCTCGGGGGAGGTGCAGTGGGTGAGTGGGCTCCCGCAGGGCCTGGGTTCCAGGCTGTGACCCCCAGCACCAGGCCCGGGGCTGCCCCTGAACACCAGATGTGGCCCTGAAACCATCTCCTATCTTGGCCCTAATTCAAGCATTTTTGTTTTTTTAAAAAAAAACAAAACCACATTGTTACATTAAAAATCATGTCAGTCATACCACTTACACATAATTACATACTTAAATTACATATAATCATCATATCTGTGACATTATAATTGCTTTGTGTGATACAGTAGTACATGTGATTATATCATGATTTATAATTGTCACATTAGAAGAAATCATTCATATACAAAACATACATAATGGCATGTGCTATAATTAAAATCATGTATAATTGCATTTAAGTGCTTCCTATTTAATTATGTAATTGGGTCTATTACAAATAAATACACGTGCAAAGCTGAGGGCTGTCTCTGCTGTACTAATCTCGGGCACTTGATTCTGTCCTGCAGCCCTGGACCACACGCCGAGGCCGAGGCATGCACTAAAGGACCTCCCTAGCTCTTTGAAGAGCTGCTTCTTCTTTTTTTTTTTGCTTTTTGGGTCACACCCGGCGATGCACAAGAGTTACTCCTGGCGGTGCTCAGGGGACCATACGGGATGCTGGGAATCGAACCTAGGTTGGCTGCGTGCAAGGCAAACGCCCTACCCACTGTGCTATTGCTCCAGCCCTCAGAAGAGCTTCTTAAATGCCTGGTTTGGGGCCATGTCCAGCGGTGCTCAGGACTAACTCCGGGCTCTGTACTCTGGGGTTACCCATGGTGGGACTTGGGGAATTGGTGGATTGACCGCATCAGGACCAGCGCTGTCCCCACTGTACTATCTCTCCGGCTCCCTTGCAAGTTTTTTAAGTGCTGGGCCACAGGGATCCACTTCCTCAATGCATGGGTGGGCGCGGGCAGGGATGAGCAGGTCAGGGTGGGACATGCAGCCCACTAGAAACCCCAGACAAATCACCCCCTGGGCATATGCCAGCTTTCCAAAGCCCCTTCCCTCCTGAGTCTCCTCAGATACAGGGTCCCTAGACTAAGCTGGCATCGCCCCAACTCCCACTGCAATCTGGGTCACTCTTACTTCCAGGGCCCACCTGACACGTGTCCCTCTGGGGAGCCCCGTGGGCCTTGGGAGGGCAGAGAGGCAGACCATGTGCAGACAGACCAGGAATGCAGCCCCCACCCGCTGCCGCCTCCTCCTCCTCCTCCATGAACAGTACCCTCGGGTCCCCAGAGGCTGGTTTAGAAATCATGGCGTTTTTGTGCCTATGCCCCGTGTCATGGGTCAGCCCCTGGCAGGACACACAGGTCACAGGAACATGTGCACCCAGTTCCATGTACACACATCATGTAACACGAGTGCATAGTCATGCTGCAGTAATATGCATGCATGCAGCATGCCACGGTGTGACCGGTGGCTGTCCGAGGAGGCAGGGCCGTGGGGTCCGGAGGTAGCGACAATCACGGGGTGCATCAGTACAGCTTTATTTGTGCACAGTGTTGTGAGCACACCCCAGCCTCCACCCCCCCCCCCCCCACAGTCACCCAGGCCACGGCAGATGGGGCTGCAGGCACCAAAAAGTATGTCAGGATGCAGGTTTCTTGGTGGGTGTGGCAGCTTCCAGGCTGAAGTACTCCATCAGAGACTCCTCCTTGCCCTGAGCCTCCTCCCAGACTTCCTGGTTGCCCAAGGCCACCTCCTTGCTGGCCTCTGCAGACAGTTCCAAAAGCTGCTCGAAACTCCTGGGATGACAGATGGACATAGCTGTCACCCACGAGGAGGGCTTGTCTGGGAGGACCCACCCCAGAACAGTACCCTTGGGGTGCACAAGTGAGGGCAGGACCCGGGTCCCAGAAACCCTGTGCTGGGGGCAGGGCGTTCCCTCCAATGACTATATGGAAGGGACCGCCACAAGGATGGGGGGCGCAGAGGCAGGGACCCCGGGGTCTGCAGAGCGTGGGATCTGGGGGAACTGGAGACAGAGAGCCTAGGGCTACTGTGTGCCAGAGCTGGTGTCCCGCCCGGCCCAGCGCCCTACCCCGCCCTCCCGGCCCAGAGGCGGCACCTCTGCAGCTCCAGGTCTGTGGCCTGTGCGCTGGTCTTCAGCTCCTGCAGCTGCGTCAGTATCTGCCTGGGGTCCGCGGTGGAATCCAGCCCCAGCTCCCCCAGCAGCTGGCGAGTGGTCAGCAGTTCTCGCTGCACATCATCTGTGGAAGGACGGGGTGTCGGGCCAGCCTGCACCTGGCCCCGTGGCGTGATGGATTTGGCGCACCCCGGCAGCAGGTGGAGAGCCCAGGCACTCAAGCCTTCTGGGAGACACGCCCACCTCAAGCACACATGCCCCGGATCAGCACCAGCTCAAGCATGGACACCTGCGTTCTGGTCCTGGTGGCACCGCCTGCTGCCAGGGCACTGTATGTGACTTTGGTGACGGGGCAGGGCTGCCCTGCCTGCTGTCACAGGCCCCTTCTCCTACCCAGGAACTGAGCACGGTCTTGGTCTAGATGGATGTCGCTGACAGGCAGCTCGTGGCGTGTGGTGTCCAGGGCGCTGGCCAGGGCCTGGTACTGTTCTTTGAAGCGCTGGAGAATCGCTTCACAGGGGCTGAGCATTGCTATCTGAGGACATGGGCGGGTGAATGGCTCTGCACGTGCTCCCGAGACGTTGGAAAGCATTCTGGAAATTTCTAGGACTCTCCAGGGCCAAGTATGCAAGTGAGAGCAACAGAATCAGGAAGGCCGGGAGAACAGTCGGGCTGCCTTCCCCTAAGTCCACACTGGTGCTCTGTGTGCCGCCGCCCAGCTTGCAGCTTACGCCTTCACCAGCTCAATCTGCTCCCTCAGGGAGGCTGTGGGGGGGGGCTGGCACTCCCAAGTGGAAGAGCAGCCAGGGGGGCTCGGGGGCAGATTTCCCGGTGGAGGGCTAAGGCCCGGGGCACATCCCGCTGCACTGTTCCTGGCCTGCAGACCTGTGGGCCAGGCCCACCGGGTCCGCCCCCAACCTGGGGCCCAGCCAACCTGGATGTCAACACCCTTCCGGGCTCCCCCCACACATGCAGTGCCTAGCCACCATACTTGCAGGACAGCCCATACATTTGGGTGTAGATCTCTGCCCAGGTGCTAACCCACCTGTAGCCTGCCCACAGCAATCTCACCCCTGCCAGCCCCACCCCAAGCCCCATCCATCCAGGATGCCAGAATCTGCCCCAGCAAGGCCATGCCCACAATACCCCCACCCACCGGCCCATCCTCAGATCCACATGGGGACCAGCCCCTTGTCCACCTGCAAGTCCAGAACAGCTGCCAGCTGCCGCCGCCTCTGGCCGAGCAGGAGTTGGCGCCGCTGCTCGTGGACTGTCTTGCGCAGCCTCTCCTCCTCCCGGCCCGCGGCCAGCAGCTTCTTCTCCGCCTCCTCCTCGAAGGCCGCTAGGCCGTTCTCCATCTACCAAGAGACCTGTGAGCTCAAGGGGCGGCCATGCCCCCCCCCCGGGCCCCACCCACAGGTGGTGGGCCTTACCTTCACTGACAGCAGTGTCAGGAGCAGCGCCTGTGAGTCCACCATCTCCATCACTTCTGACAAAGTCTGGGGGGGGGGTACTTCTGCTGCTAGGGTGCTGGGGGGTACTGCTCCCCCCCCTTGTGCTGAGGTCCCAGCCCCTGCCTGGGTATGTAGGATGTAGACCCCGGCACTGCCCTCCACTGAGGACAGGACACCTCCGGCCCCAGGGCAGAGGCTGGCAGCCCGCTTTGGGATGGCACTAGTTACCAGGGGAATCCCCCTCACTAGACTGTCTGGGGGGCTCCCCGGGCATTAGGGGTGCCACAGAGAGCCCCAGGAATAAGGGACACCCAGCAGTCAGCAGCTCCTCTGTCTCACTTGGGTGTTCCAGAGTGGACAGGCGGGGATCCTGCACCCGCTCTCACCGGCCTACTCTTGGGGGCTGTGCACACCGAGGACTTCAGTTTCCCGCACGCTCTTCTCTCGGGCTGCCGGGCTCGCCTGCTGGTGCTTTCGTCTGGACGGGAAAGGTGCTGGGGCCTTGTGCCTCGACCTCCGCCATTCCCGCTGGAGGGGGCTGACATACTGTTGATAGCCGAGATGTCTAGGTCTGGAGGTGCCGGACCATGGCCTTCCAGCAGCGTGGACTGCAGGTCCCCCTTGTCTGCCTTGCTGGCATCTGTGACCAGGGTGGGAGCGGGGACGTCAGTGCTTCCCCACACCTGAGCTGGCCCTCGCGCCCCACCCCTTCCTCAGCATGCACTACGTCCCCACCCCTGCCCAGGTGCAACCGGTGTCCCCTGCCCCCGCACCCCTGCTGCTGTTGCTGCTTCTCCCTGGGACGGGTCTCCTCCCTCGCTCAGGCATCTTCCCGCTGGTCTTGACTGCATCTGCCTCAGGGGCCTGTGTTGGGACAAGGCAGCAGCACCAGGACACACCTGGGACTTGTTGGGACGCCGCCTGCTGCGGGTGCTGCGAGCCACACCTGCTAGGCCCACGACCAGGTGTTTTTCCTTCCCCCCCCCCCCCGAATTTTGGGCCACACCAAGCAAGGCTCAGGGGATCCTATGTAGGGGGTTCCAGGGATCAAGTCGGGTGAGCACCCTGCCCACCGTACTACCACGCTGGACCATCGGTGGTTTTTAGGGGCACTAGCAGTGGTGTTTTGGGGTGCTGCAGGAGACCTGGCGCCAGGAAGCATCGTCCAGCCCCAGAGAACCCCTCCCCTCTTTGGGAAGCGCCCCGCCCCCTCCGCAGCCCACTGTACCTTCCTCGCTGCCGCCTTCTCTTTGGGCTGCAGGTACCGGGATGCCACTACACGGCCGCCTGGAGGGGACACACTGGGTTCACCCATTTGCAGCCCCCACACCCACCAGGCTCCAGGGGCTTCTGGGAACCGGAGGAGGTGGGGTGGGGGGGGGGTGCGACCAGGACAGTCTTGTGACCCAAGTGGGTTTTCCACCCGCCTGTGGCGCCAGGAACCGGACTTCAGGTGGGACAGAGAGAGGAAGGGTCAGACACCCCCCAGACACATACACACCCACCTGCAGTTTTCCTTCTGGTGCCCCCAGTAGTGCTCGGATCCCCTGAGGAGGGCTTCCTGGAGGAGGGAGAGGGGGTTTGGTCGGCTCCGGGTGGCAGGAACCCGCGCCGCGGCGGGGGTGCCGAGTTCCGGGTGCACCCACCAGCTGCGTGGCTTTCCCACAGGCGGGGGCGCAGCTGCGGGGGGTACAGCCCCCTGGCCCTGACGCTGCTTTCAACCACGGATTTGGGGGGCACCCAGACCCGGGAGAGGACGGGGAGCTGGCTTCGGACCTGCGCGCCGCGCCCCCGCCCCGTGACCCCGCAGTCCCCGTGGGGCGGGGGCTGGGCTCGCAGGGATTTTGTTTCGGGGTCTATTGGGGTGGGGGGCGGAGGGAGCGTGTCCCCGCGGCTCACCCCGCGCCGCGGCCCGAGGACTCCGCCATCTTCCCGCCTTTCGCTCAAAGGCAGGCGGGGCCGCGCGGGGAGGGTAGATAAAGCCGGACCGGGCCACACTGCGCAGCCGCGGGAGGTGTGGCCGCGCGTGCGCTGCCGCGTCCTCCCCGCCACTTGGTCTCGCCCGGCCCCCGCGGGCGGAAGCAGTGGGCGCGGTCTTTCTAGGCCCCGCCCCGTCACGCGGTGACGCACAGGCCCCGCCCCCCGGAACCCGGAAGCGGGCGGGCGCGGCGGGGCGGAGCGGCCGGGCGGATCGGCGGCGGCGGCGCGGCGGCTGCGGGCGGGCGGGCGGCGGGAGCCGGGAGCCGGGCGGGCACCGGCTGCGCGCGGCGGCCGACGCTCAGGTGAGCGCCGGGGGCGCGGGCCGGGGCTTCGAGCGCCCCCGAGCGGGCGGCCTGGCTCGAGGCCCCGGGCGGGAGGGGCGCGGGGGTGGGGGGCGGGAACGGGCGCGTCCGGGGGTCGTGGCGAGTGGCGCGAGCCCGCTGGGCGCGGGAGAGAGTGGACGGGAGGAGCCTCGCGGGGGCGGAGCGGGCAGGTCCTGTGGCTTGAGTGGCCCGTGCGAGAGGACCTGGCCAGCGGGTGACTGGGGGGTCGCAGGAAACAGGGCTGGGAGGGGGCGAGGGAAGGGGGCGGGCTGGAGAGGCCCAGACTGGGGGACGGGACCGCCGGGGTGCGTTGGCGCGCGCTGGCGAGCGCTGCCGCATGGGGGTGCAGGCCGGGCCGGGCGTGCCTGCCGGACCCCGGGCGCTGGAGACTGCGACGAACGGGACAGAGGCCCCGGCACGGCCCGCCGCGGGCAGCGAGGAGGGCCCCAAGCGGCCCCGTACGGAAGTTGGGGTGCAGCCTCGCCCCGCCCCCACTCTTGCTCATCTTCCTGGCTTCTCCCCGGGTGCGGGGTGTCTCGCCAGAAGCTCGGGAGCCTCGGGAACGCCGACGGGCCAGAGCAAGAGGCGGGTCCGGGGTCGGGGGTTCGGGGCTCCCAGGCAGTGGCCGGAACTGACTTTCACCCTCCGGCGTCCTCATCGCATCCTTGGACTTAAATGGGTAAAACGGACGCTCAGGAAACGTGTCCTGGGGCAGTGAGCTCAGAGGACAGCTGGGAAGGGGATGGCCCCTTGTCTCCCCAGGACAGCCTCGGGGATGCCCCTAGGAGTCCACCAGCCTCCATCTGACTCTTGCCCTGGACTCCCCTGTTTGACTGCTGCTGGAGGGTCTGGCCGGGGGCACCCGTGGGTGTTTGTCAGGGACTTGTCTCTGCAGTTGTGCATAGGCCTGGGGTCCCTAAGGGGGACCCCAATGCTATAGCCACTCTTCTATTCCTTGGTGACGCCCCTGTGTCCATCTCTTGCCCTGGACCTGCATCTGAGCGACCTAGAGGGAGGGACATTAGTACTCCCGAACCTGCAGGAGCCCCTTTGTAGGGGAATTGGGATATGCTGGCCAGCCCCCCACCCCCAACTTGGGCTTCCTGGCTGCTTCCCCAGGGGGTGGCCTGGCCCCAGGGTCACTCTGGGGGCCACAGAAGAGGGCCCCTCAGCCCTGTATCCCTCAACACAAGTCTCCTGTGGCTGAAACTTGCTTCTGTGTGGGGGTTGGGACCCGGGTCCTATGTCCCCAAAAAGAAGCTGATCTGGGCAGGTGGGATCTCAGAAGTGATTCGATGGAAGCCCTGTGCCCCCTGCACGCCCCATCCAGAAGCCCTGATCTTGGGGCAGCGCCGGGGCGCCCCGCCGTCGAGCAGGAGAACCGTAGGTGTTTGCTGGCACGTGGCCCCCGGCCTGCCTGCCGGACAGTACGGCTTTGTCCCTCTGTGCTTTGTCTGCACTGACCTGGATTCCTGGGGCCATGTCCTGGCCGTCTCTCGAGGTCAGAGCGCCGGGAGGCAGCTCTGACGTGCCATGCTTGTGTCCCCTTTGTCCCCTTGCACCCAGTGGCGGCCCCGAGCTCACCCCAAAGGGACCCATTTCCCAGGCCTCTGGATGCTGTTCCCAACGCCCTGTGCTCTGTGGCTCCAAGCAGCTGTGCCAGGCTGCTCCTGTGTGGCGTCAGTCCGGCAGGAGAGACGGGCCCTGCCCTCTGCTCCCCACTGGGAGACAAAGGGCTGCAGTCAGGGCCCGGCCCCCCACCCTCCGCGGGGCTCGCCCCGGCCTGGACAGGCTCTCACGCAGGCGGACGTCTGGCCCGGTGAGGCAGCGGTGATGCGGGCCTGGCCGGCTGAGTCAGCTGTGCCTCTCTAGCCCCGGGCAGCCTGTGTCTAGTCCGACTGTCCCCTCCGGGGCCCTGTTCCTCCTTGTCCCCATGCTGGGCTGCGGTGTCTGTCAACAGTCACTGGAATGTGGGCACTGAGGGTTCTCTGGGAGGGTCACCCACCAGGTGCCCAGAGGGGGGCGAGGGCAGGGGGGGTTAGTCCCCCTAGGCCACCCCTTCCTCAGTGGAGTGATATTGTGTGGGTGGGCCTGGAGCCCAGGGAGGGGCGTGGCTTGGCAAGACCCCACTCATAAGGGGGCAGGACCCACCCCATTCTAGAGGAGGGTCAGGGCCACAGTCCGGGAGACTGGCTTACAAAGGGGGCTCCCTGATGGGGCTACCCCATCACCACTTGCAGAGCTCATGGCCACAGCCAGCTGCCAGGCGCATCGCCTATTGTCACTAGGGGGTACTTCTTTGTCACCCCAAGGCACCTTTCATGTCTCCAGGCTCTCCCAGGTCTGAACCACATTTACAAGGAGTGGGGGGGACCCTGTACCCTCATTGTGGGGGTAGGGTGGAGGCAGCTCCCTACAGGGTTTGTGGTTTGGGGGGTCCCTGGCCTGAGACTGCCTTGGTCTCCCAGCATGTGCCTCTGGTTGGGGGGGGGCGCTACAGGGGTGGACCGTCGGCTCCCATCTCAGACCCCCCAGCCTGGCTGGCCAGACCCTGTCCTGACTGCTCTGGAGATCCCCAACTCCCCCCCCCCCCCCCCCGCCCCGCAGGCCCTGGTAGCTGACCTCGCGCCTCCGACCTACCCCCTTCTGCCCTGCCACCACACTGGGGCTCTTGTTCTGACTGGCCACCACCATCCTGCCCGCCGGCCTCCCAGCACCCTGCCCATTGCCCTCCCTTCCTGCCCCTAGGCATTGCCAGTGCTGGGGTTGGGGGTCCTGGGGTGTGAAGCACATCCCGGCACCCCTCGCGGAGAGCCGCCTCCACCCTGGGACGCCGCCCACTCCTTGTGGGCGCCTTGAGGTCAGGCCCAGAGGGAGGCGCCTGCCCTGCGGGAAGGGACGGGGGGGGGGGGGTGCCATGGCCCAGCCGGAACAGGATGTCCCAGGCACGACGTGCCCCGCAGCCCCCAGCTCCCTAGCACAACCCTCCCGCACTTGGGACTTCTTTGAGTTGCTCTTCCTCATGGTGGCCAGGGAATGCTTCTCTGCCGGGGGGGGGGGGGGCGGTTGAGCATTCTTCTTGCCTCTGGAAGCCGGTGGGCCTAGGGGATGCTTGTTCTGGGTGCACCCCTGTCCTGCATTCGAGCCCCAAACCTGCAGCTCCCCATTGGTCTTCACTGTGAGCCCCTTCTGCCTGTCCTCCTGGTGGGGGCTTGCTTCTGGCGCAGTGTGGGAGGGAGGGAGCAGCTGAGATCTTGAGGCGCGGATTTGGCTGCAGCCGTGTCCCCTGCCTTGCTCTGACCGCCCTCCCTCTTTCCAGCTGCAGGACGTGCCCCGCAGCCACCCCGGAGGCATGCTGAGGGTGACCAGCCGGCAGGATGAGCATGAACCGGGGCCACGGTGGGGTCCAGGCCTCCTACCACCTGCGCATCTACCCGCAGCTGCCTGGCATCCCCGCGCAGGCATCGTGCTGCGTGGCGGCCAGCAAGGACAGCACGGCGGCCGAGGTGGTACGCGAGGCCGTGGCCAGCCTGTGCCTGGACAGCTCCAAGAGCTACGTGCTGGTGGAAGTGAAGGAGACCGGCGGTGAGGAGTGGGCGCTGGACGCTGCAGACGCACCCGCGCACCGTGTGTTGCTGTGGCCGCGGAGGGCGCAGGGCGAGCACCCCCGCGAAGAGGGCCACTACTTTCTGCTGCGGGAGCTGGAGGCCCCGGGCGCGCCCGCGCCCGCCGCCTCGCCGCCCTGCGCCTCGGCTGCCCGGCGCCTGGCGGAGCGCGGGCTGCTGCCCCGGCGGCCGGCCGACCTGGACGATCTGTGCGACCTCCCGGAGCTGAGCGAGGCGGGGCTGCTGTGCAGCCTGAGGCAGCGCTTCCTGCAGCACAAGATCTACACATACGCGGGCAGCATCCTGGTGGCCGTGAACCCTTTCAAGTTCCTGCCCATCTACAACCCCAAGTACGTGAAGATGTACGAGAACCAGCGGCTGGGCCAGCTGGAGCCGCATGTGTTCGCGCTGGCCGATGTGGCCTTCCACGCCATGCTGCGCAAGCGTGCCAACCAGTGCCTGGTCATCTCGGGCGAGAGCGGCTCGGGCAAGACGCAGACCACCAACTTCCTCATCCACTGCCTCACGGCGCTCAGCCAGAAGGGCCACGCCAGCGGGGTAGAGCGCACCATCCTGGGCGCAGGGCCGGTGCTGGAGGTGCGTCGGGGCGGGGCCGGTGGGCGGGGCCGGGTGTCTGGGGCGGGGCCAGTACAAGGGCGGATCTGAGTGTTGGGCCCTTAGTTCTTCTGTTTGGGTCACACATGGAGGTGCTCAGGGGTTACTTCTGGCACGCACGTGTGGAGGATACGGGCCAGGGAGTGGGGGAGAACCATGTGGGATGCCGGGGACGGAACCGGGTTGGTAACAAGCAAGACAAACGCCCTACCCGCTGTACTATCTCGCTGGCCCCAGGGGCCGGTCGATCTTGTAGGGGGTTTGTGGGGACCCCTGTGTACACCTCCTAGAACCTCCTGCCCAGTGCATAGAGTAGGACGAGGCCTGCAGGGTGGTCTCAGGACACCTGGTGTCCCTGAGAGGATTGGTGCCAGGCCTGGTCTCCTGTGGGTCCCCAGTGAGAGGGTCCCGGTACCGAAGGCCATCCCTACCGCGCCCCCATGCCTTTCGCTGCTGCTCTCGGGGTCCTGGCACTTTCTCCCGGTGCTGTGAGTCACTCCCCCCGCCCCGTGGCAGGCGTATGCCTGTGACTCACAGGGCGCCTCATCTCTCCTACCCCCAGCTCTGGCCTGGCGTCCCCTGGAGACGCATTCCCAGGCCTGATGATGTGCTCCCGCTGGCCCCTGCATGTCTCATGCGCCCTCCCCAGGAGTGGCTGCTGGAAATGGCCCAGACAGCCAGGGTCAGCGTCTGCCTGGGTCACAGCCAGGCCTGGTCCCAAGGGCCAGTTACTGTCCACTCCCAACACCTACATATGCCCGGAGGTCATTGACCAGATGGCTCCTAGTAGAGAAGCGGCCTAGCAAGGGGGTCCTGGTGCACCTGTCCCCCATCAGAGCTCCTGTTAGTTACCCTCTGAATTCGTGTTTGCCAAGACCCCAAAGCAGATGCAGCCCGGTCCTGGCCCCAGGTGAGCTTCGCACCGTGTTCCCCCTGGTTCCAGGCAGCAGCTGTGCCTTGGGAAAGGGAGCCGGCGGCGCCTTCAACAGGGCTGTCTGACTGGGACCTTTTCTCACTCCCCAAAAGAAGAAGTTCTGTGTTGCGAGGCTGGGGTGTCCCCCGCGCCCTGGGTGCAGCTGCACCGCGTGCCTGTGACCAGGAAACAGGAAGGGGCTCGTGGAGGGGTCCACTCAGCTGCTGCCCATTCACCCCTGAGTCGTGTCCCCCACCCCGCTGCTGCTGGCCCAGGTCACTCATTATGCAGCCACCACCACACCACCTGACCCCCGTGTTGACAACGTGGCCCGTTGGGGCTCGTGTCCATGTCTTGTCCCCGTGTCCTGTCCCCTGTCCCAGAGCACCACACCTCCGAGATAGAAGTGAAACTAAGTTCTTATTGACTGACCTGAGGCTGTCAGACAGGGCTTGGGGCCACCCAGCAGAGTTGGCGGCACACGGGCTACGGTGTGACCTACACGTGGGCTCTGGCCATCCCTTCCCAACCCTGAGGGGGCCATTGCCCACCCTGGGATCCTCAGCGGGTTCTGGGCTAGCTAGCTCTGGTGGCTGACCCTCGCTGGGGCGGGTAGACCCTCTTCCTCAGATGTGCTGTCCAGGGCTTGGAGCAAGTTCATCACATGCAGGCCTCTGCTTCCAGAACATTCTGCCCTGACTCTCCCCCAGTCTGTGCTAAGGAGCAGCCTCCCAGTCCATGACCCCCCACTCCACTCCTGTCCTGGATGTTTCCTGTTTTGGGGGAAGGAGTCCTAGCTGGGGCGGGGGCGTCCTGTGTGTATCACCCTCGGGGGAGAGCTCAGGACCCCCATCTGATGGCTGAGGGGTGTTCTTACAGTTGTCATATGAGCCGTGGCTGACGCGAGTGGGAAGTTTGGATGTCCCCAGATAGGACTTCGTGAAGGAGCAGCCTGGAGCCGGGATCCAAGGTTGGGGCGATTTGCCTTACAGCATTTGTGGGGTGTGAGGTGGCCGGCCCACAGACCCAGCAGCCCCTGGGCCTGGCGGGCAGGAGGGGGTGAGCATGGCAGGAGGAAGTGGCCAAGGCCGGGTCTGGGGGGGTTCAGCCTCCAGCACCCTGGGGGTTCTGCCCTTGCCTCCGCCAGCCCTTCCTGCACAGGCCTCCTGACCCCGTGCACTGTGGGTTGTGGTTCCGCTCCCTGGTTGCGTGTCTCCCCAGCGGAAATAGCAAGCTGGGGAGCCGAGGCGGTCGGGGGCTGGGCAGGGCGCTGCCACTGCGCCCTCGCTCGCTCTCTGTGCCTCGTGTCTGCCTCGGTTCTTAGCTGGAGCTTGGCTTGAAGTGGCTTTCCCGGTGTCCCCATGGTGGACTGGCTGGGGCTCACTCACGCAGGCCACTCCCATCACCCAGCTGCCTCCCCACGCGGGATTTGATTTCTTTTGGCACATGCCAGGGAGTGGCTTCTGCAGCCCCAGCTTCATCTGCCCACATCTGCTTCTCTAGGTAAAATGTGTTTTGTTTTTTCGGGTTTGTCTAGTGGTGCCCAGGCCTTATTCTTGGCTCCGTGCTTAGGGATCACTCTTGGAGGTTGCAGGTGACCCTATGGGGTGCCAGGGATGGAACCTGGGTCAGTCGCTTGCAAAAGCAAGTTCCCTACGTGCTATATCCTCTCTCTGGCCCCTCTAAATAAAGTTTTTTTTTCTTTTTGGGTCACACCCAGCAATGCTCAGGGGTTCCTCCTGGCTCTGCACTCAGGAATTATTCCCGGTGGTGCTCGGGAACCATATGGATGCTGGGAATCGAACCCAGGTCAGCTGCGTCCAAGGCAAACGCCCTATCTGTTGTGCTATTGCTCCAGCCCCTAAATAAAGTTTTATTGGCACTTGAATCTACCCCCCTCAGTTATATCCTACCAGGACTTGTTCCTGTTATTTTATTGGCACAGGGTCATATCCCTCATTTGCATAGTAACTTGGTCACCATTTGGCCATGCTCCTTATTTGCATACCAGTTTGCTGTTTCGGTAAAGTTTTAGAGGCCCCCCCCACATCATCTCTGGTGACATTCATGTTGTTGTCGCAATAGATGTGGCCCCTGTATGGCCCATGGATCAGTGACAATTCACCACCTAGCTCCTTACAGTACTGATTTTCTTGATCTCTGCAAGCTGGTCGAATACTCCAGGGCCATACACCCCTTCTCAGCCCCAACCCCATCTTCCTTTTAGGCCATTGTGCTGTGGACTCCCATCCTGACTCTCAGCACTGCAGGAGGGGCTGTTGGCACCTCTGCCCTGGGCACCTGCTGTGTATCAAGGCTCAGTGCTTGGAGACAGAGGCCCCTCACCCTGGGAATCCCCCAGGAGGAGGAGGGCTTCGATGGCCTTGTGTGGAATAGTGGTACCCGCCCGAAGCAGGAGAGGTCTGGGAGAGCTGGGGTGCCCGGCCCGGAGGCAGAGCCCTGGGCACCGCCTCCGGGAAGAGGAAAATTACGGGCTATATTTTAAGGCCCAGAGAGGCCTCCTTGGACTCTGCAGAGTGTTGATTAGAAGGAGAAGCTCAGCTTGGCGTCACGCATCCCTGCTGTGGCCCTGCCTCGCCACCATTGTGGGCCTTTGGGGGCACGGGGGTGGGGGCTGCTCCAGAGCCCCACAGAGCCAGCCCCCGTCACCTCGGCCACGGCACAGACCACCAGGGGCCTTTGGGGCCCTGGATGATGGGGTTTGTGTGGGGTCGTGCACGAACTGAGAAGGGGGAGCGGGTCTGGGAGGGCAGCCACAGCATGTTTGGGGGTTCTGGGTCTCAGCGCCCCGTTGTCCCTCCCCTGACAAGGCCCTGCAGGCCCCACTGTGGCTGGGGATCGGCCGCAGCCCAGGGATCTGGGTGCCGAGGGCCAAGCGCACTGCAGGTGGGGGTTTGGGTGCAGCAAGGACCAGTCCCGTGTTGGCTGCCCTGCCCTGGGTGTGGTCTCACAGGAGCCCCGACCTGGCCGCAGCGGAAGAGGGGAGACCCTCGCCCCCTCCTGTTGGCTGCGGTGGGAGTGGGCTTCTGGGAGAGTCTCGTCCCAGTCGTGCGTGAGGGGCTATGGAGTGGGGCGGGCGCCAGGGCCCACTTCCTCCTCTGGGAGTCGGAGAACCGAGAAGTGATGGGCCAAGGCTCCACTTCCTGCCCCGCACCCCTGGGGCCCCTGAGCTGTGGCTGAGCCCCGCACAGGATGATGGACTGGATGGAAACTTTCACACCCCTCCTCAGCACACGCTTCATCCCCCCAGAATGGCCCCCACGCCCCGTGGCTTTCCCCACCTGCCCAGCCAAACTCTTGGGGTTTCTCGCATGACCCCAGAGCCTGTCCTTCCATCCTGAGGCTCTTTGGGGAGTTTCGAGTGTTCCCCCCCCCCCCCCGGTCCCGTCCCGTCCCCGCTCACATCTGGAACACAGCTTCTTGCCCCCTGAGCTAGTGGGATTCAGGGCATGGGGGTCCCTGTGGCAGCGCCCCTGAGCAACTGCGGTGCTGGGCAGTAGAGCCCAGGGCTTGTGGTCACAGGAGTGAGGGAGAGTGCGGGGGAGGGGGTCCACACAAACGTGGGAGGAATCAAAGGCCGGAGAGGGAGGGAGGGAGTGAATGAACCAATGGATCTACCCAGGGAGTGCATGCTGGAAGGAGGGAGAGGGAGGGAGAGTGGGAAGGAGAATGAAGGATGGGGGGAAGGGGAGAGGGAATGAATGGATGAGGAGGGAGAATCAGTGAAAGGATGGGAGACTGAGGGCAGAGATATGCAGACAAGAGAGGTACTGGGCCCCGTGTTGGGGTCCCTGTGTGCCCGAGTTGGAGACGCAGTGGTGCGGGGTTGTCTGTGCTGTCGACACCCCTTCAAACATACCGTGAGCCCTGGCCCTGGCCCCGCCAGCTCACCAAGGCTCAGGGCTACACCCGCGTGTCCAAATGGTCCCCGCCAGGCCAAGGGTCTCAGAGCCCCAGTGGGGAAAGGGAGGTTCATCCGCCCAGCCCAGTCCGTCTGTCAGTCCGTCCGTCCATCTCTCCATCCACGTGTCTTCATCCCCCAGACCCCTGTGCAGCCACACGCAGTCCCGGGCCAGACCCCGCCTCCCCCCAGATATTTTTAGCCTGTGGCTGGGCTCTGCTGAGTCTGACGAGCTACATTCCAGACGCGTGAGGTCACTACGGATGGGGGATCAGATGCCCCCCAAGCCAGACCCACTGCTGGAGGCTTCTTCCCGCCTAGGAGATGCCCAGCATGGGAGATGGGGTCCCGGCCCCAGGGCCGGCCTGGTCTGACTGTTCACATGTGCGGGGGGTGGGGGGGCTGGCCTGGTCTGACCGCTCACATGTACAGGGGTGCGGGGAGGGTGGCTGGCCTGTCTGACTGCTCACATGTATGGAGGTGCAGGGGGGGCCCTGGTCTGACCGCTCACAGGGGTCAGGAGTGTCCAGGCCTCCTCGTCTCAGTTCCCAGCGGGAGGGGGTGAGCCTGGAGCTGGGTTTGGGGGTACAGGGCCTTTCCAGGCTGCAGGCCTCAGGCAGCTCAGGACACAGAAGTCAGGCTGGGCACCGTGGTATTCCCCAGGAGTGCACGTGGCCCCCTCCCACACTCTCCTGCCCCAAGCCCCCAGAACCCTCTGTACCCTCCTAGCTCGTCCTTTGGGCGGTGGGCCCTGCCAGACGCCTGGGCAGCAGCTGGGAGTCCCTGTGGGACCTGAGAACAGAGCCTGATGCCCAGCACGAAGAATGGACCCAAACCCTCCCCTGGTAGTCCCAGGCTGGATGGGGCCGCTGCCCAGGGAATGGAGTGCCCAGAGGTGGGAGACGGGCGGGTAGCTCTGGCATGAGCTTTTCACTTGGTCTTCAGTCTGGGGACCACTTGTGCTCAGGGGACCACATGGTGCCCTGTGGATGCCTGACTCAGCCATCTGGAGCCCTGACTGGCCACGTGAGGCCCCTGAGGCCCGCAGCCCTCCAGTGGCCTGAGCCAGGCCATCCTCTCAGCCCAACCCCCACAGGGTCTGAGCCTGCATGAGGGGCCCTGACTCCAACCTCGAATCTGAAGCCTCCCGTTTCCCCACAGGCTTTCGGCAACGCCAAGACGGCCCATAACAACAACTCCAGCCGCTTCGGGAAGTTCATCCAGGTCAACTACCTGGAGAGCGGGGTGGTGAGGGGGTGAGTCGGTCCCTGCCTCGGGTGGTCGGGGTGGGCCCAGACAGGAAGTACCCGAACCACACTTCCCTCCCTGCCCCCACGGGTTCCGCATTCCGGGCCGTGACACTTCTCCAAGCCATTCTCACGGAGGCCCGGGGTCAGAGCCCCTGTCTCTGGTCCGGGTCACCTGATAGAGGCGGCATCAGGGGCCACATGTGACTTGGGTCCGGTTGGGTGCTATGCACATGGCTCTTGAAGAAAATGGGGTTTGCTCCATGTCCACCTCCTTCCCTGCCCACAGGGCTGTTGTGGAGAAATACCTGCTGGAGAAGTCCCGCCTCGTCTCCCAGGAGAAGGACGAGAGGTGCGAGGGCAGGGGCCACAGCTGCCCAGCGAGATGCATGGGAGGAGGGGACGGGCCCCGCACCCCCCCCCAGAGCTGGGGATCCCCATGTCTGCCCGGAGGTGGGGGGGACGGTCGGCAGCGGTGTGTGCGCTAAGACCGGATGCATCCACACACTGCATGTGCCTCCCCTCCACGCACCGCAAGACTCTACATACCCCATGCCGCCACACACTGCATACTGCACACGCCTTCGCCACGGACCGTACATGCCTCTACATGCACCACATGCCTCCACGCACATGCACACACTGCCCACACACAGCACACTCGGAGCTGCTGCTGGAAGGCACCTACGCCCGCCCCCCGTGCCTGTGCAGAAGGCCACCGTGGCGAGCCCCCCCTCCCCCCCCGCAGGAACTATCACGTGTTCTACTACCTGCTGCTTGGCGTCAGCGAGGACGAGCGCCGCGCCTTCCGGCTCCTGCAGCCCCAGGATTACTTCTACCTCAACCAGGTGAGTCTGCGCGACCCGGCCCCAGCCCTGACCCCGGCCTGGCCCCAGCTCACCCCCCACGCCCGTGGCCTGCCCCTTCTTGCAGCATGACTTGAAGATCGAAGACGGTGAGGACCTCAAGCACGACTTTGAGCGTCTGAAGCAGGCCATGGAGATGGTGGGCTTCCTGCCGGCCACCAAGAGGCAGTAAGAGCCAGCACCCAACCCCTGTTCCACAGCAGGACACAGCACGGGCTGGGCTGGAGCTGCAGGGCCGGGGGATGCCGTGGACGCTGCAGCCGGGCAGGGGATCCCGAGGACACAGCTATCCACAGGGTAGCACAAGCCTCTCATCAGGTTTGGGGGCACAAGACGGCCGGTGGCCCAGCCCCTGCTGTCCACACTTGCTGCCCTCGTGCCGTGCCTCACCCAAGTGGGGGCGTCCAAGGGTGCTACCCCCCTCCAATGCCCAGAAGTGACATCAGCTCAGTGTTTGATATTGGGATGATGGTTTGGGGCGGGGGGGACTAGACTGTTCTGCCCTCCGTCCTTGGGACTAGTTCTGAGCCCACAGGCCCGTGGGTGAGGATTGTGGGTTCCTTAACAGAAAGGGCCTTTTCTCTGCGCTGTTCATGGAAAAGCAGGAAACTGCGAACGGTTCAGACAGGAATTCTGGGGCAGTCTGCCTGCAGAGGAGGCTGCCCGTTCCCCTCCCCCCTGCCGTCTGAATTCAGCCTTTCCAGAGGCTACAATGGGCCGACTCGCCTCTTGTCTTGCAGGATCTTTGCGGTGCTGTCAGCCATCCTGTACCTGGGGAACGTGACCTACAAGAAGCGGGCGAGCGGGCGTGATGAGGGCCTGGAGGTCGGGCCCCCTGAAGTTCTGGACACACTCTCCCAGCTGCTGAAGGTATGGGGGTGCAGGCGGGGGCTGGGGGGCACCCATGCAGGGGTGCGTGCAGCTGCCCTGCTCCTCTTCTCCGGCCGGTGGAGGGTCCTGAATGTAGACCCTAACATGCGGGGGGGCCCTCGCCACTCCCCACCCCAGCGTTGGGCAGGAAGGGAGATGGACAGAACTGGTCCCTGCTGTGGAAACAGGTGAAGCGGGAGATCCTGGTGGAGGTTCTGACCAAGAGAAAAACTGTGACGGCCAACGACAAGCTCATCCTCCCCTACAGCCTCAGCGAGGTGGGAACCCAGACCCTGCCTAGGCCCTGCCTCCCCCCCCCAGAGGGTGGTGTGTGGATCTGGCAGGGGTGTCTGCATGATTGGGGGCGAACAGGCAGTCCTGACGTCCCCTCACTGCCCCAGGCCATCACTGCCCGTGACTCCATGGCCAAGTCCCTGTACAGTGCCCTGTTCGACTGGATCGTGCTGCGCATCAACCATGCACTGCTCAACAAGAAGGACATGGAGGAGGCTGTATCGGTGAGGACTCCTGCCCCAGTGCTCCCACTAGGCCCTGCCCCTGTACTCAGCCCCACCCCTGTACTCCAGCTCCACCCCTGCAGTCAGCCTATCGGGTTCTGGCCCTGTGCTCTGGCTCTGCCCCCTTGGGAGATCCAGGCCCTCGGGTCCTCTCCACGTCCCCACTTTTCCCTCCCCACCTCCACAGTGTTTGTCCATCGGGGTCCTGGACATCTTTGGCTTTGAGGACTTTGAGAGGAACAGTTTCGAGCAGTTCTGCATCAACTACGCCAACGAGCAGCTGCAGTACTACTTCAACCAACACATCTTCAAGCTGGAGCAGGTACGCTGGGGACCTGGGCCCACACCTCCTATTCCCATATTCATGTGCCAGCCCCATGACTTGCCATATGGGCATAGATCAGGCTTGGCCACAAGGCTGACTATATCAGTAAAGCATTATTGGCACACATCAGATCGGGCCCCACAACCTGCTGTGATCAGTCCATTTTTCAAGCACCTCCTGCCTCTGGCCACAGGCCCACTGGCCTCCTCCTTAGCCCTGGGCTGAGTGGTTTCAGAGTTTTTCCCCATGCTGCGGGTTGCCTCCAGGAGGGTGTCCTTGCTCAGTGTGTGGCAGCCTCCAGGCTCTCCCCAGCTGTGGTGTTGCCCCGCCCACAGGAGGAGTACCAGAGCGAGGGCATCTCCTGGCATCACATCGAGTATACAGACAATGTGGGCTGCATCCAGCTCATCAGCAAGAAGCCCACAGGCCTCTTCTACCTCCTGGACGAGGAGAGCAAGTGAGTGGGGTCCTCGGGAGTCCTGACTCACAAACTCTGCCTGCCACCGGCACCCAGCACAATGTCACAGGGGGGCGGGGCCTGTGCCGGGGGCGGGGCTGGGCCTTGCAGGGAGGGGCGGCTGCTGCAGCCCCACCCCTCCTGCCCTGCCGCAGCTTCCCGCATGCCACAAGCCAGACGCTGCTGGCCAAGTTCAAGCAGCAGCATGAGGACAACCGCTACTTCCTGGGCACCCCGGTTCTGGAGCCTGCCTTCATCATCCAGCACTTCGCGGGCCGGGTCAAGTACCAGATCAAGGTAGCGGGGGGCGCCGAGTCTGCGGGGCGGGGTACCCTGGGCCGGGTCTGTCCCCCGCAACCTGGCGCTCGCATCCTGCGCCCTCAGGACTTTCGGGAGAAGAACATGGACTATATGCGGCCGGACATCGTGGCACTGCTCCGGGGCAGCGATAGCTCGTTCGTGCGTCAGCTCATTGGCATGGACCCCGTGGCCGTGTTCCGCTGGGCCGTACTGCGCGCCGCCATCCGCTCCATGGCGGTGCTGCGGGAGGCCGGGCGGCTGCGTGCCGAGAGGGCTGAGCGGGCCGCAGCAGGTAGGCGGGCCTGGGGGGAGGCCTGCAGGCCCAGCAGGACATCTGGCCTGGGTGGATCACGGGTGCGGGGCCAGGTCTGGGGGGGCAATCTTTGGGGAGACTGTTTGCTGCCTGGGTTCCCGTGAGCTCGCCAAACTGGCTTTGGGGCTGACTCTGCATCACTTCTGGAGTAGTGTTCTCTCTCACTGCTGGAGAGCCTGGCCGTCCCTGGCGTCCTGACAGGGATGGACCCAGCCCAGCAGCCTTCAGGGAATCAGATGTTGTTCGCATTCCTGAACTCAGCGCAGGCTCCACGAGCTGGAGGTTGGGGTCTTGTCCACCACTAGCGACCCCAACCCGAAGTGCAGAGCTGGGGGTAGCCCTGTCGGGCATGACCGGAATCTTGTAGGAAGTAGTCTCCGCTCTCACAGTTCTGTCCGCCAATAGAATCACCAGGGCTCATGTCTGATGGAAAGGAAAGGGCTTCCCAAACCCCTCACCCACCTGAGCTCTTTATTCCCCAGCAGCTACTGGACCTCAAAGTCCCCCGGGTGAGCCACAGAGAGTGACTGGCACCCCGTCGGAGAAGCTGTACCGGTGAGCTCAACCCTCAACCTCCAGCCTCTCCCCTGCAGGAACCGCGGTTCTGTGCACCAAGCCTGTCCTGTGAGCCCCATGTGGCCCCTGCTCTTCACAGTGGCTGTTTCAGAGCTCCGCTGTCCTTCGCTGGGACAGGCTGGGTGCTGTGAGCTCCTGCACCTTCACCAGCCCTCAGGCATTTGCAGACGCCCTGCCACTTTGTCGGCAGCAGTGAGGAGTGTTTTTGTTTTGTTGTTTGGGGGCCACACCCAGCAGTGCTGAGGGCTTACTCCTGGCTCTGTGCTCAAGGATCACTCCTGTGGATTCGGGAGACCACGTTGGGTGCTGGGGATCAAACCCTGGTCGACTGTGTGCAAGGCAAACTCCTTCCTGCTGTACCATTGCTGTGGCCGAGGATCAGCGTGCACAGATGCCCTTGGGGTGGAAAAGGCCACCCTGACCAGGTACCAGGTGGCCAGGCTGTTGGGCACGAGGCACCTGGCAGTCCACAGAACCACGCAGGCTCCCTGGATGGGGTGTGCTGTGTAGACGAGGCAGCCAACAGTGCCAGCGCCTGACCAGCCACCCTCCTCCTTGGGACTCCCGTGCCCCTAGAAGAGTCACCAGCTTCCAAGGAGACCGGTTCTTGCAGGCCGTGCAGAGGGAACTCCCGCCACCTCCTGCCTGACCCCTCCACCTCGGCTCTAGGCTCATCTCTGAGCTTTGCCTCCCTCTTGACGAGTTCCTTAAATTGGCTTTTTGTTGGGGCTGGAGCGATAGCACAGCGGGTAGGACGTTTGCCTTGCACGCGGCCGACCCGGGTTCGATTCCCAGCATCTCATATGGTTCCCTGAGCACCGCCAGGAGTAATTTCTGAGTGCAGAACCAGGAGTAAACCCTGCGCATCGCCAGGTGTGACCCAAAAAGAAAAACAAAATTGGCTTTTCCCTTCAAAGGGGTCATGAGACCCGAGAGGAGCTTCTGCACCTGACACACTGAGGGCAGCTCAGGCCTCGCCCTCTGGGCCCTCTGGGAACCCCACCCCCATTGCAGCTCTGGCCCCTGGAGGTGCAGCTCCGCCCCAGTGTCATCTGTTCCATGGAGGCCCGCATGGATTGGGGCTCTGTCCCATGGAGATTGCGCTCTGCCCTGTAGAAGCTCTGAGTAATGGCCTGTGTGTTCCCTGTGCTGCCCCTAGTCCCGCCCCCTTGCAGCCCCCTGCTCTGGATGACGCTGGATGGTAATTCTTTTTTGGGGGGGTCAAACCCGGCGATGCACAGAGGTTACTTCTGGCTCTGCACTCAGGAATTACTCCCGGCGGAGCTTGGGGGACCATATGGGGTGCTGCAAATTGAACCCAGGTTGGCCATATGCAAGGCAAAAACACCACTTACTGTGCTATTGCTCCAGCCCCAAGAAGAGTTACATGTATATGTGTGTGTGTGTGTGTGTGTATATATATATGTATATATATATATATATATATTTTGGCTTTTTGGGTCACACCCGGCGATGCACAGGGGTTACTCCTGGCTCATGCACTCAGGAATTACTCCTAGCAGTGCTTGGGGGACCATATGAGATGCTGGGAATCGAACCCTGGCCAAGCAGGCATGCAAGGCAAACGCCCTACCTGGTGTGCTATTGCTCCAGCCCCACGGATAGTAATATTTTTGAGGATATTCTTGCTCTCTGTAAAAACAAGAAATAGGGAAGGGCCTCGTCCACCCCAGGGGAGCACCTCCAAGCACCAGGCTGAACTCCTGGCCCCAGCTCTGAGTCGATTCCAGTCAGAAAAGGGGACAGTGCATTGGGGCCACGCTTGCCAGATTTGGCTGGATTAGAGGTGTGAGAGGTGGTAAGCCTGGGAAGGGGATGCTGTCCTGCCCCCCCCCCGCACACACACACACCGGACCATGTGCTAACACCTCTCTGCCCTGGCCCTGTGCCTCCTTGGTGGGCAAGCGCACAAGGGTAAATGGGTGTGGTGGATGGGGCACACCCGGCCGTCACTTAGGGTCCCCTGGGCCTTCTGCCCTAAGCCCAAACGTGGCAGAGACAAGCCAGAGCAGCTCTGAGGCAGGGCTTCCGGGCTTGGTCCCTGGCGTGCTGGGAGCACAGAGCCAGGAGCAGTCCGCCAAGCCCCCAAGTGCCGTCACACTGGCTGTGGGCCCAGGGCAGCCTCTGTGGCACTTGTCTCGTCCTGGGTGACACCCTCTCACCCATGCTCCCAGGCGCTGGGTGTCCCTGAGCTGCAACCCTGACCAAGCAATAGCCTCACCCTGAACCCCAGCATCCAAGAATGCGTTCAGTCCTAGCCAGCTCCCGACCCTCTGGGCACTAGGGGGGCCACTGTCAGTTACTGCATTTGAGATGCACTCTTGGGGTCCCGCTCATCCTGAGGCTGATGAGTGCCGACAGGGGTGTCACCCCCCACACCCTCCTCTTGGGTTGTATTCACAGACCCTACCCTCACGGCCCAGGCTTTATGGGAGGTGTACGTGCTGAGGCTGGATATATACTGACCCCTGAACCCGCTCCACCCCTGGGGGGTTCAGAAGAAGCACCCCGAGTGTTAGGCACGTGCAGAGTCCACTCACAGGACCCAATTTTGTTCTCTTGCTTTGGGGTCCTCCCAAATTGTGCCCCATGGGGCTGCGTGCCACATGGTCCTGGCAGGCTGGGTGGCTCTGGGCTTGGGGGAGCCGGACCATCTGGGAAGGGAGTGGCTGTGCCCCCCACCTGGTCTCCTGGGCAGGAAGGCGAGGCTGCTGGGGACCCCCATGGTGGCAGTCAATCGGCTGATATGCTTTCTGTCACTGCACTCCCCTTGGCCCCCCGCACCCCAGCGATTTGCATGATGAGATGATCCAGACCCTCAAATCACTCCCCTGGCAGGGGGGAGACCCCTGCAGGCTGCTCCAGACCCTCAGTCGGCTGCAGAGACCCCGCGCCTTCATCCTGTGAGTCTGAGGCCGCCCCACCCCTTCCCGCTGGCTTCCCCGGGTCTGGTTTCTGCCCCCAGAACCTGCAGGACAAGCCCGGCCAACCCCAGCCCTCCCCATGGGGAACCTTTCACGCAGCTGGTGGTGCCTGAGCTCCCCAGACGGGCGTGCCCCAAGCCCACAGCCCGAGAGCCTGCCTGAAGCAAGCAGGTGTCTGTGGAAGTGGCTCTGAACCTTTTTATTGGCTTTTTCCCACCCTGAGGGGTTTGCAGAGCCTCAACCCAGCGTCATAAAGGCCTGGGGGTACTGGATCCCCGCCCCCCCCATGACTCTCCCTGTCCTCTTTCCTGCCTTGTCAGCCTAGAGCTAACGGTGCCCCTCGAGATGCGTCCTTAGGGTGCTATCTATAAGTTTGCGATCTTGCGGGGCTCCCAGTCCCTGGCCCCATGGTGCCTGAGAAGTGCCGCCCTAACACATTCAGTCCAAGCGGGTGCGCGGTACCCCCTGGCCCCAGCAGGGGCGTGCGACACTGCCACCTTCATTCCCGCACCTCGGGCGCTGCCCCACTAACACGCTGCTGCTTGCACCACTAACCCAGCCATGCGCCGCCTTCCTGCCGTTCATGGTCCGTTTTTAATATTTTGACAGGAAGAGTAAAGGTATCAAACCAAAGCAGACGATTCCCAAGGTAAACGCGCGTCCCCCATCGCTGGCCCCGGCCAGGAACGCGGGGTGGGATGGGGGCGCGTGCTCCCCAATCCGCCCTCCGCTTTTCATTGCCAAGCCCCCTAAGAATGTGGGCACCAAGGTGGGGGTCACGCTGCCCCCAAGCAGGCCCAGGCATGGCCATGGCTTTGCAGAGGCCTGGGAGAGGGGCGGGAGCCGAGCCCGTGCCTGCCCTCATGGGCCATTCTCAAGGGGGGTGACTTGTACCCCCAGGGCGTGAATGGGTGCTGGTGGCTGTGTGCCCACAGTCCTGCCAGGTGAGGGGGAGCAGGGCCCAGACCCCAGCCTCCCACTGAGCCCCTGCACAGGGCTGGTTTGCGGCAGCAGGAAGCAGGTGGTCAGCACAACTGGCCGTGCTGGGGCCTGCCAGCTGATGGTAGTCACAGGCTGGTCCGGGCCTGGGGAACTGGGTCCAGTGGAGACGAGTTTGAGATCTCGGGTCTGACCTCGTCCTCCCAGCCCTCTGCCCCTTGTCAGTGCTCTGGGGCTACCAGAGGGCAAAGCAGACCCGATGTCTGTGTCCTAGAACCTGCTGGACTCCAAGTCCCTGCGGCTGATCATCAGCATGACCCTGCATGACCGCACCACCAAGTCGCTGCTGCACCTGCACAAGAAGAAGAAGCCGCCCAGCATCAGCGCCCAGTTCCAGGTGTGTAGGCACAGCGGGGTGATATGATGGGCTGGGCTGGACTGGATTCTGGCACTTGGGAACCACTTCTGGCAGGGCTCGGGGACCCCATGGGATGCTGGAATTTGAGCCCAGCCAGCTGCATGCAAGGCCAGCACCCTCTCCCCTATACTCCCCAGCCCCTGTGTGGTTCCTTGTCAGACTGACCTGTGATATATGTCCCCAGGGAGAACAGCCTGGCTCCTGCCTCAGGGCCGCTGCCAGGGGCCACCCCGTACTGGCCATGACTCCTGGCTGTGCCCTGGCATGCATGGCCCGAGTGCCCCTCTGGCTCAGCCCCTCTCTTCACCCAGGCATCCCTCAACAAGCTCCTGGAGACGCTGGGGAAGGCAGAACCGTTCTTCATCCGCTGTATCCGCTCCAACGCCGAGAAGGTTGAGGGTCCCTCACTTGCCAGGGGACTTGGGGGTCACATGGGTGCAGATTCTGACCATCGGCCGGGAGGCACAGAGCGACTCCCCTCCCCGTGAGAGCCCCCCAGCAGAGGGTAGCTGGGACCCTGACCCATCCCTTCTGCCCACCAGTCCTGCCACTTCATCCCCCAAAGGCACAGATAGTTGGGCCATCTGAGCTGTGCCGGGTCCAGGCGGCCCTCACGTGCTGACCCCTTTCAGAAAGAGCTGTGCTTTGACGAGGAGCTGGTGCTGCAGCAGCTGCGCTACACGGGCATGCTGGAGACTGTGCGCATCCGCAGGTCCGGCTACAGCGCCAAGTACACGTTCCAGGTAGGGGGCTCCTAACTGCATGTCAGAGACTCCCCTCTAGCCAGAGACCCTTTCAGCTCTGTCAGCCCCGTTTCAACCTCGGGGCGCAGGAGTGAGCTCTGTGGCCGGGAGCCCCAGGTTCCATCCCGGGGACTGCGGGGTTCCCCAGCCTCACCAAGAAAATAAAAGGGGAGCCGTTGCCCTCCTCCCCGTACTGCTGCGGGAGGGTGCTCACAGGGCTCCCTCCTTGCCCCCACGCCCAGGATTTCACAAAGCAGTTCCAGGCGCTGCTGCCCAAGGACGCGCAGCCGTGCCGGGAGGTGATCGCAGCACTGCTGCAGAAGATGGACATGGCTCCGGGGAGCTACCAGATCGGCCGGACCAAGGTGGGTCCCACCCACTCCCCTTCCCACCCTGCCCGGGTGCCCCTGCATCGACAACTGCACGCTCAGTCAGCGGGTGGCGCTGTGGCTTGGCAGCCCCAGAAACACGCCCACCCTTCCAGGTGTTCCTGAAGGAGGCGCAGCGGCAGGTGCTGCAGGAGACCCTGCACCAGGAGGTGGTGCGTAGGATCCTGCTGCTGCAGCGCTGGTTCCGCACACTGCTGGAGCGCCGCCGCTTCCTGGCTCTGCGCCGGGCCGCGGTCACTATCCAGGTGCCTGCCCGGCCTGCCCCGCCCCACCCAGCTCTGCCCCACCTCGCATGGCTCCACCCCAGCCCGCATGGCTCCGCCCCGCCAAGCCCCACCCCACCAGATCCCCTCTCCCTGAGTGCTCACTTCACCCCAGCCCTGCCCTCATCCGCTAGCCCTGCCCCGCCCCACCAGCCGCTGACCCGCTCCCACTCCATCCCGCAGGCCTACTGGCGCTCCTACCGCACCAGGCGTGCTCTGCAGCGGGTGCAGGCTGCCGTGTTCCTGCAGGCCACTTGGCGGGGCTACCGGCAGCGCTCGGCCTACCTGCGCCAGAGACGGAGTGTCATCCGCCTGCAGAGCCTCTGCCGCGGCCACCTACAGCGCAGGAGGTGAGCCCAGCAGGGCCGGCCCTCTCGGGTGGAGGGCACCCAGGGGTGCTGGGAACTGGGTTTTCACTGGCCCTCCCCCCCCCTCCCAGCTTCAGGCAGATGGTGGCTGAGAAGCGGGAGGCCGAGGTGGAGCATGTGCCTGGCCCGCTGCAGGAAGAGGTGACCCGGCCCGAGGCAGAGCCCAGCGATGAAGCCCCCACAGAGAGCCCCCAGCCCGAGCCGGAGGCCAAAGTTCCCAGCCTGTCCGAGGTCCCCGCGGCCCCCAAGCCTGCATTGGACAGCCACGAGAAGGTGGCCAGCAACCGGGAGAAGCGCGAGTCCCGGCGGCAGCGAGGGCTGGAGCATGTGAAGTTCCAGAACAAACATGTACAGGCGACCCGCGAGCCCGCGGCCAGGGCCAGGAGCGGAGACACGGAGGCCGGGCCTGAACGTGGGGATGTAGCAGCCGTGGGGGCCAAGAGCAGTGGCGCGGTGTCCGGGGGACTGAGCTCGGAGCTGGACTCACCCACCGAGCCTGAGAATCGGGCCCAGGTGGCCGTGCTGGCTGACTCGGACCTGGACCTGCCCGCTAAGGTCGAGGACAGGGACAGGATCCCTACAGGGGCAAGCTCGGGGCTGGACTCTGCTTCTGCTCCAGCCCCCGGCAGCCCCGTGTCCCGCGAAACCTCGAGGGTGCCCCTTGAACGGCCCACCAGCCTTGCCCTGGACGTGAGGGGCGGCCCCCCTGAGGTCCCTGGAGAGAAGGAGAAGCCAGGGAGCAGCCCAGGGGCTCGGGAGCAGCCCGAGAGCCCCAGCAGTGGTGGTGGCGTGTGCCAGATCCAGCGGTACCGGGACCAGGATGCTGAGCGGCTGGCTAGTGCCGTGGAGCTGTGGCGGGGCAAGAAACGGGCAGCCTCCAGCACTGTGCTCAGCCAGTCCCTGGACCTGGGCCCGCGGGGTGCTGAGGTGCCCGGCTCACCCAAACAGTAAGGCGCCCTCCCATGCCCATGCTGGGTGGGGTCCCCCAAGATGAGGCACAGTGCTCAGGCTGAGCATGTTTCCCCCCCAAAATAGACAGTCTGCTCAGAAAGGTCCCGGGCCCCGTCCTCTGTAGTCTGTGGTGCCCATGCTGCCTGTGGGGGACTGTAGACCCTTGTGAGGAGGTGTGGGAGGGTGAGTGTCCCGGTTCACCCATGAGTTTTCTGGCCCTGCAGGGAGAGAAGACCATCCTTGCCCGCAGGCGACGTGGCCAAGGTGCTCCCGTCTCTGACGCAGCACAGGGGCCAGGTAAGGCCCTGGGGAAAGGGGGGCCGGGGGCCACGTGCACCCGCCACTCGCCACCTGCCCCTTCTGTGCACAGCCGCCGGTTGAGAGCCTGGACGGGGATCCGGGCAGCAAGAGGCACACCCAGAAGAAGAAGTCCAGCGATGCGGCCGCTGGGTCTCCAGACGCGGGGCTCTCTGCGGGATCCCCAGCTGACTCGAAGTGAGCCCTCCCTGCGGCACCCACACAGCCGGCTCCTGGGGAGGCACTGGGTGGGAGGGGGCCTCCTCGTTGCTTGAAGCCGAGGGGGCCACAGTGGCTGAGTGCCCCAGGTGGCAGTCGCAGCCCCAGCGGAATCCCCACTCTGCCCACAGGTCCACTTTTAAGAGGCTATTTCTGCACAAAAGCAAGGACAAGAAGTACAGCCTGGAGAGTGCTGAGGAGGCGGAGGGTGCGGGGTCCACGCACGGCCCACTGGAAGCCACTGCCAAGAAGAATCTAGAAGGTGCCCTGGAGAAGCCCGCCAAGGAGCCGGGGGGCAAAGGGCGGAAGAGCCGGGCCCTGAAGGTGGGCCGCATCACGGTGTCTGAGCGGTGGCGTGAGTCAGTGTTCCGGCAGATAACCAACGCCAACGAGCTCAAGTTCCTCGACGAGTTTCTGCTCAACAAGGTGGGTGGCAGCCTGCACCCTGGCACGGCCGTGCGTGGAGAGGCTGCAAGGCAGGACACAGACCTGCCCGGGCTCCCTGGGCACAGGGACACTCAGGGTGACCCCCGTAAGCACGGGGGCAACATGGCTGGGTGACCTTCTGCAGGTGAATGACCTGTGCTCCCAGAAAACCCCCATCGAGAGCCTGTTCATCGAGGCCACTGAGAGGTTCCGGAGCAACTTGAAGACCATGTACTCCGTTCCTGTGCGTGCGCCCCCCCTTCACCATCCCACCCCTGGCTCCTCCCCCTGGGCTGTACCCCCATGCCCCCCACCGTCCCACATGGTGGCTTCTCATCCCACTTCAGAACGGGAAGATCCACGTGGGCTACAAGGACCTCATGGAGAACTACCACATCGTGGTCAGCAGCCTGGCCGCCGAGCGCGGGGAGAAGGACCCCAACCTGGTCCTCAACCTCTTCCAGTCGCTGCTGGATGAGTTCACAAGGGGGCACACCAAGAGCGATTTTGAGCCCCCCAAGGTTGGCATGGTGGAGGGGGGCGTGTGTGGAAGCTCGGGCGGGGGGGCACAGGGTCCTCACCCTAACTCCCTCCTCAGCAGAGCAAAGCCCAAAAGAAGAAACGGAAGCAGGAACGTTCGGTGAGTGCAGCCCCTTGTGAGCTGGTACGGTGGGGGCGGCCTGGCCACGGGCCTGCGCAGAGCCTGCCCATGCTCACGGTCCTCCCTGCAGGTCCAGCAGCACAACGGGCACGTGTTTGCCAGCTACCAGGTCAACATCCCGCAGTCATGTGAGCAGTGCCTCTCCTTCATCTGGCTCATGGACAAAGCCCTGCTCTGCAGCGGTGAGTCCCGGCCCGCCCCCCCACGGTGACCCGCCCCTCCCGCATGCCCCGCCCCTCCGGACTGAGCCACGCCCCCTTTGCACTGTGCTCCCCCCTCCCCCCAGGCGGCAGAGCGTGCCCTGAAGCTCAGGCCGAGCATCGGCTGCACCAGTCTGCTTGTCTCCACAGTGACCCTGTCTGAGGGCTATCACAGGACTATGTCCTTTTGTCCCCGTGGGCATGGCTGGGGGTGTCCCACACCCCACATGGTGCTTTCCTCTCCTGCCCACCCCACCCACCGGCATCCCTCTGAGGTCAGAGGCCCCCTGACACTACCCCTTGCCCCCTAGTGTGTAAGATGACCTGCCACAAGAAGTGTGTGCCCAGGATCCAGACCTACTGCTCCTACACCTCGGGCAGCAAGGTGAGACCGCCCTGCGACCTGCAGGTGCTTCCAGAACTGGGCAGAGGGGGCCTGTGGGGTCCACCAGCGACCACCCATCCCCCAACCCCCGTAGCCACCATCCACAACCCTCCCTGTGCCTTGCAGGCAGAGCCGGGTGCCGAGCCAGGCCACTTTGGGGTGTGTGTGGATAGCCTGACGAGTGACAAGGCCTCCGTGCCTGTTGTGTTGGAGAAGCTTCTGGAGCACGTGGAGATGCACGGCCTATACACTGAAGGGCTCTATCGCAAATCTGGGGCTGCCAACCGCACACGGGAGCTCCGGCAGGCTCTGCAGACAGGTGAGGGGCCAGCAGGAGGGTGACGGGCCTGCAGGGAAGCAGATGTGGCAGAGAGGTGGACACTGGGTGGGGAGCACAGAGGGACACCATGGGGAGGGGGCCGCCCTGGCACGGTGGGGGGGCTACAGCGCACCTCTACGCTGCCGCCCACAGACCCCACGACTGTGCAGCTGGAGAACTTTCCGATTCACGCCATCACCGGGGTCCTGAAGCAGTGGCTGCGGGAGCTGCCCGAGCCGCTCATGACCTTCGCGCAGTACAGCGACTTCCTCCGGGCAGTGGGTGAGCTGGCGTGTGTGCGGGGTTCCTGCCCCTCAGGGTGGGGTGAGCCCGGGCAGCACTGACGCCCCACCGCCTCCACAGAGCTGCCGGAGAAGCAGGAGCAGCTGGCGGCCATCTATGCCGTGCTGGAGCACCTGCCCGAGGCCAACCACAAGTCCCTAGAGCGCCTGGTCTTCCACCTGGTCAAGCAAGTGTCTGCCATGGGGCGGGCGCAGGGTTGGGCCGGGGCCCTCCAGGTGCCCCCTAAGTGCCACTGCCCTGTAGGGTCGCCCTGCTGGAAGACGTGAACCGCATGTCGCCCAGCGCTCTGGCCATCATCTTTGCACCCTGCCTCCTGCGCTGCCCCGACAACTCGGACCCGCTGACCAGCATGAAGGACGTCCTTAAGGTCACAGCGTGAGTGACACCCACAGGATCCAGCCCACTGTGGAGCACTGGAGCCTGCCAGGGGCTGTGGGGGGTGGGATGTGCAGCACGGGTCCAGCGGTTTCCATTTGACCCCTCCAGATAGGCAGTGCCCCTCACATCCCAGAGGCCTGCAAACCCCATCAGCCTTGGATGTGGGTGATTGAGGTTGAACCTCAAACATCGCCTCCTGCCCGCAGGCCGGCAGGTCAGCACGGCTTCTGGGCTCCTTGCTGCTCACTCCAGACTAGGGTCCCCTAACTGACCCAGACAACTGAACAGGTGGATGTCGTAGGGACCCACCAGTGGGAACCCCAGAAACCTGCGCCCAGCACCCCTAGCCAGGTCATTGTAGGGTGACCCGGGTCAGCATCCATCGCCCACGAGGATCTGCTCTCAAGGACCCGACTAGCCTTCGGGGCGGTGAGCAAGCGGGCATCCCCGCAGGTGCGTGGAGATGCTGATCAAGGAGCAGATGAGGAAATACAAGGTAAAGATGGAGGAGATCAACCAACTGGAGGCCGCTGAGAGCATCGCTTTCCGCAGACTCTCCTTCCTACGACAGAACTCGGTGAGCTCTGGGCTGTGGGCGGGGCAAGGTGGGGGCGGGGCCAGAGGGACAGATCTGACAGAACTAGGATTCATAGGGGGCGGGTCTAGTCAGGGGCGGGGCCTAGAGGGACAGTTCTGATGGGACTAGAACTTACAAGGGGCGGGGTAGGCAGGGGCAGGGCCTAGAGAGAGATCTGATAGGACTAGGACTAAAGAGGGGCGGGTCCTGGGCCCCTGGACTCCTCCCCTCCACGGGGGCGGGGTCTGCCTAGCTGGGGCGTGCCAGTGGGTGAGGCCTATCCAGCTGCTCTATCACGGATAGGCCCTCCAGTGTATCTGTGGGCGGGGCCTACCTGGGGCAGCTTCTGTTCTCCACAGCTCCCAGCTCTTGGCTACATGCAGTGCAGCTGGGCCCAGAACTTCGTGGCAGCACCAAGAGGGCCAGAGTCCCTCCTACTTGCCAGAACTATCACTGACCAGCCTCTCCGGGCAGTGTAACCTGTCCGGGCTCGGGCCCTTCCCAGCCTGGTGCCAGCCGACCTGGGCTAAAGTGGACTAGGAAGTGCTTGGGAGAAGTGGACTAGAATGGGGGTCGTCAGAGGACGCACCGTTGTCCTCTGAGGCACACACTGCCAGCGTACCCTTCTCCCCTGTGGTCACCCTCTGTTCATCTTTCTCCCAGCCGTGGCCTCTCAGACTGGGGTTCTCGTCTCCCTATGAGGGGGTCCTGGTATGTACGTGTTGGGCGGGTCTGCATGCCTCCCACTGCAGTGCATGCGGGTCCACTTAGAATAAATAGGTATGCATGCCCTAATCCTCTGGAGGGGCCTGCCGACCCCACCCTCACTAACCTGCTGGTTACACGATCCCCTCCCCCCTCCCCCCGTAAGAGCACATCTACCCCTTGTGGGGCCCAAGGCACCCCCCCACACACACACGCACACATACCATTTTTTGCATCACAGGGCAAGAGCCCCAAGGCCCGGTCAGGTGGCAGTGGCGGCAGGAGCCCTGAGGAGCTGGGGGCGCTGCTGGAGGAGGAGGCAGCTGCTGGGGACGAGGACCAGGAGAAGCACATTCTCATCGAGCAGATTCAGTCTATCAAGGAGGAGAAGCAAGTGTCACCCCCACCCCCACCCCACCCTGAGCTCAGCTGACGGTCAGAGGCTGGTGGAGCTTTGTGTGGCCCCTGACTTAGTGGCATGTCCATGGTTCCTTGGCCAGAGCCCTCCATCCCCAGCTGCACAGGGCACCCAGGGGACACAATGGCCCTGATGCTGTGCTGGTCTGCTGCGGGGTGGGGGGCTGCTTCAGTGGCCGTCTCTCCCCCCAGGGAGGACATCACCTACCGGCTGCCTGAGCTGGACCCGCGCGGCTCAGACGAGGAGAACGTGGACTCGGAGACATCAGCCAGCACCGAGAGTCTGCTGGAGGAGCGCACAGGGCGCAGCGGTGCTGGTGCCGCCGAAGGTCAGTACCTGCGGCCTCAGCCGTTTCCCCGCGTCCATCACCCGGGCCTCACCGCCGCTGCGGTAACCCTGCCGTCTCTTTCAAAAGGGCCCCCCGCGCCGGGTACCCCCTGTCCCAGCACGCCCGCCCCGAATCCCTTCCCCGCGGCGGGCGCCCCTCCGCGACGAAGGCCGTCGTGTTCCTTGACGGTCAGAGTGAAGACGCCCCGGCGGACCCCCGTCATGCCCACGGCCAACATCAAGCTCCCGCCCGGCCTCGCCTCGCACCTGGCTGGCCTCGCACACGGCGCCCAGCAGGCTGCCCCAGTGAGGCGCCGGGAGCCGCCTGCCCGCCGCCCGGACCAGGTACACTCCGTCTACGTGGCACCCGGCGCCCACCTGCCTGCTCAGGGCCCCCATGAGCCGCTGGACACGGACGAGCCGCTGCCAGGGGCCCAGCGGAGGTACTCGGACCCCCCCACCTACTGCCTGCCCCCTGCCGCGGGACAGGCCAACGGCTGAGAGTCCAGCCCAAGCTGGCCGAGGTGCTCTGGAGGGGAACGACCGGGATGCAGCACTCTGGGGACAGGCACCGCCCAGGGCGGCACCTAGGAGAGTGTGGTTGGGCCACAGCTGGGCTGACCCAAAGTGCCAGTCCTGGGGGGGTGGGGGGCGTGGCCCCTCCTCCCCATTTTGTACGTTTTTAAGGTAGCTTCCTGAGTGGTTTACATAACTTGAAACTGTAACAGCCTTAACAGAAGACCAAAATCTTTTTTATACTCCTGCGAACTGGGATATTCATTCCTGCATCTTCTTGGGGGCCTTAGAGCCCCGCCACCGCCGCTGGTCAGCTGGGGAGGCTCAGACCTGCACAGGGGGCCCGGGTCAGTCAGCCACCTGGCTAGGATGCGCTGCTCGAGCGTTGGAACTCCCGGGACAGACTGTGCTCCCCAAGGCTGCAGCAGAACGCACCCTGGACACCCGGGAAGCCACCCTGCACCAGAGCCCCAAGACTTGAGTGTGTGGGCCAAGGGTCTGCACACCTGCTGGGCAGTTCTGTGCTGATGGCCCCGGTCTGTGAAGGGCGGCCCACAAGCCCTGCGAAATAAAAAGTGCCTGTGATACTTGCATATTCTTGACCTGTGCTTCAGGTTTGGGGTTCCCCATACCCCTCAACAGATGGAGGAATGCAGGCGAAAGCCCGTGCCACCAGCTTCTCCCAAACTGTTTCTGGGGGGCTTGGGGGAGTGTAAGAAACCCGCTCAGTGGAAACAGAGGGCAGTGCCCTCCTGCACCGCTCCCACCTTTCAAACACCTGGGGATTGCTGGGAAGTGTGATTTGCAGGGAGGGGGGGCCTACATGGTGTGCGGTGCTCAGGCCTCCCCTTCTCTGGGGAGCCGTGTACTTGCCCCTCCCCCACGCTGAAAGTGACGGGGCTTCACTTGCTTGGGTGAGGGGCTGGCCTGCTTCCTAGGGCTTCTCTCTGCAATGAGTCTGGTCAGGAGAGGCACCTTTAGGATGCACGCCAGCTCACATCTCCCTAGAGGTAGATGTCCCTATCGGCCCATTCGGCCCCGGGGCCAGGAGGAAGTGGAAGCACTATTCCAACTCAGGTGCCTGGACAGAAAAATCTACGCAGGAGTGAGCTTAGGGGAGGATTCTGGGTGGCGGTGATGGAGTAAGAGGGCGCACTGGCCAAACAGTCCAGCAGCTAGCTCACTTTCACTGCACCAGGCCAACCCGGTTCGATCCCCCGCATCCTGTGTGGGCCCACAAGTGACTCCTGAGTACAAGCCAGGAATAACCCCTGAGCATCGCTACGTGTGGCCCAAAAATAAAAACAAAAGATGAGGACGAACGGAACGTGACCTGGCAGTTAATGAATGACCAGGTCCAGTAATAAAGCAAATAGCGAAGGATGACTTTTCACTCTGGAGAGGCCAGTGTTTTAAACACCTCCCTTCCCACCCTCTCTCTCGCCCGCCTCACATCTACATTTCTTTCAATAAACTATTTGCTTCAGTAAAAATTAATTTTTAAAAGATAAGCGAGCGATTCCGCCCGGAGTAAAGATGGACGCGGTGGCAAGGCGCACTTCCGCCCGAAACAGGTCGGCGAGACCGAGCGAAGTTCATCCGCCCAGAGGGCACTTCCGCCCTTCCCGAAGATGGCGCCAGCGGAAAACGCGGGCTACTGCCGAGCGGTGACGACCGCGTCCAGACTGGAGCTGAACCTGGTGCGGCTGCTCTGCCGCTGCGAGTCGATGGCAGCGGAGAAGCGGGACCCTGACGAATGGCGCCTGGAAAAGGTGAGAGGAGCCTGCGCTGGCTCAAAGGGCCCAATTCGTGGGAGGTAGCGATCTGGCTTCCCAATCGCCACCCGGGCCACGCCCCTTCCGGTCTGCCGCCACGTCCACCTGGAGCCACGCCCCTTCGTGGTCCCACCCATTCCCACGCATGGCCACGCCCTCCTCCCCGCCCACTTACCTCTTGGACTGTGTTCCCCAGACTTCTCACTTTCCCTCCTAGTATGTGGGGGCCCTCGAGGACATGCTGCAGGCCCTGAAGTCCCAGATCAGGTGAGTGGAGGGTGCGCAAGACCTAGGGGGCCGACCCCCGCCCCAGAACCAGGAGCCTGGCAGAGTCTGACGTCTGCTCTCCTTGCAGCAAACCCGCCTCAGAGGTGCTCAATGAATATTCCCGCAAAGTGGATTTTCTGAAGGGGATGCTGCAGGCAGAGAAGCTGGTAAGTACGTGGCCTCAGCACCCAGGTTCCCCTGACAGCGACCTCAGCACTCCCACCCAGGTCCCTGCATTGCCCAACCCCGCCACTCTCACTTGTCTTCTGCAGACATCCTCCTCCGAGAAAGCTCTGGCCAACCAGTTCCTGGCCCCAGGGCGTGTGCCAACCACTGCCAGGGAGCGGGTTCCGGCTACCAAGACAGTGCATCTGCAGTCCCGGGCGCGGTACACCAGCGAGATGCGCAGCGAGCTGCTGGGAACGGTAGCACCCCATCTGGGCCCAGGGGCGGGGCTGGTGGCCAGAACAGCAGAAAAGATCAGGCCCAGGGACGCAGCGGGGGAGGGTACAGTCAGGAGCTTCAGCCCTTCAGATAGGCCTTCCCGAGAGAGGAGCACTGTCATGGGGTTTTGCTAGATGAATAGGAGTTTGGGGCAAGGCACAAATGAAAGTAGTGGCTCCTGCCAGCCTGCCTGGCTCTGCCCAGAGTGAGGGTTGATTCGCCTCACCACAGGTAGCTGCTGTGTCCCATGCACAGCCAGAGGCCCAGACGTGACAGTACTTTCCCTGACTGAGGAGGGGGAGAATCCGAGGTCAGGAAAGACGTTGCAGGGAGGAGAGGTGGGTGACATCATTTCCTTCCTCCCCAGGACTCTGCGGAAGGTGAGTGCCCACGTGTCTGGAGGACTGCTGCTTGAAACCCGCCCACAAGAGGGTCCTGAGAGCACCACCGGGTCATAGCGGCCCCCAGAGGAAACAGGGCCCGATGTTCGCAGCTGGACTCTAGGGGGGAGTATGCAGGGAACCCTGTGGAGGCGAGGGGAGCTTTCCGACCCCGGAGCTGGTGGGGGTGAGACAGGCATCGGTTGGGGACTGCATCACCCCAGGACTGGATCCCGTCCAGCCCTCCTCTCTGACCTTCTCTGCAGAGCTCCAGCTGCCTGTGAGGAAAAGGAGGTGAGTGTCTGCTCTGGGGCCTTCCTGGGGGTGGAACCTGGGGTGCTGAGCGCCACACCCCAAGAGGTAGTGTGGTAGGGGGACCAAGAGGTAGTCTCTACCTCTCCCCACCTCGCGGCCACATGTGTGCTCAGTGGGGCGGCAGGTCCCAGGCCAGGGGATGAGAAGCAGTCGGCTGCCGAGCTCGACCTGGTCCTCCAGCGTCAGCAGCAGCTGCAAGAGAAGCTGGCGGAGGAGATGCTGGGCCTGGCACGGAGCCTCAAGACCAACACACTAGCGGCCCAGAGCGTCATCAAGATGGACAATCAGGTGAGGGTCGGGGTTCTGTACCCTCTGTTCTTGGGGCAGCGACTTGGCACAGGGGTGCTGGGGCTGTGGCTTAGCTGACTGAGTAGGAGTCCGGGAAAAGGCCCCAGGCGCCGTTCTCCACGGCGGAGGGGCTGCTGGTGCCAACAGGCCCGTGGACATCCTCCTACCTCTGTGCCCCCAGACCCTGTCGCACTCACTGAAGATGGCTGATCAGAACCTGGAGAAGCTGAAGACGGAGTCCGAGCGGCTGGAGCAGCATGCGCAGAAGTCGGTCAACTGGCTGCTCTGGGCCATGCTCGTCATCGTCTGCTTCATCTTCATCAGCATGATACTCTTCATCCGCATCGTGCCCAAGCTCAAATAAAGGTCGCCCACCACCTCTAGCCTCTGTTCGTTCTCCCTGTCCCTGGAGATGTCTGAGCAAAGGGGCCACTGGTCAGCAGCCACCCCCACCCAGGAATCCCCTTGGGGTGAGCCAGAGCTGGACACACCTCAGGGGTGAAGCCTGGAGATCAGCCTGGAGGAGGGGCAGTGGGGGGGGAGAGTGTCCTGGATTGAAATAGGTTGTTCAGGAAGCAACCCCCCACCCCCAGCAGCCACTGAGATAGCGTCATCCAATCATTTCACTCCACACACAACACATGGGCCTGGAGACCCACCCACGGCTCGCCCAGCATATCAGAGAATTGAGCTGGACCCTGAATGGCCATGGGCGAGGGATTCCCGGATAGCAAGTTCTGGCCCCGCTGTCCACCCCAGACTGAGGACTAAGGAACAAAGAGGGAGGTGGGGGTGTGTAGTGACCACCCTTGAGGTCTGCAGGGACATACCCCAGGCTCACTGCACAGAATCACCAGGTACAGCTTGGTAAATGCTCTAGTGGCTGCACTTCTTTTGGGGGGATTGGCACCTGGAACAGAGCTTTGGGGCTCACCCAGCTCAGAGAGACCCAGTGAAGGCCCAAGGGATCGGCACACATAGGGGGGAGGGTCAGCGGTCACCCATTTGGCTACCTCTGCTGCCCCCTAGTGGCAGCAGTGCCTTTAAAAACTGTTTTATTTTGTGTTTGGCTTTTGTTCAAGTTGGGGGTGGGAGAGTTGTCGTGCTTCCCTCATGCAGAATCTATGCTCAGTCCTGAGCCGTCACCTGACCCAGAGTTTATACATTAATTTGTTTTTTGTTTTGGGGTCACATCCGGAGATATTCAACCTGACTCCTGACTCAGGAATCAGTCCTAGCGGATTCAGGGGATCCTATGAGGTGCTGGGGATTGAACCCTGGTCGGCTGTATGCAAGGCAAGCACCCTACCCACTGTCATATTGCTCCAGCCCCCGAACTTTAAACTGAAAGCATTCCTGGAGCAATGACTGAATGACACTGGCAGCATTTGGGAAAACCTGTCCCCACCTTGGCTGCAACATCCCGATCTGAAGGGGGCAGCATGCTGGGCAACCGCCTTCCGGCCACTGAGCTGGCCCAATCTGCGGGCTGCTGAAGGGTCCTGTATGACTTTTCTGGCCCGGGACATGTGTGAGGTTCATCCGTGGCACAGCACAGGCAATTTTTTGCCCTTTGGTTTGAGTTTTACTGGGGTGGGAGAGGGGTCGAGTTCTGACCTCATAACCTCATACTACACTGAACAATTACTCCATAATGAGGCGATTTTTGGTTTCCTTAAGCTTTTGTAACTTACTTTTTATTTTGTATTTTTCTATTTCATTTACATTTTCCATTGGTTACTTAAAGCAGTACTTCAAACTATAATTGCTGGGGCAGGAGAGATGATCCTCAGAGTAAGGCCCATGCCTTGCATGCAGCCAATCCAGACTCAATCTCCAGCACTTGCATGCTGAGCATGCTCTTCCCCCCAAAAAATGCATCTACTATGAGGTCCGAGAGTGCATCTACAGGATTGGAGCACGCACGACAGCACAGATCTTGCACGCAGGAGGGGTGCCGGGTGGTGCACAGTTCAAGAGCACCACAAGATACGGCCAGAAAACAAAGCAGAAAGATGCAAATTTTTTTTTTTTGCTTCACATCCAGCGATGCACAGGGGTTACTCCTAGTTCATGCACTCAGGAATTACTCCTGGCGGTGCTCAGAGGACCATATGGGATGCTGGGAATCCAATCCGGGTTAGGCCGCGTGCAAGGCGAACGCCCTACCCGCTATCTTTCCAGCCCCAATTTCTGAGAAAAGAAAGGAGTGGAGTAAAAGTTTCCCCTGAATCCTCGGGTTTTCTTAAAAATAAACTAAGAGTCAGAGTGACTCATTGGTACCCAACAGAAGTCGGATTCCGTCCTGCTCTTCCAAGGTTCGGAGTCGCCTGGGGCATCAGCGGGCCACGGCCAGGCCCCGCCCCTCCGGCATTCAACCAGGCTCCGCCCACACTGTCGGGCCCCGCCCCCTCGGTCGGGTCCGCCCCTCGAGGCACCGCCCTGGTCCTGAGGAGCGAGCGTCCAGTAGTGTCCCGTCTGCAGTTTACGGCACTGGCCCACGCGCCTCTCTGAGAGCTGGCCCAGGCTCGGAGCCCAGGACGCTGGGACAGGTGAGCCGTCGATGCGGCCCGCAGCCCAGGCCGAGATCCGGGTGGTGCCAGGGACGTTGTCGGTAGGCTACACACTCGCACCGCGGCGGCGGGAGAGAAGCGGGGGGGTGGGGGGGGTCAGCGGGGCGCGTGACGTACAGCTCATTTGCATAGGGCCCTTCCGGGTTGGCGCCGCGGGCCAATCGCGAGCGTCCGTGCGCGGAGCCCGCCCAGCGCCGCAGGCTCGTCCTCTAGCTCCCGTGTTCGCAGGCCGCCCGCCGTCCGCACCCGCCGCGCGCGGGCCCCGCCGCGTCCCGCGCCCCGCGCCCGCCGGCCCGGGGCCTCCCGGGGTCCATGTCTCCCCGGGAGCGGCCCCGCATCCGCGGCCCTCGGGGCCACCCGCACAGCCGCCCGCCTGACCCCCGGCCCCCGGTGAGTCCAGGAGTCGGCACTGCACGTTTGAGGGCGCCCCCTTTCCTACCCGTGCGGTAACTCCTGCTCCGTGATCCCCGCGGCTTCTGCAGAGGACGGAAACCAGCGCCCGCCGCCCGCTGTGTCAGCCTCAACCCAAAGCTCGCAAGCGCAGGCCCAAGAAGATTGTATTTGAGGATGAGCTGCCCTCCAGGGCCCCCCGAAAAGCTACGAGGCCCCCTGGCCGAGCCCCAGAGAAACCTCTGCTGAAACGCCACCCAGTGCCCGACTATGAGCTGTGAGTGTCCCCTGAGCCCCAGTGGGATTCCGGAGGCCTCTGAACAGGGATGCAGGGAAGAGGCACCAAGCCTGGGGCCGCAGTAGCTGCACATGAGCTCCCCAGACAAAACGAGCCTATGGGCAGCCACACCAGCTGAAGCGAAGAGAAGCATATTGAAGGGACTGGGGCAAAAGGAAGTGTTGACTCCATGCCCCAAACTCTACAGGAAATATCCCCCCGTGAGCAATGCCAGGATGCGAAGCCAATATGCTGCCGTCTTCCAGGACCAGTACCCCGAGCTCTTAAAGCTTCAGCAGAACGTGGGCCAGGCCCAGGCAAAGCTGCAGCAGCTGGAGGTCCTGCTGAGCGCACTGCCCCCACCCCGGAGCCAGGTCAGTAGCGAAGGGCTCCTGGGTGACCTGGGCACCTGCTTCACCCAGTTCCCGCCAGCAGGGTGCGCTGCAGGGCCTTAAGGGACTGGCCTGAGCCCTTCCCTCCTGCCCTGCAGAAGGAGGCACAGGTCACTGCCCACCTCTGGAGGGAGTTTGAGAAGAAGCTGAAGGTAAGTGTGAGGAGCACCCCAGCCTTCTGGCCCTGCAGCCCGGCCACATGACCCCAGTGTCCAGGAGAGAAAACTGAGACTCAAAAAGGAGAGCTGCCACAGCAACCCCCTTCCCCGGACTTTCCCACCCAGGATCCCAGATTCCTGGACAAGCAGGCACGCTGCCACTACCTGAAGGGGAAACTGAGGCATCTGAAGATGCAGATCCGGAAGTTTGATGAGCAAGAAGATAGTGAGGGCTCCGTGTACTTCTGAGCATCCCAAGACCAACTGGGGTCTAGAAAGGGTTGTCGCTGCCCTTGCCTCTCCCAACCCCCAACTCTCCACTTGGGGCAGCTTGCTGTTTACAAAGGCCTTTGAACCCCGGAACTCTTCCTCCAGGAAGTCTTCCAGGAGCTCCAGGCCTGCCTCTCTTGCCCTGTACCCTGGTGACCCCAGGTCTCAGCACCATCTCTTGGATCACTGTGCTGCAGTCAGACTAATATGTATTAAAAGCAGCTGTGTACAGGCACTTCACACTCCTCAAGCTGTCAATACAATAAACTGTTCTCCCAATTCCCAGGGGTAAACTGAGGTTTTTGAGAGGGACTTAGGGCCTCCAGGCTCTGACCTCTGCCCAGAGCCTCAGGGGTCTGACCCTCAGTGGCTCAGCTTACTCCGTGGACCCCAGGTATGCTCTGGAGGTGCCCAGAGTCTGCATGCAGCTGACCCCAAAGGGGTGAACTCAGCCTGGCAACTTGGGAGACGTGCTGATACCCCAGATAAAAAGTGCTCCCCTACCCCACAGCACAGCTAGCGGCTTCCAGACCTGCCTCCTGCTGGCAGGCAGTACCAACCCCTACGCCTCAGCCTCCCAAGGGGAAGTCTGGGGCTTGCGGCATGGACATAACCTGCTTCAGGTAAAGCTTGACCATTCATTTCAAAGGCATCAGGGCTCCTTGCCATCTTCGTTGGACTCAGCTTTGTGTGGTGCTTATCCCCTCAGGGCCTGAATCCAGCAGATTTGTTGGGAAGATCTGACCCACCTGCACCCCCATCCTGCAACCAATCCATGGCCAAGGAAATAGGCAGCATAGTCTGTGAGGAACCCATCCCATGGGGCCAGAGCGATAGGACGGGATGGCCTATAGGGGCTTTGCCTTACATGTGGCCAAACCAGGTTCAATCCCTGGCACGCCATAGGGTCCCCCAAGCACCGCAAGTGAGCCCTGAGTGCAGTGCCAAGAGTTATCCCAGAGCATCACCAGGTGTTCCCCATCCCCCAGGGAAAAAGAGAAACCAATCCGATATTTTTCCTGGGGACACTGCAGCCCAGACACGTGATTAGATGTGAGCAAAGCAGTGCTCTGGTGTTAGGTATGAGGAACTGCCGGCGGGCTGGTCATGGACAGGCCAAGAGGCCCACGCTTCTGGTCAGAGACAGCAGGGAGCCCGTGCGGATCGGAAATGTCTTTATTATTGGCCTTGATTCTCTCAGCGTGTAGTGTACCTTACCGATACTGTCCAGGGAGCCCAGGCCGGGACTATCCCCACCAGCAGGGGGAGGGCATTGAGGGGCAGCAGTGGCCGGGACTGGCCCATTTCCAGTTCCTGGTCACCACACCACCGGGGCTCTGGGAAGGGCGTGGGGGGAGCGTGGAAAATCAGTCTCTTTTTGGTTTCATGATCATTGAAAAAACAGAAAAGACAAACACGTCACAGTCTTTAAACAGGAGTCTGTGGAGCAGGGAGCCTCCGGGCTGCCGCTGGCGTGAGGTCACTGGCCGGAGCCATAGGGCCAGTTGAAGGTGCTGCCGGACAGCAGCATGTCCCGGATCAGCGTCTCGATGGGAGTCTTGCCCACTAGGCGCATGAAGAACAGCTGCGAGATGAGCGAGGCGGGCACTGCGCGCAGAGCGGGCAGCCGCAGCAGCAGACGACCGAAGCGCTGCGGCTGCCCCGGGTACTGGGCGCGCACGTACTCGGTGAGCGCCACCTGCGCCTTCTCCTGCAGGCTCTCCACGTGCGCGGGGTCCGAGAGGCCACAGGCGTCTGCAAGGCGGGGGGGGGGGGGGGGGGGGGGGGGTGCGGCAAGGAGCAAGGGGCGCTCAGCGGGGGCGGGGCCCGGGGCTGGCACTCGGGCACCACCACCACCCCCCCCCCCCCGCGCCCCCGGGACCACTAGCAGGATCTGGAGCGGGGGAGATGTAGGTCAAGGCGGAGCGGGACAGCACTGGGCGCTGCCCTGGATTACAAAGGGGTGGGCGGGGGACGGCCAGGCTCCGCCCCCGGCCCCCGGCCCTGGCCCAGCCGCGCCTGCCTGCGGAATCGCGCCCCCCAACCCCCTTCCCTTCCAACTGGGCGTCCCTGCTGCTAAACGCTCCACGGAGAGACGCGGCCTGAATCGGGGGTTCCGAGCGTCTGGGGGGCTGGGGATCCCCGGGGTCAGGGAGTGGGCACGCGAGGGCCGGGGTCCCCCCGTCGCCACTCACCGGGGGTGAAGAGCGCGATGGCCTTGAGGCAGCCGTACTCGGCCGAGTCCACCTGCAGGCGGCCCAGCTTGTCCACCTGCTCCTGGAAGGCGCGCACCTGGTCCATGAAGGCCACGGCGCGGTCGGCGGCCATGGGCGAGGCGTGCAGGCCGGCGGCGGCCAGCAGCGGCGCCGTGTGCAGAGGCAGCGCGGCCTGCGCGGCGTTCAGCACGAACAGCTCGCTCCAGCTGAGGCGCAGCAGCGCCACCTGGTCGGCCACGGGCAGCTCGGGGAAGAAGGGCGCGTGGCGCGCCCACTCCACCGTGCTGAAGAGCAGCCGCGCCGCCAGCTCGCACACGTTGTCGATGCCCAGCACGGCGCCCGCGCCGCCGCCCGCGCCGAAGCGCCCGGCCGCCGCGGGGTAGGGCTCGGCGCGCAGCAGCTGCGCGATCAGCTCCGACACCGGCTGGCCCGGGAACAGGTCCCCGCCCGCCGCCGCCGCCAGCGCCGAGCCCGGGGGGCTGCCCGCCGGCGCCGCGCCGGCCCCCGGCAGCGAGTGCGGGATGCGGCCGCGCTGCACGGCTGCGGGGGAGAAGAAGCAGGCGGGACGCCGTCAGCCGGGGGCCCGCTCGCGCCCTCCCGCGCCCACCCCGCCCCCGGCCCTCCAGGGTCCCCAGCGCCACCGTCAGGGGGTGAGGGAAGGGAAACTGATGGACGAACGGGACAGGGCCCGCCTGTGCCCTGGCGAGGGGCAGAGGCTGAGCCGTAAGGCACTGGGGGCAGGAAAGGGAGGGGGTCGGAGAGACACCCCGTGCACAGACACACCCCCAATCCCACCAGGCCAGGTCTGACAAAAGCCACAGCCCTCTGAGCCCCCAGGCTGAGTGGGGAGGAGCCAGGAAGTGGGAATACTGGGAGCAATCAGGAGGGCTTCCCTGAGGAGGTGTGGTCAGCTCCTCTGGAAGGTGGGGGGAGGAGGCCGCGGAGAGGAACAGCAGAGCCTGCCCGGGCCCCGGGGTCAAAGGCCGGGTCGGGTGGGGTGGGAGAGTCCCAGTGGCAGGCTCAGGGTCACAGAGCTGGGCCCCAGGAGGACGTCTGGGCCAGGGAAGAGGCCGGTCAGGCGCTGGGAAGCTGCCCTTTGCCTCAGTGAGGAGAGGCCTGCCCTGGTCAAATTGCAGGCGGTGGCTGCAGGAGCGGATTGGTCAGGCCGGGACCTCAGGGAGGCCAGAGGGCAGGGTGAGGGTCTGGGTGCCAGTCCCTGCCTGTGTTCCACTCACCCTCCTTCCTCATGCCCACCCGGAAGCACTTCTTGAGCCGGCAGAACTGGCACTGATTCCGGTGGTGCTGGTCGATCTGGCAGTCACGGTTAGACCTGTGGGCACAGGAGGTCCCTCATGTCCTACCACCAAGCCCCACTCTAAGGCACCCTTGGAAGCTGCAGGGCCTCCCTAGCATTGGGGTCCCACAGAGGCCCCGCCCGGCCTGTAGGACATGAACAGGAAGAGTAGAGCAGAAAGGGCATGCTGGATGGGGTTTTGAAGGATGAGCAGGAGCTGGGAGGGGGGAGGCAATGGCAGTCGGTGGCAAAGGCTAAAAAGATGCCAGAGGCAGGCCTGACAGCCCTGTTCTGGGAACCAGGTGGGGACACCAGGGGGGGAGCACATGCTCTGCACCAGGGAGCCCTGAGAGCGACTCCAGGACCTCTGGTGGAGACACAACAGTCCAGGGGCTGAGTGGGGTCTTGTCTCCAGTGGAGTCCTGACAAAGCAGAGCTCTGGGGGTGGAAGGAGGGTTTGGAGCCAGGCAGTGCCTATGCCCACCTGCTGTGACCCTGAGACCTCACACCACTGCCGGCCCCACCACCAAGAATGAATGAATGAAGTCCTTCCTCTGCTGAGAAAGGCCAAAGCCGCCTCAGTCAAAAGTCTGAGCCTCCCTGGGGACCGGTGTGGCCCCACCCTTTGACTCCAACCAGCACCTGCTCGCTCCTGCCCTGCCCAGACACCCCCACACACACACCCCCAATCGGCACAGCAAATGGTCAGTGACATCCAGATTCCACACCAGGGGCAGGGAGTGATGGCCACACATGTTAGTCCCCAAGTTTAATCCCCAGTCCCAACCAACCCAGCTGGGCCATACCCCCCCCCCCAGCAAGCGCCAGAGCTGTCTCCTCCTGGACCCGGGGTCGCTGGGGGTCACACGGTCCCAGGAGGAGGCCCCTGGCGCAGCAGCAGCCGCAAGGGAGCTCAGGCAGAACCAGAACAAAGGGGGCAGCTCGGCTGGGCGGTGGGAGGGCCCTGGGCAGCGGGGTGGAAAGGCCAGGTCGGGCGTCCTGCCCACCCCCGCACCTCACACTGCTGACCGGCCACACTGCGGCGGCCCCCGCCCCCCACCCCAACATGGCCCAGGGGGCCCTTCCCTCAACCCGCTGTCCTGAGAGTCCAGCCCCAGGATGCCAGTCATCCCTTCCTCAGACTCACTACATAGGCTGGAACTGGGGTCGCCAAGGCCCCCAGCAGATGGCTGGGTGCAGTTAAGAGTCCAAGAAGGACCTTCGCAGCAGGGTGACCCTCTGTTCCTCACCACTGCAACCCCCCCCAGACCCCCATCCTGACCGGGCCGCCAGGCAGCAGCAGAAATGAGGCCAAAGTCTGGTGGCCCAGTTAGAGGCCCCCCACCGACCCCAGAGCTGGGGCCAAACTCCCTCCCAGGGCCCCAGGGTCCTTGGGGGGGGGGCTGGTTGCCTCCGCCCGCAGGCCTGTGTGGGGAGGAACTCAGCACAGTGGCTGAGGACTCTGGGGCTCAGCTCACCCCTGGGGGGGCTGGGGGGTGCAGCACATACAAAGTCGGGCTTGCTAGCAGCATGACACCTCACCAGTGAGGAGAGAACTGGGTTTGGGTTGGACAACAGCTTCCCAGAGCCACTGACGAAGGTGCCCACCCTGCAGTGGCAAGCCACAGCCCCCCAGGGTCAGGCAGTTCTCAGTCTCCCTCTGAACCCCTCCTGCCTAGGGCTGCAGGACCCAAGCAGCAGCCGGCCTGGCCTAATGCTGCGGGTCTGTGGGACCCCTGGTCGGAGGTGGGGGTGAGGGGGCTCAGAGCAGCTTCCCTGCGCCCCCAGGCCCTGCGGCCCCCACCCCGCACCAGCTAGGGCAGCCGGGCTCCCGCCTCCTCCTTGGGTGGCCAGGGCGACTTTGGAAGTGATATTTGACCCCAAGGGCGCGCCATATCGATCCGCGCGGCCTCAGACAATGGCCTGGCCGAGGCCAGCTGCCGGCTCCAAGTTTCACGTTCGATTCCTGCCGGGGGCCCCTCATGCTGGATCCCCAAGCAAGGGATGGCCGGGGGGGGGAAGGGTCCCCAGGGTCCGAGCCCTGACAGCGCCCCCACCTATCAGGGCGCCCTCGGGAGGGAGGAGCCACCCACTGAGGCGGAAGCTGCTGAGGACCACCTGATGGGGGGGGCGTGCACAGCTGCGGCGCCAACTGTATACCCAGGCTCCGGGGAGCCGTGGGGCGGGGGGCCGAGCCCCCGGCTCCGAGGGGCTGTGCAGGCCCGGAAAGGTCAGCGCCTGGCCCAAGGTGACCGCGCAAGCCAGAGGCCGGGCCGGGGGCGGCGGGCTCACCGGCAGGTGTAGGTGAGGTTGCGGCGGATGCTCCGCTTGAAGAAGCTCTTGCAGCCCTCGCAGGTGAACACGCCGTAGTGCTTCCCGCTCGACTTGTCCCCGCACACCACGCAGTCCACCTGCAGCCCCGGGCGCTCCTCGTCGCCGGGCTCCGCGTCGCTGGCGGCGCCCGAGGGGGAGGCCGAGTCGTCCTCGGCCGCGCGCGGGTAGCCGCCCGCCTTGTCCACGCCGTTCCTTTCCCCGCCGCCGCCCGGGCCGCCCCAGCCGCCGGTCACCATGGCCATAGCCCCCGGGCCGCGGGGCCGGGGCGCCCTGTCCGCGCGCCTCCCGCCGGGCACCCCTGTGCGCCCGGGGCACCCTAGGCGGCGCGCATCCGGCCCCGGGGCGCGGGGGGCACCGGCTGCACACCCCGCCGAGAAAAGTTTTGCAGCAACTTCCTGCGGCCGGTGAGCGCGCCCGGGCGGAACTGGTCGGGCCGGTTCCAGGCCAACTTTCCCACGCGTGCGCGGGGCCGGGGCCCGGCCCGAGGGGGCGCGCTAGAGGCGCGGGCCGGGGGCGCGGGGTACTCGCGGCCCGGCGCCCCGGGGCCCCGGCGGGAGCGCGCGGGCCATGGCCCGGCCCAGGCTGCTCGGGGAGGCGGCCTCCGGCTTGGCCGCCGCTCGGCCGGGCGCTGCGGCCAACTTAGCGGGCCGCCATGCGCGCGCCGCAGGCCGGGGGGAAAGTTTGGCCGCAAGTTGCGCGGCCGCCCGCGGCGGGGGGAGGGGCGGCGGGCGCGCGCCGGGGCCCCGCGCCGCGCCCCCCGGCACCCGCCGCGCCCCCGCCGGCCGCTCGGGGCCTGCCGCGCCGCCGGCCGCCGCGCTCCAGCCGCCGCGGCCGCGCCCGCCCGGCCTGGGCCTGCGCCTGGGCCCGCGCCGCGCTCTCCCCGCCGCCGACCCCGCGCGCCGGCCTCGCGCTGCGGCCGGTTTGACACACAACGTCCCATCGGCGGGGCGGGCGCGGGGCGGGCGCGGGGGCAGGGGCGCGCGCCGCGGGCTGGGGGCGGGCGCTGGTTGCCCGGGCGACGGCCGCCCTTATAAGGGCATGGGTGGCCGCGCGCGGCGCCCGGCGCCCCGGCCGGCGGGAGGACGGGGGCGGAGCGCGGGGCCCCGGCCGGGCCCGCCCCCGCCCCGCGCCTCCCCCCCGCCGGCCGTCCGAGCCCCGCCGCAGCCTTAACCCCTGCCCGGCCGCCGCGCACCGCCCCGGGCCTTCGCCAGCGCGGCCCGCCGCCGGCCACCGCCGTCCCCCGGGCGCCCGGCAGCGCGCACGCGCCGTCGCCGAGGGACCCCCGGGTCCCGCATTCCGGGCCACGGCGGTGCTGGGGGTCCGAGCACCGGGGGGCACGCCCCTGCGCCATCCGCACACTCCCTCGCGCGTGCGCGCACACGCACACACGCACGCACGCGCCCCCGTGGCCGGCTCCGCGCTCTGGCCGCGCGGGGCGCGTCGTCTTCAGAAGTGGCCCCCGCCCCCCGCCCTTCCCCCCCGCGGCGCCCCCGGCCGACAACTGGGACTCGGATCCCCGGGGGACGGGGCTGTGGGGGCTGTGGGACGCGGGGTCAGGGGGCCTCTGGCTGCGGGGCCCGGCGGTATGGGGGGGGGGCGGCGGCGCGGCTGGTGACGGGAAGGCCCCTTCGGCCGCCTCCGCCTCGCCGGCCTCCCTTTCCCTTTAATTTCCTTTTTTTTTTTTCTGCTCTTTACTGAAAGGGTGGGCCGGCAGCCGGCTGCACCGCAGAGGCCCTTGCCGGGCCCTCGCCACCAGCCTCGCAGCTGCCGCCCCGCCCCGCCCCCAGCCCCTGCCCTCCTGCCCGCATTTATTAAACACCCTTTGTATGCCCCGGGCGGCCCGGGCAGGGCTAGCTCCAGCCGCGGCCCCGAGCCTGTTAACCTTTAACCGGCTGGAAAATCCCCGCGGGACCTTTCACCCGGGAGTCCTGCGGGTCGGCCGGCCCGGCCTTATCTGAGACCGGCACCGGCACACGGCGGGGTGGGGGGTGGGCAGGGAGCACCGCGCACTCTGCCCCTGCTCCCCCGGCTGGGGATGAGGCACGTCTCCAGAAGGCATCCAGGGCACCGTGGGCGGGGCCGCTCCCTGGCCGCGCCAGGCTCCAGGGGAGAAACGGTTGGCGCGCTGCGGGGGACCCTGCAGGGACCGCCTGAAACCGCGTCCATGCAGGGGAGGTCGTCCCCTTGTCTCTGAGACCACGGCGGCGGGGTGCTAACCCTTATGTAAGGGTAGACATCCCAGAACCAGGTCGGACCAGCCCCCCTGCCCAGTTCCCCGGCCAGCCCACACCGCGCCCCCACCCCGGTCCGCCAAAGGGTGGATCCAGGCCCTGCACCGCCCCTCTGACCCCTGCCCGCGGCCCCGCGATGACATTTGACCTTGCGGCTGCCGCGGCCCGGGACAAAGGAACCCAAAGAGGCCAGGGTGCATCTGCCGCGGGGCGCCCCTGGGAACAGCCGGACCGGCTGGCGGCCGCCCGGGAACCCGCCCCGCCCCCTCGGCCCCACCCCAACAGGTGACAGCGGCTCCTTCGCCGGCCCCTGTGGACGACCCGTGGCCCCGCGGGCTGAGGTCGTTCCCCTGAGGACCGCTGTCGCTCCCCCCGAGGGCCCCTGTTACATCCTCCGCACCGCACGCACGCACGGGCGTCCTGCCTGCCTCAGTTTCCCCGCCTTTCTCAGAGGGCCCGAATCCAGAGACCCGGCCAGGGGGCCCTGAGACGCCCCTCCCCAGCCCACCCTCCTGCACAGGTGCGGCAGAAGAGCACCCCCAGCCCCAGGGCTTAGGTTTCAGCCAGGGAGAGGACAGCTGGCCACTGAGCCGGTCCCTCGGGTAGTGTCCAGCCCCCAATTTCAGACCTGAGGGGCGGGGCGTATACAAATATTATGCTAATTAACCGCCTGCTGCGCTGACTCTGGGCCCTGAGCGCCAGCAACAGCCCCTATAAGCCCTTAGCTCTGCATTCTTCTACCATGCACACTCCAGTCCCAGCATTCTTCTCCCACGGAAAGTTCTAGAGCCTGCAGAACTCTGCTCGGGGACTTCTTCCTGAGGTATGGCATCTTTTTTGTGGGACTCTGCCAAGGGTTGGTGAATGCCCTGATCCCAGGGGCCCACAGAGGGATCTTGATCATGAGAATTGGGGTTTCATTGGTGCTTGCATTCCTACCCCAATTCCTGTCCCGTCAGCCAGACATGACGCCCTCAGTCTGCTGGCACCTCCACAGGCCGCCTGGTGCCCTCCAAACACCCAGGGCCTTTTCCGGGGGGCTGGAGCGATAGCAGTGGTAGGGCATTTGCCTTGCACGCAGCCAACATGGCTGACCCGAGTTCAATTCCTCTGCCCCTCTTGGAGAGCCCGGCAAGCTACCGAGAGTATCTCGCCCGCACAGCGGAGCCTGGCAAGCTACCCGTGATGTATTTGATATGCCAAACACAGTAACAACAAAAGTCTCCAATGGAGACGTTACTGGGCCCGCTCGAGCAAACTGATGAACAACAGGAGGACAGTGACAGTGACAGTGACAGATCCCCATCATACCACCCACCACCCTGCCAAATCCCACTACACCAAACAGGTCCCAGATCGCCAAGTCACAGCCACAAACACCGCAAAGGAGTCCAAGGGCCTTTATGGCAGGGCCAGTCACAGCGTGCAGCTGTCCGGATCCCTGAGGGGGCTTACAGGAAGGTCTCCCCTGGCCGCGGGGGCCGTGAGGGCAGGGGCCGTGGGGTTCTCCCCAGGGCCCGGGCCATGGCTTCCAGCCCCGCCAGCTCCTCAGCGTGTCGCGCCTCCATCATTGCCATCTGCTGCTCCAGTTTCCGCCGCTGTTCCTCCTGCTTCCGGTGGGCACCACGGAAGGCCAGCACCAGGGAGCTGCGGGGTGGGGGGGGAGTGGGCGGAGTTGGAGGGACAGGGGCGGAGTCATGTGAGCGGGGGAGGAGCCTGGAGGGGCGGGGTCAAACTTGGGCTGGGACAGGCAGGTGGATTGGGCGGGGTCAAGGTAGGCGGAGCCCATGGGTTGGGCTGGGGCGGGGTCAGGCAAGGAGCCAGTGGAGGCTTTTGGGGGGTGCTGAGGGGCAGCAGCTGAGGTCCAAGAAAGTCAGGGTTCCCTCGCGGTCAGAGGTCCTAGAGGCAGGTGCCCACCTGTGAGCTTTGCACAACTCTCGGTTCAGCTCGGCACTCTGCATGCGCCTGGCTCTTCCCTTGTGAACCACCTGCTCCAGCTCCTCCCGCAGCGCCTGAAGCTGCTCCTGCAGGTCCAGCGCCCTGCTCAGATGAGAGAGCAGGTGGAGCCAGAGCCCGGCGGCCAGCCGGCCTGCCTGCTCCCTGCCGCGCGGCTTCCCGCGAACACACCAGGTACACTTGTGCACATGCATGCATATGCCCAGGTGCTTCATGTGAAAATATATACATGTTCCTATGTGTGTCCATGTATGTCGAGACATGTGGACACACCTGTCGATACTTTCCTGCCCAGGTGTTTCCTTGCAACCACATCTGCATACAGCCCTCCCCACACTCTCACATGCACCCCCACTCTCGGCTGGCTCCCAAGGTGGGCGTGGCCACCCACCGGGTGAGGGATGCTGCCAGTTCCTGGGCGAGCTTCTCCTGGTCCTGCTCCTGGCTCACCCAGCCACCATCAAGGCTCTGACTGCCCGCAGGGACAGCAGGAGGGTGCTGTAGAGGCAAAGGCGCACAGACTTCAGCTGAGCGAGCAAGTATGTGCTCATCCAGGCTGGGCACCAGAGCAGCCAGGCCCCTTGGATCCCAGCCGCAGCCACTGCACAGACACCCCAAGGCCATTCCCTCACACGGAAAACCAATGGCTGAGGGGAGAGGGGAGCAGGTGAGGTGAATCTAGCCTGGGAGGGGGCAAGGTCTGAGCTCAGGCTGACAGATTGATTGGTCAATACCCCACACAGGCCAAGTCTCGGGGATGTGATTTGAAGGAAGGTTCCGGAAGTCACTGTAGGCCTTAAGCATATGACAAGGAGACAGGAAAGCCGGCCTTGGGAGGAAGAAGGGGCTGGAATGTGGCCGCGGAGGCAGAGGGGTGAGCGGGGTTGACCTCTGTGCAAGGCTGCATACCAGAGCCCCTACTCCACCCCAAGCACTGCCAGGTATGACCCAACCCCTCCAAAAAGCATCAGCCCAAAGGCAGGAACACTGGACCCTAGGAGTGGCCCCTGCCAGGCAGACTTGGACCCTGAGCAAGGGAGGAGAGGTCACCTGGAGAGCCCCAGCGGGGCAGCTCACCGGGGGGAGGCCCTCGTCATCATCCTCGCTGCTGCTCCCAGCGCCACTGGTGTCCCCGGAGCTGCTGCCCGAGCAGCCCGCCTGGAGCAGCTCCAGCTCCCACCGCAGCTGGGCCTGCAGCAGCGCATGCGCGGGGCCCTGGGCGCGCAGCGCCGCCTCCCGCAGCTCCAGGCCTCGCTTCTCCCTCTGTACCAGCTGCAGCCGCAGCATCAGGTCCGCCAGGCTCTCCTGGAGTGCGGCAAGGCAGAGTGAGCGCATCCTCCTCGCCACGGGTTCTTCCCTGGGCCCGACCATACGCCCCTTGTCCCCCCCCCCCCTTTCCAGAGGGACATACGTGTAGAGGTGCCCATGGGCTATTATTCAGGCCTTTGTGCTCAGGAGAGCACCCCGCCCCCGTGTGGTGCTGGGCTGACCATATGCAAGTTGCGGTTGGCTGTGTGCAAGGTAAGCACCTTCACCACAGTGTGGTCTCTCCAGCCCCAGATTTAAGAGTTTTATGAGAAACTGGATACTAAAGGACAAACACCTACTCATCCCTCAAAACCTCAGCCCCAGTTCTTTTAGAAAGCCTGGCCGCGCCCAGCAGACTACCCCCTCTTGCAGTGGGGTTCCTGATCATGTCCCTCTTGGCAAAGGGTCTCAACTCTCCAACCCCAAGAAACACCGAGCCCAGAGCCAGCCCCCTAGGAGTACCCGGGTGGCTGCCAGGTCCTGCTGGATCTGGATCTTGTCCAGCTGGGGCAGTGCGGGGCCAGGCTGGGTGTCCAGGATGGCCTGGACCATGGCTTCTGCACGGGGCACGGTGGACATGGGTGTCAGGGTAGGGCCCGGCTCTGGGGGGATCTTCAGCAATGCCCGGTGCTCCTGAAGGCACCGGATTCGGCTCCGGAGCTGCGTGGCCACCTCCAGGGTCGTGGGTCTGTCCACACTGCTGCCCTCAGGGCTGCCGAGCAAGGAGAGGCGCTGGAGGAGCAGTCCTGCGGCCACCCCTTCCCCTCTTGGGGCCCTCACGATGAGTCATCACCAGGGGCTGCTGGTGGGTGCGGGAGTACAGACCCCAGGGGGACCCTCACCCCAAGGAGTGGTCCTGCTCCTGCCAATCAGTGGGTGGGCACCAGCCTCAGGCTGCCGTGATCCATAGGGGCCTCCTGCCTCTTCCTGCCTGCCCCAACCCACCCCCCACTCTCCCACACCCCAAGAAGGGTCGGCACCTGGGCAGGGTGCCCCGCCACGTGTCTCCATCCTGGGCCAGCAGCCTCTGTGCCTCTTGCTCGGCCACCTCCAGCTCCCCGGGGGACGCTGCAGCCCACAGGGCGAACAGGCTGCCGTAGGCTCTCTCGCAGCTCTCACTGGTGGACATGGGCTCCTGAGCGCCCTGGGACGTCCACCGCGCCTGGAGGTGGGCTGCCGGGGAGCCCTCCCCTTCCCCCTCGGGGAGCAGCAACCCACTTCCAGGACATGCGGACTAAGACAGCTGCCCGGACTCCCCAGACGAGGTGAGTTGGGGGCTTAGGTTCAGGTATCTCTTGGGATGGGGGCATCTCTGGGCACCCGCCAGGGCCTCCGGCCATGAATGAGCTGCACCCACCTGTCCTGCAGGGCTAGGCGGAGCACAGTGGCCTCTGCCTCCCGCTGGCCAAGCTGCATGCTGAGGGCTTCACACCGGCCCTTGCAGCCCTGGAGCACGGCCGACAGCAGGCGGTTGAAGCACTTGAGCTTCTCAATGCTGCTGCTTCCAGAGTGGGGAGCAGGGCCATGAGCCCCACCGTGGGGGCCAGTCCCAGCCTCCACACCCCCACCCGTGGCACAGGCTTGCTCACCCCCGCAGCTGCTCCAGCTGCATCTCCAGGACGCGGGACTTGGGGACGCTGCAAGGGGTGGCCAGCAGCTGGGCGCTGGGGGCACTTCTCAGCCGCCGGAGCAGGGGTTGAGCGAGGGGAAAGGGACTGTCCTGGTAGGGAGAAGGTTTGTGTCACCCCGATGGTCAGGGCATGTTTCCCCCTCCCCCAGTCATGAAACTTTCGGGTTCTATAACCAGGCTCTGAGCCTCGGCACCCAGACCCCGGCATGTGAGCGCAAGGTCACATGCATGCATTCTATCTGCTGCTTTGGGGTCGGTTGCAATGTCCCACCGGGCTGTGCCCACTGCCTGCTCCCAGAAGTCCCCCAGGGGCCAAAGCTATAGGACTGCAAGGGGGGCAGGACCTCGGTTCCATCCCTTAAGTTTCCCCAAGCCGCTGCTGAGTTCCTGAGTGCAGAGCCCAGAGGAAGCCCTGAGCACAGCTGGGCGTGGCCCAAAGCACTAGAGGGTAAACAACAACAACAGTTTCCCAGGGGCTGCAGAATACTGGGGTCACACGGGCCCCCCTGTGTGAAGCACAGTCGTGTCAGGCAGAGCTCTCCGCTCTGGTGCTCGGGAGCTGGTTGAAGTGCCCCCACTCACCTCGGTCCCCCACGGCTCAGCCCCAGGGCTGCTGGGGTCACTGCAGGAGCTGGGGCCTTGGCCTTGGGCCAAGGGCTGGGCCGGCTCCAGAGTCAGCAGGAAATTCTGAAGCTCCTGCACCTAGGAAGGGGCGGGGCTGAGAATTGGGGTCTCCACACCCACCGAGAACACCCCAGTGTCCTTCTAACTGCCATGCCCCCTCCAGCTCTGTTCCTGGGGGGCTCCTGCCCTGCTGCCCTCCATCCTCAACCACAGGCCTGAAGGCCAGGTCAGCCACTACCTCCTGTCTCTCTCTCCTGCCCCCACTGGCCTCCGGGCCCTTCCTGGAACAATCCAGACACGCAGTCACCTCCCTCAGGCCTGCCTGGGTTACAGCTGCAACAACACTGTCCCTGCCGCGGCTCAGTGGTCACTCCTGGCCCCATGTCCAGTGTTCATTCCTGGCTCTATGATCAGAACTCACTCCTGGCTCTGTGCTCAGGGCTCACTCTCAGCTCTGTGCTCAGGGCTGACTACTGGCTCTATGCTCAGGGCTGACTCCCGGCTCTGTGCTCAGGGCTCACTTCTGGCTCTGTGCTCAGGGCTCACTTCTGGCTCTGTGCTCAGGCCTCACTCCTGGCTCTGTGCTCAGGGCTGACTCCCAGCTCTGTGCTCAGGGATTACTCCTGGCTCTGTGCTCTGGGTTCACTCCCAAGTCTGTGCTCAGGGCTCCCTCCTGGATGGCTCCAGGGACCCCTGTGTTGTGCTGGGAGCCAAGTGAGGGTCAGGTTCGCATAACGCTGGTGCTGCCTCGCTGCAGTCTCTGTGCCCACGTGTCTTGTGGAGACCCCGTGAATGAGATCGCCGGGCCCGGCTTCTCCCTGCTCAGGCCGAGTCCTGCACAGCCCAGGCAAGTTTCTTGGAAGGTGGCACTGAGTTGCGGCCATGTTTGCCTCCTCCATCGAACAGGGCGGGCAGGGGCTGTGGCCACTCACCTCTCTCTGCGCGCTCTCCTTCTCGGCCTGCACGCGCGCCAGCTCTGCCTCTCGGCTCTCCAGGGCCAGACGCAGCCACGCGTTTCTCTCCGCCAGCCCGGCGGCCTCACGCTGCAGGCCCCTGGGACCTGCCTCCGTTGCGGGCCTCCCTGTCCCCGGGCCGCCGCCCTCTGCCTGCTGGGGTTGGGGCTGGACACGCCAGGCAGTGGCTGCGGCCTCCAGGGAACAGAGCACGTCCTGCAGCTTCTCAAACACATCTGTAGGGCCTGGGGGCTCCCTGGCCTGGGGGGTCTGGGGCGTCTGGCTGGCCGGCTCAGCCAGCTCCAGGAGGACCTTGCCACCATCCTCATCTGCTTCTGCGTGTACACTGGGGAGCAGTGGGAGATGGAAGGTTCTGGAAATGGAACCCTCTGGGGCAGTCTGGCAGGAGCCAGAGGGAAGCATATGCATGCGGTGGTCCACTCAGGGGCCCTACCTGCCTTGGGGGCTATGCCCTGGGGGCGGCTCCAGGTCCACACCCTGCAGTTCCGGTTTCACCTCCTGGGCCGGATCAGTGGCTGAGCCGGCTCCTGGGCCCGTACTCCGGCCAGCCACTTCAGTCTCCTCCGAGCTCTCCACCACCGGATCCAGCTCCCCCTGCCAAGGGTCGCTGCTCTGAGTCAGCAGCCATGGGTCTGGGGGCCCCTAAGTGGGGTATGGCCATGGGGATACTCACGGGCGGTGCATGCCTCCCTCGGCGGCTTCGGGGCCGCGTGGCCCGGGCGCTCATGTCTGCAGAGATTAGTGGTCAGTGCTTTCTCCTGGGCTCAGACGAGCCCCTCTGAGGCCAGCCCTAATGTGCCCCCATACTGGGACGCCTGCCGGGACAGGCGGCTCACCACTTCTCCAGGGGCCAAAGATGGTCCCTCCCAGGTCTCCTTCCAGCCCCATCACCTCTGTTCCTCCGCGTCAGCTGTGCCTGGCTGTAGAGGGTCCCTCAGCCACTTGTAGTCTCTGTCCCGTGGGGCCACTCTTGGAGGACCTGAACGTCCACTGGGTACTCTCAGGAGTCACTCAGGCCACTCAAGCCTGGGAGGGGCTGGGCACAGGAAGCCCCTATCCCGGTCACGTGCTCCGTCATTGTGCTGTTTCCTCCTCAGCTTCCTCCTGCTACTATGGGGGCCTCCAGGTCTGGGGGTCCCTCCTTGAACCCTTGGATCTCACTGCCAGAGCCACAGTGTCCCAGGGGTCTGCCCAGTGTCCCCCCCAGTGTCCCTGAGGCAGAGCCTACATATCTGTGTATGTGTGTTGTGTATGCATGTGTGTGTCTGTGTACCATAGGTGTTTGTGTGTATGTCTGTGCCTGTATGTGTGTGTGTGTGTTCATGTATGTGCCTGTCTGTATGAGAGTCTAAGTGTGCCTTGTGTGTCTGTGTGTCTATGCATGTCTATGAATGTATGCGTCTGTGTGCATGCCTATGTGTTTTGTGCATATCTGTGTCTGTCTGTGTGTCTGTCCATTTCTTTTCTTTTTTTCTTTTGATTTTTGGGCCACACCCAGCGATTGTCAGGAGTTACTTCTGACTCTGTGCTCAGAATTTATTTCTAGTGGTGCCAGGGGACCATATGGGATGCTGGGGATTGAACCTGGGTTGGCTGGACACGAGGCAAATGTTCTACCTGCTGTACTATCACTCTGGACCCTGTGTCTGTCCATTTCTTTGTGTGCATGTGTGTGTGGTGTGTCTGTGTGATTGCGTGAGCATATGTGTGTCTGTGCATGTGTTTGTGAGCATGTCTCTGTGTGTATCTGTACGTGTCTGTGCATGCACACACAGTTTTCATTCCTATCAGGACCAGCACAGATGTGGGATTGAAGCTTCCAGTGGGCAATGCCCAGGCTGACCCTAGTTCCCTCAGCTGTGAAGTGTCAGGGACAGGAGCATTTTTATTTTTTTGCTTTTGGGTCACACCCAGCGATGCACAGGGGTTACTCCTGACTCTGTACTCAGGAATTACTCCTGGCAGTGCTCAGGGAACCATATGGGATGCTGGTAATTGAATTCGGGTTGGCGGTGTGCAAGGCGAACGCCCTACCTGCTGTGCTATTGCTCCAGCCCCAGGAGCTTTTTTCAACAATATCCACTGAGGTTTTCTACGATTGGGGATCACACCTGGTGGTGCTCAGACACTATTCCCACTCAAGGCTTGTGGCTTGCTTCAGGCCATGCCCAGGCTTATTCGTGGCTCTGTGCTGGGAATTCAGACTGAGGGTGGTGAAATGCCAGGCAAGTACCCTATCTCTGAGATGTCTCTCCACTCTATCTCTGCTGAGTTTTTAAGCACATGTCTGGGTACCTGGGGGACTCAGGCCCCTTCTCCTTCTCTGCTGTCCACGCAGGTACCAGCCATTGTCCCAGCAGCATAAGAGCAGCCTCATTACTTAGATGGGCTCCACATCTGTCCCTCCCCACACCTACCTCTAATGGGCCTCCACCCCATGACCTGGGCGCCAGCCCTGCCCCCTCCCTGATTGCGCAGTGACTCCACTCCCTTCCCCACCCAGGCCCCAGAGATGGCTGTCTGTGCCTCCCGATCACACACCCTCCCTGGCTCCCTGCTGCCCTCAGGATATAGTTTGAGCTCTCCAGTCTGGAAAAGGCTTGCTGGGGGTCGTGAGGAGTGCATGCTATGTCACCTGAAGCCTCAGCTTCCCCACAAGACTCAGGTACCACACCTGGCAGCCCCCATCACAGTATAGCGCTAAATTAGAACCAAAATAACAACCAGGGCTGGAGAGAGGGATGTGGTGGAGCTCTCTGCAGTCAGGGTCCCCTTCCCCGCTCCCCCCCCCCCCCCCCCCCCCCGCTGTTCCGGGTTCCCACAGCAGTTCCCACAGCCTCCATGAATCTGTGAGTTCCACCCTCCGGGCCCTCCACGCCCCAGTCCTGTGGGATTCTCTTTCCTCCATGGCCAACAGCCCCTGGCGGTCACTGACAGACAGAGAAAACGAAGGCCAGTGTTCTTTACAGGGCTGGGGGCTGAAAAAGCTCGTGCGTGTGTTGGAAGAAGAAAGGTAGTTTGAGGAAAACTTCCGGCTCCATCGTTTGGGTTTCTGCAAATGTGCGTAAAACAAGGAGTCAGCCGAACCGGACAACTGGGAGGGGCCCTCGGCCATAAGCACCCTGGCCACAAAATCCTGCCCCTCACTGAGAGCCACCGCTCCTCCACCAATCACTAGCCGGCCCCGCGTGTCCTCACTCCCGGGGCCAGCTCAGTCCCAATTCATTTGTCACCGGGAAGCGAGGCCAGTCCGCACGAAACCTCCCTCGCCCTCCGCGTCCCAGCCAATCACCGATCAGAATTGTGAAAGCTCCGCCCAATTAACTTCCAGGGCTCGTCCCGCTCCCTGTCCATCCCATCTCAGGCCCTCCCCGCGGTTCAGGCCCTTCCCAATCGTAGCCAGAAACAAGAAAACTCCGCCCGTCCCTTTCCCTGTCCATCAAAGACCCAAACTCACTCCGGCGCAGTCCTAGCCTATCGGTGCCCTGGCCTCGCGAGAAGCCCGCTTGCCCGCCCCGTTGAACTACATTTCCCAGGAGGCGGGGCGCTGATGTCGTCACTTCCGGTCACGAAGATGGCGGCTTCCTAGCAGCGGGCGGCCGGGTTGAAAGGCGGCGCAGGCGTCCGTGAGCGAGAAAGTGGGTGTTGACAGCGTGGCGACCTGGTCCTAGAGGGCCCCGCGCCGCGCCTGGCTCCTCCGCGAGTTCTGGCTTTCTGCGGCTTCGCTTCCATCCCGCTTGCGGCTTTGTTGGGGCTGCGGGGCGCGCCGAGAGCCAGGCTGGCGGTGCCACCGGCGCCCTGACTTTCCTCCTAGGCCCTATACCGTTCCCTGCCGCTCTCTGCAGAAGCCTCTCTGGACCGCCCAGCGCCCCGGGGAGAGTCCTAGAGGTGCTTATTCCTTGATTACCAAGAGTTTCAGGTAACAGAAACCCCAGTTCTGTCTGGCTTGAGCAAGAAAGGGAAACCAGTGGGGTGGATTTCAGACATGGTTGTCGCCAGGCGCGCCCCAGGGTCTGTGTTGTGTTCTGGATGAGCATCACATCAGGCTGGCAAAAGGGGCTCCTGGCAGCTCCAGACAAGCAGGATGCTCAGGCCTCCATGGGATCCTGGGCCCCTTGGTGAACCATGCAGTGGTCAGAGGTGCCGCCTAGCCGAGGAGGGGCAGGGAAAAGTGGCCGCTGACAGGAGCCGCATACCAGGGCATACAGGCGGTCAAGAAGCCCTTGTGCCCCATAATCCGATGACTTTCGACATCCAGAAGCAGAGGACCCTGGCTTCCCCCGTGTCTGCTCCACCGGGCCACTCGGGAGCCATGGAGGTGGCCGAGTCCATCAGTCCGGCAGAAGAGGAGGAGGAAGAGGAGGAGGAAGAGGAGGAGCAGGCAGCGGCAGAGCCCAGGCCCCCCACACGCTCCAACCCCGAGGGGGCAGAGGACCGAGCGCTGGGGGCCCAGGCCAGTGTGGGCAGCCGCAGTGAGGGCGAAGGCGAGGCAGCCAGTGCAGATGACGGCCCCCCTGGCCCTTCCGGAACTGGTCCCAAGCCCTGGCAGGTGCCCCTGGCCACACCCGAGGTCCATGTCCGGACACCAAGGGTCAACTGTCCAGAGAAGGTGGTGAGTGGGGGCTAGTCGTACAGCACTGCCTTGAGTTGGCATATGTTCCCTGTGGGCCAGTGCCCGTGTCAGGGGCTAAATCTGTGTCCTCACACAGAGGAGCTGAGGCAGAGCCAAGGGCGCCGATCTCCACCCGCAGGCTCCCCAGATTGGCCCATTGGGCCGTTTCATTGGTTCTGGGCTTCTGGTTCCAGCCTGCTCCCAACTGCTGCCCCCCAACCTTGCTGCTGTCCTTGGAGTGCTGGGTCTGGAACTTGGGGGTCATCCTCATGCCCTTTCTGCCGGGCCTGCTGAGAGGGTGAGGGCAGGGTGGGGAGTGCCTGGCCCTCTCTCCATCATGGCGCCCACATCCTTCCTACCCGTGCAGATCATCTGCCTGGACCTGGCAGAGGAGATGGCATTGCCGAAGCTGGAATCCTTCAACGGGTGAGGGGCCATGGTGGGCCCCCAGGGGTGAGCGGGGTGTGGAGGTCCCCCTGCAAGTGAGTGAGCTGCAGGAGTCCCTCAGGGGTAAGCGGGGTGCGGGGATCCCGCAGCGGGTGAGGCCACCCAGCAGTGGGGAAGGTCGAGCTGCAGTCCCAGGGGCCACCCCACTCCCTCCCTGTGGAGGACCCCAAGGATGGTCGGTGAGGGGGGGTCCGGCGCAGCCCCAGCCTTGGCTCCACCCCCAGCTCCAAGACCAACGCCCTGAACGTGTCCCAGAAGATGATCGAGATGTTTGTGCGCACCAAGCACAAGATCGACAAGAGCCACGAGTTCGCGCTGGTGGTGGTGAATGACGACATGGCCTGGGTGCGTGAGCTGCGGCCGGGGGTGCAGAGGCCGGGTGGGGGCGGGGCGGGGGATTTGCCGCGCACCCCTCGCGAGCCCTGTACGTGTGTCCTGCAGCTGTCCGGCCTCACCTCAGACCCCCGCGAGCTCTGCAGCTGCCTGTACGACCTGGAGACTGCACCCTGCTCCGCCTGCAGTATCCTTCTGCGCATCCTTCTGCGCATGTGCGCACCTGTTTGCACCGCCGGTTGCCGGGTGGAGAGCGACCTGACCCTCCCCTGGGCAGCGTTATGATCTGACCCTGCAGGGTCTGGACACGGCAAAGCTGAAGCTGCAGCCTCACGGGCCACCAGCCTCTGCGTGAACCCCACAGCTGCACGTGGTTCCCCTGAGCACTGCAACTGTGGCCCCAGCCCCCAGGTTGGGCTCGGTCTCCACCACCAAATGTGCTGCGCTCATGGTGATGCACCAGGAGGCCCTAGTGTAGACGGGAAGCAGTCAGGCCGCAGCGAGCCCAGCACTCACTGTCCAGGCTGCGCATGCAGCCGGCCCGCACCACCTCAGCACAGGTGTGGGGACCCCAAGACAGAAAACAAGAAATAGGATGTGGGGCGTGGGGGACCGGGTGGTTCTCTCACTGTGAGGAGAGCAACCGCCCAGGTAGGATCTTCATGTCACCAGACATCGCAGGTCCAGCGCCCTGAACCCTGCTGGGTGAAAAGGGTGGGGGATTCAAGTGGCATGTCCAGGGACAGTGGCACCCCACCAGGTGGCTCTAAGACCCCTGCCCACCAGTGCTCCTCTCCTGCCTTCTCCTTAGCATCTCCTCCAGACCTGGAAGGTCTCTTCAACCTCATGTGAGCCCCCATCTTCGTGATTCTCCCACTCATTGCAAATGAGTTGTCAGACTTGCAGGGCCCCCGGGTCCAGGCCAGGGGCGTGACTGGGCATGGGGCGGGGTTAGGTTGTGTGGGCGTTATCAAATTACAGGGGTGTGATTGTGTAGGGCATGGCCAAGTTGTGTGGGTGTGGTTTAGGTGTGGGGCCTGGCCAAGTTGTCTGGGTTAGGTTGTAGGCGTGGCAAATGTTCAGCGGGTGTGACTGAATTGTGGGTGTGGTCGGATATTGTGGGCGTGGCCCTTCTGGTGACTCTGGGAGCACTGACATTCTAATCATTTTTCTCAATCTCTTTGGAAATGTAAAATGTCATTCTTAACCTGTGGGCCCATGTTTTTTTCCGTTTTCTTTTATTTTTGCTTTTTTGAGCCACCACACCCATGACTCCTGGGAGGTGCCCAGAGTACTCTGCCCAGGCAGGTGCGCCATCTGCCCAGGCAGGTGCGCCATCTGCCCAGGCAGGGGCCCCTATATTGCCAGAAACCTAGCACGTGGCCTGTCCATGGTGGTGGTCTGGGACCAGCTATCCCTGCTGTGGCTGAGAAGCTTTGCTCCTTAACTGTGGAGGCTCTCCCTGAAAAAGAGGCGCGCTTGTCTCTGAAATCTTCACACCAGACCCAGACAGGCCCCCAAGGGTCTGCAGAGGCTTCCCTGGCAGTGGGGGGGTGCAGGGCAGAAAGAGCAAGGGGAGCGGCTGGGCTCTCGGCCTGTGTGGCCTGACTCCAGCCGCCTCTGCCATGCGGGGCTCCAGCCAACAGAAGACAGAGCTGCCTGTCACGGAGAACGTGCAGACCATCCCTCCTCCATACGTGGTCCGCACCATCCTGGTGTACAGCCGGCCTCCGTGCCAGCCCCAGTTCTCCCTGACAGAGCCCATGAAGGTGAGCTCGGCCTGGCCTGGGGTGGAGCAGTGAGACGCCTGGGGCGGAGTGGGAGGGAGCGGGTCTGACATGGGGTTCCTCCCCCACAGAAAATGTTCCAGTGCCCGTATTTCTTCTTCGACATCGTGTACATCCACAACGGTGCTGAGGAGAAAGAGGAGGAGCTTAGCTGGAAGGTGAGGGTTCCCAGGTGCGTAGCACCTGCCCCCAGGGATCACGACCATCATGGCCCAGGCAGCTGTGGGCAGACCCTGCTCCCTGCACCTGATGTATGCCCCAGGCCTCCTGCAGGGAGCACCCTCTGTGCCTTGCCTCTCCTCTCCCAGCCTGCAGTGAGCTTTCCCAAGAAAACAGGCTCCTATTCATCCCTCAGTACCCAAACCAAAAGTTCCCTCTTGGGGCCAGAGCGATAGCACAGCAGGTAGGGCGTTTGCCTTGCATGCGGCCATCCTGGGTTCGATCTCTGGCATCCCATATGGTCCCCCGAGCACTGCCAGGAGTAATTCCTGAGTACAGAGCCAGAAGTAACCCCTGAGCATTGCTGGGTGTGACCCAAAAAGAGCAAAAAAAAAAAAAGTTCCCTCTCCAGGGAGCCCCATACAGGGACAGGGGAGCTCATGTGCACCCTTCTGTCCCTCCTGGTAGGGCACCAGGACAGATACTTCTGGGGGGGGGGGGGCACAAGGTGGGCAGTGTTTGCTGGATGCTGTGATTTTTGTTTGTTTTTTGGCCTGAAAAACTCGGCACCCACCCCTGATGCTTCCATCTCTGGGAATCCCTCTGATGGCACCCCTGCTGAGTCTCCTGCTCCTCTCTGCCTCCCACCCCCCAGGATATGTTTGCCTTCATGGGCAGCCTGGATACCAAGGGGACCAGCTACAAGTATGAGGTGGCACTATCTGGGCCAGCCCTGGAGCTACATAATTGCATGGCCAAACTGCTGGCCCACCCGCTGCAGCGGCCCTGCCAGAGCCATGCCTCCTACAGCCTGCTGGAGGACGAGGAGGAGGCCACGGAGGTAGAGGCCACTGTGTGAGCCAGCCAGCTCAAACTGATCACCGTGGGACCCCGCTGGGAGTTCCAGGAGACACCCAGGACACAAGGATGTGTGTGTGTGTCTGGGTGTCTGGGGGTCCCCAATAGGTAACCAAGATCCCAGCAGACTCTGGATACCCATTCCCCATACTTCCCACCTATCGTTTGTCAAATGGGCATTTTTATTCTTTCCTCAAAATAAAAGCTCCAGGACACTCAGATTCAAATACACAATAGTTACTGTGTGATTTTGGGGCTCTTTGGGGATTGCCGGGGACAAAAAACCCGGAGCCATGGAGTGGGGAGTTGCAGGCAGGCACCTTTGCTCCAGAAACCCTGGGCAGCTTCAGGCTATATCCAGGTGAGCTGTGCAGCTGGGCTGGTCTAGCCCCGATGGGAGTCACGACGGGAGTTCCAGGGGCCTTTCAGTGGAAAGAGCTCCCAGCTTTACTACCCCCAGAACGCAAATCCAACCCTGTTGAGTATCATTGAATGGGTACACGCCTGTTCAGTCGGTTCCTGCCCTCCCAAGGGTACCGGCGCCTCCTTGGCTGACTAGGAATCAGAGTTTTCTCAGCTCCAAGAGGTCGAAATGCGCCCAGATCATGCGGGGTCCAGCTGCGACCTCCTTAACAGACGGAGGGTTAGGGACACCGCCGGTGGGCAGAGCCAGGATACCGGGCCGCAGCCCCACCCCTGCCCGCCGGGTTAGAGATAGTGGCGCCCCGGGCTGTCCCCACCCGCCCGGGCCTCCAATCGGCCGTCCCCAGGCGGGGCGTGAACGCCTCCAGTCTGGCCGCCTGCCCTGGTTCCCGCGCGCGGCCGGGGAGCCCCGGGGCGTGTCGGCGCGTGCGCACCGCGGCGCGGCGGGAAGTTGGAAGGCTGCGGGGACCGCGCGGCCGGCGGCGCGGGGACGGCGGGGCACGGCGTGGCCATGGGCGCCGCCGAGGAGCTGGCGCAGCGGCTGCGGGCGGCGCTGCGGGAAGAGGAGCCCCGGTGCGGGAGGGCGGGCGGGTGAGGTGGGCGCGGGGCGCGGTCCAAGGGCGCGGTCCAAGGGCGCGGTCCGGGCTCAGACTATGGGTCCCCGATCCGCAGGGCCGTGGAACAGCTGCTGCGCCAGGGCGCGGACCCCAACCTGGTGCTGGCGGACGGCGCGGCGGCCGTGCACTTGGCGGCCCGAGCCGGCCACCCGCGCGGGCTGCGCTGCCTGGACGCGCTGCTGCGGCGCGGCGGGGACCCCAACGCACGGTGAGCTCAGGGAGCAAAAAGGCGTGGGTCGAGTTCGAGGGCGCGGGGCCCGAGCTCCGGGACTGGACGGTGGAACCAGGGCGCGCGGGGTTGACCGCGCTGACCGCTCCGGCCCCCAGGTCCGACGAGGCTCTGACACCGCTGCATGTGGCCGCTGCCTGGGGCTGCCGCCCGGGCCTGGAACTGCTGCTGAGTTGGGGAGCGGACCCCCAGCTGCGTGACCAGGTGCGGGGGACACCTGGCGGTGGACAGGGAGGCCCCCGACATCCCGTGCTGACCGCGCCCGCTGCAGGACGGACTCCTCGCGGGAGACCTGGCGGAGCAGCACGGCCATCACGACTGTGTCCACGTCCTGCGGGAAGCCCCGCACACCCGCACCCGGACCCCGGACCCGGACCCTGCCGAGCCCCAGGAGGGCGGTGAGTGGGCCCGCAGCGGCACCACCTCTGGGCCAGTTCTGCTGTTTAGGACCCAGACACTGGCCCGCCAGGGTCACCCTCCTGAGAGCTGCCCAATTCTTCCCGTCCAGCCCGATGTCTCCCTGATCCCCTCTGCTCCGGCTGCCCAGATCCCCAGGGGATGGGACCAGCTTCCAGCCACAGCACGACCCTAGTCGGGACAGCGGCAGACAGAGGCACCAGCAGGAACGCAGGCCAGGATACTGGTCGGGGTCTCCCCAGCTGTCTTGCACACACTCAGGCTGTCTCCGACACCAGCTCTGACGATGCCTCCATCACGGCGGCCAAGGACTCTGCCCCAGGCCCCTCTCCCCCTGCCAGACCCATGACCCCCGCCAAGCAGGGGCGCCTGAGTTGCGAGGGGCCTGAGTTGACACATGCGGGGAGCCCCAAAGTGGAGCTCTGTGCCAGTCTGCAGGCGCTGACCCTGGCCTCCCCTAGCACCGAGTCCTGCCTGGACAGAGCGGTGGCCACCCCGTGGCAGACAGGGGAGAAGGTGGGTGCTGGGGAGCCATCCCGCGGGTGCTCCCCGGTGGTCCCCCAGTCGGACCTGGAGCTCCTGCAGGGACTGCGGGCGCTGGGGGCCAGCCCTGGCCCGGTCACACCCTTCACCCGGCCACACTACCTTCGGCGCCTGCGCGAAGCCCGGACTGCTCGCGGTGAGTCCACTCTGGGCATCTGAGGGGTCCCTGGACACACACCTCCCATGGTCTGCCCTCCCTACTTCACTCTGCCACCACCCCCCGTAACTCAGTTTCCCCTGCCAGGCCCCAACTTCTCAGGGCACAGCCCGGAGCTGGCGGAGGCCCTGCGGACTGGCCAGATCCCTGATGCCCAGGAGGACGAGAACATTCTGGCGCGGCAGTTTGAGCGGCCAGACCCCAGCAGGCGGTGGCGGGAGGGCGTGGCCAAGGGCAGCTTTACCTACCTGCTGCTGGACCCCAGGTGCGCGGTAGGCCGCAGCCCCCAGGGGTCGGAGATGCTGTGTGTCCTCAGGAAGAGGGGTAGCCCCCCCACCGGGCTCCCAGATCCCTTTTTGTTTTGGGGCCACCCCCTGCAGTGCTTGGGGAGAGTGTTTGCTGCGCCCTCCAGGCCAGCCACAGGAATGCCCTTACTCTTAAGAGGTGGTTCGAGCCCACCAGCCCCTGCTCACTGCCCTGAATACAGGCTTGCGGGTCTGACTCAGGGATAGTGTTCCAGTCACTTCTGAGTGTCCTTCGGTCCTTGCAGGGAGACACAGGACCTACTGTCCCAGGCCACCTCCCTGTCCCCTGTGGACCGCCTCAGGACCTTTGTCCGGGCCATCTTCTACGTGGGTAAAGGGAGCCGGGCCCGGCCCGATGCCCACCTGTGGGAGGCTCTGAGCCACCGCCGGCGCCCCGTGAAGCAGGTGCGAGGGTGAGGGTGGTGGGAGAAGGCAGGAGGCGACCAGGGCCCCCCAGGACAACCCTGACCCCGCCCGGCACCCCCAGGCCTCCCCGAAGGTGCTACGGATCCTGGACATATGGGCGAGTGGACGCGGCGTGGTCTCCCTGCACTGCTTTCAGCATGCCGTGGCGGCCGAGGCGTACACCCGCGAGGCCTGTCTGGTGGCAGCTCTAGGTGGGCAACTGCGCTGGGGATGGGGGGGCTGCCAACAGTGCCTCCTGCACTGTTGCGGCTGTTGTTGTGGGGGACGATGAGAGGGTGGCCAAGGCTTGTGCCCCTGTGTAGTCGTGGGGGCCGCATACTCGCACCCTCACACATCTGAGTGTCTGTGGCCCCTGGTGGTGCTGGGGTGTGAGCCCAGGGTGCTCTGCCCTGAGGCGGCCCTGGCAGGGGTGACCAGCTGCGGTACCCCCCACACCCCCCCCCCCCCCAGCCTGCCTCCTCTCAGCTGTGAAGCTCTCAGAGCCTTCCAGGATGAGCCTGGATGCAGGAGGACACGGGACTGTACTTAGCTTTCAGAGCAGGTGCTCTGAGCCCTGCACTGTCCCTCCACACCTACACACCTGGTCATTCATTCATGAGCTATTCAACTTTTTTTTTTTTTTTTGCATCACACCTGGTGATGCACAGGGGTTACTCCTGGGATGCTGGGAATGGAACCCAGGCAAATGCCCTACCCACTGTGCTATCTCTCCAGCTCCTGAGCAATTCAAGTTTTTAAAAAAATGTTTGGGTCACAGCTGGCAGTGCTCAGGGCTTATTTCTGGCTTTGCAGTCAGAAATCACTCCTGGGGGGCTTCAGGGACCATATGGAGTGGTGGGGGTTGAACCCAGATCGGCCGCATGCAAGGCAAGTGTCCTACCCACTTCTGTGAGTATTTTGTTGCTTTGGGGCCACACCAGCAGCTCTCGGGGGTCACCCCTGTCTGCACTTTGGGATCACTCCTGGAGGTGTTCGGGGGACCCTACGTGGTGCTGGGGCTCTCCCTGCTGTGCAGGTGTCTGGCCCTAGCACCACCTTTTTGGTTGGTTTGTCCCTTAGCCACCCATGGCTGTCCTGGGCTCAGACCCAGCAATGCTGACGGGCACATATGATGCTGGAGAACAGACCTGAAGGAGGTCCCCCGCACTGGTACCCCCCCCCACACACAGCCTTTGGACTGGTCCCCCCTCGAGGGCCCCGGGCCCCTTGTGACCTCCCTCCATCTCTCCAGGGATCGGGATGCTGACGAACCAGAAACAAGGACACTTCTATGGGGTGGCGGCCAGCTGGCCCCACACCCGGCGCTGCAGGCTGGGTGTGCACCTGCTGCACCGGGCCCTCCTCATCTTTCTGGCTGAGGGCCAGCGAGAGCTGCGTCCTGAGGACATCCAGGAGCGTGGCTGAGCGTGCGGAGGCAGTGGGTCTCCAGCCGGCCTGAGCCAAGACAGGAGGAGAGCCATCTTGGCAGAAGCTGCCCGCTGTGCCACAGAGGGAAGCCAGGAGGACTTTGGGGGGGCTTAGTTACGGCCGCAGGAGGGGTGCTCGGGATCCAGTGCTGCGCATGCCCGGGGAGCCCACGAGCTTGCCTTCATCTCCCTGGGGGTCCACACAGCCAGCCACAGGTGGGGGTGTGGACCAAAGCCATCCAGCTCAGAGGCGTGGGTTTTAGTTGGGGGAGCCCACATAAAATGGGGTGCCCTGCATCAAGTGTGGGTGTCCCCACTGACAAAACTTGTGTTGCAGCCATTGACTGGGAACTCAGCGGGTCTAAACCTGCTCCAGGGAGCAAGTCTGTGAGATTCTGCTTGCCAGGGCAGCCCAGGCCCAGTGGGGAGATCTGGGGGACAGCATGGTGACAGGGTTGGGGGGTGGCTGGCCCCACCTGGGCTCTTGGCTGTGTCCTTGAAGTCATCTCTTCCCCCCACCCCAGCCCAGGCACACTGGGGCCAGGAACCTCGTCTACCCCTACATGCAGCATCCTTCGGTCTGACAGAGCACCACCTCATTGGGTACAAGGCCTGCCTATCATGGCGGTACAGCCAACCAGATCCTGCAGGAGGTGGGCTGTGGGCCTCAGCTTGCATGGACTCTGGGACTCTGTAGAGCCCTTGGCATCTGGAAAAAATGATCATCTAAAAGATGAATTTTCTTTTTTTGCTTTTTGGGTCACACCCGGCGATGCACAGGGGTTGGCTCTGCACTCAGGAATTGCTCCTGGCGGTGCTCAGAGAACCATTTGGGATGCTGGGAATCGAACCCGGGTTGCCGTGTGCAAGGCAAATGCCCTCCCCACTCCAGCCCCAAGATGAACTTTCTTCAACAGTTTCTCTGTCCCTTTTCTTCTGGTCCTGAGCATGGGGAGGGGGGCGCTGCACCCCCATGCTCTTTGCACCAGGATCTCTTCCTCCCACCCTCTCCCCAGCAGTGTTCATCAAAATGTCCCCAGGATTCCCCAATGAGAAAACCAGAGCCGCAAGAGGACCCCAAGAGGAGGCCCCTGCCCCAAATAAGGCAGTTCTCGCCTCCATGTGCAGCTCCAAGCAAAGGGGCTCAGGAGGAAATGACCTGCACTGGGGCAGGAAGTGGGTGGAGAGCTGGTTCCCGGGGCGATGCTGGATGTGCCTCACCCCCTAAAAAATAAGATTCCCTGACTTCGAAAAAAGATCATTGCGATGATCAAACCGTGTGGTCCCGGTGATGGTGCACAGTGCAGGGGCCGCAGCGCTAGCACACAACCCCCCAGTTCCATGGCAGGTCACCCCGCCTGCAGATGGGTAACGGGACTCTGTCACTTCCTTTTATTGAGTTACAAGTTGAGATGTGCAGGTTCAGTGGTGCCCAGCCCCCCCACCCCCCGTCCCTCCCCACCTTGAGCGACAGTAGTTCCCAACGCCAAGAAATGGGGGTTGGGGTGGGCTGTGGAGGCTCGGGCTGTGTCCAGGGCAGTGCCCGAGTCCTCTTGGGGCCCAGATAGCGCGGGTGTCACAGAAGACAGAGCGGAGAGGGGATGGGGCAGCGTCGGCCGTGATGTCATGGAGGGGGCTTCTATACAAGGAGAGCCTTTGCAGGGGTCCGGGCTGCGGTCCCTCACCATGTGCGCCTGTGTGATGCCCACCAGGCCAGCAGCGGCCCAGGGGAGCCCCACCCGAAGGCGCTGTGCCTCCATGGCTCACCAAGCAGTGCCGGGTCCACCCACGGCTACTTCTCCTCTGGCGGGGGCGTGGGTGCAGCTGGAGGTTCGGGCAGGGCCCTGGGAGAGGGTTCGGGTTCCCAGAGCAGAAACTCGTGTAGCAGCGTGTTGACGGTCTCCGGGCACTCCAGCATCACCATGTGGCTGCCCTCATCGATGAGCTTTAGGAAGGCCAGGAGCAGGATCTGCACGGGGGCAGCACCCACAGGCTCAGCACGTGCCCGGGCCAGGCTGCACCAGAGCCCCCTGCTTCCCCCAGGAGGGACCCCTGACCCAGCTATGCTGGCGTTCAGGGGTCACCTAATGGGTGACCTGCACAGAGGGACCCTGGCTAGCCCTGAGCTTTTTTTTTTTTTGGGTCACACCCAGCAATGCTCAGGGGTTACTTCTGGCTCTGCACTCAGGTATTACTCCTGACGGTGCTCAGGGGACCATGTGGGATGCTGGGATTCGAACCTAGGTCGGCTGTATACAAGGCAAATGCCCTACCTGCTGTGCTATCGCTCCAGCCCCAGCCCTGAGTTTTTTGTTTGTTTTGGGGCCATCCTCAGAGACACTCAGGGCTCCCTCCTGGCAGTGCTCAGAGAGGACCATATGGGGTGCCAGAGATGGAACCCTGCTAGGACCGCGCCCTCCCTTTTTGTCCTGTTTCTCTAGTCCCTGGTCTGGAGCTCAAGGACAGGAACTGGCTAGGACCAAGAGTATCAAGGGTCTTTTCTTGCGGGGGTTCTTGAGTGGGAGGGGCCCCCCTTCTCCCTGAACACCATGGTTGGTTACAGCCTCACTGCCCATCCCACTGGGCAGTGTTTCTGTGTGTGCTGGGGGCCCAGGGAGGATGGGCCGGCTGTACTCTGTGGCCTCTAAGCCCGGCTCTCCACCCTTGTATGCCGGCTGTCCCGCCCTTACCTCAGCCATGCGCTGGTCCTCCTCCACTGGCACGAACTTGTCGTGCATGCCATGAACCAGCAGCACCGGCACGGTCAGCTCAGCGTGGTACACCTCATCCCCTTCCGGCCAGTACTGGCCGCTCATCATGGCCCGCAGCACAAAGGACGACACGTTGAAGGCGTTGCCCTCCTTCAGCAGCTGCTTCTCCTTGGCGCCCTGACGGGCGAAGCCTGCCCTGCACAGCGAGTGCGGTGCCTGAGCGAGCGGCCCCCTGTCCCCACCAGGCCCTGCCCACCTGAGCCATGCGTGGGGTCACCGCCCCCACCAGGGCCTGTGCGCCAGGTCACCAGCCTTCCTGGTGCACTCACTCACTTGAGAAAGCTCCAGGCCAGGCAGGGCGAGAGGCAGTGCAGGACGCAGGCGGGCATGTTGAAGATGGAGCAGAGGCTGGGCTCCAGCGCCGTGGGGCCGCCGCCGTTGATCATGATCACCTTATGTACCAGGTCCGGGTACTCGTGGGCCAGGAAGGTGCAGAAGGAGACGCTGCTCGGGCAGGAGAGGGAGGTCAGTGCTGCCAGGTGTGGCTGGGGAGGACTGGGTGGGGGAGGTCCCATTCCCACAGGCGCAGCTGTGTGGCACTGAGGATGAACTGAATTTCTGAGAAACCCTGGACGTCCAATACGTGTTTGGGAGGGCCGGTCATCACCCGGGGACAGGGTGCCATAGCTCAGAGGCTGGCCCATAGATGGGCCTGCAGGATCATTCTGTTTGTTTTGTTTTGGGGCCACACCAGGTGATGATCAGGGGTTACCCCTGGCTGTGCAAAGGGGGACCATTGTTCCGCCTTTCCCCCCCACTCCACTCCTGGCAGCAAGGTGGCCAAGGTGGCCACCAGAGCTTATTAGAAAGCCAGATATGAGCCGGTGGTGATGGAGCAACTGCAGTTTCATGGGAAGGGGAATGGTACTGGCTCGTCCTTCATGCCCTACCGAGGTCACGAATTACGAGTTGCCCCACGAGCGGTTCTCTGGCACGGCCATGGCTCCAGAGGCAAAAGGACTTAGTCCAGAGCCCGGCAGCCTGCGGCAGAAAAGTGAATGGACCATGCGTTAAACTATGATGCCATGCCTCCCCAGGAGGGAAAGGGTGTTGTTCCCTTCTGCCTCCCCTCCCCCCCACCCCCCCCCCAACAAAGCGGCTGCTGCCTCAGAGCTTATAGGAAAGCCAGATTTGAGCCGGTGGTGACGGGGCAACTGCAGTCTCATGGGAAGGGGGGCGGTACCGGCTCGTCCTTCACACCCTACCAAGGTCATGAGTGGCTTTCCGGCATGGTCATGGCTCCAGATGCACAGAAACCAATCTCATAATTATCTGGCTCTTTGCAGAAATCTAAAATCATTATATGATTCTCATAACCAACTATAGAAAACAAAGTATTTCACAATGCCTTTTCAGCAATTCTGATTGTGGGGGGGGGTAATTCTGAACAATAATGGTGCATCTTTTGTCGAAATAATGAATGTAATCAGTATAGAGAAGAGTTAAGTAAGAAATCATCTGCCTCACAGGCATTGGGAGGGGTGGGAGGGGGGTATGTTGGGGTTCTTGGTGGTGAAAAATAAGTACTGGTGAAGGGAGAGGTGTTTGATCATTGTATGACAGAGACTTAAACCTGAAAGCTTTGTAACTTTTCCCACAGTTATTCAATAGATAAATATAAGAAGAAAAAATAAATAAAATTATGAAAAAAAAAGTAAGGTGGAGTTCATGCCCAATTCAATCAGCTAATCAGTGGCTGAATAAATAGCAGTACTCCTACATTAAAAAAAATGGGGGGGGACGGAGCGATAGCACGGCGGGTAGGGTGTTTGCCTTGCACGCGGCCGACCCAGGTTCCATCCCCGGCATCCCATATGGTCCCCCAAGCACCGCCAGGAGTAATTCCTGAGTGCAGAGCCAGGAGTGACCCCTGAGCATTGCTGGGTGTGACCCAAAAGGTAAAAAAAAAATGGGGGGTACGATTGGGGACAGAAGCCCGTGCAAGGCACACGCCCTACACACTGTACTATCTCCAGTGCTGGCCTGTGGAACCTGACTACCCAACACTGCATCACCCCCACCCCCAAACACAATGTAGCACCCTGGGCCAGAGAGGCTGTGCAGTAGGCCAGGTGCTGACCAGGCTGGGCTTCACACCTGCACTGCAGCCCACACCAACAACTGCTCTGGGAAGTGAACCCAAGGCAGGCAGTGACCTGCTGTGTGCTGAACGAGTTGCTTAACCTCTCTGAGCTTCGCGAGGTTAAGCTGATACACAGGTTAAGCTCACACACCCACTTTGCACACACACCCTTTTTTCTTTGGGGGGCACACCCAGTGTGCTCAGGGGTTAGTTCTGGCTCTGCACTCCGAAATCTCTCCTCGTGGGGCTCCGAAGACCATAAGGGACTCCGGGGATTGAACCGGATTGGCCTCCCGCAACAAGGGCCCTCCCCGCTATCACTCTGCACCAGCACCCAGCACGAAGTCGTCGCTATGCTGCCACCAGCAGCCCCGTGCGCTGGGAGCTGGGCGGATGCACCTCGTCCCCCTCTGGCCAGTACTGGCCACTCAGCACGGCCATTTCACTTACTTGCACCACCTGCTCCGCCCTCACCTCATTGCTCTGGTCTGCTCCCCATCCCACCCCCGCCCCACCCCCACCCCCAGCCCATGACCGGCTCACCCGTAGGAGTGTCCTATGAGCACGTTCCGCTTCTTGGCATAGCGCTTGAAGATGGCCCGCATGTCCTCGGCCAGCGCGTAGAAGGTGTACGCAGCCGCCACCTGGGGTGCAGAACTGGCGCCGTGACCAGCCAGGTCGGGCGCGACCACCTCGTAGCCCAGGCGCACGAAGAAGTCCAGCTGCTCCTTCCAGATGGCCAGCGAGCCGCCCACGCCGTGGATGAAGAAGAGTACCACGTCGGCCTGCGAGCCCTTGCAACTGGTGATGTGCTTCTCGCAGTCAATGTTGATGGTGCGCTTAGGCCGCCGTGCGCGGCGCCGCCGACCCGCGCTGGCGCTGCCCGAGCCAGGGCGACTGTCCCGGCTGGCCGCGGGGTCGGCCAGCTCCACCTCCAGCGCGGCGGGCGGCTCACCGGAGCCATTGTGGCCCTGCAGCAGGTCGGCCCGTGGGGCGCGGCCCAGGTTCTCCACCAGCAGGCGCCCGTTCCGGTACACGGTGATGCGGCGCTGGCAGCGCACCAGACCCACGCGCTCCCCCGGTGCGTCCTCAGACACCGAAGGCACAGGGCTGGGTGCGGGCGCCGGGCCCGCGTGCTTCACGCGCAGCACGCGGCCCGGCTTCACCTCCACGAAAGAGTAGCCATCGCTGCACTCGACGCTCTCCAGGGGCCCCACGGCATTGGGGGGTGCACCCAGCAGGCAGCACAGGATCCCGTCGGTCACCCCCGTCAGCATAGTGCGACCTGCAGGCAGGTGGTGGCGGCTTACTAGGGGACCCTGTCTAGGATCAACAGCCCAGCAAGCTGTGTCCTGCATGGTCCTCCTGGCCAGCTTAAAGAACCCCAGGAAAGGGCCTGGCTCAGACTGACCCTAGAGGTGCCCCCAGGGAGAATAGGAAGATGGATTGGATGGAGGGCACCCAGAATAGGGGCACTTTGGCTAGTGTGGGCTGGCCCTCAGGAGCCTCCAGCTGAAGGCTCCCCCAGCCATCTGTCATTCAGTCCTCCATCCATCCATCCACCCAGCACCCATGCAACATCCATGTGTACCAGCATCACCCATCCACCATCCATCCTTGTTTCACCCGCTACTGACCCATCCACCCATCAATTCATCCTTCTGTCCATCTGTCTGTCCATGTACCCATCCATCCACCCATCCTGCACCCGCCTCTCCGTCCCCTCTACCCAAGAGTCATTCATTTCCCCTTGTGCTCTCTCACTAGCTCCCCACACAGACAGACCCCAGGGGTTCCGGGAGTCTCTCAGGAGGCACAGAAAGCAGGGGGCCAGGTTTCAAGTGCTCAGGAGTGAGGTTTGGGACTGAACTCAGGAGGGACGGCTTTGGCGTGCAACTGTGTCTCACATACGGGCAGGCTGAGGTTGGGGCACAGAGAGGGAGGAATCTGTGACACCCCGTTCACTACTGCAGGTTCTGGGGGAAGAGCTGCAGCCCCAGGTGGAGCCAACACGGCTGGGGTGGCTGGTTTCATGCCTCCACCCTGCGCCCAGGGTCACCAGCCCGTGTCCCCGACAGCAGGAAGCAGTTACATAAGTCGGGGGGATACCCGCACAGCGCACCACCATTGTTTAGGGTTTGGAAAGGGGACTCACCCCTCCCCCATCTCCATCCCGGGGCCTTGGGATAAGACTAGGCCTGGGACGGCCTGGCCCTGTGCTTGCGTACGGACAGGGAACCAGCTGCCGCCCCATCTCCAGCAGCGCGCGCGGTGGGAGCTAGGGGGGGCACGGGTGCTCCACGCCAGCCCCCCTCCCCACAGCTAGGCCCCGCTTGCTTGCCAGGTTGCCCGGCAGCCCTGCGGCGCGGTCTGGGCCACTGGGGCTGCGCGGCTTCCTAGGAGCCCGAGCCCCAGTGCAGGCTTTGTGCACATCGGCCCGTGCAAGCGGAGACCCGGGGACGCGGCGTCCCACCTCCCCGCGCCCGCTCCCCTCTCACCTCATTGAGGGGCCCCGGGCCCGAGGCAGGGCGGAGGGGTCCGGGGCGGAGAAACCAGCGTCCGCCTGCTGACGCCGTTTACATGGTGTCGCGGGGTCGGTGCGGGAGCCTTGACACGGGTGGGCGCGGGCCCGGGACGGTCAGCGCTGGGGGCATCCCGCGGCCGCCGAGTCAGTCGGCCCTTTAAGTCTCTCTCTGGGAAGGGCGGGGCCGCGGGCCGACAAACGGGATTCTCGGCCAATCGTGGCTGCGAACTCACCTGGCCTAGTTAGGCGACCAGTAGGAAGCTAGATCTCGGGGAGGAGGCCGGGACAAGTTAGCCACGGCCCCGCCCCCTCTAGGAGCTTCGCGAGGTGGAGGGAGGGACCTGGCCCGATCCAGTACCCAGCTGGGGTCGCGAGTAAGCGGGCTTCCGGGGAGACCTTGGTTCCAAATAGGCTGTCCTCATCCAGCCTCTGCCTCAGAACTGCCCTGTACCCTCCACACGGAGTCCCCATGTCTGCTCTACGTTCTGTTCAAGAGACTTCCAATTTGGGGGGGTGGGGGTGAACTGAGGCACATAGAGGGCACAAGGTTACAGGCCAGCGAAGGTGTCGACATGGAACTCAGATCAGGCTTTTTTTTTTTTTTTTTTTTTTTTTTTTTTGCTTTTTGGGTCCCACCCGGCGATGCTTAGGGGTTACTCCTGGCTCTGCACTCAGGAATCACTCCTTCACTCCTGGCTGGCGGTGCTTGGGGGACCATATGGAATGCTGGGAATCGAACCCGGGGTCAGCCTCGTGCAAGGCTAATGCTCTACCCGTTGTGCTATCACTCCAGCCCCTCTCCAAGGGCTTTTCTTGACATCCTTTGGAGAAGATTTGGAACTCCCAATGGGGCCAAGAGCTTCACAGCACTGTATTGTGTAGACAGGGGCTCTGGGGGCACAGGGTTCAAAGCCAGCCTCTGCCCTTGGCTGATGTGACCTTGGGTAAGTGATTTCCTTGAGTCCTTATTTATCTCCTATGAAATTAACCGCGGGATGAGTACGCACTACAGCAGATTCAAGAGCTCAGAAAGTGCTTGTGCCTGCCAAGCAGCTCTCTGAGCTGGGCTGTCAGCTAGAGACCCGGTGGCAGGGAGAACGGGCACCAGAGGACAAGGGCTTACCCAGGCTTTGTCCACTCCCTTGGAATTTGCTGCCATGGCTGCATTGGGTTCAACCGCCCACTCTCACACTCTAGAGTGACTGACTTATTCATGCTGCAAAGGCAGTACCCTTTGGCAAAGTACCCTTTGGGGTGCTTGCCGGCACACAGCCCTAATCCTGGCCCTCTAGGAACCCCTGGATGTTGGGGAAACAGCCAGGTGGAGCCAGCACTGAGCCCTCGGCCAGGATGCAAGAGTAGGGCATCTGAGCAGGATTTCATTGGTTGCAGCGGAAGGAGGAGGGTGTGGCAGCAGCACACGGTGTGCCTGTCTCCAGGGCTCCACATGCTGCAGAAAAGCTGGGCATCTCCCTGGGGCAATGGGGAGCCCCAGAGTGAGTGTGTGTAGGAATGGAGCACAGGCCCGAGGATGAGAAAAATTCCCCAAGGGTTCAAACAGAACGGAGACACTGCCAGGAGCAAGCTTTCAACCCAAGACTTTTACAGACTTAGAAAAAGAAAAAAAAAAAAACTAAACTAAAAAACCAAAACAGCGAAAGCCCGTTGCAGAGCACAGACCACACTCCAAGGACAGCCAGCCCGCAGGAACGCAGGCTTCCTGGGCTCCCCGCCAAGGGGCAGACACTTGGCTGGGGCCCGAGAAAAGCTGCCAGCCAGCTGTGTGCCATTTGCCCGGCTCCCGCAGGGGATGGCGAGGATTCACCCGCTGTTTCCTAAGGCTGCCACTAGCTGCGCCATGGCCACCCCAGGGCAGTCTCTGCCGGTGGACACGAGGCAGGACTCCAACTCCCTTCAGACCCCGGGACACTGTCCCTTCTACGCACGCGCGGACCAAGAAGGCGACGCACGCCTGCCACCTGCTGATGCACCTGGAGAATGACGTTCCCTTTGCAGGCAGGGAAACAGTCCCCTGCGTGCACAGGAAGAAAAACTACGACTCCCAGAAGCCATCGCGCAGCCAGGCCGCGCCCTCTACAGGGGAGAAACTACATTTCCCAGGACTCTTCGCTCTGCAGGGATCCGCGTCCTCCAGCGGCGCAGGCGGCGGGCCAGGACTGTGTGCCCGCCCGGACATGGCTTCCTTGGTTCGTCTGTTGGGCGCCTGTGGCAAGTCGATGACATTGCTGGGTGGCAGGTGAGTCTTCAGGGACGTCTTTCCCGAATCGGGAGTCGGGGCAGCGTTTGAGGGATCGGAGGCCCGCCGCCTGTTGTTTCCCGGACAGATCCCTCGCTAACCCTTGCGTACCGGCGGCATGCCGTGTGCTTGCTGATTCCGGTCGGGACACCGAGACCTAGGTGGGTGGAGGACGCTCCCCGCCCCGACCTCTGTCGCCGTTACTTTGCTCTCCCCGACTTCATCCCGCAGGTCTCTGCAGCCCGGAGCCCTGCTGGGGCTCCCCGACGCCGGAAGGTGCCCCTGGATGCAGCCGGTGCGGGGTAGGACGCGCGGGAACGAGTACCAGCCAAGCAACATCAAACGCAAGCACAAACACGGCTGGGTCCGGCGGCTGAGCACGCCCGCTGGTGTGCAGGTGATCCTGCGGCGCATGCTCAAGGGTCGGAAGTCGCTGAGCCACTGAGGACCGCTGGGCTGGAGAGCAGCGGAGCCCTAAGCTGCTGTGACACCCCGACAGTGCCATCCTTTTGGAGTCGTAAGAATTTGGAACGCGGGCGGTGATCCACAGAACACCGCGGGTAACACAGTTCAGACCCGGCCACCCGACCTGCTCGCTGTTGAAGTTGACCCACCAGCCCTGGGTTCTCATCTGTCAAAGCCCCAGAATGTCTTCAGTACAAGATAACTGCTTATTAAAACAAAACAAAACAAACAAAACAAAAAAAATAAACGTAAAAAAACTTTTCACAAACCTTAGGGGGACAAAAAGAGACTCAACCGTCTTTAGTATCTTTCAATGTAGAATAAATCCAGGCTTTGGCTGGTGCACGTGCTAATTTACGCTGGCCGGGGAAAGTGGGCAGTAGGGGCAGAAAGCAGGGAGGTTGGAGGCTCCCACCTGATCATTAAGGGGTGTGGCACAGAACTCATGCGAATGCCGGAGACTTCACCCCCCTCAGGCTCCCGCAAAATGGGGGGGGGGGGCATGTCTTCCGAGCCGCGTTGTTGCAGGAGGAGTAAGAGCTCGGCGTTCCCTTGGTGTCTCCGTGGGTGCTGCCAATGTGCTTCTTCCCCCTGGTCCTTGCACTCTTCCTGGAGGGCCGATATGTGGGCTGAGATGGTTGTGGAGACACTGGACTTTAATCTAGGCCACTGAATGCAGGATTTGCCGGATTCAGGACTGGGAGGAAGAGGGTGAGCCCTGGGGAAGCACAGAAAGAGAGGCCTGACTGGGCCCTTGGCAAGAATGCAGTCAGGGATCCTACCTGGAGGAGAAATTAGGGTATGCGAGAAAAACTGGGCCAAGGACTGGGTGCGGAGAAGGGGGGACTTAGGTCCTTGAGACACTTGGGAGCCCTTGGGGGTTGTTGGATGAACAAGAGTAGGGACTGCCTTCTGATGCATCTTCAAGCTTCTACGGTGAAACTCTCTGAGAGTGGCGGGAAGTGTTATGGTGCTGTGTCCCCGTGGCTGCCCTGAGAATCCCTAGTCGATAAAAAGGGCGAATTCCAGAAGCGAGGAGTCTCTACCCACCCATCCCACGGGCTGGCCCTACCCGAGAAGCGGACTACAACTCCCAGGAGGCCCCGCCGCAAGGCCTCCGCCCGCTTCTGGATTCTCAGCACTTTGGTTCCAAGTCCCGGGCGGGGTTTGTTCCCTCAACCGTACTTGATGAACAGGGAGGAGGCGTGGCAGCCAATAGGAGCGCGAGCTGGAGGGGCTCAGCCAATGGAAGCGCGGAGAGCGCCCACATCCTGCGGGTGGGGCTAGAGAAGGGGCCAATGACGAGCAAGGGCCGACGCCATCAGTGTGCGTTGTGCCGTGGCTGGAAGTTATAGTGCGGCGGCGGCAGCGAAGGCGGCGGCGGCTGCTGCGGCTCAGGAGGCGGCTGAGACGGCGACGGAGGAGACAGAAGATGGTGAGCGCGACCGCGGGGCCTCGCCGACCCCTCCGCGCGTCAAGATGGCGCCGCGGACCCTCCCCCTCCGCCGCGATCCCCTCGCCTCTCCCCTCGCCGCCAGACCCCGGCTCCGGCCCCGCCCCTCCCTCTGACCCGTGACCCTCGACCTCGGGACCCCGCCGTGGGCCTCCTCCCGCGCCTGCCCCGGCCCCGTCCGCGACCCCTGACCCTCCCCAGGCCTCCCGGCCCTGACAATTCATTCATTTCCGGGTCGCGGCTCCCCCGGAAATCGCCCGGGATGGGGACGGGTCCGCCGGGACCCCCGGGTCGGGGCGGGCCGCGCGCGCCCCTCCGGCCCGGGGAGGTTCGGCGGCGGGCTCTGGCGCGCGCGGCCTGCGAGGCCGGGGAAGGGGCTTTGTCCCCGAGCCAGTGCGACATCGCGGGCCGCGCGGGAGCCCCCGCGCGCCGAGCCCCACGCCGCGTCCCTGCCCGCAGAGGCGTTCGCGGAGTGCAGACCCAGCACGTGGGCGCGGCGCCCCCGAGCGCCCCTGCGCCCCGCTGGCCCCTGCCAGAAACCTTCGGGGCGCTGGTCCCCTGCGCCCGTGGATGCTGCCCCAGCCTCAGTCTCCCCAAGGCGACGCCTGTCCCCGCTGCTGCGCCAGGGCCCCCTGCCGGGCCTTGTCCCGGGTGACCAGGGCTCAGCGCTCTGTCCCAGCCTTGTGGAGGAGCCCGCGTCACGGGAGACAGCCGCGACTCCGACCTCGCCCCCTCCTCACCCCAGGGGGCAGCCGTGGCCCTGGCCTGGCCCTTCCCCTGTCCCGAGGCCTCTGAGGCCTGCGCACAGGCTGCTGTCCAGGGAACCGCCCACGACCTCAGACTCTCGCTCAGGGTGCCCGCCGGTCGCCCCCGCTGGCCCAGGCGCCAAGCTGGCCGCAGCTGGCTTGTACACTTTGGGCATCCGGTCCCCCTGCCCCAAGATGGGCTGTGCGTGAAGCCCGCGGGTCTTCTGAGGTTGGGCAAGCTGTAAGGAGAGCTGGCAGGGCTTGGGGAGCGATGCTGGGTTTCCTAGGAGGGAACCCCTCCTCGTCCTGCAGGGCACCCTACCTGTGTAACACTCCAGGCAGCCCTCCCACGTGGGTCCGTCACCTCAGGGCCCTTTGTGCCTCTCCCAGCCCCTGGTCCTGCCTGGGACTGCCCAGTGGGCATCCAGACTGCTGTGCCTGAGCCCCCCTGAGGAGAAAACCGATGCATGCCCCTCCCCCCCTCCCCCGAGAGCCTAAGTACATTGGCCTCCTCATTGGCGGAAGGGCTGGTGACCAGGACAGATGTGGTATGACCCTCCTGCCTCAGTGTCCTTGTCTGGTAACAGGTGGCCGCCAGTCCAGGGGTTCTTGCACGGACTCGCCCTGGCCACATCCCTCCGTGTGCCCTCTGCTCTCCTGGCCGCTGGGTCCCCAGGAAGCCCTGATGCCCTTTTCCCCTGCATTTGGGGCAGAGACGTGCCTCTGGGGTCATCGTGGGAAAGGGGCCCCCCCTCTAGTGCGCCATGGGGCATGGTCAGTGGGTGGGACAGTGTCCAGTGCCCGCCCTTGGGAGAACGTGGCGTGGATGGCGCACTGGTCTTGCAGGCCGATTTCCTGAAAGGGCTGCCAGTCTACAACAAGAGCAACTTCAGCCGCTTCCATGCCGACTCTGTGTGCAAAGCCTCGGTGAGTGCTTCGGGGGCGGGGTTGTCCCAGCTGCCCTGATGGGTGGCACTGACCCTAACCTCACTCTAACCCTAACCCCTCTCGCTTTCTGCAGAACCGCCGCCCATCCGTGTACCTGCCCACGCGGGAGTACCCCTCGGAACAGAGTAAGGGGCTCCACGGGCACTGGGGGGTCGGAGGGGGGTGGTGCACTGACTGGGGGTGGGGGGATGTGCCGTCCCAGAGGGGAGATGTGCCGGGCAACCCCCACGGCCTCTCCCCAAGATCTGCGTCTGCCTGTCCCCAGTCATTGTGACCGAGAAGACGAACATTCTCCTGCGCTACCTTCACCAGCAGTGGGACAAGAAGGTGCGGGCGGCCCGGGCGCTGGTGTGGGGGGTGGCCCTGGCTGGGGAGGGGCGGGGCAGGAGGCTGGCTACTCTGGGCTCCCCAGCGAGACTCAGGCCCTGCTGCTCCCTAGAACGCTGCCAAGAAGAGAGAGCAGGAGCAAGTGGACCTCGACGGCGAGAGCTCGGCACCCCCGCGCAAGGTGGCGCGGACTGGCAGCCCCGACATGCACGAGGACACCTAAGTGGCTGCCCGCGCCCCTCTCGGAGCCCCGCCCCGCCCGCCCCACGCCCCTCATAGCAGCAGGAGTATTTATTTTCCTTGAGTTTTTATTTATGCCGTCACGTGACCCAGCTGAGGTTCCAGGGGCTGTCAGACCAGCGTCGTGTCCATAGATGCTTTTTTTAACCACAGTGTCACCCCTACCCCACCCCTCCGGTCCGGCCAACGTGGGTCTGAGGGTGCGGGAGCCCCATCTCCGGCCTCTGCGGGGTCGGCGACCTTTTGCTTTCCCTGGCTGCCCTGGGCCGGGAGCAGAGGCCACACAGACCTTCCTCCCGACTTCTTTTGTGATGGACGAGCGTGCCCGTGTCCACCCCAATAAAAGGGTCTTTCCTCTCCGACCTCGCGTCTTTGCTCCGCCTACCTGGGCCACAGGGCCCTGAGGATGGAGCCCTGAGTATCGTGCCCTGTTCCCTGGACCTGCCTCAAGCCAGGCGCCCCATGCTTGGTCATGGCCCTTGGGGTGTCAGGAAGTGGACCCTGTGCTGCTCCCCCTACAAGCTGGGGCTGGCCTGAGGGCTCGGCCTGGAAGAGCCCCAGGGTGTCCGCAGGGCGGCAGGTAAACGCCAGTCCAGGAGAGGCGGGGGTGCCTTCCCGAGCCTGCTGGTGCCCCCCTGGACCCCCGCTCTGCCTTCCCACACCTCTGTGCCTTGCACAGGTGTCCCCGACTCCGGTCACCCCCAACTTCTCCCGATTGTCCCTACCCGGCCTTCCCGAGGCCACCGTCGGGGCCCAGGGCTCTGCACTGCTCACCCTTCCCGGCTCTGGGTGGGCCCCCACATCCCTAGTTACCGTAGGTCTCCATGCTCCTGCAGGGACCTGGAAGGCCACCCCAGGCCTGGAGCCCCAGTTCTGAGCCGGAGGCCCCTGAGTGGAGGGTGTGGCCAGTGGCCAGGACCCCCCACCCACAGCTCCGTCCTCGGGCACTGTTGAAATAAACTTTTTATTGCATTTCTGCCGTTTTACAAAAATATGGTAAAATAAATTAAAAACAAATAAATAACCGCCTGCTCCTTGTGTTTCTGTTGGTGTCTTAGGTTTCTTCCACGTCCTGGTGGCAGGTGCGTGGGGGGCCACACCCGCCTTGCTGGGTGGGGGCGATATTGCTGCAGGCAGCCCTGGTCAGTGCCAGCCACCGGGCCAGCACACGGCCGGGGGGCTGGGGCTGGGCTCTGAGCTGGGGGGCTGCGTTGGGGGCGGTAGGCTGTAGAAGCTGCTGTCCGCCGGGAGGGACTGCGGCGCCGGCAGGGGCGCGGCCAGCGTGCAGGGAGGACACGCGTCCGGGGGCTGGCGGGGGTCGCTGCCCTCACCCCCACAGCCCCAGGGCCCGTCCCACTGCCAGCAGCCGGCGGGAGGCGTCGGGGGCCCGGGCGGTGGTGTCTGCGCGGGGCTCTGGCTGCGGCGGCTGTGGAGGGCAGGAGCCAGCCCTGCGGGGGGAGAGGGCGCCGTTCCGGGGGTGCCGCGAGCCCCCCCCACCCGCACACCCGGCCCGCGCCCCCTCCCGGGCTCAGGCACTGGGGGCCTTATTGCTTCTGCTGCGTGGCGGGCGGGCGTCGGGGGCGCCCCCAGAAGAGGCCAGAAAAGGATAGAGGAGGCGAAGCCCCGCGCAGTGCCCCTGCGGGCTCAGCACCCAGGGCTGCAGGACTGGGGGTTGGGGATTTTGCATAGAGGTCTTGGGGGGTCCAGTCCCCCCAGAGTGAGCTGGGAGTGAGGTGTCCGGCGGACAGGAGACAAGGGAGGGCGCCCAGGGCCCCCCACCCCCGCCCCTCTCCTGGCTCAAGGTCGCGGACTGGGACTGGGGATGGGTCACTTCCTCACCCCGGCGGGGGCCCCCAGCGCCCGGCCCGGCCCGGGCTCCCCGCCCCCGAGTTAAAGCCTGTGACCTGGGCCGGCCTCGTCGGGCGCGGGGGCGTCGGGCTCGCCGGTGGCCGCGGGGTCGGAGCGCGGGTCCGTACGCGCGTCGGGGCGCGGGGCCCGGCCGCCGCCCGAGGATGCGCCCGTGCCGTTGGAGCTCTCGGCGCGCGCCCCGCCGAACGGGAAGAGCTTCCCGGCGTGGAAGGCCTTGGGGGGTGAGTGGCTGCGCTCCGGGCCGCGCCGAGGCTCGGGGGGCTTCAGGAACTTGAAGCTGAGGAAGTTGGCCAGGCGGGCGTCGGTCGTGGGGGACGCGGCGGCGGCGGCGGCCGGCCTGGCGGGCCCCGACGGCGCGGGCGCGGCCGACAGGAACTTGCCCTGCAGCGGGATGATCTGCTTGAGCTTCAGCACGTTGTTGGGCGCCAGCAGCGAGCCGGGGCGCCGGGGCCGCTCGGCGCCGCCCTGGCCCTGGCCCTGGCCGCCCGCCCCGCTGCCCTTGGCCCTGGCCGAGGCCTTCTCGGGGGCGGCGGCCGGCTCCGGGCCCGCGCCTTCCGCCCGCGCCTCCTCGCGGCCGCCCTCGCGCTCCCGCCGCGTGTGGTGCTCCGCGTGCCGCTGCCGCTCCTCCTCCTCCCGCCGCCGCCGCTGCTGCTGCTGGAAGCGGTGCTGGGCCTGGCGCTCGTGCCGCTGCGGAGACAGAGTGACCACACGGGCCCTTCTTGGGCCTGACCCGGCGTCTCCCACCCCACCGCGCGGCTGCGGATCTGCGGGACCCTGACTCGCCTGCCCTGGCTTCCTTAGTCTTGGGGTGCTGTCTGACATTCCCCAGGTGCCTATGGGGGAGCCCAAGAGGATGCAACTGGGAGGGGAGGGGATGTGCGGAGAAGCCCCATTCCCTATGCTGGCTGAGAGTATGGAATCCTGGGGATTGTGGCTGTGCCCGAGTGAGAGAATTCTCCAGAAGCAAAAAGAAGCAACGAGAACCCAGGCTGTGCCTGTGGCCGACTCATATCCAGCTAGTTGGGCTTCATAAAGAGTGGGGTGAGGGGCTGGAGCAATAGCACAGCGGATAGGGCATTTGCCTTGCATGCGGCCAACCCGGGTTCGATTCCCAGCATCCCATATGGTCCCCTGAGCACCGCCAGGAGTAACTCCTGAGTGCAGAGCCAGGAGGAACCCCTGTGCAATGCCGTTGTGACCCCCCCCCAAAAAAGAGTGGGGTGGGCTGAACCCCTCCACACAGGGCAGAGAACCCACAGCCCAGCCCAGGGGATCTCCGGGCCAGCCGGGCCAGGCTGTCCTGGGAACAGGGTCACCCCAGATCTGTTCTGAGGCTCCCAGACAGCAGGACCCCGTATCCCGAGGAAGCCCTGACCTGGTCTCTGAGCTCTACCTGCTGCTGGCACACACCTTGAAGGCCTCTCGCCGCTGGTACTCGAGCTTGGCCATCTCCTCGGCCACCCAGCCCGGGATGTCGGGGATGGCCACGTGAATGAGGTACTTGAGGAGCAGAGCGAAGTGCTAAGAGGACAGAGGGGAGGCTGCAGACGGGGGCGGGTGACACGGGCAGCACACGCTGTCCCCCTCCCCACAGCCCCCCGCTTCCCACCCGGCCACCTCTGGCCGCACCTCCAGCACCACTACCGACACGATGGCGGCCTCCGGACTCAGCCAGGGGAAGAGGCGCTGCAGCTGTCCACACTGGCCCAGCAGGTAGCAGTTGACCACGATGGCCAGAACCCCCATAGCCTCCATCACCTTCTGTGGGGGACATAGGGGGGGCCTCAGGCAGGGCTGGCAGGCACCCTCCGCCCCAGCCTACCCAGCCGGGCCCCCCACCTGCCACTGGCCAATGCTGTCCACCCGCTGGCCAAAGGGCCGCTGTAGTCCCGTGCACAGTTTGAGTGCGTCACTGCGAATCTCGATGAGGTTGTTGACCAGGGCACAGAGCGCGGCTAGCGGGAAGGCGGAGGAGAAGAGCACGACGTAGCCGAACTGCACGAACATCTCCTGGTAATCCTGGAATGTGTCCTGCAGGCAGGCAGACAGGCGGCTCCCTCAGACTCCTCCCGTTCTCAAGCAAGGCTGCCTCCTCCCTCAGACTTTCTCCAGCAGGTCTGCCAACCCCCTCAGACTACCTTCCTCCTTTGGGCCTGCCTCCTCCCTTAGACCCCCTTCATCCAGCTGTCTGCTTCCTCCCTCAGACTGCCTTCCTCCCGTCAAGTTTGCTTCCCCCTTGGGGCTGGAGCGACAGTACAGCAGGTAGGGCATTTGCTTTGCACGCGGCCAACCCGGGTTTGATTCCCAGCATCCCATAGGGTCCCCCAAGCACCACCAGGAGTAATTCCTGAGTGCAGAGCCAGGAGGAACCCCTGTGCATCGCTGGGTGTGACCCAAAAAGCATTTTTAAAAAAAAGTTTAATTCCCTGAGATGATCTCACCAGAATTTTGGAAGAAATATGGGCCCCACCTCTGCCATCAGATTGCCCTGTGCTTCCCCCCACCCTCCAGGCCCCCTCCATCCTCAGACACCCTGCTCACCTCATACTTCTTCATGCAGCTCTCCAGCTCAGCCTGTGTGAGCTGGGGGGAGGGCTCCTCCTCGGGCGGGTCAATCCAAGATGCCCGGTTCTGCCGCCGCTGCCCCCGGACCGACTCGCTGGCACCCAGCTCTGAGTCCGGGGCCCCCTCCGAGCTCTGTTTGTGGCTCTCGCCCCCGGCTCGGCGGAGCAGGACGGTCGGGGGTTCCGGCTCCGGGCTGCTGGGTGGCCCATCGGCCTCGTCATCGTCGTCCTCGGCCAGCGTGAACACACCGGGCTCCAGCCCCTTCTCCACCAGCGTGGGGCTGCCTTCCTCCAGGGGGGCCTGGGGGCTGGGGCCCCGGGGCCGCCCGCCAGCGCGCTCAGCGAAGCTGACCTTCTTCAGCCTCAGGGCGCCCTCCTCGCCCTCGTCCTCATCGTCCTCGTCGTCCTCGTCGTCCTCATCATTGTCCTCCTCATCCTCCTTCCCCCCCTGTGGCCCTTCGCTGTCCTCGCCACCTTCGCGCCCCGGCTGCCGCTCCACCGGGGCCGTTTCCTCCTCCTCCTCAGAGGCCCCGCAGCCCCCGCCAAGGCACCTGCGGCCCCCACCTCCGCTGGGCTCCTCGGCCTGGGGTTCGAGGCGGCGGGGCGGCAGGCGCCAGAGGCCCAGGAGGCCCAGCAGGGCTCGGGCCAGCTCCCAGGCGGCACGAAGTCCCAGCTCCCCGCGGCCCAAGTGCCGGTACAGGTGGGGCTGCAGCACCTCCCGCACGTTCTGCAGAAACTGACGTGTGATGAGCAGAGTGGCCAGCATCTGCAGGCGGAAGGGGCGAGAGCCGGAGTGGGGCACTGGGCGTCGCTGCCCCCCGCCCCCCGCCCCCAGGTTCCCCTACCCCCCCCCCCAGCTCGTGGGCTCTTGGGCCCCGACGCCACACAGCTCGCCCTCTGCCCGTACTTTGGCCCGGGCCTCGAGCAGGAGGCCGCGGAGGGACAGGACTAGCAGGCGGAACCGCAGGGCCGCGAGCGGGACCAGTACTGCCCGCAGTTGCCGCTCGAGGCTCTGGGACAGGGATAAGATGACCAGGAGCTGTGGAGGGATGGACAGACAAGAGGACGGACAGATGGGGGGACACAGGCAAAGAGAAGACGCACGGAAGGACGAACGCACGGACAGAGAGGAGAGAAGGATGGAGGAGGGAGGGGCCGAGAGCCCACAGATCCGGGAGTGCCCCCCTACTGACCGCCAGTGGGCTGGCCGCCCCGCAGGGGCACTCACCTCTTTGAGGCGCTCCATGTCCTTGAGGTAGAAGCCGATGTAGAAGAGGCTCAGGTACGAGTTAACAAACTGAAACTGCAGGGATCAGGAGTCACGTGGCATGGCCCTGTGCCCTGGACCCCTGCGGGGACTGCCCAGTGCCCTTGGTCGCCACTCACCAGGACCACTTTGATGATGAGGTGCTTCTCGTAGGCGCTCTCCAGCCGGTAATTCTCTGGGGGCCGAGGGGGCGCGTGAGGGAGTGGCGGGGTGGGGGGCGACCACTTCCTCCCAGGGTGGGGCGGGTGGTTGGCGGGGGCGTACCCATGTCATTGAGCCAGATGGCGAGCTTCTTGTAGCCCTCCGCGCTGACGCTGACCAGCAAGGCCAGCACCACCTTGGGCAGGAAGCGGACCAGTCGGGGCAGCCCCTTCACGCTCAGCACCAGCTCCTGCAGGGTGTGGGGTGGGGGAGTCACCAAGGCCAACGGGGGCGGAGCAGTGGAGGGCGGGGCCTTGGGGGTAGAGCATTGCTGGAGGCGGGGCCTTCACTGTGGAGCAGCCATCTATAGGCAGGGCACGAAGGAGGGCGGGGCATCTGTGGGCAGGGCCTTTAGAAAGGGGCGTGTCCTGGCGGGGCGGGGTCTCCGTGGATCGGGCACAGCTAGGGACCAAGCAGGCGCTGGCAGGAGCGGGCAAGGCAGTCTGGCGGGCATCACCTGCAGCTGGAAACAGCCGAGCATGAGCAGGAAGACGCAGGCCAGGCAGCTGAGGCACAGGGGTAGGCTGACGAGCAGCTGAAAGAGCAGGCGCTTCCAGGCCGGGTAGTAAAACTCCTCCGCGCGGGTCACAGGGCTGATGCGCCTCACGCCCTGGGGCGGGGACAGCAGGGGGCCGGTTGGGTTGAGGAGCGCACCCAGCGTGAGACCCCCCAGGGGTCTTTCCACCTGACCTCTGCCCAGGGGGAGGGGGGCGGCCCCAGCTGGTGCGTCCATGTCACCCAAACTCTTTCCCCGCCGGCAGCCCTGGTGCTTTCTCCGAGCTATTGGACTTACCCTGAACTGGGGTCGTGGCTCCTCCACGGCCTCCCCCGGGGAGTCCAGAGTCCCCCACTTGTAGGCCAGCTCAGCCCCCCTCCGTTTCCACTCCTCCAGGAACAGCGTAGACCACACCACATTAAAGAGGGCAAAGACCACGCAAGAGACATCCCGGCTAGTCTGAGGGCGGAAGTGGGGCAGGGCTGTTGGCAGGTTTGACCAGGGAGGCTAGCGTCTCGGGAGTGCCAGCCACTGCCCAGCCCACACTCGGCACCTGATCCGCCTCTGTGAACGTGTACAGGACAGAGCCAAACACAGCTGGGTACACCATGGCTGACGTGTAGAAACCCAGCCAGGCGAAATACATGGCAATCTTCACACCAAAGTAGTCACAGATTTCGTCTGCCAGAGAGGGAGCAGACAGAAGGGTACGTTAGCCAGGCCTATCTCCTGAGACCCACCCGCCTCCAAGGACCCCATAGCACCGACCATGCAGCCTCTGGCACATCTAGGCCACGTCCACCTGAGCCACGCCCAGTCCCTGCCCCACCCAGGGCACACCTAAAGGTTGGTTTTCACACACGGCCTGCACCCATGACTTCATGAGGCGGTTCAGGATGCGCTGTTCATGGACAGGGAACACCTGCTGAATGATCCCGCGGGCTGCCAGCTCAGGGACTGCAGGGGACAAGAATGGACAAGGCCTGACTCTGCGTGTTCCTGGACTGAAACTCAAATCCCAGGTTTTTGCTGTCTTACACCCACAGAGGTATTTTCCCCCGGGCGGTGTGGGGGGCGTTCTGGGTGACAGTATGTTCTCTTTCAGAATGTGGGAGGTGCTCAACTAGGAAGGTGGACCCAGCGGGGAACCACGTTTACATTCATTTAAAGATCTTAACTAATTTTATTATTTTTGCAGTGTCTGAAATCGAATCCAAGCCTCACAGATACAAGGCAACTACTACTTGGAATTCTGTTTTTCAAGTCCTGTGGTCTCAGGTCATTGTTTCAAATGCCTGAGAAATGGTCCACAGTTGGGGACTGAAGGTAACTGGGGCTGTGGTTTGTTTCCTGGAGGGGAAACAGCCCCAGGGCCATCCCATGCTGGATGACAGGCGCTGTCCGTGGTGCTGTCACGAAGCCCTACCTGATCCACACTAAGATGCGCCTGGATCCGCCTCCCACGGGAAGCCCCGCCCCTTCCGCCCACCCTCCAGGCTCCAGATACCATCCTCCTCCCCGGATTGGAGGCCAGTCCCGCCTAACTCACTGATTGGCTGGTCCTCCAGGAAGCGCACATTGTGCAGCGCCTCGCCCTGCTTCGCCCGCAGGTTCTGCAGCCAAAAGCGGATGATGCTCTGGCGCTCCTGCAAAAAAACAGGGTGTCAAGCAGAGAGGACAGCACCCCCGTAGCAGGCTGGTGGGGTGCGCGAGCCGCCGCCCCAGCCGGTGTACCTGGGAGGTGAAAAAGCGCAGCTCACTCTCTACGTTCTCATAGATGAAGTTCTCTTCGCAAGAAAAGCCTCGGGTGCCCCCGCCAAACTCGGCCTTCACGGCTTTGCGCAGACCTAGCTCATCAGCACCACGGAGCAGGCTGTAGGGAAGGGGGAGTGGTGGGGTCACGCCATCCAGGGGCGAGCCGGCAGACAAACACCTGCTGGCTGAACCTGATAGTTGGTGTTTGGAAAGGGGGCGAGGAGCCGGGTGGCAGGCTCCGTGGGAAGCCAGGGCCAGGACTCGCCTCTCATAAGTGGCGGTGACGAAGAAGGCGTAGGCACGGGTGTGGCGATGATGGCGGACTTGCACGATGAGCTCAGGGATTCCAACACGGATGTGGTTGAGCAGCCAGAGCAGCGTGTGGTCATCGGTCGTGTCTGCCAAGGCACACAGCAAGCGATGGCTCTGGCCACCAGGAATCCGAGGCTTTTTAGCAAGTCCTACTCAGGGGAGGCCCCAGCGGGGGCCCATAGCTGGTGGTGAGGGGTACCTGGGAAAGTCATTAGCACGTCACAGTTCTCCGTGGGCACCGTCTTCATCCAGGCCTTGTGGGACACCAGGTATCGACCCGCCTGCAAGAGGCGCTTCCCAAAAAGCTTATCTGAGCGGTAGATGGTGCAGATTGAGTCAGGTGGGATCAGGATCCCCACCCACAGCCTCGGCCCCCAGGACCCCTGACTCATGTCCTGACATTTAAGGTCCTGGGAGCTCAGGCCTTAGCTTACCAGCTCTGCTGAGCAGCCTGGCACCAGCCCCTCCCTCCAGGAACGCCCTTCCCCCAGGCCCTTCCTTACATATCTTTCTCATCTAGAGGCCCAGTTCCGCCTCCAAGCCACAATCGATGGGACGCCCAGAGCCGCCTGAGTGCCAGGCCACATCCTGCTCGCATCCTCAGAGTTGGGCGCAGCCCACACCTCCCTTCCAGAGGTGAAGAAACTGAGGCACCAGGTAGTGAAATCGTGCACAACCCAAGGTCACAAAGACCACCCAAGATTCAAACCCGCGGCGGGGGTCTTCCTGGGTTCTCTGCAGAGAGGCTCTGGCAAGCACATCCCTGCAGTGTCGCTCTCCACTAGCGCGGGGGGTGAGCGGACACTAACCCAAAGCCTTCCCCAGCTCCCCGAGGGGCGTGTCCCAACCTTCTCCCCGGACCCCGGCCCCACTGCACCGACCCAGCGGCTCCCACCGGGCCCCATGAGCCCGCGGCGCAGGGAGGAGCCGGCCTGCCTGTTCACTGGACTGCAGGCCCGGGACCGCGGGGCCGGATCCCCGCCCCGGCCGTGGCCGCTCGCACCTCGGGCACCTGCAGCCCAGCCGGGCACCGCGCCGCACACGTACCCAGAACTCCGGACGCAGGGGCTGCAGGCTCGCCCTCCGGCGGCGGCCGCTTGCCGCGCTCGCCCTCCAGGGATGTGCCCCCGGCGCCCGAGGCCGTCTCGGTCATGGCGAAGGCCGGTCAGGTCAGGGGCTGCGGGCGGCCGGTGCGCTCATGCGGCCGCCGCGGCCGCCAGGCACGCCAGAGGAGGAGACAAAGGCCGCGCCCGCCCGCGCCGGCCGCCGTCCCCGCGCGCCCGAGCGCTGCTTCTCGTCCCCGCCCGCGCCGATCGTAGCCTGAGCTCCGCGGCCCCGCGCACGTCCTGGCGCGCCTCGGTTTTGCGGGGTTGTCTTCTGGGTTGCGTCCCCGCCCGCCCGCCCGCGCCGGATTCTGGGTCTCGTCCCCGCCCGCCCCGGGTTTGGCGGGATCCTCCACCCGCGGGTCTCCCTATCTGCAGGGGTGCAGTAGGGAAGGCGCGATGCGCCGCGCCAGGGCGCGACAGGAACGTGCGTGGGAAGGGGCGCGCCCGGGTCGCGCAAATTCCCGGGACCCCCCCAGCGAACGTGCCAACGATTCCTAAGGTCAGGCTAGAGCGATAGTACAGCGGAGAGGGCGTTTTCCCTAGGTTAATCCCTAGGGTTCGATCCTCGGATTCCCACATGGTCCCCCAAGCACGGCCAGGGGGAACCCATAAGTATCGCTTGTTGTGGGTCTCCCACTCCCACAAAAAAAAAGGAGGGAGCTTTCTCACAGAAGACCCCCATGGACTGCCAGAGTAAACTAATAAAGACAGTAAGCCCACCTGGTTCAAGATCAGTTTCATCTACATGCTTGGAACATCATGTGGGACATGGTGTTACTTTGGAGTGGGGAGGGCTGGGCATGCTCTGAGAAGCTCAGGATCTATTCCTGTCTCTGCTCAAGAGTGGTATTTAGTGGGCCAGGGGCGTATTACAATGGAGTGAGTAGGGTGCTTTTCTGGCACGGGTGGACCTGGGTTCAATCCCCAGCATTCAATAAGCATTGCTAGGACTGATCCCCAGCATTCAATAAGCACTGAGCATTGCCAGGACTGATCCCTCAGTTCAGAGCCACAAATTAGCCCTAATCCTTGACAGCCATGGCTCCCAAACAAACACCAGTTGTATTCAGGGCATCATGTGTGGTGCCAGGCTTCTAAAGTGGACAGAAATGCAAAGCACTCAAATTAAACACTGAACTCTGATTTCAGAACCTCTGATACTTGCGTTGTTGTTGTTGTTGTTGTTATTGGGAATCACAGCTGCTGTTTCTCAGGGGCTCTGGGGTGCCACCAGGTCCACAGCATGGTTGTAAGGCGGCAGGTGACTTAGCGGTGCTGGGGGGATGATGTGTGCTGGGGATGGATCCCAGAATCTTACACATACATGCACAAAGCCTGTACTCTGCCCTTAGAGCTGCTTGTTATATTTAAAAACGTCATTACTGGACAGAGAGAGAGAGAGAGAGAGAGAGAGAGAGAGAGAGAGAGAGAGAGTTGTGCAGGGCTTAAGGCTCTTGCCTGCATTCTACAGACCCCCAGATCAAATCCCAGCAACTGGTCTATAAAGCACCACCAGGGATCAGTTTTGAGCACAGAGCCACAAACAGTCCCCAAGCACCCCTGGGTATGGCTCAAAAACAAATAGTAATAAGAATAAAATCATTAAAACATTTTCCCTGGTCTGAAAATTCACACAGAGTTCACATTCTCTATTTTGTCCAGACATCTGGATCCCTGACAGGGATAAGAAAGGCAGAATAAGAAAGGCGGGACTCGAACCTGCGCCCCAATGGAATTCCCACAGCCCGCTGACCAGTCTGGTCTTTCTTCCCACTCCTCCTTTCCGGTGTCTGGGGATTTCCCCGGCTCTCTAGGATCCTACAAATTCAGGCCGCTGTAGCCGGGGGGAACTGCATTCCGCTGCACCAACCCAGAGCCCCTCCCCTTCTATCACCAACCAATCGGTAGGAAGATCCTCCCACGTGGGCGGCCCGTCTTTTAAAAGTACCCAATGGGAGTGTAGAGTCTGAGAGCCGTTCTCCAGTCGCGCGGCGGAGTGGGCGGGGCCTCTACCGGACTGGAAGTGCCCTAAGCAAAGCAGGCGGGCAGGTGGCTGTCTGTGGACCCCATGTGGCGGGGGCTGTGGACCCTGGTCTCCCGGGCGGCACGTGGGCCTGACAGGTGGGGCGACCCGGGGGAAGAGGTGGGGCGCTGCTGGGCCCCCCAACTTCTTTCGAGGACAGAACCGTCTCCCGCGTCCCCCCGTGTTCAGCCTTTCGTGCCGCAGTGCGCATTTCTAGGTCACCTGCCCGAATCTGGTCACCCTGCGGCCTCTCTCCCTCCGTCCAGCCAGTGCATCCTACTGGGGCATCTCCCAGCCCGGAAGCCCTAGGCTACCTCCCGCTGTGGCCCTCCTAGTTACCCCGACCGCCCCTCTTCTCCCGTCCCAGGCCGTGCGCGCGCCGGGGCAGCGGCGTCCCGGGCCCCGCTGCCGGGGCCACCGTCTTCGCGCTGAGCTCGGGCCAGGGCCGCTGCGGCGTCGCCGTGATCCGGACCAGCGGCCCCGCCAGCAGCCAGGCTCTCCGCAGCCTCACGGCGCCGCGGGACCTGCCCCCAGCCCGCAGCGCCTGCCTGCGCCTGCTCCGTGACCCGCGCTCCGGGGAGCCGCTGGACCGCGCGCTCGTGCTCTGGTTCCCAGGTCAGGGACCCTAAATCCGGAACCCCTGGGGCTCTCGTGACCCATTTTATCCCCTGGCTGAGCCTGCTCCTAATTCTGGAGTCCCTTTACGGCGCCAGGTCCCCGGAGTTTCACGGGTGAGGACTGCGCCGAGTTCCACGTACACGGAGGCCCGGCCGTGGTGAGTGGCGTCCTCCAGGCCCTGGGTGAGTCTGCGGCCACCCTTGTGTTGATGCCAGTGCTGCAGGGCGGGGACCAGGGGGCTGAGGATCCAGGACCTCCACGCAGGCCGCGTGCCCGGGCTTCGGCCGGCAGAGGCGGGCGAATTCACCAGACGGGCTTTTGCCCACGGGAAGCTGACCCTGACCGAGGTGGAGGGCTTGGCAGATCTGATCCACGCAGAAACCGAGGCACAAAGGCGGCAGGCGCTGAGGCAGCTGGATGGGGAGCTGGGCCACCTCTGCCGCGGCTGGGCTGAGACCCTCACCAAGGCAAGGTCCCTCCCACCCCACACTCTGTCCCCAAGCCCCATCCTTCCGCCCCTTGCGGAGGGAGCCCCTTCCATGCGCCTGGAGGCACTAGGAGTGGCGCGTGGCGCTTGTTGGTGCTCACAGAGCTGCCTTGCTCCAGGCTCTGGCCCATGTCGAGGCCTATATCGACTTTGCTGAGGATGACAACCTGGAGGAGGGCGTGCTGGAGCGAGGTGAGTTCTCCTCCGGCTGGGAGTTGGGGCCAGCTGGCCTTGTAGGGCCTCCGCCTCACCTGCACCCGTCTGCCCCCACATCCACAGCTGACAGCCAGGTGCGGGAGCTGGAGGCTGCACTGGGCGCGCATCTCCAAGACGCCCGACGTGGGCAGAGACTCCGCTCAGGGGCGCATGTGGTAGTCGCAGGGCCCCCCAACGCTGGCAAGAGCAGCCTGGTGAACCTGCTCAGTGCGTGGGAGGTGGGCAGGGGGCGCGGTGAGCTAGGGGCGGGGCCTGGAGGAGTCCCCCTGGCTCGCCCCGTTCTCTGACACCCATGGTCTACAGGCCGGAAGCCTGTGTCCATCGTGTCTCCAGAGCCAGGGACCACGCGTGATGTGCTGGAGATCCCTGTCGACTTGGCTGGCTTCCCGGCACTGCTGAGTGACACAGCAGGGCTGCGGGAGGGTGCAGGGCCCGTGGAGCAGGAGGGCGTACGGCGTGCCCGCCAGAGGTGGGTGGTCAGGGGCGTTGGACAGCCGTAGGAGTCCATCTGTCTAAATCAGAAAAGACTTGAGCCTTCAGCTGGCCCAGCCCATCCACATGCCATGTCTGCCCACTACCTTCATGCTGGCCAGTATCCCCTCCACGCCCTCTCGTCCAGCCACGCCCCTCTGCCAGGCCCCTGGGCCACGCCCACACATTCTACCAATCAAACCTGCCCCTTTGTCTCAGCCGTACACTCAGTCACGCCCCTCCGCCGGGCCCACAATTCTGCCCAATCAAACCCGCCTGTCTGCTCTGCCACGCCCTTCCCTGCACCGTGCTCCAATCACATGCCCCCTTTCAGCCCCGGCTTCTCTGGCCGACTGGTTCCACATGGCCCACTCCCCCCAATCACTTGCTACTGCTGCCCTGTGCCCCGCCCACTAGCACCTTTCCCTGGCGATTCCGGGCCTCTCTGACTGGCCCTTGTTCCCCAGGCTCGAGCAGGCCGATCTCATTCTGGCTGTGCTGGACGCTTCTGACCTGGCCTCACCATCCAGCTGCAGCTTCCTGGACACAGTTGTCAGGCCCGCGGGGGCCCAGAGCCCCAATGGGAGCAGCCAGCGCCTCCTGCTGATACTGAACAAGTCGGACCTGCTGGTGCCTGGGCCCCGGCGCCCGGGTGGCGACCTGCCTCCGCACGTGCTGCTGTCCTGCCGCACCGGGGAGGGGCTGGACGGGCTCCTGGAGGCGCTGCGTAAGGAGCTGGCTGCCCTGTGAGTATCCCCGCGCCTGGCTTCCAGGATGGGGCCGAACCAGGGAGGAGAGACACAGCGTCTGTCCTTTGTCCCTCCTAGGTGCGGGGACCCGACTGCAGGCCCGCCGCTACTGACCCGTGCCAGGCACCAGCACCACCTTCAGAGTTGCCTCGACGCCCTGGGCCACTACACACAGGCCAAGGACCTGGCACTGGCAGCCGAGGCCCTGCGGGTGGCGCGGGGGCATCTGGCCTGCCTCACCGGGGGAGGGGGCACCGAGGAGATCCTGGACATCATTTTCAGGGACTTCTGTGTGGGCAAGTGAGGTCAAGGAAGAGAGCTCAGAACCAGGCCCACGGACACTGAGAGCCTCGTGGCCTCTGGAGCCAGCTGAGACCCAGAGGAGTATATATGACTTCAGAGAAACAGAGCTCCAGGTCAGCCACGTCTCAGGACGACCCAGGGATTCAGGCCCTGAGGGGCAGACTGGAGGGGTCTCTGGCCCTTGCAGGGCAGCAGGAGAGAGGCAAAGTCCTCACTTCCCAGTCTTTAATTTATTTTGCACACGCCCAGGGCTTGTGCAAAGCAGCCCCACTGGTTCCTTCCGGAACCTTCTGTGAACCCTGGCGGTCGTGTGGCACCTCTGTGAAAAAACATCTCCTGTGTTGTGTGTCCAAGGTGTGGTCATTGCTCCACGGCCATGTGGTTTCCGTGTTTCAGAGTGACCCCCACAGACGGCTGGAGTCCCAGCTCCATCCCTGCCCCCTCCCGAGTGACCCCTAGACTCTGAACTGGTCGCCAGGAAGAGCCCAGTGGTCAAGGGTGTGGTGGGCGGCTGCTTCCCTGGGCAGGCCTGCACAGTGGCCTGGAGTCGCTGACCCTCCATCGCAGAGTGGCCGGTGACGGGTTCTCATCCGTGGGACGCGGGTGCTGAGAGCTGGGTTTGGAAAAACTCAGTCCTGGTGGGTTGATGACTAGGCGGTCTGGGCCCCACCCTAGCAGCGCCCAGCGGTGCCAGGCCGCGTGTTGGTTCGGACCTCGGCCAGCAGGGGGCGCCGCCCCCTAACCTCCAGGAACTCACTTGTGCTCCACTGCGTCCACGTTTCCCAGGACCAGTCTTAGGTCCATGGGGTTAGCTCCGAGGCCAGGAGAGTCCGAGGGGCTCAGCCTGCGCCCAGAATCTCTCTCCCCAGCCAGGGCACGCGTTGAACCTCGTTTGTTAATGAGCCAATTGTCTTGCGGGGGCCACGTCTGCTCCTCCCAGAAGCACTGGGGCTCCCCAGTCGGAGGATCTGGGGAGCTGAGCCCTTGGGTTCCCAGATCACATGTCTCTGGGGGCTGGGGGAGCCGCAGAAGCCTGCGCCCCTCATGCCTCCGACCCTGGCATCTTTGCTCAGGGGACCTTCGCTACAATTCCTTTTTTCCAAGAAGGGTGAGGCAGTTTATGGGAAGCAGCCATGGGGCTTATTTATAGGTGACAGGAAATCCCCAAAGAGCCAGGACTTTGCCTGGTGGCTGGACCACAGGGTCAGGACAGTGGTTAGCCAATGGCTCCCTGACTGGAACTCTGCCACCACCCCCTGGCCCATTCTTGGGGGCGCACCCAAACTATAGGATCAGTACTGGAACGAGGGGCAGATGGGGCTGAAGGGCCCCACAGGGAGGAGCAAGGGGACATCCAGGAGGGCTGCCTGGAGGAGGAGCTTTGGAGCACTGGACCTCAAAGCAGGCAGAGCTGGACAAGCTGCTGGGAGGAAAAAGATATCATCCAAGCGTGCAGTGCTTAGAACCAGGGGATGATTAGACTCACTAACCTATCTAGCACAGACTGGGGTGGGGTCAGGAGGGAGGGATTTCCTGTGCCCCCAACGTAAAGAGCCCAGGGCTGGGACCCTGTCATGGAGCTTGGGGAGGGGCAGCGAATAAGCTGCAGAGGGATGATGTCGGATCCCACCGGGGTCAGGGCTGAGTGGGCTTGGCCATGGAACCAGCTGGAAGTTTAAGTCCTGGGTTGCCCCCAGATCACAGATCACAGATCATCCTGTTATTCGTCGATTGCCTCGAGCAGGCCCCAGTAACGTCTCCTTCATCCTAGCCCTGAGAATATATTCAAGGCTCTTTAGGAGAATGAGACCCATCATTGCCCCCATGGGAGAGAAAAGCCAAGTGTGGGAGACCCATGCCCACCTGTCTGGGGCACCACCCCTGCTTTGGGGGGCAGAAAATGAAGTCCCCAGGGGTCTGACGCCTCAGACCAAGGTCGATACCTTTGAGCCTCCAGGCTGCCTCGTCAGCCTCCTTCCTGGGGACCCTGTCCAGGCGGTCCAGCCCGCCTGACCCCCTGCCCCAGCTTGGCAGGGTCCCAGCCAAGTGCTTCCTGCAGCCGCTGTCTCTCGCCGGCGTTTCCGGGAGCAGGAAGTATCGCTCCTTTGTCCCTCCTGGCTGGCCTGCCTGAAGCCTGGAGCTGCCAGCCCGGTTCAGTGACTCACCCGCCCCACTGGGGTCTCGGGACCAGTGGTGGGGGTGGAGGATGGGCCCGAGCGTCCACTCCGGGGTCAGGGGTTACTTGTCCACTGAGGGCCCTTGGCTTGGCTTCCTGGAGCCAGTACTGCCCAGAATGCTGTTTAGGGTCCAGGAGTTTGTAGCTGGACTTGGATTCAGTGCCCCGGGCCCTCCTGACCTCTACCCAGAGGTTATTCCTTGGCTGGCAGAAGCTTGCTGGGGTCCCAGCCTGCACCCCAAGCCAGGGACCTTTGGGATGTTGGGCTCCATGTGGCCATCATTGAGGAGCGAGGCCCCTTCAGTGCCCACTCTGGGGGAACCTTGGAATTAGAGACAGACACAAGCCACACCCTGCTTTTTTTTTTTTTTGCTTTTTGGGTCACACCCAGCCGATTCTTGGGGGTTATTCCTGGCTCTGCACTCAGGAATCACTCCTGGCGGTGCTTGGGGACCATATGGGATGCTGGGAATTGAACCCGGGTCGGCCGCGTGCAAGGCAAACGCCCTACCTGCTGTGCTATTGCTCCAGCCCCAAGCCATAGCCTGCTTTTGGGGACAGAGTGTCTCACAGGCTGGATTTTAGGGACACTGGTGCAGGACTGCAGGTGGGGCTACATAGAAAGGCAGGGGGCGGGATTTGTGTGCAAAACAAATTCATCTCCAGCACCCAAAAAACGTAGACACAAATATCAAGTGATGCCACAGTGGCCAACCACAAAGCTGTCCCTGGAGGAGCTTGGGATCTCAGGAAGCCCTTCTGGGCTGGGACTCTGCTCTCTCCCTCTCTTCCCTCTCCTCTCTCCTCCCTCCCCCAAACTCTCTCCCTCTCTTCTTTTTTCCCCTTGATTTTTGAGCCACAACTGCTGATGCTCAGGGTCACTTCTGGTGGGGCTCAGGCGACATCTGAGCAGGCGACGCCCACTGGCTGGCCTGTGGCTCCAGCCTCTCCCCTCCCCTCTCTCCCTAACTGGACCGAGTCATGGTCCCCCATTTTGGTTCCAGGGGCTGCGCGCTGCCCCTCCATCCCTCCTCACTGAGGGTGGGCTCGGCGGTTTTCACAGCAGCAGCAGGAGCCGATCTCTGCGGGTTTGCTAATATTTATTGGCACAAGGGGCCCCGGTGGGGCTTGGGGTCTTGGGGGGGACAGAATGAGGGGCTGAGCTCTGCGCCCCCCTCCAGGCCCGGATTCCGGGTCCTGTGAGGGGTCAGCTGGGAAGGAAGTGCGGGGTGCGTGAAGGGCGTGGGGGCTGGCAGGAAGCCTGTCCATCCGGCGTGTCTGCATGGTCACCGCGGGGAGCAGGGGCAGGGGGTGAGCACTGTGGACGGGGCAGTGCTTGGCTGGTTGTGTGTGGGTCCCCAGTGCCGACCGCTGTCCGAGGGTCCCCGCAGGCTCCTCAGCCACTGCACAGGAAGAGTGGAGGAGACAACGGTGTCAGCCAGGGATGTCAGAGACCCCACTCCCACGGAGGAAGAGCGGGAGGCCTCCTGGGGCAGGCCGTGGTCCTGCCCTGCCTTCGCTCCATGATGCCAGGGTCCCACCAGGCCCCCAGACTCAGATTCTGCCACAGTTCCCCCCAGTTTCTAAGTGCTTCCAGCCCTGCCCCCTCCCAGGCTTCATGAGGCTCTGTGGAGTGAGGGGTCATGCCATGGGGCTTCCTGGTGGAGGAGGCGCTCCCAGCCCGGAGTCCTGCTTCCTGCCCCCTCCTGCACTGCCCCATGTTTCTGCTGGTCACCACCTGAGTCTGGCCATCTCCCCAGGCTGGCCCTACCTAATTCCAGATGGGGAAAGCCCTGACGCCCACCCGCCAGGCCATTTTGGGAGCCGTTTCTGGGAGCCCCCATGTTGGCTCCTGGCATCCCAACTTGGAGGCCCCCCAAAGGCTGATGTGCACCCCTGACGAGGGCCCCCCAACCTGAATGGAAAATCCCAGAACCCTCCCCACCCTTATCGCCCCCAATGCTGACCCCAAGATTGGAGGTTTCTTACTCCCTCTCTAGCCGCTGAGGGCCTCCCGGGTGGGTGTGAGCCTCCCACCCCGGTGGGCCCGATGCAAAGCTGAGACAAGGCCCCCGAGGCTGCTGCTGACCCGTGACCCCCCCGCACCCCCCCCCCGCCACTCAGTGCTCATTGTTCTCCGAAGTGAAGCGCTTCCCCCCGCGTTCTCAGCCAGTGACGCAGGCCCGACCCCGGCCTCGGGGCCCGGGCCCCTCCTTGGAGAAGTGGGGGGCTAAGAATAGCATCTCCTGCCTGGCCTGTGCGGCTACGGGCCAGGCTGAGAGAGGACGGGGGTGCTGGGGCCCGGCCAACCCCCCCACGCCCTTTCCGCCACCACCCAGAGCCCAGCCTGACCTGGGAGAACGGAGCCCCATCAGGAGCCTGGCTGGGGCCAGGGGGTGCAGTGGGCCGGCCACTGGCCTTACACCCCACGAACCAGGATTCAATCCCTGGCACCCCACACAGCTCCTCCAGGAGTGATCCCTGAGTGCAGAGCCAGGAGTAGCTGTGGGCACTGCCGGGTGTGGGCCCCCAAGAGACAAAAATGGAGGAAGAGGACGAGGAGGAGGAGGAGGGGAAGGGGAAGGGGGCTGCTGGGAGCGTCCAATCGACCCCCGCGGCTCCTTAAAACAAGGTGGGACAGGCAGATGTGGGGCCCCAGGGGGCAGACTAAGGCTCAGGGCCTTGGGAGGTGCAGTTTCAGGGTCCAGGGTCCAGCCCTCACATCATGGGGGCTCTGGTCCCCAGGGTGTCCCTCCAGTGTCCAGTGTCTAGTAGACCCCAACCAGCACCCTTTGTCGTCTTCCGCTGACGGGGCTTCAGGGCACCCCAGGTACCCCTGTCTCCAAGCCCAGCCCCCAGGGTCCTCCCCGGGCCTCTGTCCCTGTGCACCCCATTCTTGACCACTGTCAAGAGCTGCAGGGCCCAATTCAGGGGCTTCCAGGCTTCCTCCCTCCACCCTGCACCCCCATCCCCACCTCTAAGGCACCCCCGCTGCCCCTTACCTTGTGGGGAGCCCCTGAGACTCCAGAATCTTCTTCTTGAACTCTTCCACCAGGCCTGGGTCTGTAGACACAGGGAGGATCCCTGAGCCCCTCAGACCCCCACAATTGCCCCACCCCACCCGTACCCCCCTTCATCACTCACTGATGTCCTTGATGGACGGGGGCTGGGGGGGCGCAACCACAGTCCTCGGCGCAGGGATGAACTGTGACTGTGGGGAAAGGGTGTGGATGTCTCAAGGTGGGGCCCACGGCCAGGCAGCCTGGTGTCCCCCCATCAGTGACTGTGATGCCCAGCTGGAGCTGATGCCCCGGCCATCGCTTCCCCCCAGAACTAGAGTGAAGCCAGTCTGAGGATGCTCCAACCCCCAGCCCTGGGACCCCCATCCAGTCACACCCAGCCTCCTCCTGCTCTCAGACACTGAGTCAGACCTGGCCAGTTTCTGCACTCACAGCTGCCACCCTGTACCCCTTTCTGCCCCTGGCACCCCTGCCCACATCCTGGTCCTCATCGAACCTTCTAGAGCCACCTGACCGCCGACTGCATGCCTCCCCCAGCACGGACCCGGTGCCCGTTGCTCCCTGGGTTCTAGAAACTGCTCCCAGACCCAACGCTGTCTTTCATGAGCTCCCAGTCTGGAGACCCACCAAGCACTTTGAAAACGTGGCCACAGCCTGGGCAACCCCACTCAAACCCTCCCGACCCCACAAGCCGAGTCTGGGGGTCTCCAGCCCCAGGGATGCGCCTGCAGCCTTGGTTCTAACCAGCCCCAGGCAGTTACAGTCCTGTTTGCCCCAGTCAGGCCTCCGCCACCTGAGGCAGACCCCATGTGGTGCCTGGGGAAGGGACCACCGCTCTGACACCCGCTCCTGCCCCAAGCTTCTCACCTTGGGTAGTATTTTGTGGGGGTGGTTTGGGCCACACCTTGCAGTGTTCAGGGTCACTCCTGCTGGTGCTCAGGGACCATATGGGATGTCAGGGTTGGCCGTGTGCAAGGCTAACAATGGCCTGCCTGTTGAGCTAGGGACCCGGGCCCAGGCCAGCTGGTCTGGTTTATTTGGGGGTTTTGTTTGTTTGGAGGCCAACCCACCAATACTTCTGGGGTTACTCCTGGCTCTGCACTCAGGAATCCCCCTGGCAGTGCTCGGGAGGCCACATGGAATAACAGGATCGAACCCAAGTTGGTTCAAGGCAAGTGCCTCCCCGCTGTCCTGTCGCCCCGACCCCAGGCCAGCTAGTGTGTGGGGGGTGGTGCTGGGGTCCCTCTGATGCCTGCACCCGCCCGGCTCCCCGGCACTCCTACCTTGGCCTTGATGCAGGTGTCCAGGGTCGACTCGCTGATGGTGAGCTTCATCTTCAGCTGCTCGACCTCCTGCTTCCTCTGCGCCAGCTCCTGGCCCAGCGCGTCGCGCTCCTTGCGCAGGGCTGCCTTCTCCTGCAGCACCAGCTGCGTCTGCTGCGCGCACTCGGACCGCACGCGGCTCTCCTGGGCCTGCGCCTCCTTCTCCGCCTTCTCCCTGGCCGCCTGGCTGGCCTGCAGGTCCTCGTTCAGCTTCAGCTTCTGCCTCTCCAGCTCCGTGTTCTCCCGGGCCACGCGCTCGATGTCGGCACGCAGGCTCCGGGCCAGCTCGTCCACCTTGTTGCTCATGACACTGGGCAGTTGGTCGCAGGTGATGCGCAGGGCGGCCAGTTCGGGGGCCACGTACAGGCTATAGGAGGAGGATATGGAGCTCAGCGTGCGTGGGATGATGCTGTCCTTCCACAGTTCCCGCAGCTCCATCTCGAACTTGCTTTTGTCCAGGGTGATGCAGAGCCTCTGCACCTTCTGAAGCTGGCTCTCGGCCAGGATGCGGTCCTGCTGCAGCTGGGCCTGCTCCCGCTTGCAGTCGGCCACCTGCGCCTGCGCCGCTTGCAGCGCCTGCGCCAGACTGTTCTTCTCCCCTGCGCACTGCGCCTTCTCCTTAGCCAGGTTCGCCTCCAGCTCCTGCGTCTTCTGGTTCAGCTTCAAGATATGTTCTGCAGGAAGGATGCATGGACGGGGGTCAGGCAGGGCGGGGGTGGGGGCAGCCACGCGAGGGAGAGCCCAGCCCGCACCCGCGGCCCTCACCATTGCAGCTCTGGTTGTTGACCTGGAGCTGCTCTTTGCACTTGGCCTCGCTCAGGATGATGGCAGCGATGATGCGCTGGTAGTTGTGGTAGGTCTCCTGCAGGCACATGGTAGGTCTAACGGCGCAGAGGCTGCATCCCCGCACCCCGCTCCACTCACGCGTGGCCCCCCAGCTGTGATGGGTGCAGGTGCGGGAAGGTCGCGGGGAGGGGCCCCTCGGTGCCCAGTGCAGCCCCCACAGGAAGGAGGAAGGGGCGGGAGAACACGGCAGGGTTCACGCCAGGAGCCTTGGAGCCTGGGCGAATCTGCATGCCCATCTCAGCCACAGCGAGCCGATGGACACACAGCTGGACTGATGATGGACAGACGGATGGGAGGATGGGGAGAGACAGTGGGTGGATGGTGTGTGGGTGCTGTGTGGATGGACAGACGGGGGATATGTATGGATAGTGGGCGGGTGGACAGGCAGACTTTGTCCCAGAGAATTTTTCGTCCATGAGCGAAGCCCTTTGGCCTGGCACAGTGGCAGCGTCGCCACCATGAGTGAGAGGTGGGGTCCAGTATGCAGGACTGAGACAGGGCTGGGGTGCTACTCGGGGGGGCCCAGAGGACTTTTCCAGCACCCTGAGGGGACCCCCTGGGTTTGTTCATGGACAGGCCCGTGAGTGCCCCGCCCATCCTTGGGGGGAGACTTGGTACCCACAGAGGAGTCAGAATCCCTGGAGATCCAGAAATGTGGGCCCTCCAGGACAGCCCCCCCCAGACAGGGAACAGAGCATACGCAGGGGTGGGGGAGGGTGTCACAGGGGCGGGCTCCTTTGGTGGGTGAGGGGGTAGAATATTCTAGAAGTCCGCCGAGGACTGAGTGTGCTCTGTGGCCCAGAGTCTGACTGGCTCATGGGTCCATACGGGCACCCAGACTGTCTCCAAGGAGATGGTCTCTAACAGCTGGGCAGGGCAGGTCGCCAGGGAGGGGGCTTATGACGTGCCCGGCTTTGACCCCCGCCAGCTACCAGGCGAGGCTGTGCCTTAGCGCTGGTCACCGGGAGTGCTTGAGGACTGCTGGGAGGTCCCCGATTCCGAAAGGGCTGGAAGGGCTGGAGTGTGCCTCTGTGGAAACCCCGCCGCGGGTCTCCCTGCTCCGGGTCCCCGGAGCTCTGCGGGGTCCCCAGAAGAATACGCGGCTGGTGAGAGAGGGCGCAGCGAGAGGCGAACGCAGGCTCAGCGCTGGGCTTGCACCTAGTCCCCAAGTCCCTCGGGAGTGAGCCCTGAGCGCGGTCCCAGAACCAGCGGGAAGAGAGGGCGAGGGGGGCGGGGTGCTCACCAGCTCGGCCTGGCACTGGCGGTAGCTGGTGTTGATGCGGTCCATGTCGCGCCGCCCGCCCAGCAGCCTCTGCATGATGCTGTCCCTGGCACTCACCGTCAGGTTCAGCTCCTTGGTGAGGTTGGTGCGCGCGGCCGCCAGCTCCGCCACCTGCCCCTGCAGGCTCTGCGCCCGCCGCTCGGTGGCCTGCAGCGCCGCCTCGGTGCTCAGGTGCACGTTGCCGTACACCATGAAGAGCACCAGTCCCAGGATGACGAGGAACTGGATGAGGGAGACGAAGAGGAAGAAGTAGCGCAGGTAGTACCAGCAGCCGCGGCGGCTGGGCCGCGAGTACAGGCTCCCGCGATCGGCCGGCAGACCCATGGCGCGCGCTCGGACGGACGGACGGACGAACGGGGCGGACGGGGCGGACGGGGCGGACGGGGCGGACTGGCGGGCGGGCTCCCTGTGGGCCGCGCCTGCGGGGGAAGTGTTTATATTACCCCTCGGAGTACTTCCTCTGCGCGGCTCCTTCCTGGCCCGCAGGAAGCGGGGGCGCCGGGTTATCGCAACAATCCCACCTAACGTGGGGGCCGCCACCCCCAGGCCGGCTGGGAGCTCGCCCTGTCCTCTCCCGGGGCTAGGGGACACTGAGGCACGGGGGAATACCCGCCCCAGAGCTGGCGGTGGGGGTGGAGCTCCGCAGACGGGGGCACCCCCAACCTCGCCCCCACTCCCAGAGAAGCCTGATGAGGGGCCCTGGGAGTCTGTGCCTGCCTGTGCCTCAGTTTCCCCCATGGAGTCTCTGGGGGCCTCGTCACTTTCTGGTTGTAGCCTTATGCGGGGGCGGGGGGGGGGTCTGTGCTGGCTGTAGCCTTATGGGGGCGGGGGTCTGTGCAGATGTTCTTGACTTTGCTTTGCTTCTCCCGCCCAGATGGCTGGCGGGGCAGGGAGGGTGTTTGGGGACAGAAGAGAAAAGGCTTAGGACACCTCCATCTGTCCTCCCAGAACCAGATACTTCTGGGTAGGGCCACAGCCCCCCAACAGCAGCACCTGCCGCAGGCCCAGCGGGAAGGACCCTCTGTCTTGAGGGGCGGAGGGGAGGGGTCCCCCCGCTGGCCGTGAGGAGGAAGTTCCCAGGGTGGGCAGGAAAGCCCACGTGACCTCTGCCCTCTGGCTGCCTGGTTCCAGGTTCCGGACCCTCAGCGGAGGATGGAGGGTGGGGGGCTGCGCCACGGCCAACCAGCCTTTTCTTGGGGCTGTCCGTGCCCCCTGGGGGGCCCCCATCTACCCCAGTGGGCGGGCTCGCTTCCTGTCTTCCACCTTGAGGCGGGCCGTGTGGGTGTTCTGGGAGGACCTGGGAGGTGGGCCAGGCCAGCTGGGAACCCCGGGCCAGGGTAGCTTTTGGAGAACTCGTGCAGCGCTGGGACCCTGGGCTGGGGGCGGGGGTGTGGGTGGACTGTGCAGGGTCCCGACTCTCGTGAGGCCTCTGAGGTGGACAGAGAAGCCCAAAGGACCCCTGAGATCCCAGAACGGTGTGGCCATGGCACTTCGCCCTTCACACACCCTTTGTGCCCACTTGTTGCCCGCCACGTGGTTGCCAGCATGGAGATGCCCTCTGCCCCTCAGCCCGCCAATCGGCCAACGGGCGCCTTTGTCTTCTTGATCCCATGCAACACTGAGGACAAGCCAGGGCTCCAGCCAGCGGGACCAAGTCCCCTCCCTGCCCTGAAACCTCTCATTTTGGGTTGGTTTTTAGAGCCACACCCAGCTGTGCCCAGGGATTACTCCTGGCAGGGATCAGGGCACCATATGGGATGCTGGGGAGGGGACGGGGGGAGGGAGGGACAGGGTCCTGTGCAAGGCCAGCGCCCAGCCTGCTGCACGCTCCCTAGGCCCCACACCTTTTGGCAGCTGGCCTCATGCTTCTCTTGCGCGATGCCCACCCCAAACCCCCCAGAAAGGGTTCAGAATCCAAAGATTCCTCTGGGGGCTGGGGGCGTGCTGGGGAGAGCTGGAGCACAGGGCTGGGTGCCCGGGTGCACACAATCACCCGCACCCACATGGCCCCTCAAAGCTGGCCCAGGGGCTCCTGGCCCCAGGCTCAGGCGGGGGAGGAGACAGCGCTGGGAGCCACAAGGGCCTCTTTCGCACCAGCCCTGACTTGGATGTTTTGTTTTTTTCCTGAAAACAATTTGTCACGGCCACAGGAAGTTCTGGGCACGAATCTCTGAATTCCCTCCGAGACTCATCACCAGATCAGGCCTGCAGATTCCAGCCTTTGTTTTCCTGCTGAGGGAAGAACAATTCCGTGCTCTTTGTTTGCACGGGACAGAGGAGACCGGTGCATCCATCCCTCAAGGGAAGTGGGGCCTCCCAGGACCGAGTCAGGGCAGGAAGGCCCTGGGGGTACCAGGCCCAGAAGCCCCAGAACCAGGGCCCATCCCAGCCCTCTACAGGGGCTGGTGGCACCCCATCTCCTTTCCTCTGATGCCCACTAAAAGAACCACATCCCTTCCTGTTCTTTTTCTGTTGGTCTGCTTGGTTTTGGGTCATACCCGGTGACTGCTCAGGTTCCTCCTGGCTCTGTACTCAGGAATTACTCCTGATGGTGCTCAGGGAACCATATGGGATGCTGGGAATCAAACCCGCGTTGGCTCCGTGCAAGGCAAATGTCCTACCCGCTGTGCTATCACTCCAGCCCATTTTTTAAATTTTGTTTTGGGACCACGCCCAGCGGTGCTCAGGGCTTACTCTTGGCTCTGTGCTCAGGGACCACTCCTGGTGGGCCCAGGGGAACAATACAAGGTTCCAGGGATTGAATTGGATCAGGCTTGTTCAAAACAAACACCCTTCCTGCTGTCCTATTCGTCCGCTGTCCTGTCCCTCCAGCCCAGGACATGGACTTTCTTTTTTAAAAAACAAATACTTAATTGACCTATTTACTTGGATTTTGAGCCCTACTGGGCAGCGCTCAGGGGTTGCTCCTGGCTCTGTGCTCAGACTTTCCTCCTGGCGGTGCTCAGGGGGCCAAATGGGACGCCGGGGATGGAATCTGGGTTGGACACATGCAAGCACCCTACCTGCTGTACAGCCTGACATCCACTTCCTAACCAGGATGGGGACCCCCAGTTCTCTGCTGCTTCCCACTTGCCCTGCCTCCACCATCCAGGACTTCGCTTTGCACCCCAGCTCTCTTCTGTGATGGGTTGCAGAGTGACGGCAGGTGGTGGGGGGGGGGGGGGGGCCGGGACAGGGACGAGAAACTCAGACCCAAACACGCACACAGAGGTAGGGCATTTACCTTGCACGCGGCTGGCCTAGGTTTGATCCCCGGCATCCCACATGGTACCCTGAGCACCGCCAGGAGTAATTCCTGAGTGCAGAGCTAGGAGTAACCCCTGAGCTTCGCTGGGTGTGACCCAAAAAGCAAAATAAACAAAAAACAGGCATGCAGAGGCAGACTGTAGAGGCCAGAGCTGAGGGAGGGGAGTCTGGGGGTCGACCACGGGCCTTCCTGCTGGGGGTGTCCCACCCAGAAACCCATTTGTTCCTTTCCTGTGCTCAGCTGGGGGCAGCTGAGCCCCACATTGATTCCCCATTTCCAATAATTAACAGGCAAATATGAAGGCAAAGGAGTGACCATGGGGGTGTTGGGGCTCATCTCTGCTGCACAGGGAGGTGGCACGACGCCCCCATGGCTTACTTCTGGGGCCTCTTAGAGAAAGAATCCCCTCCGCGACGGCAGTCCTGCAGCCAGCACTGGGCAAGGGCGCACCCTGGTGGCCCAGCAGGGCACAGTAGCTGGTCCCAGGTCCCTCCCCTGGGTCGCGGCTTCCTGCTCTGTGCTTGTGTGCTGGGGGGTCCAGTTCCAGGTGGTGAAAGAGAGTGGGCACGCAGAGTGCCGGCCAGGTCAGCCCAAGGCTACACTGGGCAGGGGCCACTAGCACGCTGCTGAGAAGTCGCTATCAGTTCTCGCTTCCGCTTTCCTCTGCACCAGAATCATGTGGTAGAAGATCCTTGTTTTGAGGAAAGGCTTAGGCAAGCACCTCTGATAAAGAAGCAGCATCCTGCACGTCTTCCGTAGGGGAAAGGAGAGGGGATCGGGCTCGCGGGAGGAAGGGGAGAGAGAAAGGAAAAGATGGGGAGAGGGAAGAGAAGACGGAGAGAGAAGGGAGGAGAGACAGAGACAGAGAGAAAGAGAGAGCACTGGGGCCAGAAGTACACATGGGGAATCTGGGTGAGGGGCATTATCAAGGAATTTTGTGTTCTAGTCCTCCAAGTTTCCTGTAAGTCTGGAGTTATTTATTTTTTGGTTTGGGAGCCACACTTGACAGTGCTCTGCACTCAGGGATCACTCCAGGGGGGCTCTGGGGACCCTATGGGATGCCAGGGGTGGAACCTGAACCTCCTTTGAGCACATTCCCCAGGCCTGAGTAATCAATGATTTCTGCAAGAGAATATGCACACAATTCACCACAAACAATGAGTCTTTAGTACAGTGATGCATTACTTAAGGACATTTGGTAAGGAGGGGCGGTGTAGATGACGGGTCCCCCCTCCAAGCTGCACCCAGGCTCAGGCAGGCGTCTGCTGTGGCTATTGATTGCCTGACAAGGCAATTCTCAGAAAGTGTTCCTTTTTTTTTTTGCTTTTTGGGGTCACACCCTGCGATGCACAGGGGTTACTCTGAGCTCTGCACTCAGGAGTTACTCCTGGCAGTGCTCAGGGGACCATATGGGATGCTGGGAATCGAACCTGGGTCGGCCACGTGCAAGGCAAATGCCCTACCCACTGTGCTATCTCTCCAGCCCCGAAAGTGTCCCTTTTTTATATGATACGGGACTTTAGCATCTAACTTCTTTCTTTTAATTTTTTTCTGTTCTTTCTTTTCATCCTTTGGTTTGGGGTCTACATCTGACAGTGCTCAGAACTTCCTCCTGGTAGGGCTCAGGGGACCCTCTGGGATGCTGAGGATCACCTCACCTTGACCCCAGACCCTCTTAACAGAATCAGCAATGACCTTTATGAAGACTTGTGGGGACAGAGCCATCCCCAGTTCCCCTGGGCTGTGCCTAATGATGGAGTCATACTTCCTGGTCCCCTGAGTTCCACTCCAGAATATCCTGTCCTCCTCTGCTGAGAGGGGTCTTTGGTTTGATAAATCACAGGTGCAGGCCTTTGGGGCTGGAATCAAAGTGTCCATTTAACAGACCAGGTAAACTGAGGCTTGGAGCAAAGGTCTTTCCGGAGCCAGGACTGAGCTGTAAGACCTCCCTGTCTGTGGGATGAGGACAGTGCTGGGAGGGGAAGGGCGAACTCGAGCCGCACCTCAGCACTTCTGTGTGATAAAGGCGGGCCTCAGTTTCCCTGTCTGCAGAGCGTGCGAGCCCACAGAACCCTTTGGAGGGCTCCTGGCTCAGAAGCTGATGGGGATCTCGCCTGGCGTGCGCCCCGCCAGCCCCGCGGTCCTGTCCTCACCGGTGGGTGCGCTGAGGCCGCCGGCAGCCCCTCGAGGTTCTGGAGCTGGAGCGCGAGCACGAGCTGGGACGGGTCCGGGGGTTGGGCCGGGTCCGGGGGCAGAGGCGCGCCCCGGAACCGGGCCGCGAGTGGGACTGTCTGCGCTCAGGGTCCAGCTCGGTTTCCAGGGCGTCCCTGCAGAGGGAAGAGGGCATGCGTCAGCGCTGCGACCCGGGGACCCTCGGCCACTTCCCCGGAAGCTACTCCAGATCTGAGGCCCACCCAGAAGCCCACCCCCCAGTGGATCAGCGTCAACCTGGACCCCTCCCCAAATGCGTGTGACCCCAGGGACCCCTCCCTCCGGCCCTGCCATCAGCAGCGGAGAATCGGAGCCCAGGACTTTTCCCTGCAGTGCGCCCATCCTTATCCGTGGCCAGCTACTCCGGGACCACGCCCCGTGTGGTGATTGGGCGAAAGAACTTTCTCTACGCAGCCATTGGACAGTTTTCCCGCCCGTTCGTCCGGACCCGCCCTTTACTCACACGCGCTGGCGCAGCGCCGCCTCCCGGACCGCACAGGCTCCGCCCTCGGCCTCAGCTGCACGCGTGCGTCTCTGAGCCTCGTCCAGGCGCCGCGCGGACTCGGTGGCCGCCGCCTTCCAGCGTGCCACGGCCTCTGTGGGAGCAGGGACGCATCAGGTTGCTCAGCCCAGGTCAGCGGGCATTGCTCTCTGGAATTTGGTTGCACGTCCATGCCCTGCACCTTTTTCCTGGCTGGGTTCCTGGAGGGCCAGGGACCTTTACCATTTTGCCTGTGCTCTCTACAGGCTTCTGCCGTAATCGTGCACTTTTCTCAGAGTCCTGCATAGCCAGGAGCTTCAAACTTTCCCACCTCTGGTCCGGACCCCCCGTTCCCCCCCATACATACCTGTCAGCTCCCCGTTCTCGGCTCCCATCTGGGTCCCCTGTGCCTTGGCCTCGTCCATCTCGGCCTTGAGTGTGGCCAGCTGGCTCTCGAGAAGGCTCTGCAGGAGACGGAATCACTCGCTCTCCCTTTCCAAGGGAGATGGCAACGAGAAGGTGGGAATTTTTCTTTATGCTCAGGGATCACTTCGGGGGGGGATTGGGGGAGCTCATGAGGTACTGGGGATTGAACCCGGACCCCCCTCAGGCAAGTCAAGGGCTCCCGCTCCTCCAGATGGTTTCTTTCTTTCTTTTTTTGTTGATGGGGGGAGGGGCTCAGGGTTACTCCTGGTGATGCTTAGGGACCATATTGGATGCCAGGGATTGAACCCTCTCATACATCTCACACATCTCATGCACGTCAAGGGCACCCGCTCTCTGTACTAACTCTCCAGCTTCACTCTGGTTCTTTCTTAACCCATCCCTGCCCTGAGCCTCCCCAGGAGTCAGCCCTGAGCACAGCCGGGTGTGACCCAAAAACCAAAAATATAAAGAGCAAGCTGGAGGGGTGGCCAAAGGGCAGGGCGGGCAGACAGGTACCACCCCCGAGGCCAACTTTAGCCTCCTAATTATAGGTGCCGGAATGTCCCTCCAGAAATAGGGCTGCAGGGTCGGCTGGGGAGGAAGGGTCGCAAGGTCCTGCTCTGGTGCCTGGGGTGTATTAGACTCGCCGTCTTTGTAGCGTGCAAGGGGGCGTCCGGGTGAGGGGGACCCCAGTGCACCCGCATCTGGGAGGGTCATGAGCGCTCTCGGGAGCCTCCTTCCCTGGGAAACTTGGGCGCGCATGCGGGGAACTGTCTTCCCACGTCCTAGATTCTCCAAGCCCCCGGCCCGCGCCCAGGACCCCTACCTGGCGGTCCTCGCAGGCCTTGAGCGCCCCCTCCAGCTCCCGGCGCGCCCCGTGCGCCTGCTCCAGCCGCCGCGCCAGGACCGCCCCGTCCTGGACCGCCTCGGCCAGTCGCCGCCGCAGCTCTTCGACTTCGGACGCCGGGACCCCGGGTGTCGCGGTGGCGTTGTCGGTGGGCGCGGGCGCGGGCTCCGGGCAGCGAGAGCCCCGGGCGGTGGCGGCCGCCACGTTCCACGCCAGCAGGGCCCCCCCGGCTGCAGCGGCAGCCAGGAACACCGCGGTCGCGCACACGGCCAGCGCCCGCCACGCGCGTCCCGGCTCTGGCCCCGGCTCGGCCATGCCTCTTGCTGCAGCCCCAGACAGCCACGAGCGACTAATTGGCACCTGGGGCTCCCGGGACACCCACGGGTCCACCCCGCCCGGCCCCACGGGAGGGGCCGGACCTCCAACAACCACGCCAAGACGCGTCGTGACCCGCGGGAACTTGGCTTCGAGGCCTGCCTGTCCCCCACCGGCTGTTCCCAAGCTTCAGTTTCCCCCGCTGGCAGGAGCCCGGCCCCAATGTGGGAGTGAAGTCAGGGTCCCCAGGGTGGAGGGCTTATGTGAGGTGGGAGGAGAGAGAGTCACTTTCTCCCCATCCACTTCTGCCACCCCAGGACCCAGGATTACGGGGTTCTTATCTTGCCTCGCAGAGAAGAATTTCAGGAGTAGACAAGCAGTGAAGTAAAACAGATTTTATTGGAGGTTTTTAAGAAGGGGAGGAAGGAGAGAAAGTGAGAGAGAGTATCACACTGGAGAGAGAACCCTGGCTTCTCCCAGGGCGAAGAGAGCCCCTACACACACCCCAGCATTAGATAGGAAAGTCCCCATCTCATGAGGGAAGATGCAGGTGACACATGTGCTCGGCCATGTGGGCACAAGCAGCACATGGGCTCAAGCAGCATCTGTGTGCCCTCCCTTTGTTCAAGGTGACTTTCAGAGAGTTTTCCCAAGCTGCCCCATGTGGGACTTTCTAGCTAGGTAAGAGCCCGTTGCTAGCGTAGTCTGGCCCTTTCTGTAGGGAGGGGTTCCGTCCCCTCAGGATCAGCTGCTGGAGAAGGCCTTATCAGGTTTTGCTTTCTGTATCCACAAGGTGGGTCAGACTTAGGTCTAGTGGCTTTTATTTCCCAGAAATTTCATTGCCATGATGGGAGGGGGGCTTCCCTAATCTCCTTGCCTAGATGAGGAGCGCATTACGTGTTCCTGGGCTGGGGCACGAGGTGTGTGTCTGTTCGACGCTTATTCCTGGCTCTGTGCTAGGGTCACTCCTGACTGAGTTTAGGGGACCCTTTGGGGTGCCGGAGATTGAATCTGGCCCCGGTCAAACCTTCCCCACTGGCTGAGCGCTCCCATCCCAGCCTCAAGTTCTGAGACCCCCTCCAGTCCCGGCGGGAGCAGGAATGGGGGGTGCATTGGTGAGGAGCCGGAGGCCATCTGACAGGGACCCAGGCCCGGAGAGGCTTTCCGGGCTCCCCCGCTCCCGGCTCCCTTTTGTGGCCCTTTTGGCCCAAGCGGCCAGTCAGACGACCAGCGGGGTTGGCGCGCGCCGCTCGCCGCCAGGGGACGCTGTTGGCTCGCGAGCGCTGCAGCCCCGCGCGCACTGACCCTAGTCTTTTGAGACAGGCGCCGGTTTCTTGCACTGGGTCCAGTCTGGAGCCGCTCGCCCCAAAGGACGGGGTTGGAGCCAAACCCAAACTCCCCTTCCTGGCCAGAGTTAAAGCCCCATTTCTTCTTCCCTCCAAGCCTGCACGCCCGTCACTTCCTTCCTCCTCCGTGACGCCCTCCCAGGGCTTCCCTGGTGCGTGGTACCCGCCCTCTCCTCTCTCTTTGCCCTAATTGTTCCTCACCTCCCCCCATCCAAAACTACCCTCCTCACCAACTCACGACCCTGTTCATGAACTCTTACTGCTGGGTTCTTCTTTTCTCTTTTTTTTTCTCTTTCTTTTGTGCGGACACAACCAGCTACGCTCTGGGCTTATTCCTGGCAGGCTCAGGTCATCACGGGGTGCTGGGATGGAACCTAGACTGGACGCAAGCACAGCAGGTGCCCTCCCTACTGGCCCATCTCTCCTGCCCCTTACCAGTTGTTAGGTTTCACGTTCATCATTCCCCCTAAAGCCCCAAGGCTGCCTCTCCTCTGCCTTATCGCTTCTGGCTGGCAGCAGCCTGGCACCCGGCGTAAGCACTGCTGGGAACGATGAAGAGATGAAGAGACAGCGTCAGGGCTCACCCGTCTCTTTCTCCACCCGAGAGGCAGCGCCCCGGCCACAGGCACACAGCCCGGGTCCAGCTTGCAGGACAAGGGGCATTTTTTAGGACAAAGAAGAGACTGAAGCACCGACTTGTGTGCAGGATTCGGGCTCCATCCCCAGCATTACAGTCCTTGAAGGACCGCAGGGAGTGACCCCCAAGTAAAGAGCTGTGAGTAGCCCCTGAACACTGCTTGGTGTGGCCAAAAATACAGAAAACTACATATCCATGCCACTGGGAGGGGGGAGGAGGAGGAGGAGGGGACACGTTTAGCAGGTCCAATTTGTCCCAAACCTGCCCCCTTCATCCCCAGTGATGGACGAGGTTGCTCATTTGGGGACATTCCAGGACATGGGGGCAGTGTGTGTGTGTGTGTGTGTGTGAGAGAGAGAGAGAGAGAGAGAGAGAGAGAGAGAGAGAGGGAGAGATTTCCTGGAGTGATAACACAGCGGGTAGGGCATTTTCCTTGGACATGGCCGACCCCAGTTCAATTCCCAGCATCCCATATGGTCCCCTGAGCACTGCCAGGAGTAATTCTTGAGTACAGAGCCAGGAGTAACCCCTGTGCATGGCTGGGTTGTGACCCAAAAAGCAAAAAACAAAACAAAAACAAAAAACAGAAAAGCTGGAGCAAGTTCTGGAATGTTCTGGACTCAGTTTCCTCCTCTGTGGCATGCAGCCGTGAATGCATGTGCAAAGAGACTCAGTCACAGTTAAGGGATTTCTAGATGTGACATCCTTCCCGACCCCTCCCCAATGATTGTGTGCGTCGAGGGAAGGCAGCTTTTGTCCGGGGCTGAGAGAGATCTGTGGGTCTGAGTGCTGGGCATTTCTGGGGGCACAGGGCAGCCCCTACAGGAACTCACCATGCCCCAGGTACCGAGTACCCTTGCCCTGGAACCGCGGGGCTGGGAGCAGGAGGTGTTTGGCTGGTGGAGTAGATTAAGGTCCTGGGGCAGGAAGGAACTCAGCAAGGTCACCACACAGCCAATCATGAAGGGGGTGTCCACTGACATCGGGCCTGGAGGCCAGGGAAAGGGGGGATGCACTGAGCTCTAGGAATTCTGGCGGGAAGCAGAGGTCTGGCTCCAGCGCTCTGAACAGGAAATGTCTGAACAATGGCTGGAGGGAGGGAGACAACAGGAGGAAGGGATTCTGGGGCGTGGGGACTCAGGAATGGGGGAAGGGTTCACGGGACCCGCAGTCCTTTGTCCCACAGAAGGAGGTTCCCAGCACTGCACTTTGCAGGATGAACAGGAGCGGTTGAGTTGGGGGTGGATTGTTCCCAGGTTCTGACCAAGGTTTGGGTTCTCACCCATCCGACTTTTTGTTTTGTTTTGTTTTGGGGGTCACACCCAGCAATGCTCAGGGGTCTCTCCTGGCTCCGCACTCAGGAATTACTCCTGGTGGTACTGGAGTAATATGGGATGGCAAGTATTGAACCCGGGGGGCCACTTGCAAGGCAAACGCCCTCCCCTCTGTACTATCGCCCCGGTCCCCATCACCCTTTTTGTGGGAGAGTGTGATTCACTGCTCACAGTCTTGGGAGAAGGGGAATGGTGAGTGGTCAGAAGAGCTCCAGCACTGGGGTAACCGTGGAGGGGGCCTCACAGGCTGTGGGTAGTGGCGGCACGTGGACAGAAGCACAGTGATCTCTATTGTCTGGGTCCAGAACCAAACTCTCTATTGATTGTGACAGCAAGAAGCACACGTGCCCGTCCCGCCCGAGTGGCCCAGGTACCATCCTCACTGCTGCCCTTCCCCTCCCCCAGCCGTACTGCTTTGCGCACCCCCTTGTCCCACGAAGAGGGTCGGAAGCCGAGCAGGACCTGGACCAGTCCAGACTGTGGCCTAGGAGAGAAGGAAAGAGAGTCAGGGGCGCTGGAGGAGGAGGGAAGCGCTGTCCTGCTCCGCCCCGCCCCGCCCCGCCCCACAGAAGCCACGCCCTCTTAAGCCACGCCCACCCTGGCCGCTTCAGCCCAGCCCCCTGCAGAAAGACCGCCTCCCCAGGCTTGGTCCTCCCCTGGCCCTCACCCAGATAGCCCCCAATTACCAGCTGACTCCCTGGAGCGAGGTCACAGGAATCTCAGAGCCCAGAGCAGGAGCAGCCCTGGGAGCACCCAGGTGTTGAGGCTGACTTGGCAGCTGCCGGAGTTCAACTCACCCTGGGACTTGTTCTCTCTGGGTGGACATCAAGGGGAGATCAGGCGGCTCCCGGGCCTGGCCCCTAGGAACCTCCCTGCACCCACCAAGAGATGGATTGGGGGGAACTCTGCAAGCAGACCGAGAGCCCCTGCTGCATGGCCAGGGGCAAGGCTGCCAGCCCAGCTCTCTCCGCTTCCCTGGGCCCGGAGGCACCGCGTGTGGGTGGGGGCCAGACCTGGCAGGGTCAGACTTTGGGGGGGCCGGCTTCTTCAGCGCCTCCTGCAGCTGCTGTTTCAATGCCTGAATCTCCCCTAAAGTGAGACAGAATCGAGTGCTTCAGCATAGTGCCCATGATCCTCCACTGGCCCAACACGGAGTGCCCTCGCCTCTGGTCCACTCGTGCCCAGCACTACCCGGGAACGCCAGAATGGCCCCTCCCAGCCTCCGTGGCGCCTCTGGACTCCAACCCTGGATCCCATCAAGGCTCCCTGGTCTTCAGTTCCTGACCCACCTCCAGGCCTCGCCCACCCACAGGCCCCGCCCCTCACGTTGATGCTGCTCCTCTTTCTCCTGCATCTTCCGGTGATGTTCTTTCTCCTTCATCTCTAGGGACTCCATCAAGGTCACCTGGACCAAGGGGAGAGACTGAGAAATGGCTCTGTCCCTGGGCAGCTGGCCTCTCCTTGGACTTGGGGTCGGGGGTCTCAGTGGAGGCCTGATCTCGGGTCCCCACCACCCTCTACTTCCGGGTCTACCCTAAGGATGTGAGCCTGGCAGTGGGGACATGGAGGTCCCCATGGAATCCGAGGGCTGTCCATGCCCCACACCCTAGAAACTTCTAAATCCTGGAGATCTCTAGATCTCTGACCTGTTCCTCCAAAACACTGCAGTGTTGGGGAAGCCCAACCCAGGGGCATTTCCCAGCCAAATTAGTCTCCTCCTTCCGGTCCAAGTCCTTCAGAGACTCAGACCTGCTGAGGTCTCCAGTCCATACCCTGGGAGAGGCTTCCACTCCCCCAGACTGGGGCTGAGAAGGGTTTCTCTGTCCCCAAGATAGGAATCTGTAATAAGAAGCTGTATGTAATGAGAATTATGAAACTCTAACGAAAATTAAGAAAATGTGTTGGGGACCAAGAAACTGAAACTTGGGGCTGGAGCAATAGCACAGCCGGTAGGGCGTCTGCCTTGCACGCGGCCGACCCGGGTTCGATTCTCAGCATCCCATATGGTCCCCTGAGCACCGCCAGGGGTAATTCCTGAGTGCAGAGCCAGGAGTAACCTCTGAGCATCGCTGGGTGTGACCCAAAAAGCAAAAAAAAAAAACAAACTGAAACTGATCCCCTAAATTAAACAAAGGAAGGGAGAGAGAAGCATTCCTTTTATGACCCCAGTTAACGGAGTTAAGGACCCACCTGCCTACTGGATTTCTGGGAGAGCACAGGGCCTGACAAATTTATGGGCGCGCCCGGGAGACGACCCCTGAAGGCCACACCATGGGCGAGGTAGGCTAACCCGGCTGTTTCCCCTTTGAGCACCTGAAGGCTGTACCAAGCGAAAAAGATGCATTCATTGTTTTTTGCCAGTTACCTCTACCTCCTGTATTACTGATAAGAATGTATGTAGTTTGCACCTTTATTTTTTTTTTCTTTTTGGGTCGCACCCAGCAATGCTCATGGGTTACTCCTGGCTCTGCACTCAGGAATTACTCCTGGCGGTGCTCAGGGGACCATATGGGATGCCGGGGATCAAACCTGGGTCGGCCGCATGCAAGGCAAATGCCCTACTGCTGGGCTATCATTCCGGCCCCAGTTTGCACCTTTAGAGGATAAAAGGGAGACCCTCTCAGCAAATGGAGCTCCAAGTCTCTTTCTCTTCTGACTTGGAGTCCTCAGCACTGAGCCGCCAATAAACTCACTCTCCTACCCTGAGCTATCTCTGTTCACTTGCAGCTCACGCCAACACTACGGGGCCAAGGGGAGTTTCAGCCCCCCCCCCCACCAGTGCCGCCCATCCTGGTGTGGGAACCAAGGCCTCTGGCTGGGAGATCTCAGGGAAGGCTCCACTTTTCACCAACGCCCCAGAGAGAGCTTAGATGTGGGAGAAGCCCTGGAGGAGAACGCAGCCACCGCAGCCCCCCCCCCCATCCCCTCCACTGCCCCCTGCCTTACCACCGTCTGGTTGTAGGATGCCACCTGCTTCTGGGCATCCCCAAGTTCCCTCCGGGTCTGGTCCAGCTGCTGCTCCAGGAGGCTTGTAGTGTTGTGACACAACTTATGGGCGCGGAGGTCATCCAGGTAGGCTGGATGGCTGACAGTGTAGCAGAGATAGCCCAGGGGAAAGAGCAGGAAGAGCAGCAGAACCCCCAGAATCACTGCCAGGTACTGCCAGCACCGCAGCTTCCTCATCTCCAAGTTCTGCATCTCCAGGTCCAACGCGGGGGCAAAGTGGTAGAAGGTGGGTGCCATTGTGTGGGGAGATGGGGCAGCTGCCTGCTCGAATCACTGCCAGAACGTTTTATGCTCCACCCACTCCTCCTGTGTAAGACTTTGTCTGGTCCCGGTTCATAGACTGGACGCTGATTCAGAGGCCCATTAGGTTTCAATTTCGTTTTCCAGCTGTGGGAGGGAAGAGGGTTATTCTTACAGTTACAATGACTGACAGTTACCCGCTGCACGTGGGCGGGCGCTCTTGCTGAGAAAATGAGGCAGAGAAAGTGAGACTGAGAAAGCGAGGCAGGGTGGGGGGGTGAGGACAGGGGGTGGTGTTGGGGGTGGGGACACGGACGAAGTGGACTAGAACCTGGGTAACCCGAGCTGGGTTATGTGCGGGGGTAGGTGTTTCCGTGATGATTCAGCAGTGTCCCGCGGGGAGGTCCCCTCCACAGCCTTGAGGAGCAGGGAATCCCCAAACCCAACCAGAATCTCCGCCCCCCTGCAGGTGACCCAGCCTGCAGTCCCCCATACGACCACCAGGGGCCGCCTCACCCACAAACCCTTGACGGAGGCCTCAGAGCCTGGGGGAACCCGCACCTTTCAGAATCAGGGAGAGTGCGCCCTGCAGGGAGCAACGGGGTGGGGGGCGGCTCAGGGTTGGAGGGTGGAGACGCTTGGAAAACGCGTGGCCGAGCACTGGACACAGGCGAGGCGGGAGTGCAGGGAGGTGGACGGCAGGGGCCTGCGGCCAACTGACCTTTCCTCTCTGAGGCCAAGGCAGCCAGAGGCTGTGGCCGGAAATGGGTGGTTGGCGGGCTCCCCACCCTGCAGCCTGACCCCTGCATTCCGGAAGGCAGCTGCAATCCAAGCCTGACCTCAAACCCAGAGTCCAGCATTAATCTGGAGTCTCAGTGTTTGGGCTGAGCGACTCCATGCCCTGCTCACACCCACTGTGCCCTCCCCGGGTGGGCCTGGGCAGAACTGACAGAACTGCCCTGCTCCCAGTTAGGGTGTGTGGACAGGACCCCTGGGCTGGCCTGAGGCCCGGGGCCCAGCCCACTCCACACACACACACTGTGGGACTCAGTGCCAGGGCAGCTCTGCCCCATGTCCACTACAGTGCCCACCGCTTCACAGGGGAGAAGAAACTGGTTTCACAGGACTCAGGCTCAGACTGGGGAGACAGGAGAGAAGGTTGGGGCTCGGCACCCCAATGATTCTCTGAGGCCCACCAGGAGTGATCCCTGAGCTCAGAAGTGCCCCCAACAAAGAAAGTTAAGTTTCAGGCTAGCGTGAGAAGCTCAAGGGGCTGCAGCCCCAGCCGTTGCAGAAGTTACTGCAGGATGGGTGTCAGACAGCTGGACACCGCCTCTAGGCGCAAGTAGCTAGTCCAGCACCAGGCTGAATGGGTCAGCAGGTCATGAGCCTGTCGGGGCCACGTGAACACTGAGGACCCCGCCCTGGTCTCCACACACCCCAGCTCCTGGTTCAGCGCCCTGAGAGATGTGTGTGATCTTCTGTGTCTAAGGTCAAACTGTCCACTGGACAGAGAAGCATGAGCCGTCCTGAAGGCGCCCAGAGATGGAGCCGAAACAGTTTCAGCTTCCAGGGGCATCAGAACTGGCTCCACATCCAACTCTTGACCACCCTCGCCCACCAGCTCTCCCACAGGGCCCTACAGTGCTCCCCAGACTCATCCTCACACAGTGCTCTTAACAGTGCCCTCCTGGCTTCACACACGCCCTCCCTGAGGCTGACACACACACATACACAGTCACACACTTGCTCTCGTGCACAGTGCTCCCCTGGTTGGCACAGTGCTCCCTGAGGTGACATTTTCTGGCCATTAGCGTCTCCGTTTCAGGAGTGGTGCTGTCTGTGTGGGCTGTCACAGCCTCTTTGTGAATCTCACACCCCTGGGTGACCTGGTTCACGGACTGCAGCGACACCAGAATCACGCCTGGCATATGTGAGGGAACCCTCTTTTTGTTTGCGGTTTATTATTATTATTATTTTTGCTTTTTTGGTCACGACCAGCGATACTCAGGGGTTACTCCTGGCTCTGTAGCCAGGAATTATTCCTGGCGGGGCTCAGGGAACCACATGGAATGCCAGGGATAGGACCCGGGTTGACCGCATGCAAGGTAAATGCCCTCCCCACGTACTAATGCTCCAGCTCTTTTGTTGTTGTTTTTGTTTGGGGGTAACACCCAGTGGTGCTCAAGGGTCACTCCTGGGGGGACTCATGGAAACACATGGGCTGCTGGTGATCGGACCTGTGTCGATGTGTTCACAGCCAGCGTCCTGTGGTCTGTGCTGTGGGTCACTCCAGCCATGCTGAGGTGTGAGGGGGTGCGAGGATGGAACCCAGTGGAACTGACAGGTGGGCATTTAAGGGTTGGGGCGTGGGGCTGGAGGGATAGCATAGCGGGGAGGGTATTTGCCTTGTATGCAGCTGACCCAGGTTTGATTCCCACTATCCCATATGGCCCCCCAAGTACCGCCAGGAATAATTTCTGAGTGAAGAGGCAGGAGTAACCCCTGTGCATCGCCAGGTGTGACCCAAAAAGCAAATACAGCAAAAAAAAGGGGGGGAGGTTGGGGCGTTCAGAGTGTGCACCAGCTCCTCCTGGGGAAACTTCCCTCCTTGACTTGGGGGCATGTGCCCTGGCTCAGAAGCCCCCTCTCAAGGGGCTGGAGCAATAGCACAGTGGTAGGGCGTTTGCCTTGCATGTGGCCGACCAGGGTTCGATTCCCAGCATCCCATATGGTCCCCTGAGCACCGCCAGGGGTAATTCCTGAGTGCAGAGCCAGGAGTAACCCTGCCAGGTGTGACCTAAAAAGCAAAAAGAAAAAAAAAGAAGCCCCTCAAGAATCAGGGCGATGCTCGAATTGGGACTGGGCCTCCTCCCCCCAGCTCCCCAGTTTTCCAGGCTGGAGCGATAGCACAGCGGGTAGGGCGTTCGCCTTACACGCGGCCAACATGGCCGACCCGAGTTCGATTCCTCCGCCCCTCTCGGAGAGCCCGGCAAGCTACCGAGAGTATTCGATATGCCAGACACAGTAACAACAAAGTCTCCAATGGAGACGTTACTGGGCTCGCTCGAGCAAATCGACGATCAACGGGAGGGCCTTTACCTTTACCTATGGCAGTCACTCCCCCAAAATGCCCGCTGGTGCCATATAATCTCATCAGTGGCCAAGACTCAGAGACTATAAGCTAAAGCTCCCGGAACAGAGCACCACAGAATCTCCTGCCCTCATGCCAAGTTGTCCTCATCAGGGCACCTTGGAGGAGGGGGCGGGTTGAGTCACTCTCCCTGCCCCAAGCAAATCCCTGGCAGCCAAAGACCTCCAGAATCCAACGGCCATCATGCTCAAGGTCACTCTCCACACACTCGGACGAGCCTCACCCAAGAGGGGACGAGTCTCACCCAAGACAGGATGAACCTCACCCAAGAACAGACCAGCAGGAAAACCCAGGTATGCTGGAACCCATGACTGAGATCTCCAAGCCTGTTTGCATCAGGCCTGGGCCTCCTACCCCCAGGTCCCCAGTTTTCCAGAAGCTTGGCAGTCACACCCATGAACTATCCCCGGCGCCATGTAATCTCATCAACAGCCAAGACCCAGAGACTATAAACTAAAACTACTGGAAGAGAATGATACAGAATTTCCTGGACATTATATTCTATCCATAACAAGCAATACAAAACAAATCATCTGGCATTGCCTTTTCGGCAGGTTTGAGTGGTGGTGAGACTGGTGTCAAAATATCAAATGTAACCAAAGTAGAGCGAGAGTATGGGGGAAATTGTCTGCCACATAGGCAGGGAAAGGGTTGGCATGGGGGTGGGGGTAGGGGAATACTAGGGATTTTGGTGTTGGAAAATGTGCACTGCTGAAGGGACGGGTGTTTGATGATTGTATGACTGAAGCTCAAACATGAAAGCTTTGTAACTGTGTCTCACTGTGAATCAAAAAAGAAAGCGGTAGGGGGAAATAATAATAAAATAAAATTAACATTCTGAATTTAAAAAAAAAGTAATGTGGAGTTCATGCCCAATTCAATCAGCTTAATCAATGACTGAATAATACATATATAAAGAATCAGGGTGAATCCACAGTCCATAGACCTCCTCCTCCACCACCACCAAGATCCCTGCCCCTTCTCGGCGATGGAGGGCTGCGGTCAGGCGCCAGTGTGACTCCTAGTGGGCGCACCCGGCAAGCGCCGGCAGCTCCTGACGTGTCCGTGATCACTCCCAGAGCCCAGAAGTTACCCATAGCCAAGCTCCCAGTTACCTTCCCTTTTGGGGGGAGCTTTCAGGCACCTCTCAGGGACCCCTGGGGTGCTGAGAATCGAACTGAGCAAAACATACATCCTGACCTCCCCTGACTACCCCTGGCAAAACTCCGAGGATCATTTGGGTGCAGGGAGGTACAGCACGGGTCAGCCTCAAGCGTCCCCCACCCCACCCCCACACACTGCACGATCGCTCTGGCCGCCTTTTGATTTCATCTTGGAAAGCGAATTGCACCTGTGAATAAGTCCTGTAAGCAGAACCCAAGGAACCCAAGGAAACCCAAGGCCCTGTTTCTCGTTATTTTGATTTAAATTTAATCGCCACTTCACACATCGGAGGTCCTTGCGGGACATTTTCCAGAAACGAGAATTGAGGTTCCCCTCCTTCCCCATCCCTACCGCGCGCCCCTCCCTCGTTTTCCCCTAAAAGTCCTGAGAAGAGGGGTAGGCGGGGGGGGGGGGGGGGGGGGTTGGGGGGGGCCGCGGGGGCGGAGAGCCTGACTCTGCCAGGAATTCTGGGCAATGTAGTTCCGGGCAGCACCGCGGAGGCACATTTCCGACGGAAGTTCCCGGCCGTGGGAAAAGACCCTTATCCGCCCACGTCGGCCGGGCGCACCTGGGTGATGTGTAAGGGCGTGGCCCTACTACGGCCACGCGATTGGTGGCACCAGGCGGAAGCCCTCGCGAGGCCTTCTGGGAAATGTAGTTCCCCGGCCGGCGGTGGGCTGGCCGCGGGGACTTCCTACCCGGTTCTCCGCACCTGCAGGGAGATGGATCCCGGGCCCGGACCCGACGCACCGCCGCTCACCGGCCTGGTCTGGTCGTCGGCCTCGGCCGCCCCACCGCGGGGCTTCAGCGCGGTGAGCGACGTCGGGGCTGCGGGCTGGTGGCGTGGCGGGGACGGGGGGCGACCAGTGGGCGCTGACCCGCGTCCGCGTCCTAGATCTCCAGTACCGTGGAGGCCGCGCCCGCCGCCTTCGGCCGGAGTTTCGCACAGAAACCCGGCTACTTCCTGTGCCTCAGCGCCCTGGGCAACCTGGAGGTAAGGGGCGCCCGCGGGAGGGTCCCACGGGGACTGCCCGCGCCCCCGGGCGGCTGGACTGACTCTGCGCCGGCTGCCGCCTCCAGAACCCGCAGGAGAATGTGGTGACCGAGATCCGGGTCCTGGTGGACAGGAGCCCCCTCCCGCCGGGCTTCGCCCCGGTCTGCGACCCCCTGGACTCCAGTGAGGCTCCTGGCCCAGCCGGGGGTGGGGGTGGGAGTGGAGGGAGCGGCGGGCGACCCCCTGGACGCCCTCGCTGGGCAGCGGCAGGTCGGCCGAGGGTCCGCACCAGGCGAGTGGACGTGGCCGCCCCTGGGCACCGCCTCTGTCGCCGAGCATGGCCTCTGCCCAGGCCGGGTTGACGACGCCCTTCTCCCTTGCGCTCCCCAGCTCCGGCGCACGCCGGCTCCTCTGCCTGGAGCAGCCTTGCCCACCTCTTGGGCGGATGCTGCGGACTCCACCGCCGCCTCCTCCTTTCCTGCCCCTCTCCCCCCGCTCTCGCCCTGGTATGCTGCTCTGCTTCCTAACTCCTGGCTCCTCCTGGTGTCCCGCCGTTTACTCGCGCCGCCACCCGTAGGTGCTCCTCCATGCGCTCCAGGAGCCGTTGGCAGTGTGGAACGTCCTCCACTGCCTAGGCCACTGTTGATATGACCACCACTGGCCAGGTGGCTCCCCCAGGCGGCACCTCAGGGAGCGCATCCCCCACAGCCACCTTTGAGCTGCTCCCCTGCCCCTTCCGTCTCCTCACCCCCCATCCCCACTCCCAGAGGCCTCCATCTCCAAGAAGAAGCGCTTGTGTATGAAGCAGGTGCCGCTGAGCGCAGCAGAGACAGTGGTGGTCGACGTCCGACTCAGCGGCAAGACCAAGACGGTTCCTGGGTACCATCGTGTGGGGTACGGCCACTTTGCTCTTCTAGTTCTGGCTGGGACCCTCTGACGATTCTGTGCCTCAGTCTCCCTGGAGCATACCGGTAGCGGGAGGACCTGGGTACAGGTGGCCTCATGGCTGGAGCTTGGCTCTCACAAAGCAGTCACTGCGTCCGCCAAGGCGGGGGCTGCCGGGCGCCCAGGTCCCTCCGCAACTGCCCACAACTGCCCTGGCCTGAACCGCTTCCTTCCCCCAGGGACATGGGGGGCTTCGCCATCTGGTGCAAGACGGCCAAAGCCCCGCGGCCAGTGCCTAAGCCCAGAGCGCTCAACAAGGAGATGCAGGGTCTTTCCCTGGACACTCCCAGCTTGCCCAGGTGAGTCCTCAGCAGGGGCGGGGCTGGCGGGGGCCAGGGCCTGACCCGACCATCCCATCCGCAGTAGCAAGGCCAGCGGCCAGGCGCCCACACTGTCCAGGCTGAGCTCTCGGGCCTCCACCCTGCGGAGGAACGACTCCATCTACGACGCCTCCAATCTCTATGGCATCTCAGGTGCGCTGGGGTACAGCGCTGGATGCGGTGGGCGGCGCTGCATCCCCAGCGGGTGAAGGGAGGTCTGGGAAGCAGCTTGGGTGTGGTCAGTTGGAGCCGGGCCGGGACACTGAGAAGAGGAGGGGACAAACCCCAGGCCCGCCCTCAGCGCCTTCCCCTGTGTGTTTCCTGCAGCCATGGACGGGGTCCCCTTCACACTGCATCCCCGATTTGAGGGCCGAACCTGCGGATCCCTGGTGAGTCTGTTCTGCGGAGGGGGGGGAGTGTGCAGTGCCCAATGCCTGAGTCTGGATAGGGGTATAAGGACAACACAGGGTGAGGGTGGGGGTGGGGAGTAACCCAGGCTGGACTCCGAGTACCAGGACTGACCCGTGCCTGCTGTTAGGCCTTCTCCAACTTCGGGAATCTGACCATCAAGTCACTGGCGGACATCGAGGAGGAGGTGGGTGCTTGGGCGGGAGGGGCGCATCCTGCTCCCACTGTTCCTGCTGCCCCCCACCCCCCACACGCCCCTTTCTCACTCTATGCCCCCCTCCCTGCAGTATAATTACGGCTTCGTGGTGGAGAAGACAGCGGCGGCTCGCCTGCCCCCCAGTGTCACGTAGTGGCCTGTGGGGAAGCCCCACTTCCTGGCCCTGGGCCCGCCCCGCCCCTTGTGGCCACGCCCACAGGGCCGTACTCCAAGGTGACGCTCCGCCCAGATCAGCTCTGCCCTTCACCCCTTTGCACGTGCTCAGCGCCCACTCTACTCACTCGCCACTGGGCAGAGGGGGTGGCACAGTCCCCGGTCTCAACCAGTGCCCAGTGCCTTCAGCCAGCGTTGTGTCAAAACTCTGCCGGGGGAACTTCCCGGGAATAAATTCCGCCTGATACATTTCTGATCTGGCCCCAGCCTCTGTGGTGTGTGGTTTTGACTGGGCACGGGCAGGGGGGGAAACTGAGGCTTAGCGAGCTCGTGTCGGGTTGCAGGGCCCACTCGGTCTGAAGGGTCACGGTCCCACTTGGTGTCTCTACGAGGAGAGAGCCATGTGCTGGTTTGGGGGCCTGGGGGAGGCCTTGGGAACAGGTACTCTAGCGCCCCGCACCCCCTCCCTGCACCTGGCGCCCTCACACGCCCCACCACAGCTTCTCTGGCGCCGCGCAAAACCCGAGGCCCCGCAGGAAGCAAAGGGCGTTTGTTCTCCGTCCTGGCAGCCACCCCGAAACCAGCCCGGGTCACATTCCAGGGCATCATGGCATGGGACTGGCCCTGAAGGCTTAGCTGGTCTCTGTCCCCCTGGGTCTGGCTGAGCTCAAACGTCGCGTCAGTGGGGTAGCCCTGACGCCTGTGGCTGCCTGTGGGGAAGTTCTGGACATACCCTCCGGGGCTCCACTCTGCGAGGGCCATGTCTGTCTCTCTCCAGTGGTAGGTCCTGAGGGCTCTGGCTTGGGTCCCTCTGGTGACCCAAGAGGGTCCTTGTGACCTTACTTGGCAGACCCTTGGGCCTCCTTAACACTCGTGCTCCAGCCCTGTACCCAGAGTTGCTGTGTGCCAGTGGCTTTCCCCACCCCCCAGCACAACTCAAAGCCCTGTTCCCACCCCCCCGCCCATGATTGTAGGACTCCAGCTGTGAACACCACCCCACTTTCTCCTGTGTAGCCCCGCCATCCACCATGCCCAGAACCAGGCACACAGTGAATGCAGAACTTTATTCTTCCTACGTGGCAGTCGGTGCTGATAACTGCTCTCTGGGGGCCACGTGAGAGACTGGCAGCTTCCCAGGGGGTCCCTGAGTCTGTGCATCACAGCAGTAGGACCTCTGCTAGCATCCAACTCGGGGGACAACCCATTCCCGACACTACAGCCTGGCCACGCCCCAAGCATGGTTCCTATCTGGGAAGCTGGGGAGGAGGGATGACACCCCAGGACACCGAGGTACAGCCTTGAGGCTCCTGTCGCTGAGCTTCCAAATGCTCCAGCCAGGAGGAGTTGCGGGGTCTGATGGCAGCAGCAAGAGGCTTCCTGGATCTGGGTGTGAGTCCTGGTTCTGACGCTCAGTACTAGCAGAGAGGTATTTAGGGAACACAGTGACTCACTGCCCCTCTCTGGCCTCGATCTCCTCATCTGCGAAATGGACAGAGACATTGAGCAAACCACTGCCCTGGCCTCCCCGCCCAACCTCACCCTTGCACCTGTCAATTCATTCCCAAGAAGTCTATCTCCCAGCCGGCCCTGAATTGAGTTATTATGCTGATCAGTAAGATATAAAACCTCCCAGGAAGTCATGAAAGTTGTCAAGCCAGCCCTGACCCTTGCATATTTGCATATTTGTCTAAATAAGGAGGTGATGGTTTGTTCCTTGGCAGCCACTTTGTGTCATGAGGCAAAGTGGACAGGGATGCTGTGAAGTGAGAGATTAAGTTGCCCCATGACTGTGGCTGCATCTGATAAATTTCACGACAGGGAGTTTGGGCTATACCCGGTGGTGCTCAAGAGTTTACTCCTGGCTCTGCATGCAGGAATTACTATTGATGGGACCACATGGGACACCACGGATTGAACCTGTGTCGGCTGCGTGCAAAGCAACCTGCTGTACTCTTGCTCCAGACCCTGCAATGGCTGCATCTGGACTTATCTCTCCTTTTTTTTTTTTCTTTTTGGGTTATACCCAGCTGATGCTCAGGGGTTACTCCTGGCTCAGGAATCACTCCTGGCCATGCTCGGGGACCATATGGGATGCTGGGAATTGAACCCGGGTCAGCCGCGTGCAAGGCAAACGCCCTACCCGCTGTGCTATTGCTCCAGCCCCGGACTTGTCTCTCCTGAGTGCTCTTCCTGCTCCCCAACATCAGCCCTCTGTCTGTGACACGGGGCTTACACGAGCGTGGAGTCCTTCCCTGAGCCCCCTGGCCGGTGGCCTAGCATGTTGCACATCTCAAGGGTGACCCCTTCCCACGGTCCCCTGCCAGCCAGCAGAGTCTGGTGTGAGCGGGGAGCAAGCAGGCCTGTGTCCTGGCCTCCCCCCACGGTGGCAGGTATGAAGAGGTCCCCAGGTTCTGGACAGGATGAGCAGGGGTTCTGGCGGTGGGTACCCTGCTGATGAGGGGCCTGAGGGCCGGCCTTGCAGCGCTCGGTGGGGTGGATGGTGTCATCTTCACAATGTGGCGGCAGCGAAGGGGACAGCTCCTGGGGACCGTGGCGGGAGGCACGGGCAGCCTGGCGCAGAGTAAGCGTCAGCGCTGCCGCGAGGACAAGGACACCCAGGCCCAGGATGGCAGCGGCGGCGGCCCCGGTCTCAATCTCGAAGAGCAGCAGGGCGTAGATGGACAGCGCTGGGGATAGGAAGGGCTGGCGTTCATTCCCGCGTGGCCCTCGGCCGTCGGCCCCAGGTCCCCCTCAGCCATAGCTGTGTGACCTTCTCAGGCTCAGGCTGCCGAGACCCTGCCCAGGGAGTCCCAGCAACCTTGTCACCCAGTTTACCGATCTGAACGACAGGTTCATGCCATAAGCCCGAGGGCCCGGCCTGGCTCTGTCACTTCGTAACCATGACATTGGCGAGGGCCATCAGGACCAGCTGTACCTTTAGCAGCGTCCACCCACCCGGTACCAGCTCCTCCCTGCATGTTGGGTCCCCCGCCGGGCCTGGCATCCCAGCAGCACCCTTGACTTGGCCAATCAAAGCATTGCTTTCGCTCCTAGTCGTGATTGGTGCGGGAATACCACATGACCCACACCCAGCCAATCAGCATCAGTCCGAGGAATCGTGCTTGGGCTCTGGGACTTTCACTGGGCTTGGCTGGGATTCGGGCGGAGGACTGTCAAAGGATAGCTTTAAGTTTTTTTGTTTGTTTTGTTTTGTGTTTAGATCACACCGGCTGTACTTAGGGGCCACTTCTGGCTGTGCACTCAGGAATTACTCCTGGTGGTGCCAGAGGACCATACGGGTGCCCGGGATCAAACACAGGTTGGGATCGTACTGTCGCTCTAGGCCCACAAAGGATGGCTTTGATGCGCTAGGGAATTCTTTCTAAGTGAGGTCACCTGAGCTCAAAAAGAATGTAAATGGGAGGTGACTATGTCCGGAGTTTAGTGCGTAGCCACAGATACCCCGTTGCCCTGTTGCAGTGTGAGCTTCTTTGAGTTTTTACTTTGTTCTGATCCCAATACTGTTCACCCATACGTGGAAAGGCACGTGGATGCAGGGATCGGGCTGAAAGCACTTAGTGATATGGACAACTCGGTCAGGGTTTGGGGGTGGGAGGCGAAGGCGTGACCCTGAGCACTGCTGACAAGCTCATTGGAGCCCCAGACGCAGCCTAAGCCCAGGCTGATGATCGCTTGTCTTTTCAGATACACAAGTCACCTTGTCTACTTTTATTTGTTTGTTTGGGTGTCACATCCAACAGTGCTCAGGGCTTACTTCTGACTCTGCACTCAGGAATTACATCTAGCAGTGTTTGGGAGACATATGGGATTCCAGAGATGGAACCTGGGTCGGCTGTATGAAGGCAAACGCCCCACCCTCTGCCCTGTTGCTCCAGCCTCGTTCAAATTTTTTTTTGTTTGTTTTTAAGAACCCCTGTCCAAAGCACTATATGAAGTCAAGCAGCAAAGGCTTTGCAGAATTCCAGTGAAGTCCACACCACCAGCCGTCAGCACAGCCTTTGCGTCTTTATCTCCTGGCACCAAGCAAGGGCCAGCAATGGTGCATCCTCTGTGGCTCAACTGAGAATTTCTGCTTCCTGTAAAACGGGTTTTTGTTGGGGCTGTCCAGATCCCCATGACTCAGGGACCCCACCGACTCCACCTACTCCTTGGGGCAGGAGTCTCAAGAACGTGGTGATGTGTTGGGAGCTGACTCATGGGCTGAGGGCTGAGCTAGATTTCGGGCGCTGCACGGTCCCTCAAGTACTGCCAAGAGTGACCTCTGAGCACCCAGCTGGGAGGATCTCCGAGCACCACCCACTGTGACCCAAAAACCAAACAATCAACAAAGAAACTTGGTGATGTGACTCCTTGAGGGACCCACACAGGTGAGGGAAAGTGTCTAATAACAGTGCCAAGCAGAGGAGGGAAGCTGACAGGTGGGTCCTGTAAGGACAATGTTCCCTAAAAGGCATCCATCCCAGAACAGGCTTCTCCTTTTTACTCTGTTTCAAATTCGGGGATTTAAAGTTTCAATTCTGCTGGAAAAAATCTGGATGTCTTTTGTTTTCCTTGGTGGGGGGTGTGCTGGTTCCTCACCCCCAGTGCTCAGGGCTTACTCATGGGGATGCTCTGGGGACCATAGATTTTTATTTGCCTGTTTTTGGACCAAACCTGGAGGTGCTCAGGGCAGACTCTTGGCTCTGTGTTAGGAATGACTCCTGGCGGGGCCTGGGGGCACGCACTATGGGTCAGCCACATGCAAGACCAGTACCCGAACTCCTGTGCTCTCTCTCCAGTCTCCATCCCCTGGTTTGGTTTCAAGTTTTTTCTTTTCTTTTCTTTTCTTTTTTTTTTTTTTCTTTTTGGGTCACTCCCGGCGATGCACAGGAATTACTCCTGGTTCATGCACTCAGGAATTACTCCTGGCGGTGCTCAGGGGACCATATGGGATGCTGGGAATCGAACCTAGGTTGGCTGCGTGCAAGGCAAACACCCTACCCGCTGTGCTATTGCTCCAGCCCCTCAAGTTTTTTCTTAAGCCATTTTTAAGGCACTTTTCCTCCATCAGTCACCAAAACAGGGGGTGCTGGGCTGGCCTCCGAAAGAGTACCAGAGTATCTGCAGGCGTGTGGTGACAGCGACACTGGTGGAGACCCCACTCCACAGTGATGAGACCCTCTCGGCCATTCTGTTCATGGAGGGGACCAAGGCACGGTGGGGGATCTTCCTGGTGCCCCAGAGCAAGGATGCCTCAACGCCAGGAGCTGGACCCCAGCCCCGGAGTCCCCCACATTCTGCACCCCAGCACACACCTGCCAGGTAGATGGAGATCCCAGAGCAGAAGAGACCGAGGGCTGTGTGCCTGAGTGGGCGGCAGTCCGACAGGAACGCGGCCGATCTGAGGCTGCTGGAGGAAAAGGGCTCAGGACGTGCACAGAATCCGCGTCCCCCAAACAATCCTTGAACAGCAAAGGGGTGCTGACCCCGGATTTTCTCTGAGTCTCAGTTTCCACATATGTGAGGCCGGTTTCCAGGAGCTCTAGACAGAGGGAGGGCAGGCGGGACGGTTCCCCGAACCCAAGGCCCAGGAGACCGGCCGCAGCCAGGGACGTAGGTTCCTACCTGCTTACTCCGGGTCCCCGCGCCAGCTCGGCGCCCAGGTGTCCGCAGAGCGCAGCGAGCACCAGGCAGGTGAGGCCCAGCACGAGGGCCAACGCGGCCAGCGCAGCGGCTAGAGGCAGCAGCGCCCCGGCCGCGTCCTCGGGCAGCCCGGGGCCGGCGCCCAGCTCGTGGTCCAGCCGGGGAACGCGCGACCCCCGCAGCTCGGCGCGGCCGGCCTGCAGCTGGAACAGCAGCTGCGCGCCCAGCGCCGCCAGCACTGCCGCGGGGATGCCCAGCAGGACCATCGGGGCCAGCATCCCTGCCGGGACCAGCAAAGGTTGTCGAGGGTTGATGGGGCGTCCGGGTACTCCCGGGGACCTGGCAGGGGCGGGGCCGCAGGAGACTCGATATGTTGTCGGTCCGCTCGGGACCAAAAAGCTGTTCTGTTCAAAAAGCTTGGGTCAAAGTTTTATCCGCAGCTCCAGGACCCTGCGGGCGCCCCCTCTGGGCTCCAGGACCTGGGGGCGTGGTGGGGAGGGGGCGGGGCCAACCTGGCGGAACTGAGCTCCGAAGAGCGGGCGTTTCGGGGGCGGGGCCATGTGGGCGTGGCCTTGAAGGGCGGGGTGCATTCGAGGCGGGATCTCTGCTGGTTTAACTTGATGTTGGGCGTGGCCAGTAAGAGGTAAGCCCCTGAAGGGGTGAAAATGGGGACCATGCCAGGTGCAAGGACATGGTGGCTGGACACTAGAAGTTTCACTATTCCAGGGGCTGGAGCAATAGCACAGCGGGTAGGGCGTTTACCTTGCTCGCAGCTGACCTGGGTCCGATTCCCAGCATCCCATATGTTCCCCCTAGCACCGCTAGGTGTAATTACTGAATGCAAAGCCAGGAGTAACCCCTATGCACCTCTGGGTGTGACCCAAAAAGAAAAAAAAAGAAAAAAAGTCTCAGAAAAACAATCTCACTAGTCCCAAAACTCCTTTAAACCCTCTTTCCCCAACTACCTGTGTCTTTTTCTTTCTTCTTCCTTTTTTTAAATATAATTTTATTTATTGAATCATCATGAGAGCAGTTACAAAACTTTCGGGTTTAAGTCTTGGTAATAAAATGATACACCCGTACCTTCACCAGTGCCCATTCTCCACCACCAAAAACCCCATCCCACACCCTCCCCTACCTGTGGGGCAGATGATTTCCACATTACTCTCTCTCTCTCTCTATTTTAATTACATTCAATATTTTGACACCAGGCCCACCATTATTATTTGGGATTTTACCCCAACACTCAGATCTGCCGAAAAGGCAATAATTGACAATTTGTTTTCTATTGCTGTTATGAATAACATATGATGTTGTGTGGCTGCAGTAATGACTGCGTGATTTTGAAATTCCAAAATTTTGGCAATTAAATCTGGAGGAATTTCTGCCAAAACCTGCTGGGTTCTAAGATTTGTTTCTGAGTCTCTGAGATTATGGCCATTAAGCAGCTCGATCAGGAGACAGAGAGGCCATTCGTGGGTGGCAACTTGGAGTCTCATTGGGACAGGGAGGAAAGGGCCAGTTCCAACCCCATCCCATGAGGCCCTGCATGTCTTGCCACTTCGGGCCCAATCCTGACTGTTCAATGGCCTCTGGAGGTTGGCAGCCACTGAGCCGCCTAGGGAGAGCAGGAGGAGGGAAAGGGACAGCACCCTTTCCCCCGGGGTGTCCTGGCGACAGTAACCCACTCGGGGTCCGGATGCATTTCTGCCACAAGCTGCTGGGTTTTGAGATTAGTTTCTGAGTTTCTGGGATCATGGTCGTTAAGCAGCTTGATCAGGAGCCAGAGAGGCCATTCGTGGGCGACGACTCAGGGTCTCCTTGGGACGGGGAGGAAAGGACCGACTCCACCCCCATCCGATGAGGCCCCGCGTGTATCGTCACTGCGGACCCAAACCTGACTGTCCAGTGGCCTCTGAAGGATGACGGCCACCGGGTCATACAGGCCAGGGGGAACAGGCCAAGGCACGGAACCTATTCCCACCTGGGGTGGCCTGGCACCGGTAACCTACTACAGGGACCAGACACATTTCTGCCAAAAGCCATTGGGTTTCGAGATTTGTTTCTGAGTCTCTGGGATCATGGCCGTTAAACAGTCCCATCAGGAACCAGAGAGGCCATGCCTCCAATTATATAGCTGAGCCGGAGGTGGTTTGTGGGTGTGTCTCCCACAGACCTAACTTTTGGCCATTTACTTTCTTGGTAAACTTTGCCCCAAGTTTTTGTGGTCTGACCAAAGGCACAGCAACAATTTTGTGGTATCTGGAAGCCTGAAGGCGCCATCAGGCTGCTGATTTCTTTATTCTTTTTGGAGCACACACCCGGTGATGCTCAGGGCTTACTCCTGGCTCTGATCCTTGATCCTCAGGGATCCCTCCTGGAGGTGCTTGGGAGACCCTATGCAGTGTCAAGGCTTGAACCCAGGTCAGCCACGCGCAAGGCCAGCGCCCTCCCCGTTGTCTTTTCATTCCGACCCCTCTTTCTTTTCTAAGAAATTTGTTCAAGAAAACAAGAAACGGGACTGGCGTGTCAGGTGGTCTTCGCCCAGGGCTGGATAGGGGAGAAAGTGGAGGCACAAGGCTGAGCAGGGTTCCCCACACTGCAGACACCCCAGTCACTGCTCCGTGTTGCTCCGCAGACCTGCCACCGGTCTTGAATTTTTAGTAATAAATGAAACCTGAATTTTTATTTTATTTTATTTTATTTACACGTCCAAGTGGAAAGTGGACTGAGAGCAGAGTCCAGGCGTGAATCATCACCACAGCCCGGATAGGGACGGACACTTTCCGACGTTTTCGCAAAACAGCAGCCCACTTGTGCGTTACTGGCCAGCGCGGCGGTGCGGGCATCCCACACGGTGGATGCATCCACTGGTGGGCACACGGAGGTCTGTCAGGGGCAGCTGCGGCACTCCCCGCGCCTGCATTTTCTCCTCGGACGTTGCAAGTAGGGATGAGAGGTAGGAAGGACCTGTCCAGTCCCGGACGAGCCGCCTCGGTGCACAGCCTGCGTGGGGACCCCAGAGCAGGCCGGGTCCACAGCAGCTGCCTTGGGAGGGAGGCTCGCGCCCAGGACGCGCCTCCCACTTCTGCCACCAGGCGGCGCTAAAGACGAAGCGAGGAGTCTCCTGCGCAGAGCGACCTCCCCAAGGGTGGCGAGAGGGTGGGAAATGTGGGGGACCACACTCGGCGGATCTCAGGGCTGGCTCCTGGCTCTTCTCGGGGCTCATTCCTGGGTTTGTGCTCGGGGCTCACTCTTGGCTGGCATGGGGGACCTCACTTGTTGCCAGGGCTGAAATCCAGCTGGAAGGCAAGCGCTCTGCCCGCTGTACCACTGCTCAGGCCCCAAGTGGGTGTGAGTTCTGGTTTTATTTTTATTTATTTATTTTTTTGCTTTTTGGTCACACCCAGCAATGCACAGGGGTTACTCCTGGCTCTGCACTCAGGAGTTACTCCTGGTGGTGCTCAGGGGATCATATGGAATGCTGGGAATCGAACCTGGGTCAACCACCTTGCAAGATAAACGCCCTACCTGCTGTGCTATCACCCCAGCCACAAGAGTTCTGTTTTTTTGGAGGTGCCAGGGAATCGTGCCTCTGAGCCCAGGAATCACTCCTGACTGGGGGCGGGGGACTCTTTTTTTTTTTTTTTTTTGCTTTTTGGGTCACACCCGGTGATGCACAGGGGTTACTCCTAGCTTGTGCACTCAGGAATTACTCCTGGCGGTGCTCGGGGGACCATATGGGATGCTGGGAATCGAACTTGGGTCAGCTGTGTGCAAGGCAAACACCCTACCCACTGTGCTATTGCTCCAGCCCCCTGGGGGACTCTTCTTGGTGCCCACTCTGGTGGGTGGGCATTTGCCCAGTGACTGGCCTGTATCTTGTCCTTCCCTACCCCAAGTCCAACTGTGCTGCTCCCAGAGGTGCGCACCCCAGCCCTGTCCTAGTGGAGGGGGGCTTCAGAAAGAAGCTCCAACTTGGGCTCCACCAGCCCCCCTGCTGCTGAGAAGGGACGCTTAGACCTGAGGGAGTCCCCACCCCCCCATCCCTGGCTCTTCTCCAGTCTGGAGCACAGGGCCAGACACCCATCTCCCTCAGGGGACCCATCACAGACTCCGAACCTGCTGTCTTAGGGGGACTCAGAGACTCCCGGCCCCCCGTTGGGGCGCCATCCTCAGACCACCCACCCTCTAGCACCCTGTGCTGGGTCCTCCCCCCAGCTCCTCTCCCTCCGATGGTCTCAGAACAGCGGCCGGGCACCCCCGGGGGCCCCGCCGTCCCCGGCGCCCCGCGCCCTGTCCCCGCGCGGCACGCGGTACTTGAGGCGGCGCAGCGGCTCGGTCAGGCTCCGCCGCGCGGGCTCGTCCAGGTCCTCGGCCAGCAGGAAGTTGCGGTCCAGCAGCTCAGCAGCCTCCTGCCAGTTGGCGAAGCAGGCGGGCCCCAGGCGCGTGATCTCCTCGGCCGCGTGGCGCGTGAGCACGTCCCCGCCCGGCTTCAGCACCACCACGGTAGGCAGATGCTCCACAGAGAAGCGGCGCCGAAGGTCCCTGCGGGCGTCGGGGTCAGGACTCAGGGGATGACATTCCACCTCTGGTCCCGGGTGGAGGGGGACAGATGGCGGTTCCATCCGGGCACCCACAGCGACCAGAGGTGGCTGAGCTCCGGGCAGCAACCAGGGGGTACCAGGCTGCAGCGAGCTCCCCTCAGTCCTCCTGCCTGTTCAGGAGACTTCAACCCCAGACTCCCTCTCTGGGGTGGGAAAATGGAGTGTGGGGGGGACTCCCAGTGCTCAGGGGTCCTGCAGGGCCACTCCTGGGTGACATCTGGACACCCCGAGTGCCTGGCCCCACCAACCGGACACACACCCTGTGGCCCGGGGCTGGACTCGTGGTGGCGCATGCGCGGCCTGAGCCCTTGATTGGTCTCCCCACCCACCCTTCTGAAGTCCAGGCCAGAATCCCAGCCAGGTATGGCCAGGAAAAGGGAGGACAGACAAGATCATCCCAGTGGCCCTCAGAAATCTGCTCCCTGCACAACTTCCCGGGAGTCAGTTGTACAGACACAAAGACTTGATATTTAGCAACGGTTGGTGTCGCGGTAACAAGCCCTACATTGTGGGTAGAAGTCTGTGCCCCACAATCTCTTAGACCAACCGTCCCCAAATATACCAAAGATGCTGCTTTAGTTAGGAAGGCCCCCTCCTCCAGGAAGCTCTCCCTGACTTCCCCTGCCTCACCTCCTCAGCTGGTCCTCAAAGGGCAAGAAGAGCCACTTTTCAGGCATGTCCCTGAGGAAAAGGTCCTGCTGCTCCTCCGTGGGGTCCTGGGAAATGTACACCAGGGCCAGCTGGGCTGCCCGTAGCACATAGAACTCATCAGTGAGGCGGACAAAGAAGTCCTTGAGTGTGGGCACGAAGGCCTGGCAGCGTGGGCAGGCCCTGGCCCCAAAGAACAGCAGCACCAGCCGGTTCTCCAGCCGGTAGCTCAGCTCGGCCTCTGTGTCAAGCTCGTCCTGATCACTGTTATTCCGGATCAGCACGCTTCCTGAGAACAGGGCAGCCATGGCTCCCGGGGTGCAGGTGGGCCGTTCTCCAGCTGGAGGCTATCGGATTAGGAGCCCACTAATCTGCCTAACCCAGGACCTGATTCTGGAGGTTGGGGCGGGCTGCCTGGGCCCCATGCGCATTCACTGCATGCCCCCAGCCCCCCACACCCCGTTTCTTGAGGTCTTCAAAACAGAATTCAGGGTAGCTGGGGATGCTGCCTGGTGATTCTCCAGTGGTGGACTCGAGGTCCTGTAGTGTCTGGGGTTTCTTGGACTACAGTGGCAGGGCTCGGTGGGGGGGGGGCGCAGAGGGGCTGTGGGGTGTTTGAAATAGAACTGAGCTGGTGGCACATAGATGTTTTTATTTGGCGGGGAAGGGCTACACCCAGTGATGTTCAAGGCTTACCCCTGCTCTAAGAAGTCATTCCTGGGGCTGGAGCAATAGCACAGGGGATAGGGCATTTGCCTTGCAAGCGGCCAACCCGGGTTCGATTCCCAGCATCCCATACGCTGGGTCCCAAAAGAAGCAAAAAAAAAAAAAAAAGAAAAGAAAAAAGAAATCATTCCTGTCAATGCTCAGCTCACCATATGGGATGCTGAGGATCAAACCCGATCAACCGTGTGCAAAGGAAGCGCCCTCCTCCACGCTGTCCTATCTCTCCGCCCCATCCTGGTGCCTGCTACCCTCTGTGGATGGGCAAGCCAGTTTTCCTGGCCCCACCCTTTCTCAGATGACCCCTGATGCCATGCTCCCCTGGGGGCTGGTCAGGCCCTGCTCGGCACCTCAAACCACGCCTCGCACCCCGCCTCTCACCCCACCCCTTCACAGCTGTGACCACTTAACCTTGTCCTGATGCTTTCCAGTCTGTGTATGTTTTGGGCAGTGGGGACAAAAGCCCTGCCTACATTTGGGAACCAGGACTTGAATGGACTCCTCAGCTGTGGCAGGGCAAATGGTGGCCCAGAGAGCCTCGCCCAGGTCCGCAGCCCCAGGACCTGCCTGGCTGCCCCTCTCCCTCTTGTTATGGCTATTCTCATCAGGGGCTGAGTGTGGGGGCTGTGAACCCCGGATGATGTGTTGTTGCAGTAACGGGGTGGGGTGGCTGGGACCGTGCTGGGAACAGGTGGGTGGCACAGGGCTGGGGCTCCTGGTCTGCTCACAGGGCTGGAGCTTCCGGCCACCCGTCCCTCTGCCGGGACAGGGCTCCTTGTGGGAGGATCCCCATAAATCATCCTGGATTACCAAGCTTTCCCCAGTGGGGTGACAAGTGCCCTGACACACACAGGCAGGAGGCAGAGAAGGGCCTGAGAACACCCCCCAGTCAGAACACATGGAACCCCTGTTCATATGAGTGCCGGGAAGGGTACTCCCTGAGATTCCAGGGGTGTTTGGCTCCACAACACCCTGATTCCAGAGTCTTGGTGTCTCTGGAGACTGGAAAGATGGCCCTGCCCCACTGATAATGCAGCCACTGTCCCAACCCTGACCCATAGCCTTCCACCATGGCCTTAGCACAAGGACACACTCCTGGAAACATCCCCACAGTCCTGGGCATGACCTCCACACACACACTCTTGCTTTTCTGCCTAGCCCCTCCTCTGTCCAGATGAGATGATCAGGTATTTAGTTCTCAGGACCCCCAGATGTGTGGGGGCAGAACCTGGTGTAATCTGGAGCTGCAGTTGTTCCTTTTTGTTTGTTTGTTTTTAGGACCACATCCAGCGATGCTCAGGGTTTACTCCTGGCCAAGTTAAGAGGACCAGATGGGATGCTGGAGATTAAGCTCTGACCAGCTGCCTGCAAGGCAAGCGCCCTCTCCCCCAGGAACTGCATTTCTGTACCCCCGCAGTCCGGAAACCTACTCAGTCTGGTTTCTTTCATTCTTAGAAAGCTTACTGAGGATTGTTCCTAAGCCCTAAGGCCCAGGGGCATCTAAGGAAAGGAAAAATTACAAGGAACAGGCACGTAAATGGTTAACAGAGTTGAGTGGAAATGGGGGGCAGGGCAGGGATGTGGACAGCAGAGCACAGTTCTGGCACCCACTTAAGACAATCTCTCAGGGCTGGAGCAATAGCACAGTGGGTAGGGCATTTGCCTTGCACACGGCGGATCCGCATTCAATTCCCCCAGCACCTCATATGGTCCCCTGAGCACCACCAGGAGTGATTACTGAGTGTAGAGCCAGGAGTCAGCCTTGAGCATCACCGGGTGTGACCCAAAAAGCAAAAAAAAAAAAAAAAAAAAGACAATCCATCTCTTCTCCCCTTCCTCTTTTTCTATTTTCTTTTTTTTTTGAAATAAATAGATTTTATTTGGAGGAGAGCGAGAGAGTAATGTACTCAAGAGAGAACACAGGCTTCTCCAAGGGCGGAGAGAGCCCCTACACAAATCCTAGCATTAGACACGAAAGCATGAAAGTACACATCTCAAGAGGGGAGATTTGGGTGACACATGTGCTCAGGCACCACATGTGCTCTGCCACGTGGGCACAAGCAGCACATGGGCTCAAGCAGCATATGCACCCCCCCTTCCTTTTTTGTTTTTTGTTTTTGTTTTCTGGGTCACACCCGGCTATGCACATGGGTTACTCCTGGCTCATGCACTCAGGAATAACTCCTGGCGGTGCTCGGGGGACCATATGGGATGCTGGGAATCAAACCCGGGTGGTGTGCAAGGTAAACACCCTACCCGCTGTGCTATCACTCCAGCCCCATCACCCCCCCTCCTTTAAAAAAAAAGTATTGGGTTTGGGGAGAGTTGGAAGAGAAGCACCATCTGGGTTCAGCAAATTTGGTCATGGGAGGAGGGGACCAGAGGGAGGAAAGACAGAGGAGGGGATAGGTGGGGGGCAGTGAGGATAGGGAGCCGGGACTGAGAGGGAGAGGAAAGAGGACAGGAGTGAACCCCAACTCCCCACTGTGTGATAGCCATGAGCCTCAGTATCTTTTGCTGCAAAATGGGGGTGACCCGCACAGAGTCAGCGGGAGCAGAGCTGGCCCCTATGACAGCCTTAAGTTCTGCCTGGGAAAGGGGCTGGCTCTGGGCCTGGGCTCCGGATCTGTCTCCCAGGCCCCCATCCCGCGCAACGGGTGCGGCTGGCAGGCACAGAAAGCGGCGTGGGGTGATGCCTGCCCAGCCGTGCCTGCCAGTAGTGCTGGGAGCCGGCCCTGGCAGTCCCCCAGGAAGCGCTCTGGAAAGGTCGGCCAAGCCAGCAGAGGCAGAAAACAAGTAGGGGTGGAAAGGGGTGGGGAGCTGGGAGGGAGGGACACGGGGCGCAGGCCCCAGTGGGCAGTGAGCGCCCAGAGTGGGACCCAGCGGTGTACAGAAACGGAGCTGGGAGCCCCCTGCACCGGCCAGCCTGCCCTGCACGCGTCAACGTCTCCGCCTTGATCCTCCTCCTCCCTTCTCGCCTCCTGCAGGAGCTGCTGGGAGCTGCGACCGAGGGCTCCAGGTGAGCCAGGAATCAGGGTGGTGGACAGCCAGGCCAGCGCTGGCCGACCTAACCAGGGCTTTCAGGGACTGTGGGGGAGCATTTAGGGCTTCTACGTGCAGAGGGGCGCACTGGGCAGATCGATAGCCTGGTGCAAACGTTTCCTAGGTGGAGGCTGGGGTTGGACCTCAGGACCTCATTCTGAGGAAGAGGTGCATGCTCGGCCTCCGCGATGACAAGCTCTGAAAACTGGATGAGGTGGGTCCTTGCCATCTATCTGCAAGACCCATTCAGAGCCTCCTGAAACCTGGACGGAGGGAATTGAGGACTCCCAGGAATGAATTTGACATCCAGAAGCGCCAAGGATGAGATCTGAACAAGCCGAGGCAGGAGCCCTGCAGGGCAACCCAGTTAGAGAGCCCGAACTTTCCGCGCCCCGGGGCAGAGATTCTCCACGCCCCCGCCCCGTAGGAGGGACGCACGTGTTTTCTAACGCGGCGCCCGGGGCCAGGGCGGTGGGGGTAGGGGAAAACGCAGTTTGGTTGCCATGGAGACAGCGGCGCCGGCGACGGGCCCTTCTAGCTCCCGCGTCTCAGTGGCTGTGGTCTCTCTGGCCCGGAACTCTCTCTATGGCCACGGCCTTCGGCAAGGGGCCGGCCTGGTTCGCGGGTAGCTGAGGGGCTCTGGGCCACCGCGGTCGGTCGGGGACCCGGGGCGGGCCTGGGCGGGCCGATGGGCGGGGCCTGGGCGACAGGTGAATCGGAACCCGGATGGAGCCGGGGGTGGAACTGGAGCGGGGAATTTCGACCTGAGCCCTGCGCGGGGCGGGGCTTGAGCGAGGGGCGGAGCCTGTGGCCTATAGGGCGGAGCCTGTGACCGATGGGGCGGAGTCTGAGGAAGGGGGCGGAGCATAACACTTGGTCACGTGCAATGCCTGTGGCCTGGCGGCCGCTGCAACAAAATAACCGCGAGCAAGACAGGTGGAGGCTGCGCTGCTAGTGGGGGCGTGGCCTGGTCCAGTGACCCGAACGAGCCTAGGCCAGTGTTCTAGGGAATCAGGTGCAGCCTAAGAACCCGGGCCTCGTAGTGCGGGTGCAGCTCGTTTTTAGAGCCCCGCAGGTCCGTACAAAGCCAGTCCTCGTCCTTGGGGGCGCTGGGCTTGCGACCCGACGATCTTGCTTGGAGCGGGGCGGGGCCGAGACTTGGCGAATCTTTCTGGGTTCTGGCGTGGGGTGGTGGGGGCACCTCCTGGGGGCGGGGTCTGGCTTCCCGGAGCGGCAAGGAGGGACCCGGGGGCGTTCCTGGGGGCGGACCTGAGGGAGTTGCCTATCCCCGGGCAGGGCCTCCGGGGGCGTGTCGCCGGCGAGCGGGCAGTGGGCGGGGTGTCCTGGGCGGGCCCAGGCCCCTGAGGCCCAGGTCTCGGCTCTGTCGGCCTCCCAGGATGCGGACTCCGGGCGCGGGCGCGGCCTCCGTGGCCTCGCTGATGCTGCTGTGGCTGCTCGGGCTGCCGTGGACCTGGAGCGCCGCGGCGGCGGTCGGCGTGTACGTGGGAGGCGGCGGCTGGCGTTTCCTGCGCATCGTCTGCAAGACGGCCAGGCGGGACCTCTTGTGAGTGCGTCCTGATGCGGGTCCGGGTCCGCGCCAGGCCGGGAGGGTATGCCGGAACCCGAGAAACAAACCGAGGGGGCTTATGCAGCGGGGCTTCGGGAGGGGGGGGCTGAGGGCTGGGTTCCGAGGTTTGGAGACTGGGGGCCGGGCCGGGACTGAGGAATAGCGGGTTTGGAGAGCCCAGAGGGGTCGCCGCGGACCGCCTGGGGGTTGCTGGTGGGAGACAAGTAGTCTCAAGGTTCTTGCAGCTCCAGGAGTGAATTCAGGGGCCGAAACACAGCCTCGGAGAGTCAGGGGCGGCCCGGACTTCCAGGACACTGGGTGTCACTGGGGAACTGTGGGTTTGGGATCTGCATCTCAGGACCACGACAGAGACTCAGGGAGGCCTTTAGGGACGCGGGTAGGTACCTGGTGGCTCGCAGGGAAACCCAGCAACGTAAGATGCTTTGGGTCTATTGAGAACTCGGTTTGAAGGTGCCTGAAATTTAGGAGTTTGAAAGTGCTTCTTGGGGCATCTGCAAAGACTTTTTTGGGGGGTCAAATCTGGCAATGCCTGAAGTGCTCAGGGGCCACTGCTGAGGTTCTGAGGGATCTTGTGGTCTGGAGGAGGCCGCCCAGGGCCTCCTGTCCTCTCCCCAGGCCCCTGGAGTTTTGGGGTCTCTTAATAGGTGTTTTTCTTGTGGGCACACACAGGCTTCTGTTGGCTGGAGGGTCGCTGTGGGACTTGGGACATGTTTCCAGACCTGCATGATGGGGGCTCTGATTGATTGAGACTGGGAACTTGGTGGGGGGGGAGATTCAGGTGCTGGGGAGGGGCCCCTGCGATGGGGTTAGCCTTTGGGATCCCGTGGGTCAGGTGGCTTACTTTATTGCTTCCCATGCTCTCCTTGACCCCAATTCCTGCCATCTTTCTGAAGTGCTCTCTGAGCTGCAAAGATGTGATATCTCCACCTGTTCTCCTCATGGCTTCATAGTGCCCGCTGTGGCTCCAGCCATCACATGCAGATGGTCATGTCACTGGGCAGAGGAGAAGGGGTACAGACTGCCACACTGTCTCACGCTGCAAAGCATGTGAGGGGCTGATGTGTCTGTAAGGTGGCTAGGCAGCGCTGGAGTGGCGGGAACAGGCAGGGCTGAGGGCAGCAGAGCCAGTTCCCAGTTGGTCTGGTGTCTGGGGAGGAGGGTTGGGGCAAGTAGGAGGAAGTGCTCCTAGACAGAGGGAGAGGTGCCAGGCCCTGTTGTGGGGGAAGAACCCTCAATGGACAAAGGTCAGCAGCAGCTGGGCAGCACCAGGAGAGGCCCCCTAGTAGGTACGGACTCATGGGCTGAGCCAGCCCCATCCAGGCTCTTCCTGAAGGACACAGGCTGTGGTCACGCCCCCACATCTGCTTGATGTCTCTGAGACCCACCCCAGCACCCCGCAGCTCCCCAGCCCCGCACAAGCCCTTTATCCGCTGGAGGGTCATTCACAGGTCAGGGGCGGGAGGTGCCAGGACTTGGACATGGCTCAGGGCCACGGTCACATCCAGTCTGACACACAGGTGGGGGTGAGGGAGCGGGGGATGGAGCCCAGACTTGGGGCCCCCACACCTTTTGGCCACGCATAGGGGGAAACAAGTAGGGAGTGTGGGCAGCAACTGGCACTGGCTCAGGGGACCCCACAACCAGAGCTGTCCTCTGGGTCTCCCTGCCCAGAATCCCTGTCTTGGCTCCTTCTCCCTGGGCCCTGCATGTCCCAGAGCCTGCCCACCCTCAGTGATGGCCCCGAGGCTGGGATGGCCGCTCTCGGCCACACCAGGAGGGGGCCTGGTCTCCATGCAGTTGTGTCCCCCTGCCTTAGAGGGGACAGACACGTGACCCTCCACCAGGGACCAGTGGTAAAGGAGCGAACTGAGAGTGGGAGGGACAGATAGAGGGGACAGAGGGGGACAGGATGGACTGGGGACAGAGAGGGAGATGGGACAGGGGGACACAGAGGGAGAGGGAACGGGGGACAGAGAGGGAAATGGGACAGGGGGACAGAGAGAGAGGGAGAGGGAGCAATTGCCCAGGGGCATGGGCTGGGCTTGATGCCGGGTGTGGCCCTGGCAGGGTGGTGGTGGCAGCTGCAGTGGGCACTGTCCTGGCAGAGAGGCCCTGGGGGGTGGAGGCGTGGGTGGCCGGGATGGGGTGCAGGGACCTGGGTGCCATGGAGGGGAGGAGAGAGGGGAGCGTGGGAGGAGGGGTGAGGGTGGGGAGCAGACCCAGCTGTGACTAGGTGGGGGGCCTGTGGGGAGGAGAGCGCTGTGTCACACAGCCTGGCAGCAGGACGGACTCTGGGTGCTGTTGGCAGGACAGGAAATGTTCATGGCTGGCTCCCCTCCTCCAGGGCACACACCCCAGCAGGCAGCTTGGGGACACAGTGCCCGACTTTGCTGGTACAGGTGGAGGGGACGGTCCCAGTGGGTGTCGGGGGTCAGATGTTCCAGCGTGAGGCCGCGCCCCCGACCCACCCGAGAACTGGGTCAGCTTCTGGGCTCTGTCCCCCCCTCCCAGGAGAGCTGCAGGCAGAGGGCACCCTGTACCCCCGGGTGACACATCCTTCCGCTCGCCCTCCCCACCCAGCGGCCTCTCCGTCCTACTCCGGGTGAGGCTGGAGCTGCGGCGCCACCAGCGCGCCGGCCACACCATCCCGGGCATCTTCCAGGCCGTGGCGCAGCGACAGCCGGAGCGCCTGGCGCTGGTGGACGCGGGCAGCGGGGCGCGCTGGACCTTTGCGCGCCTGGATGCCTACGCCAACGCCGTGGCCAACCTGTTCCGTCAGCGAGGCTTCGGGCCGGGCGACGTGGTGGCCGTGTTCGTGGAGGGCCGGCCGGAGTTCGTGGGGCTGTGGCTGGGCCTGGCCAAGGCGGGCGTGGAGGCGGCGCTGCTCAACGTGAACCTACGCCGGGAGCCGCTGGCCTTCTGCCTGGGCACGTCGGGCGCCAAGGCCCTGGTCTTCGGCGCGGAGCTAGCGGAGGGTGAGGTGGGCGCGGGGCGCGGGGGAGGTGGCGGCGGTGAGGGGCGCCCGCCCAGCCACGCCTCACCGTCCCCATTTCCTGGGCTCCTGGTCCGCAGCGGTGGCCGAGGTCAGCGCGCAGCTGGGCAAGAGCCTGACCAAGTTCTGCACGGGAGAGCCAGGGCCTGAGGGTGGCCTGTCGGACGCCCAGCTCTTGGACCCGCTGCTGCTCGGCGCGTCCACCGAGGCCCCCGCGCAGCCCGCGGGCAAGGGCATGGACGGTGAGTGGGGGGACACACCCCGCCGGGCCGCCCAGACCCCGCCCCCACTGCCCAGACCCCACCCCATCACCACATTTCCCCAGATCGGCTGTTCTACATCTACACCTCGGGGACCACGGGGCTGCCCAAGGCCGCCATCATCGTCCACAGCAGGTGAGGGCCCTGCGGGGCGCGACCCCCGCCCCCACCCCCCCCAGGACTCTGGGTTGCCGAGACCCCCGCGCTGCTCCCCACCCCGCACAACTACCCAAGTTCCTAGGCCCCTCTCCCTGACTGCCCCGGGTAATCCCTCGACCTACTTAGACCGTGGACAGGCACCTCTTCCAGGAGCCCCTCGCCAGCTCGCCCCTCGCAGTATCCTCGCACTCCTGGCCGCCCCGCAGCACCCGCTGCCACTCTCTGCTGCTGCCCGCAGGTACTACCGCATCGCGGCCTTTGGCCACCACGCCTACAGCATGAACCAGGCCGACGTGCTGTACAACTGCCTGCCCCTGTACCACTCTGCAGGTACGGCGAGGCAGGCGGGGGGTGGTGCGGCGCCCGCGACCCCTCACCCGGTGCGTCTCCGCAGGGAACATCATGGGCGTGGGCCAGTGTCTCCTCTATGGGCAGACCGTGGTCCTCCGCAAGAAGTTCTCGGCCAGCCGCTTCTGGGACGACTGCGTCCAGTTCAACTGCACGGTCAGGCCCCCACCCGAGTCCTGCCCCTCCGAGTCCCGCCCCCCACTCGCCCTTGCCCCTGCCCTCCCACCTGAGCCTGCCCATCCACCCCCTCCTGATTCCCTCCTCAAGGCCCCACCTCTCCCGAGGTCCTGCCCTCCCCGATGCCCCGCCTGAAGACCCTCCCCCTCCTTATGCCCAGGCCTCTCCTGATGCCCAGGCCTCTCCTGATGCCCAGGCCTCTCCTGATGCCCCGCCCTCTCCTGAGGTCCCGCTCTCTCCCTATATCCCGCCCATGCCCCGCCTCTCCTGATGCCACGCCTTCTTCCGATGCCCCGCCCTTCACCGATGCTCCGCCCCTCCCGATGTCCCGCCCTCTCCCAATGACCCGCCCCTCCCCTGTGCACCAACCTCTCGATGCTCTGCCCCTTCACTCCCCAAGCTCCTCCCCTCCAGTGCCCTGATGCTCTACCCCTCCCTGCTGCCCCTCCTCTCCCTGAGTTTCTGCCTCTCCTCCGAGGCCCCACCTCTTCCAAATGCTCTGTCCTTTCCCCATGCCCACTCTTCCTCTGCTGCTCGGCTCCTGCCCCAGTGCTCCACCTCTCCACCTACCCCCCTACCCTTAAGTACCACTCCTGCATCAATGTCGTTCCCTTTGGTGCTCCAACCCCTCTGCCTGTGCCCCATCCCGAGACCCCACCCCTTAGCTTGTAACCCTCGTTGTGCCACTGACACCGCTGCTCCCTCCCCCCCATGGTCGCCCTTCTGGCTGGCTAGGCGCTGAGAAGCTGCCTGTGGCTCTTTGTGAAAGATGGGTGCAGCCAAGGCGAGGTGGGGGTCCTCAGCTATGCAGGGGAGCAGGAGGGTCACCCTGTGCCCCTGCAGTGAAAGGAAACGGGCTCAGAATTTGGACATGAAGGTGTCTCAGAGCGCTGAGTCGATCACCTCTCAGGGGAGAGGAGTGCCACTGTGTGGAGAGGACCAGAGAGGTTTATCAGCCTCCCCAGATCACACAGCGGTGTAGAGCAGGGTTCTGGGCTGGGCCTCCAGAGGACCCCACACTGTGTGGAGGGGCTGAAATTCTGCTTGGGGAGGAGATTCTCGGGGAAACACTAGTCTGAATTTTGGAGTATAAGAAGGCTGGTCTTCAAAACGGAATGATGTGGGTCTGGAGAGGTAGTATGGTGTAAGGCACTTGCCTTGCGTGTGGCCAACTCAGTTTGATCCTGGGCAGTGCATATGACCCTGAGCACCACTGGGAATGATCACCGAGTACCCCCAAGTTCCCCCACCCCCCAAAGAAAAAGTCCATCTGGAAGCAACTGGAATTACAAAGCTTCAAATATGTATTCATGGAGCTAGGAATGACCAGGGACCCCAGCACCTCCCAGCTCCCCCACGCCCCTGTTACTGTAAGCGGTTCCAGGTGCCAGAGGATTTCCTGCCCAGATGTTTCTGGAAAACCACTCACAGCATCGTTTTCCTTCCAAGTGGAGGTGCAGTTCCCACGAGGAGCCATTTGTAGTGGGCAGTTCTGGGCTGTCAGCCACAGACTTGGGTCGGGCCACCACCAACTCCATGTAGTTCCAGAAGGAGCTCTGGCCCAGTTTCCTCCCCTCAATCCCTTAGTCCCCCACTTTCTGGACGTTTTCCTGGATTTTGTACATTTTTGGTAAGGACTTGTGGGGGGGGGGGAAGATTTTGAAAGTCTGAATGGGCCAGAGATAGTTCAGTGGGGAAGGCACTTGCCTTGCATTGCCAGCACCCCATATGATCCCCCTGAGTCCCCAGGAATGATCCTTGAGCACGGAGCCAGGAGTAAACCCTGAGCACCGGTGACTGTGGCCCCCCAAACAAAACAAAAATGACAAGTCTATGAAGAGCTGTATCGCGCGCACTGTACGCATAGGCACCCCCATGTCTGTGGAGGCAGAAGAGGTGTTTGTGAGCCCCTGAACGAGTGGACTAAGGGGCAGGCTGCGGGAGGGGAGACGGAAGGTTCTAGATGGTGGTGGGGAAGGTTGCATGGCCATGTGAGGTACCCATGCCCTGAGCCAGGCCCAGGACACATGGTGCGTTTGCACACATGTGCACACACACATGTGTACGTATGTGCACACACACTCATGAGCAAATGTCAGTTCAGTATCATCACAGCAGGGGGACTGTGATGGCGGGGTGGGAGCCTGCGGAAGCCCTTAGGGTCCTGCTTTCCAAGGGCACTGCCTGTGGGGAGAGGTTCCCAGCCCTCCACGGCTGTGGTGCTCCTGGCTCCCGCCCCCAGGCTTCCCTGCTGTCTGCCCCATCTGGAGACTGCCAGGGGCCCCTTCTGCACTCTGCCCCCCTCGCCCCCCACTGTCAGGGCCGGGCGGAAGCAGGCGGCAGCTGTTGGCTCCCAGTGCTTGGCGGTGGCCTTGGGCCACAAGGGCGTCATTGTCACCCTTGGCCACCCCTCCCTGGCCTGGTTTCTAAGGAGGACAGGGAGAGCTGCCCAGAGCTTGGCTGGGTCCCTGCAGGCGAGGGACAGGGCACTGTCAGGAGCCCCAGCCCTAACCTGCGCGTGGCTTTCAGAAACAGATTTGTCAAGTGGCTGAGGCTGGATGACCCTCCATGTGTTCCTCCTGTCCCCGGCCTTGCTCAGGGGGTGCTGCCATCCCCCTTCCAGTCTCTCCAGGGCTATTCCCAGCAGCTGCTATAGGTCCAGACCCTCAGGGCTGATTCTCCATGGACTAGCTTGTTTTTTTGTGTGTGTGTGGTGTTTTTCTTTTCTTTTTTTTTTTTTTTTTGCTCTTTGGGTCACACCTGGTGATGCACAGGGGTTACTCCTGGCTCTGCACTCAGGAATTACTCCTGGCGGTGCTCAGGGAACCATATGGATGCTGGGAATCGAACCTGGGTCAGCCGCGTGCAAGGCAAACACTCTACCCGCTGTGCTATCGCTCCGGCCTTTCGTGGCCCAACTTGGGCACATCCACCCTCTCACCAGCGGGGGACTGCACTGGGTTGGTCAGCCAGACTGTGCCCATGCTGTCCCAGAGCGGGAGGAGGTGGCTGCAAGTGGGGCAGGGGCGCAGATAGGGATTTGTGCGGGTGGGGGCAGCTGGGCTGGGGCCACTGTGGGTGATCAGGGCAGCAGAGGACTTCAGGCAGATCTGGAGGGTGTCCAGACCCAGGCCTGACTGCCTCAGTTTCGCCAGCTGCAGAATGGGGAGGGTGGCCATCGGATGCCCAGAGATGAGTGCAGAGCACCTGGGGATCAGTAGGTGGCCTCAGGAGACAAGGGGCAGCTGAGCTGGCTGACGTGTGGGTCACGGGTCGTCCTGCTTCAGGGTCCAGGGTCCACTGGTGGTGTCAGCTGTGCCTCCCCAGGAGCCCTGCGCCCAGGGAACAGCTGGGGGCCAGAGCCTGGGCTCTGCCCACACGGTGGGGTGGGCCTGTCCTGGGCTGCTGGCAGGCTCTTGTCGGCTGCCCATGGCCCACGCTGCCCCCGCTCCAGGTGGTCCAGTACATCGGGGAGATTTGCCGCTACCTGCTGCGGCAGCCTGTTCGCGAGGCCGAGGGCCAGCACCGCGTGCGCCTGGCTGTGGGCAACGGGCTGCGGCCGGCCATCTGGGAGGAGTTCAGCGAGCGCTTTGGGGTGCGCCAGATTGGCGAGTTCTACGGCGCCACCGAGTGCAACTGCAGCATTGCCAACATGGACGGCAAGGTGGGCGCGGCCGGGTGCCCCCACCCCACCCTAGGGCTCTGGCCGCTCCCGCTACCTCCCGGGAACGTGGGGAATCGGGACGCTGAGAGGCCAAGAGCAGGTCGCATAGGATCCTTCCAAGGGGCAAGTCCCTTGGCCTTGCGGCTTCCTCTGTAAGAGGGGGTGGCTCCTAGTGACCCCAGGAAGTGGACGCAGACCAGCCCCACCCCTCACTTCCTTTTCTTCAAAGGAGAAAAGCAATCCCCGCCCTGGGCAGCATCTGGACTGACCAGGTCCATCTGCAGAATGGACAGATGGACAGACGCTAGCCAGGACTTGGATTACTCTTGCCCTTCCTCCTTTTTTTAAAAAAATTATTTTTATTTATTTTTATTTTTAATTTTTATTAGTGAAACACCATGAGATACAGTTGTAGACTTACAGATTTTTGTACCCTTCCTCCTTTTTCTTTCCTGCTTGCTTTTTTCTTTTAATCGGGCCACATCCGGCTGTGTTCAGGGCTTACTCCTGGCCATGCACTTGGGGATCACTCCCTGTGATGCTCAGGTACCATATGGGATGCCCACGATCAACCGAGCCTGGCCGCTTGCAAGGAAAGTGCCGGCCCCGCAGTGCTATGACTCTGGTCCCTGTCTTTCTCCTTCACATCCTGCCCCACCTCCTCATCAGATGTTACAGTGACCATGCACTAGGGACTATTTTCTCTTCCACCTGGCACCGGCCTGGGTACCCCGCACCCCGTTCTCCAGGATCTTAGTAGCGGGGACACTCCAGGTGGGGTGTGGGCTGGCTGGGGTGGGGAGCAGCCACAAGCCTCAGGGGTTGGGAGGGGGCGTTGAGGGACCAGACCCTGGAACAGGACCCCTCACTGCCCCTGGTCCCCCCTCAGGTGGGTGCCTGTGGCTTCAACAGTCGCATCCTGCCGCACGTGTACCCCATCCGGCTGGTGAAGGTGAACGAGGACACCATGGAGCCGCAGCGGGATGCTCAGGGCCTCTGCATCCCCTGCCAGGCGGGTGAGCGGCCCCGCACCCCGCCCCGCCCCGCGGCCCCGCCCCTATCCCCGCCCCGCACCCCCCAGCCCTGCCTGCGCCTCCCGCAGGGGAGCCCGGCCTCCTGGTGGGCCAGATCAACCAGCAGGACCCGTTGCGGCGCTTCGACGGCTACATGAGTGAGAGCGCCACCAGCAAGAAAGTGGCACACAGCGTGTTCCGCAAGGGGGACAGCGCCTACCTGTCAGGTGCGGCGTGGTCAGCAGGGGTGGGGTGCCCGGCCCCGGCGCCCCACCGACACCCTCCCTGCCTGCCCCCAGGTGACGTGCTGGTGATGGACGAACTGGGCTACATGTACTTCCGCGACCGCGGCGGGGACACGTTCCGTTGGCGTGGGGAGAACGTGTCCACCACCGAGGTGGAGGCCGTGCTCAGCCGCCTGCTGGGCCAGACCGATGTGGCAGTGTACGGCGTGGCTGTGCCAGGTAGGTGGCTTGTCGCCGGGCACACACCGCCATGACCCCCTGCCTAGGAACTCCGGGGGGCTCGCAGAAGCTGGGGAGCAGGCTTCGTGGCAGCTGGAAAGGTCGGGGACCCCTACAGGGGAGGGTGACTGGGGGTGGGTCGAGACGTGGTCAAGCCAACCCTTTGCCCGCAGGAGTGGAGGGCAAAGCTGGCATGGCGGCTATCGCAGACCCCCTGGGCCAGCTGCACCCCAACGAGCTCTACCAGGAGATGCAGAAGGTCCTGGCACCTTACGCCCGCCCCATCTTCCTGCGCCTCTTGCCGCAGGTGGACACGACAGGTACGGCCCGTGCCCCTCTCTGCTCCCTGGTCCATTCAGGCTCAGCACCCTGGCCCCGATTTCTCCCTGAAGGTCCCCCCACTCATTGAGCTCCTGGTCCCCCACAATAGCAAACACAGTAGCACAACTCCCCAAAATTTTACGTGGGGCGGGTGGGGGGGGGGGCTGGAGCGATAGCACAGTGGGTAGGGCGTTTGCCTTGCACTCGGCTGACCCGGGTTCGATTCCCAGCATCCCATATGGTCCTCTGAGCACTGCCATAAGTAACTCCTGAGTGCAGAGCCAGGAGTAACCCCCTGTGCATTGCCAGGTGTGACCCAAAAAGAAAAAAAAAATCATACAGGGGAGGGAGGGCAAATTTGGCGCTTGGGTTCTAGTTTGCTCAGCCCGACCTCGAAGGTAGCAGGCGCACCCCTGTGCCCAGGCAGGGGCGGGCGGGGCTTCAGGAGATGAGAGGGGCAGCTGGGGGTGGAAGAGTGGATGACAGACGGGGAGGGCAGCTCCTGGCAGAGGTGGAACGGGCCTGCGCAGAAGCCTGGGGGTACAGGGGACTCGGGGCTAGAGTCATGCTCCCCGTCCCCGCCAGGCACCTTCAAGATCCAGAAGACGCGGCTGCAGCACGAGGGCTTCGACCCCCGCCAGACCTCGGACCGGCTCTTCTTCTTGGACCTGAAACAGGGCCACTACCTGCCGCTGGACCAGGCGGTCTACACGCGCATCTGCGCAGGCGCCTTCGCTCTGTGACGCCTCCTTCGCAGGCCCTGTCCCGCCCCCCTGTGCCCGGATAGTCCCCTGCCCTGCTCTGAGGGCAGCCCCGCCTGCGACTGGGGACGAGTCCTCCTTTGCACCCCTGTGTGCCGCCATCCCCTCTCCCTGAACCTCTCCTGGGCTCTCAGCCAGCGAATGGCAGTTCCAGGTTGCAGGGACTGTGAGAGGTTCACAGAGGGGCCTCCCCCCTCCCAGCTGTGCCTTAAGCAGCCCTTCCCAGGGTTTCTGGGTTCCCAGGCATCGGGCCCCCTGAATCTCCACTGCAGAGCCAGGAGCTGGAGGGGGACTAGCCCTCATGGGTTGCAGGGGACAAGAGACGTCCAGACTGGGTCAAGGGTCTGCAGGCCCCCCTGCTCCAGCTGACTTCTTGGCGCCCCAGAAGCTTCCAGACTATAGCCCTCATGTCTCCCTGCCTCGGGGTCTCCATGCAGCTCCCACCAGGGGACCCTGGTTCGCCCCCTAGCACGCCCCAGTCCTACGTGTCTGCCCTCGGCCTGTGCAGGCAGTAAGGTGTAGGGGCTTGACCGCTGGAAATGTCCCCGCTGATCTTCCGGGGGACAGCTGGAGCCTTGGGCCGTCCCCAGCCCCTCCGGCGGCGTGGTGGCGGCTTGCTGGAGATTGGGACCTGCCACCGTGACCCGCAGCCCCCACTCCCCAGGCAGCGGAGATAACGGGGCCACCACCCAGTTCCGAGGCTGTTTCCTAGTTCAGATTTTGAAATAAAGCAGGCACGGAGTGATGCCACTGGGGAGCAGAACCCTTCTCTGTCCAGGTCTGGGACCTGTCCAGCACTGGGCTGGCAGCAGTGGGTCAGCAAAGGGATGTGGCCATGGGCAGGGCACCTGGGCCAGGGGGCGGGCCTTGTCTGTTGGGGTTTGGGGTACTGCAGCGGCGGACAGTTCATGGGGAGGCGTCGCCGTGGAGTGGCCCGTGGGGAGGGCGTTGTCCCTCCGCGGGTGTCCGCGTGGTCACCGAAATAGTCGGGAAGGCACGGGGCGGCTGGTGAAGGCGTGGGAGGGAGGTCCCCAGAGCCTGTGGCCGTGGCCACCTAGGCATCACCGCCCCTTGAGGGTAGAGGGGAGTGCGGGGTGCAGCGAGTGTCCAAAGCCCAGGGCTGATCCTGTGGGGGTCCTTGTACTGGACTTCCTGGGTTGCCTGTAGCCCCCGCGGTTCCATCCCGTGCCCCGTCCCTGCCAACAACACTGCTCCCCAGCTCTTGGGGCACGGGTCTCTCAATTTCCCTGACCACGTGGGACTCACAATTTAGAGGCAGCAAGAGAATTGTGCTGGGCGGCTCAGGGCCTGCAAACAGAACGGGAGGGGCGGGCGGGTCGTCCCCGCCCCACCCCGCCCCGGCCCCGCCCCGGCCCCGCCCGGCCGCGCTCGGGCTTCGCGGCACCCAGGGCGCAGGCGCGGCCCACGGCGCAGGCGCGGCGGCCAGGCCGGACGCGCTTCCCTGTCCGCGTCGCCATGGCCGCGCCGGCCCCGGGTCTCATCTCGGTCTTCTCCAGCCCGCAGGAGCTGGGCGCGTCGCTGGCGCAGCTGGTGGCGCAGCGGGCGGCGTGCTGCCTGGCGGGGGCCCGCGCGCGCTTCGCGCTCGGCCTGTCGGGCGGCAGCCTGGTGTCCATGCTGGCCCGCGAGCTGCCCGCCGCCGCCGCCGCCGCCGGGCCCGCCAGCCTGGAGCGCTGGACGCTGGGCTTCTGCGACGAGCGCCTCGTGCCCTTCGAGCACGCCGAGAGCACGTACGGCCTCTACCGGGTGAGCACCCTAGGGCCGGCGGCGGCGAGGGCGCGCGCCTTTCCCCAGGCGGGTGCTCGGATCCCGAGATTGCCCGCCCCACGCTCCGCTCTGCAGCGATGGGGACACTGAGGCCCGAGGACGGGAGTCGTGACCAGTGTGTGGGGCAGGGCCCGAGAAGCGGCCCAGTACCTGCTTGCGCCCTGGGGTGGACTTCGGAGAAGTCCCGCAGAGAAGGGGAAACGCTTGTCACCGAGCCCGTGCAAGTGTGGACCACGACCGAGATCGCGGAGCTGCCCGAGGGTGCTGTGCTGCGCCCCTTCCACACACCCTTCTGTGACTCTTTGTCTCTGTTCCCTGTTGGGCCTAGCAGGACGCCCGTGGGATCAGGGCGTCTCGTCCCACTTCCCTCTCCAGAGACCTGACCCCCTTCCGGGGTTCCCGGTGGACGTGAGCTTGGGGGACTGTTGGTCAGTCCATCCTGGGGAGGAGAGGTCCCACCTACCCTCGGTACATCTCTGCGCCCTCGGGCCAGGGGGACCCCCAGGTTTCTGGCTTTCTGGCTCCTAAGAAGGGGTTAGCACAGGTGACAGAGTAGAAATGCGAAGGTGAAAGGTGAGCTGGTGAAAGCCCTGGCAGCACAAGTGCTTCCGGGGAAAACCTGTCTGTCCACTTCTCAGAACCTGCCCGCCCGCCTGCTGTGCTTTCAAGGGGCTTGTCCCTGATGCTTGTCCAGGAGAAGGGGGCGTGTCACGGGAAGGGACTCAAGCATGGGGCGGGCCAATGGGGGTGCGCGTAGGGGCGTGTCTAGAGAGTGGGCGTGCGCTTGGACACGTGTCCACAGATCAGGCTGAGTATGCAACGTGGGAAAGTGTGTCCCTGGGAAGTTCCAGGCTGCGCCCCATCCCCTGCTCCTCTTGCTCCCTGGCCCCCCATTGCCTGCACCCCCAGGGCAGTGTATCTATTGGCTCAGGCCCGGGAATCTGGAGTGGAGCCCCCCCACATCTCTGCTACCCTATCCCAGCACTCCTCCCAGGGTTTCTGCTCTTCTGCTGAGTCCTCAAAGCCCCCAAGTTTGCCATCCTGGGGCATGATAGCGGCAGCCTATGGGGGGGGCAGACTGGAGGGCTGCTAGGAGGAGGTGGCGTGAGGCAGGTGGAGAGGAGTTTTCCCAAGCCAGGCTGGCATTACGGTCCAGCTGGGGGTGCCCCCACTGCATGTTCCCAAGGGCGACGTGTCCCTGCTGTCCCCCCTTGCTGCAGACCCACCTGCTCTCCAAGCTGCCCATCCCCGAGAGCCAAGTGCTCACTATTGATCCACAGCTGCCTGTGGAGGTGGCCGCCGAGGACTATGCCCAGAAGCTGCGACAGGTGAGCGCCATCCCCCCCCCCCCCCCCCCCGCTGTGCGGTCCCAGAACAAACACCCAGAGCCGCAGTGCAATCCCCAGGGCGTGGTCCACAGAAACGCCCCTGGAGCTGTCGTGTTGCCCTGGGTCCAGCTGCCCATGGCCATGTCTGGGGTCCCCCTGCCAGAGCCCTCCGGCCCGTGGGCACCAGCCCGTCTTTCCCTCATGGTGTCCTCTGGGCCTCCTTCCCCTACTGCCCATGCAGGCCTTCCTAGGAGACTCCATCCCGGTGTTCGACCTCCTGATCCTGGGCGTGGGTCCCGATGGCCACACCTGCTCGCTCTTCCCAGACCACCCGCTCCTGCAAGTGAGTGCTCCCTCTTGCCCTCTGGCCTCCGGCAGACTGAGAGACCAGCTGGGGCCAAGCTAGCCCTGCCACAGAGGTGACTTGCGGGTGCCAGGCCGTCACAGTTGGGAGCCACCTATGGGCCTGAAACCTCTAGAAAGAACCAGGGCCCCAGGCTTAACTCCTGCCAGCCACAATTTATCCACCTTGAAAAGAGCCTTGAAGTTAGCACAGGCCCCGGGCAGGCCTCTCGTGGTGACTGTTGCCCTGCGCCCCCCATCAGGAGCGGGAGAAGATCGTGGCCCCCATCAGTGACTCCCCGAAGCCGCCCCCACAGCGTGTGACCCTGACACTCCCGGTGCTGAATGCTGCCCGCACAGTCATCTTCGTGGCCACCGGCGAGGGCAAGGCTGCCGTCCTCAAGGTAACGGGTGGAAAAGGGAAGAGCAAAAGAAAAAGCAGAACTGGAGCCTTGGCACAGCAGGGAGGGTGCTTGCCCTGCACCCGGCCAGCCAGGCTCATCCCCGGCACTCCATACAGTTCCTCAAGCCCCGAGCACAGAGACAGGAGTCAGCCCTGAGCACCGTTGGTGTGGCCTGGCTGTGCCAACTCCTCCCCCTCCCCGCCCCCCGAATCTCAGCACCGCCCCCCCATCAGAGTGTGTCCCAGCCTCCATTCCCACAAGGTTTCCGTTTCTTTCGAGTGTGCCCCCGTTTCGCGGTGGGGGCTATCGGTGGGCCCTGGGCCGCTGGGGCTCACAGCCAGCCCCGCCTCTCTGCACAGCGCATCCTGGAAGACAAGGAGGAGCGCCCCCTCCCGGCGGCGCTGGTCCAGCCGCACACAGGCAAGCTCTGCTGGTTCCTGGACGAGGCCGCCGCCCGGCTCCTCACCGTGCCCTTCGAGAAGCATTCCACCTTGTAGCTGGCCCTAGGGGGCCGCGCCAGGACCAAACAGAGCCTGCTGATCCCCACGATCACGCCGGGCCCTGCGGCCTCTGCCCCAGGGGCCATCATCAGGTGCTTTTCTGCAGAGCCTCTGGGGCGACCCGCAGGCCTACACACCGGGGAGTATTAAACAGCCTTGGCTTGAAGTCTCCCTCCTGTCCCAGTGGTCCTTTCGCACAGCCGGGTGACTCCCTGACAGCCTGAACCGGCCACCTCTGCCCCCCCCCCAGAGAGTGGGGTGGGTGTGGTGTGGGTAGGGCCCAGGGCGGGGCAAGGCGGGGGTGGGGCCTTGCAGGGCCAGGCCATGACAGCTGGATGCCACGCACTGAGGCTTGAAACTTCTAGAATAAACCAGGATTCAAGTGCCCAGAGACAAGATGGAGTTTCTGGGGTGCCCCAGCCCAGGCAGACAGGTCCAGGGCCTTAGAGTCACCTGGGCAGAGACTCTTATTCCAGCAAGGCCGCACCCAGGGCTTCTGGGGACGTAAGTGTGAGCATCCCAGACCACCATTATCCCTGTGGCTCCCCCACCATCTAGAACTTTCTGTCTCCCCTGCTGGAACTTCATCCCCAGGATGCACTGTGCCTCTCCCTCAGCCATCTCCCCGCTGCTCCTCTTGAGGAGACCACCTTGGCAGCCTCAGGAGGGGTCCCACAGGACCTCCCAGCATCAGTGTCAGGCCTGCCATGCCAGGGGCTCGTGGTGACCATGTGCTTGTCCCTGATCGGGGGGATCCAGGACCCCATGTGCCAACATCCTTGAGTCGCCTGGTCAGGAATACAGGGTCATACATCTCTCTCTCTTTTTTTTTCTTTTTGGGTCACACCCAGCGATGCTCAAGGGTTATTCCTGGCTCTGCACTCAGGAATTACTCCTGGCAGTGCTTGGGGGACCATATGGGATGCTGGGAATAGAACCCAGGTCGGCCGCGTGCAAGGCAAGCGCCCTACCTGCTGTACTATCACTCCAGCCTCAGGGTCATATATCTCTTAAAGACCCTGCGGTGGCGTGACTGACCTCCGGGGGGGGGGGGGGGGGTGGTGTATGGGATTTTCCAGAAGAGCTGGGCTGCAGGTGTGCAGGACCCTGGGGGGGCACCAAGAAGATCCTCATGACCAGTCAGGGCCTCAGATATGCCCTCCCATGCCCCCAACCCCCTATGCTTCCCTTCAGCGTGACCCACTTTCTTGCGGCCCGCAAGCCCCCAGCCCAAGGTGCCAGGCCATGCGATGCCGGGGGCCAGGCCCGAGCCTGGAGTGTGCAGGGCTGTGTCCTGCTTCAGCCTTTTCTCTTGTTTCATTTTGGGTTACATGCTGCAATGCTCGGGGTTCATGGTCTGCACTCAGGTCACTCCTGGTAGGCTTGGGGGTCCTGTGGGATGCCGGGCTGGCCAGCACCCTCCCCCGTGTCCTGTCACTTTAGCCCCTATTCATTTAAAAACAGAATCTGAAGTGCTGTTTCCCAGACCCGTGGGGGCTTCCCTTTCCCCCGGTGCACCTGGGCTCAGGTCCACACACCTGCCCACGCCTTCCGCATTTGGATGGAGGCGGGGGCCAGTCCCTGTGACCTTTACCTGTAGACACATGTGGCCTGTGTCCGGGGCCCTGCTTGGTGTCCTCAGGCTGAGTGCCAGAGCTGGCTCTCCCCGAGCTGCTGGTGGGCCCACAGCACTGGCCAGGCAGACCCAGGGTCTCGGCTGGACTGATGGGGCGGGCACTTCCATCCAGGAGGCCCAAGCAGGGGGATGGGGATCTTGAAAATCGAGACTGGGGGGGGAGGGGAAACCACAGAAAGTGAAGGTTCCGTCTACACCCTGTGGCACATGACCAGGAGGAAGTGGACAGGCTGCAGGAACAACAGCCAACGCTTGAGTGGCTGCAGGTGTGCAGGACCCTGAGGGGCACCAAGAAGACCCTCGTGACCAGTCAGGGCTTCGGATGTTCCCTCCCGTGCCCCCAACCCCTGCGTTTCCCTTCAGCATGACCCACTTTCTTGTGGCCTGCAAGCCCCCAGCACCCGCACCTATGTCTAGTCATGGAGGGAGTCCCCCCTGCACGCTGCGCCCTGAGTCGCCCACCTCCAGCCCTTGACACCGCCTGTCCCCTTCCCACCCCTCCCTTTCCTTTCCGTTCTCTCTTCCTCCTTGGGGTCCCAGGAGGGTGGGTGGGTGCTCAGTGTGTCCCACGCTGGCTGCACCAAGCTTAGGGCTGGTAGAGGCTGCAGATTTAGACTCTGGGACAGGGACAGTGGGAGGTTTCTGGGTGCTTAGGTCCAAGAATGTTTCTTTCCTGACTAGAGTGAAAGTCACCCATGGTAGCATTGCCATGAGCTCATTTGGGACCCTGGTTTGCCCAACCCCATTCCAGGACTGCCCTTGTTGTTAAGATGACTGTCACCTCATGGCACAAGGTGACTGCTTGTGCTCCAGCCCTCACATCCATGTTCCGGCCCCAGGAACTTCCTTCAGTGAGACCAGCCCCATTAATCACATTTCAATATGAGTGCAGGCTCCCCTCCTTCCTTCCATTCTTACTTTGCCAAACACTCAAGGATATTCTATCCTGGGCCTTGGGAAGGGGTGAGGAGACCCATTTCTCTCATCACATTTCTGGTAAAAGTTGGACTGGAACAGCAGTCCAGGGCCTGCCTACACCTGTCCCCTGTTGCAGATCTGACAGCTGACACTGGGGTGTTTGTGGGTGTCCGGTTCTGTCTTCAGTCTGGCGGCCCCTAGGGAGCTGGGCCAGGCTAGACCCTCTGAAGACCCAGCAACCCCCAGCAGAGGCCAGTGCAGGGGGCTTGGCGGGGAGATCGCTGCTCTATCATTGACCCGCCTCGCTGCTTCCCACACCAACCACAGCTCCCCAATCCTGCCAGGTGTTTGCCCCACTTCCCTTCTCCAGCACTAGCCGAAACTTGGTCGGCCCCACCCACTCCGCCCCTGGGGCTTCCCCTGCTACAAAAGCCACCAGCTGGGGACCTATGCCGTGAGCCTGCAGTGGAGCGCGAAGGCTTAGGGGGCGTGGCTTGATGATGCAGGGGCGTGGCGTGAGTGGCGTGGCTTCTTATCCCCAGTAGAAGCTGGTCTCCCGGCACTGGAACCCCTCACACCCCGCCTGCTCCTAGTGAGGGTCCTCTGGGCCGCGAGGAGGACACGCCCGGCGCGGCAGCAGGATGGGTGGGCGATCCTCCAGCCCTCTGGACAAGCAACAGCAGCAGGACCTGAGGGGTGAGCGGAGGCGGGGATGTGGGTGGGTTCAGTGCCGGGTCGCTGTTCCTGCCGGGTAAGCAAGGAATACCTGAAGTATTTAATGTCCCACGTTTTGCACAAAGCAGTGCTTTTATGAAACTTTTTCCCCTTTTATTTCCCTCTGATTCACTTTCCACTGGTATCCCTTTTTATTGAGAAAGTTTTTATTTGGTAATTTTTTTGGGGGGGGCTTTTTAGGTCACATCTGGCGATGCACAGGGGTTACTACTGGCTCTGTACTCAGGAGTTACTCCTGGCGGTGCTCAGGAAACCATATGGGATGCTGGGAATCAAACCCGGGTCGGCCACATGCAACACAAACGCCCTACCCGCTGTGCTATCTCTCCAGCCCCTTTATTTGGTAAATTTGATGATCTACTCAGGGCACGGGTTTGAGTCGAGGCTTTGGGGCCAGATGGTCCCAGACCCAGGCAGCTCTTCTGCAGAGACTCCAAGTGGGAAGGAACTCTCTGGGGCCTCAAAGACCAGACTGTTTCCAATTTGAAACAGAGGGACTGGTCCTCTGCATCCTGCACACAAAGCTGCTGGATGCTGGGGTACACCGTGGAGTAGGTGTCCCCACCTGTGTGAGCTCAAAGTTCATACCAGAAAGATGGTGCAGGCACCTTCATGTGCATCAATTCAGAAAGTTTTCTCTAAGAAGAATCTGTAGCACTGTAGCACTGTCCTCATCGATTTGCTCAAGCAGGCCCAATACTGTCTCCATTGTGAGACTTGTTACTGTGTTTGGCATATTGAATGCTTCACGGGTAGCTTGCCAGGCTTTGCCGTGCGTGCGAGATACTCTCGATAGCTTGCCTGGCTCTCCAAAAGGGGTGGAGGAAATAAACCCGGCTCACGCAAGGCAAACACCCTACTGCTGTGCTATCGAGGATTTGTTATTTTTGTTGAGTGGCTTCACCTCTAGTATTTACTTCTCCTCCTAGAGTGAGGTACAGGGGTGTCATGCCAAAAAAAGACACCCTTACCCTTTCCCTCTCATCTTTTTGCTACATCAAGCTTTTGTGCCCCAGGCCACCACATGGCCCAGAAAAGTTGCAGGAGCTCCCACCATCAGGTCCACATTCCAGTCAGGCTAAACAGAGGTTTCACAGACAGTCATGCACACATGTTAAGAGAAAATCTCTGGGATCAAAACACTCCCACCCATCCCCACCTCCCTTGCACTTGGAGGGGATCTATTCCTAAAAGCTTTTGACAGTCTTTTAGGTAAGAGGTGTGAGAACACACTAAGGTAAGAGGTGTAATGGCTGTGTTCATGATTTCAGCAGTGACAGCTCTCAGGGTCACTCATGCATCCAAATTTCAGACTGCTTCAGGGGCTGGGGTGATAGCACAGTGGGTAGGGCGTTTGCCTTGCACGCAGCCCACCCGGGTTCGATTCCCAGCATTCCATAGGGTACCCTGAGCACTGTCAGGAGTGATTCCTGAGTGCAAAGCCAGGAGTAAGCCCTGAGCGTCGCCAGGTGTGACCCAAAAAGAAAAAAAAAATATTGCTTCAGACTGCTAAGGCTGCTGGGGTCAGAGTGGGTAGGCTGAGCCATGTCCAACTCCCAGTACCTCATATGGTCCCCTGAGCCCTGCCAGAAGTGGTCCCTGAGCACAGAGCCAGGAGCAAAACCCTGAGCACCGCCAGGTGTGGCTCCCTCATCCAAGAAAAAAATGTTTTAAAAAACAGGGAGAGGGGAGGAGAGTGGAGATTAAGCTGAGTGGCTGCCCCACATGGATGAAAAAAGGCTGGGGGACCCTGTGGCTGCTCCCTAACAGGTCAGCTTGCCCCTGTCATCCCTCCCCTTGTGCCCGCAGGCCGGGTGGACGCGCTGCTGAGAGACTTCCTACCCTGCTACCGCACACAGCTGGCTGCCTCCACCCTGCAGCATCTCTCCCGGGAACTGAGCCCCCAGGAGCCCCCCGTGTGCCAGCTGCTGAGGAGCAAAGTGGGTGCTTGCCAGTGCGGAGGGGGAGAGTCACGGCATCCAAGCGGGGCTTCCTCACGTCTGCTGGACCTGGGTGATCTGCTCCCCCCCACACTCACCGGGCTCCTCCAGGACACTGGCGCACCTGGACAGCGCACCACCCTGCCCTCTGGGTGCTAGTGTGATGGGGGAGCCACTCACCCGAGGCGCGGCGTCTGAGTTGGGGTCTGCGATCCCCACATTCCTCCCCGCTCCTTTGTCTCCTTGCTGAGGAGACCAAGAATGGATGAAGTGGGATGGGGACATAAAAGGGGATGTCACAGTCCAGGATGAATGAGGCGCCCCGAATGGGTATCTGGGTCACACTCACACCTCTGGCTGCGCCCCTCCCCTGCCTTCCACCCCTGCCTCCCCGACTGGACCCGCCCCTCTCACCTCTGGCCACGCCCTTCACTGGCTGTGACCACGCCCCTTATGCAAAAAGGCGGTCATCTTCCTTGTTCTGGCTCCGCCCCTTCTACCTCTGCCCCACCCCTCCTGTCAATATGACCACAAGCTTCCCAACCAGACTCCCGCCCTACTCCCATCTATGACCATGCCTCCTCACTCAAATTCTTTTTTTTTTTTTTTTGCTTTTTGGGGTCACGCCAAGCGATGGGCACAGGGGTTACTCCTGCCTCATACACGCAGGAATCACTCCTGGTGGTGCGCGGGGGACCATATGGGATGCTGGGAATCAAACCCGGGCCGGCCGCATGCAAGACAAACTCCCTACCCTCTGTATATCTCTTCAGCCCCCTCACTCAAATTCTGATCCCACCTCTTTCTGCCATTGACCCCGCCCCTTCTGTCTCTGCCCCCGCCCCCTTCCTTCCCAGAAGCTACCACGAGTGCGGGAGCATCGCGGAACCCTGACCCAACTCCGGGTCCGCCAGTTACAGTGGCATGAGATCTTCTGTGTGCTGCAAGGAGATGGTCGCCTGGAGTGGTTCAGCCACCGCGCGGTGAGTGACCGCCCCTCCACACACACGTCCACCCACCTTGAATTTGCATCCTGCTCCCTGCCAGACCCTCTGATCGCTTTTCAGTCCTTAGTAGGCTGGGTCAGGTGGGTAAACTGAGGCATGGGTAAACTCAGCCTGGGGCTGAGGTTGAACCCACTGCACTGGGCCAATCGCAGGTGTCTTGTCTGCCAGGGTGTGTGAGCACATGTACTGTGTATGTGTGTGTGTGTTTGCATATGTGTGTGCGTGTATACTCGTGTATGTGTACATCTGTGCACACGTGTGTGCATACACATATGTGTCTATGCAAGCATGTGTGTGCATGTGTGTACCTGTATGCATGTGTGTAGGTGTGCATGCTGAGTTACTGGCAGGGAGGGAGGGACAAGGTGCAGATGACGCCGTCCCCACAGTTGGGACATGGAGTTGAAACCCCCTTCTCATGGCTCCCTCATGTCATTTCTAGGAATATGAGAAGGGGGGGAGCCCGCTGGGCGGCGCGACCCTGACAGGATACACAGTGCTCACCTCCCAGCGTGAGTACCTCCGCCAGTTGGACGCTCTCTGCCGGGACCCCCTGGGTAAGGCTCTTTGTCTCCTAGCACCGATGGGGGGTGTCCCTGAGCCTGCTTCCCTGAACTCATCCACCAAGTACTGGTAGCACCTACACCCAGATGTGACACCTTAAAATACGTCCAGGTCCAGGCATTTCTCAGCAGCACCTGGGAGCAGCAGAGTGGCTAGGGGAGCCCCCAGCTCTAGTGAACCCCTCTGCCTGTCCTTCTCCTAGCCGCAGGGAGGCTCTACGGCCACCAGAGGGCGCCAGCCCACCAGGGTCGCTGGGAGCCAGAGTTAGCGTCCAGAGCGCGGTCAGTTACCTGCCGCGAGGTGAGAGGCTGGAGGCTTACCGCCCTCCTTCTGTTCTCAGGACACACCCCACAGGACCCCGACCCTTTCCTGGAGATGCCTGGAGCCTTCCCGCTGTTCCTGCATCATCCCTTCCGCCGGCACCTCTGCTTCTCGGCCACGTCGGCAGCTGCACAGCGGGCGTGGCGTCTGGCGCTGCAGGAGGGAATCCGACTTCGGGGCACAGGTGGGCCCCGGGACAGGTTAGGAGCCCTGAGACTCGGGGGCTGGGGCTGCTTGGCTCTGTCTGCAGAGGATGCCTGGCCTCGGGGTCCTGGGGAGTGTGTCCGGAATTCTGCAGCTGGATGAGAAGGAGTTTGGGGACCTGGCAGATAGGCTGAGGAAGGATTCCTGCTCCGGCGCTGGGGAGCTCGCCTGGGACTGAGGCGCCCCCGCACTCCCCAGTCCTGCAGCGGAGTCAGGCGCCTGCTGCTCAGGCCTTCCTGGACGCCGTCCGGCTCTACCAGCAGCACCGAGGCCAGTTTGGCGAGGACGACTTGACCCTGGGTTCGGATGCTGAGGTGAGTGGGCGCAGGGTCTGGGACTCTTAGGGATCACTAAGGCCACGCCCACTGCCCCGCCCTTGCCCCTCCCGCAGGTGCTGACCTCGGTGCTGATGCGGGAGCTGCTGCCCGTACTGCGTGCCCAGACCCTGCCTGGCCTGCGGGGTTCCGGTCGGGCCCGGGCCTTGGGCTGGACAGAGGTAGGCACCTGGCGGGTTGCTGGGCGAACAGATACGCTGGCTGTCCCTGGGCTGTTCGGCGGTCCCTGGACACCCAGGTTCCGCACTCCTCGGGACTCACACAGGGAAAAGGAAGGAGGACTGGGTGGCTGTGAGGTAGCTGCATCTGGCTTCCATCCTGCCCTGTCTGCTCTCTTGCAAACCTGGCCATTCTGGGGTCCTTTCTGATGACCCCGACAGCTTCTAGACGCAGTCCACGCTGCCGTGCTAGCAGGGACCTCTGGAGGCCTGCGCGCCTTCCAGCCTGAAAAGGACGAGCTGCTGGCGAATTTGGAGAGGACCCTCCGGCCCGACGTGGAGCAGATGCAGCAGCTACGGGCACGCGTGGCTGGGAGGCTGCAAGGTGCGGTCAGGGGCGGGGCCGTTGTGGGCGTGGTGTGAGCACGCAGAACGTGGGCTGAATGCTTGGTTGGATGAAGAACTTGAATAGGCAAAAAGGACGTGGCCTCATGGGTCCTGAGCAGACAAGGGCAAGTCAGGAGCCCGAGTTTCTAGGAATGAGGTGAGGCTGTAGGGCGTTGTCTTGTGGGCGTGGTTTGGCCATGAGGCGGGGCTGAATGCTTGATTGACGGACAGAGCGCAGCCTTGGGCGTGGCCTGAGTAGGGATGGGCCTGTAGGGCGTGGTTTTGGGGTGTGGCCTGATCCTGCAGGGGCGGGGCCGGGTGCTTGGATGAAAGCCCTGAATAGGCGGAAGGGACCTCTTGGGGCGTGGTCTTGTGGGGCTTGATCTTCATTGGCCGGGTAAGTCTAGAAGGTCCGCGGCCCGGGCGTGGACTGGGCTGATAGGGGCAGATCAGGAAACCCCAGCATCCGAGAGTGAGACAAGGCTTGGTGAGGAGAAAGGGTCGGGTGGGGAGGGGCAGGGCGAGAATCGCCGTGAGACCTGGTCAACCCCTCCGTGGACAATGCCTGTCCTAAGAAGACTTTGGTTTCTCTGCACTGGTTTTCTCATCTGTGAATGGTAGAAGCGGGCGCTCAGGGCTCTTGCACTTGCCCTCGCTAACCCCCTCGGGAAGGTCTAGTTTCCAGCACGCACCCCCTCTTTGGCGCGCACTTGGTGGTAGAGATCCAAGCAGCGTTTTCCCCTCGCAGGTCAGATCCAGGCTCCCCTGGAGGCCTGCCTGTGCCGGAACGTGGACTCGCAGCTGCCTCATGTCACGAAGAAGCTGCTGAGTACCGTGGAAGCTGCGCTGGGGGCGGTGCAGGCCCTTCTAACCCAGGGCATGGACCGGCTGCACCGCCACGTGCAGGGGGTTCGTGGGTGCCCCTCCGGTAGGCGGCTGCGCAAGGAGGTAAGAGCCGCCGGGCAGGCCGCAGGGCTGAGTGGGAACTGTGTATCTAGCTTGAAAAGCTCCCGGCTTGTTCTAGGCTTATGAAAAGTTCCCGGCATGTTCTAGGCTTTTGCCTTACGGAGGCCGCCACACGCTGATTAGGGGGCACAGTTTAATACAGGGGGTCAAACTTTCAGTAATACCCATCTGGAGCCACTTTCCCTCAGGGATCTCCTTCCCAAAGTCTTCCAGCCACAATTTCTTCTTCCTCTGCTGCTCACTGTCCCCCGTATGAAGTATGAGTTTAATATCCACTGTGCACCAGAAAGCCCCCAACTCCTTAAGTCTCTGCACTTCCTCCTGGAGAAGTCCTGGTCCCTTGCTACAGCCACGTCTCGCTTCTATCCTCACTGTGCCTGCTTGTCTGCTCCTGCCTTTTAGGTGGCTGGGGCAGAGTTCACTGAGGACCACTCTATCTCTGTGTCCCAAAGAGATCAGGTGGGGGTGAGGGGGCAGGAGTGCTCATTTCCCCTCAGTCATTCCAGCACCGTGTTTGCCCTTTTTTTAAAAAAAAAAACATTTTATTATTTTATGTCCACCTCAGCCAATCTCAGTTTTATTACACATTTTTGGGGACCACTGACATGAGGTGCGATTCCGCTGGTCTTCCCCCTTGGGGTGGATTATCTGGGTGTGTGTCCCCATCCCTGTTACTCCACAGACTGATGATGTTTGCCCACCCCACTGCCACTGGTGTGCAGGTTTACTCCTTTGGGGAGATGCCATGGGATCCAGAGCTAATGCAGAAGTGCTACCGGGAGGCTGAGCAGAACCGTGGGCGCCTGGGGCAGCTGACAGCACCATTTGGCTTCTCTGGGACTCAAAGCCTGGTGTTTGGGGTCCTGGATCTTGTGCAGCAGGTGAGTGGGGAAAGGAAGAGTGTTTCTGGGAGATGGTACAAGGGCACTTGAGCCCTGGCCGCCTCCCTGCTGAGGAGAGGGCCCCTAATGATGGCATGAGCCCCGGTGCTGAGGGAGAGTGGAGACTGGGGGTTAAAGGCAGCCGGGGCAGGGGCTCATCATGGCATCTCCTCCTGTAGCTCATGGCCGACGCCGTGGCCACCTTCCTGCAATTAGCGGACCAGTGCCTGAGCCCAGCCCTAGACTGTGACCAGGCTGCCGGTCAGCTGGAGAAAGTGCAGGGGCGCGTGCTAAAGGTGTGTGGGCAGAAAAGGGTTTGAGGAGCTGGAGCGATAGCACAGCGGGTAAGGGCGTTTGCCTTGCACGCGGCCAACCCGGGTTCGATTCCCAGCATCCCATAGGGTCCCCCGAGCACAGCCAGAAGTAATTCCTGAGTGCAGAGCCAGGAGAAACCCCCGAGCATCCTGGGTGTGACCAAAAAAAAAAAAAAAAAGAAAAAGGTTTTGACTGCGGGGTGGGGGTGGGGGCGCGTGGGGCGTGGCCTCTTGAGGGGAACCTGGGAGGGCGTGGCCTCCTCAGACCCAGTGGGAGGCGGCGTGGCTGAACAGAGAGGAGGGAAATAAGCCAGGTTGACAGGAGGCGTGGCTTCACATTGGACACGCCCACACCAGAACCGGAGTCTGTGGGCGTGGCTTATACGGGGCGTGGTCGTTGGGGGTGGTCTCCGGTTTTGCCCCAGACCCCAAGAGCTTGTCTTTGCAGAAGTTTCAGTCTGACAGTGGCTCAGCGCAGAGAAGCTTCGTCAGCGGGTGGCTGCTCCGCATCTTCTTGCCTTTCGTGCTGAGCCGGCTGGAGCCAAGCTGCAGAGTGGTAAGCAAGCTGGGGGACACACAGGCTGGACTCGAGGCATACCCCCAAAGTCCTAGTCTTTCTATAAAGACAGGAGCGCAGTGCCGGACAGCTATCTCCACTCTCTGAGACTTTTGTACTCTCTGCCCAGCGTTGGCTTAGGTGCTCTCTGGGGCACCACCATACCCTATGACTGTGCCCAGGTGACAAACGAGGCTGATTAACCTCAGAGATCCCCAATAGCGCAGGCTCCAGAGAAAAGGGAGGCAGCTGATGTGTGTGTGTGTGTGTGTGTGTGTGTGTGTGTGTGTGTGTGTGTGTGTGATGTCCCAGGTTGGCAGGGAGGCACTTCCTGAGATGAAAGTCAGGAGCAGTGCACCCAAGCCATGAGGGGGGCTGTGAGTCTCTATAGCATGTGCAAAGGCACTGAGGTAGGTCTGCTCTGGCATATTGGGGAAAGGTCATTACAGCAGTGCGGGTGGTGCATGTGAGGAGTGGGAAGGAGGTAGAGGAGGCTTTCGGGTCACACAGGGGTTGGTGGCACCAGGCAGGAAGTGCCACCAGGCTCATCTAGATAAAGTCAGGAGGTCCCTCTGGGACTCTTGCCCTGCCCTGCCTCATGTTTTCTCTTTACTTCATTCCCACAACAGTATGTGCTTAAAAGCCATATTAAAACTGGGGAAACCGCTGCTCGGGGCTGGGCCTGGGGTTGACAGTCCCCAGAGCACAGTCCCCGCAGCCCAGCCTGACCCACCCCTGCAGGAGCTGACTGAGTTTGAAGCGGAAATCCTGGCTGTGGGCAGCCCGGCCCTGACCATCAATGGGGTCTACGAGGAGCTTGTACGGGGGGTCCTGCTGCAGAGGATCGAAAGAGGTGAACCCCCAGCCGTAGCCCATTTGCTATGTGCTACCCACAGGACCCTGCCTACCCCCCTTCCTGTGAACCCAGGGGCTGAGCACTGCACCCAACAGGGGCAAGAGCCATAGGGCAGCAGGGAAGACACTCACCTTGCATACTGCCGCCGACCCCGAATCAAGCCCCAGCATCACCCATGAGCCCTGCTAGAAGCGATCCCTGAGCACAGAGCTAGGAGTAACCCCTGAGCACCACTGGGTGGGCTCCCTCCCCTGCAGATGGGCCTCACCGGCAGCTGCGGCTCTGGGCTCTGTCTCTGTTTCAGAGTTGACCAAGGCCCTCGGCGATGGTGACTACGCACTGGAGGCCTCCAGGGAGCAGGTGGCAGCAGGTGACACACTCACAGGGCCCCCAGGCCACGACTGTGAATTTGGGGACTGGGGAGACCCTGAGTCGGTGCACGGACGAGCACTCTGAGTCTTGTCAAGTTGGGAGCTGCTCTGGCTTGTTGCTTGGGGGCTGCCCCTAGGGGTGCTCAGGCTCAGGGTCATCCCGAACTGCCCATCCCCCCCGCCAGTCCCCAACTTGGTTTCTGAATGGCTGAGCAGGTGCTCCGTGTGGGTATCAGCCTCTCTGACCTCTGGGGGCCTTGTGACACTTTGCTTCTCACAGATGATGGAGTGAAGGCCTCTAGCAGGGCTGCCCCCTGCCTGCCCCGGGGGCGTTCCAGGACTGAAGGTCACGCCTCAGCCTTCACCCCTCTCGGCTTGAGGGGGAAGTTGGTTTGTGGAATTTCTGTGCCAGAACTTTCTCAGGACTCAGAGGCATTGACCTTCCACCCCAGCCCGTGATCCTCTTCTTACTAGACTGTGTCACTGCGGCATCCTGGGCCGAGCGTCGGGGTATGGGAATGGAATCCAGGTCTTTGGCGTGCAAGGGCAGAGCTCCCCACACTTCCTGTCCTGCTGCCTGCCCCCTCCCCCACACACAAGTAAAGGTTCTTTGTGTCCAGCAATTCTCTTCAGAGCAGACAAAACTCAGTGGACATGGGGTGGGCGGAGGCCAAGACTTCTGTCCACGCACTCCTTGGGACGCCTGGATCTGTGGCATGCTCTCCCAGGGGCCCCTGATCCTGGGACCCTTTCTAGGGCCTCTCTGCAGAGGCCAAGCAGGCAGCTGTCAGCGGGACAGGGCGGCCTGTCCCCATCACGAGCTCCAGCAGCTGTTTCCGGAGCCGGTTCCGGAGAGATCTCCCTGGCAATCTTCAGGGTGCTGGCAGCCAGGGGCCACTTCCTCCCACCCCAGGTGTCCAGCCCTCCCTTGGAGAAATGAGGGCTTCCTGCCCAGCGCCCTTTCCCCCAGTTCCCTGTTCTAGATCCGGGGCGGCCTGGTCCACCCCAGCTGCTTCTTTCTCAGAAGGAGACACGGGGTCTGCACGGGAAAATTTGCAGTAGTGATTTGTCATTTCTGGACTGGGCGGTGCCAGCGTCGGAAACCTGGGAGCTTGAGCTCAGCTCTCTCGCTGTATCTCTCTGTCTCTGTCTCTCGCTGTCTCTGTCCGTCTCTCTCACTCTCTCTCTCTCTCTCTCTCTCTCTCTCTCTCTCTCTGTGTGTCTCTGTCTCTCTCTCTTTTAGACAGATGCAGTAAATCCAAACTCAGCAAAAGGACCAAGGAATTCTCTTCCTTCCTTCCTTCCTTCCTTCCTTCCTTCCTTCCTTCCTTCCTTTCTTTCTCTCTCTCTCTCTCTTTCTTTCTCTTTCTTTCTTTCTTTCTTTCTCTTTTCTTCTTTCGTTCCTAGTGGTGCTCAGGGGTTACTCCTGACTCTGCACTCAGGAATCATACCTGATGGTGCTCAGGGAACCACGTGGGATGCTGGGGATCCAACCCGCATGATGGAAGGCAAGCGCCCTCCCTGGTGTCCTATGGCTCCAGCCCCAGCCAAGAGCTTCCTGAAGGTCTGTGTGAGGTGGAACCCAGCAGCTAGACACAGCTTGTCCAGAGGCCCAGGGTCCTGTCTGAGATTGGGGCTGTCAGGCTCCCTGCTGGCTCCCTCAGCAGCAGCAGGAGCAGATAGCAAGGGGGCGGGCAGGAGAAATCCCAAGGCTTTTGTGAAAACCCAAGGTTCTGGGTGTCTCTGGGTTTCCATTGTTTCTGTGAATTGAAGCTAACTGCGCGCGGGGGGGTGGGGGGGGGGGTGGGGGGGGGTGGGGGGGGGTGGGGGGGTGGGGGGGTGGGGGGGTGGGGGAGGGGGACCAGCTGGAGCCGAAAGTGAGACCGCACAGGCTTTACAGGCAGGAGGTCAGAGTTCAACTCTCCCTGAATGCTGCTGGTTATAGCCCCAAAGCAAATAAATAAAACAAACCAACAACCTCCCTCCAGGTGTGTGGCCCTGGGGGCACCAACAGGCAGGAACACCAGGAATTTCCCTGTAAGCACCCCCCCCAGAGGTCAGCGTCACTTGGGCTGACCCCCCTGCCCCCCACTAAAGTCAGAGCCTTTCCAGCTGACAGACCCCCACCCCACCTGATGTCGGTGGGCCCCACGGGTGACTTATGTGAGGTAGGGAGGAGAAAGAGTCACTTTCTCCCCAACCGCCTCTGCCACCCCGGACCCAGGGTTACTGGGTTCTTGTCTTGCTCCCAGAAAGGAATTTCAGGAGTACACAAGCAGTGAAGTAGAATAGATTTTATTTGGAGGATTTTTAGGGTGTGGAGGGGGAGAGAGTGAGAGAATAACTTACTCAAGAGAGAACACGGGTTTCTCCAAGGGCGGAGAGAGCCTCTGAACACATCTTAGCATTAGACAGAAAAGCAAGAAAGTACACATCTCAAGAGCGGAGATGCGGGCGACACATGTGCTCAGGACATCCCACGAGGTCGGGAAGCGAAATTGCAATTGGGGAAACTGAGGCTCAGGACTGGGGGAGGGTTTTAAATCAGATTCCCGCTTTCCGGGCGCTCCAGGAGGGCAGAGCCTGGGGCTTAGGGAGTTTGGACGACTGTACTGCAGCTGGAGCGGGACACCCTGTGGCCGCCTCAGTCAGGGTGTGGCCGGAGTACGGGGCTCGGGGCGCTGGGCGGCGAGTGACGTCACTCCCCGGGTGCCCCTCTCCCTGTGCCTTTAAGGCCAGCCGGGGCGGGGCCTGGCCGCCGATTGGCTGCCAGCGCAGTCCTCCCCTTTAAGGCGCATCGGCCCGGGCGGGGTCCCCACGGCGCCCTTAAGGCGCGGCCTCATCTGCCGGCAGAAAAGCGGCTTAAAGGCGACGCGTGGCGCGATGGCGGCGGCCCCACGCGCCTGCGGGCGGCGCGGGTGGCCGCTCCCGGCGCTGCAGCAGCTACTGCTGTTGCTGCTGCTGCTGCCACCGCCGCCGGGCAGCCCTCCGGGCGCCGCCGCCTACTTCCCGGAGGAGCGCTGGAGCCCCGAGTCGCCCCTGCAGGCGCCGCGCGTGCTCATCGCACTGCTGGCCAGGAACGCGGCCCACGCGCTGCCCGCCGCGCTCGGGGCCCTGGAGCGGCTCCGGCACCCGCGGGCGCGCACAGCGCTGTGGTGAGGCGGGCCGGACCGGGCCGGGCGGGGAAGGGAAGGCGTGAGGGCTGAGGGTGCGGTGCTGGGGACACCCGGCCCGATGGTGCTCGGGCGATAAGGCTGCACCCGGGATACTGGGGGGCGTCCAGCGCTGCATCCGGGAAGCTGGGGGGCGTCCAGGGCTGTGCCCGGGGGATGCTAGGGGTTGTCCAGGGCTGCGCCAGGGATGTTAACGGGTGTCCAGGGCTGCGCTCGGGGAATGCTGTGGGGCTCGTCCAGCGCTGCGCCCGGGATACTGGGAGGGCGTCCAGGGCTGCACCTGGGGATGCTGGGGGCGTTCAGGGCTACGCCCAGGGGTCCTGGAAGGTGCCCGAGGCTAGTTCGGGGATGCTCGACGGCTTTCAGAGCTGCATCTGGGATTCTGGGGGCGTGCAGGGCTGCACTCAGGGGTGCTCAGGCATTCAGGGCTGTGCCTGGCTGCACTGGGGTGTCCAAGGTGCTTGTAGCCATACAGTGCTGGAGTGGGTTCACCCGTGCCAGGCTACACCTGAATCCCCACGTTGTCTCTCCAGCCCCCCACTGCCGCGTAGGGCAGATCTGAGATCGGTGATGCCTGCCTGGCGTCAACCTCTCCCCTGGAACGCGCAGCCTGGGTTCCCCCGTGCCCCTGCCTGACAGGTGTTGTCCGTACCCTCATGGGTGTCCTGCTGTCTCAGTCCTTTTATCTAAACCCTGGGGGATCCCCCCTCTGCACAGGGTCGCCACGGACCACAACTCGGACAACACCACGGCGGTGCTCAGGGAGTGGCTGGTGGCCGTGAAGAGTCTCTACCACTCGGTGGAGTGGCGGCCGGCCGAGGAGCCCCAGTGAGTACCTGCAGGGACACAGCCCCACCTGGGACTCTGTCCCTGAGGCCCTGACTCCGCCCCCAAGACAGAGACTCCGCCCCCAAGGTCCTGACTCCGGCCCGTGCTCTTCTGACCTGACCATCCCCAGCATCTAGCTGGGACACACTGCCCCTGTGCTCAGGCCCCCCACCCGCACTCCCCATACCCCCTGTGTTCCTCATGGCCCAGTGTTGGTGGCCTCGGGGCCACTTCCTCTGTAGCCGCCCCACTGTCCTGCTCTGCATCTCCCCAGGTCCTACCCGGATGAGGAAGGCCCGAAGCACTGGTCGGACGCCCGCTATGAGCATGTGATGAAGCTGCGTCAGGCGGCTCTGAAGGCTGCACGCGAGATGTGGGCCGACTACATCCTGGTGCGTCTTGTGGGCTGGGCGACCCAGGGGGGTATGGAGATAGCCCTTTCTTGGGGAGACTGAGGCTGGGAAGAGCGTCCTCTGAACTGCAGGAGCCCCAGGGTTTCTGTGTCCCTGGTGGGGCTGAGCTCATTTCACTTCCTCCTCCAGGCAGTCTGCCTCTGACTGTCAGGAGCCAGAGGGGTTATTCCTTTCTTGCGGGGTGTGGTGCACTCCTGGTGGTGGTTAGAATTGATTCCTGGCTCTGTGCTCAGGGGTCACTCCTGGTGGAGCTCAAGGGACTCCAGGGTACTGGGGATCGAGCCCTTGTCTGCATGCACAACCAGTGTCGTGGCTGCAGCCGTGACCCCGGCCGCCCTGCCAGCTGGCGCACCCACAGTTCAACCCGTGACGGGGTCTCTGCGAGCAGCGGGTGAACAAGTGGGCAGAACTGGGGCTCACTGTGAGGGACCAAGTCCACAGGGCAAGTGGGGCTGGGTGGACAGGGCGGGTCAACTCAGTCCTGGGGGGACAGGAGGGGTCAGCTCAGTCCTGGGGGACACCGCAGGTCAGCTCAGCCCTGAGGGGACAGGGAGGGTCAGCTCAGCCCTGGCTGCAGGGGCAGGGGGCTGAGGGGAGTAATAGGACCCTTGGTCTGGCCAGTGCGTCTTGCCCTGCCCCACGTATGTGGCCTTGACCCCCAGGCCTGTCACGTGTTTCTGGCTGTGCTGGGGAGGGGGCCCCTTTATTGATCTCTGCAAAACAGCGGCGGGAATCAGATCAGGCCTCAGGGCAGAAACCCAACTGTGTGTCTCCCTCAGGGACTTGGGCCAGCCATTGTGGTTTTTCACTGAGGATCAATTTGCTGGGCAGTGCTGAGGGCACTTGGGGGCATGTGGGAATGACCGCCACTGCCCCACTCATGCCCAGCCATGGTGCCAGGCCTCCACCTGCTGGCATGCCCGGGGCTGTCCAGGGGCTGGGGGCTGTGGGCTGTGTGGACCACCCCATGCGCAACTCACGTTTCACTGGCATGGGCCGCCATATGTCGTAGCCCGGTGCTGGTTTCCTTCTGCTTCCGTGACCT